GATGGACACCTCCTTTGCGATGGCTCCTCCAATGTCTCAACCTCCCTCAGACCCTTATCGGGTCTCACCACCCCAGGAAGTCTATCAACCTCCTGTGCATACACCCCCACCCCCACCAGCAGCGTCTGTCACCCCCCCGCAGCCACAGATTCGATTAACTGGACCACCTCCGATAATGAGCTCATTACCTCCTCGGTCAAACGACGGTCCCCAAATACGGCTGAATCCGCTCGTCATGAAACCCAACCTGAGTCATTCACTGCCAGTTACCGCCCCTTTCAAGAAGTATGATTTCCAATTTCTACACTTTGATACGACCCTGGACTAACGTCCCAGCAGCTCTCCCTACAACCAAGCCCATTTCCAAAACTCAGATTTTGAACCAATCCACTGGGAGCCTCACGAATCCCGGAAATAATACCTCCCGATTATTGGGGGACCTCGTTACGACCTATTTGATGCGCCCCTCGCAATTTTTTATGACATGAAATGCATGACCTCACCCTACAAATTACACCAATTGGTTTCGGATAACAGGAGGACTACCTCCTGTGATGAAATGTTTTGTTGTTGCAGAATTGCTTTTCGCCAGTGGTGAAATTGAAGTCTCAAGCGTTCTTCCATGAGCAACCTTTTGCGTGTTTTATATCGTGCTCTCTTTTTAACCGTTCACTGCGTTTCCCATTTCATCTATTAGCGAGTGCTATGTATGTTGCATAGGTGTGAGCGCGATTTGATCCCAGCTTGAGCTTTCAAAAGGACCCACTAATCAGAGTGTGAGGATCCTTTGATTTCGGCAAAATGACAACCACCCTTGACGTCTGTCTTTGGCCGCCTGGCATCGTAGATATCCGTGTCGGCGTGTTCATAGTTTTTCACTCTTTCCTACGGGCACATGAATCGGACTAAAGACCCACAACTTCGATCAAGCTCGTTATAATCTGATATTTCATTTCACATATGTGCATTCTTGCATGTTTATGTACGAACCAAATCCTTAAATGGCAGTGTTGATAATCGACTCTTATGACCAAAAGACACATACCAGTTGCAAACGGGAAGGATATATGATTTTCGAAGTTGCTTGAAGCAACCAAGAGAGGCGAAACGGGCCTGAAATTATCATCGCCACGATATTTGTTTGAGTATGGGTGTTGTACCATGTTTGATAGCATAGGCTGATAATCGAAGCTTGTCCAGTATAGTACGTAGGCTGGAAAAAAAAGGACTGAAGTACGGCTGATTTTAACAATCCGTCCTTTATAATTCTAGCTCAAAAATGTGCGAGAGTGTACCAGCGGTCATGCCCAAGTTGTAGGTGTTAGCTTCAGAGAAGGAGCAGCCTTCAGGGTAAAATTGGGGGTCTGGGGGCGGCACGATCGTAGTCATTTGTGCTCAGTGGGTGTATAGACGCCTAGGAGACATTTATTCCATATCGAGCTTCCCCTAAGAATGGCTATTGCGCATGGGTTGCATCGTAGTGGTGGCGCACTGCATCAGGTGAATTCGTTGTGAGGCGTTGGCGCAAAATTCACCCATTCAGAAAAGTCCATTCCCGCGTTAACGTTCAAGTCTTGGTTAACATCGGGAAATATGCTTCCAAAGGTGGGATCGTTGAAAAGTTGGTCGGCGAAGGGCATGTAGATTGGATGTGGCTGCTGTGGCTGGATGGTGGCCGATCTGGCAGGGCTGGTAGGGTTTGACGAATATACTGGGGCACAAAGTCGATTTATCACTTCTAAACAGCGACCGGCAAGGTTATTGTTGCTTAACGAAGGGAACATGAGGAGGGCCTTCGTCGACTCGATCTCCTGGAGCCAGCTTGGCGCTTCGGCACTGGTTGGATCTGTCATCAAGAGGATAATTGGGATCAAACCGGCTTGGAAAAGAAAGTATCTGCCGACAAGATGTGAGAGTTAGCCAACTAACAGTGACAGTATTCCTGATATGATAAGGGTTCGAAACGTACAGCATATACCAAGCACCAAGCCGCGTGCAGGGATGGTTGTTCACAAAATCGGTGATAGAGGATATGGTCAACCTAGCATTGCGGAAGCAGAGTGCCCTGCACTCGGCTTCAGAAAGATCTTCGGGTTCAGTGGGCGTGTTTGGCGTCCACCTCCTAGAAGCCCATCTTAGAAGGATCGGGCGATAAATGAGGATTCTTAGGTTCCAATCTCGCCACAGTAATCGGCTGCGGACAAGAGCAAAATTGTCCGAGATGGAGCTAAGGTCTGGCTGCTTAATATAGTCTGGTAGTCCATCGTACCATTCGTCCATCGGCTTCTGAAGGTTCAAAGTCTCCTCTGGAGTGGGATTCGGCCCCGAAATGAGGCGTTGGTAGACGCTATTTGTTAGAATGTGGAATTTAGCTTGTGCAATCATTCCCGTGTATAGTGTCGGCTCGTTCACTTCGGGAGGTAAAGTTGTGGTTGCTGTTGTGAGGGCTTCGTCGTGGATATTGAGAACATGCTTCACATCCATAACGCTGTCTTCTGGTAGAAGAATGGGACGGCCAAATGTCTTTGCGGCACCGCTATCGAATATGTAGACGCCCCACCATAATCTTCTGCGGATTTCACGCTGTGAGAGGCTGATCTTCCAGCCGTGGAACTCTTTATGCAACCCAAGGCTCATAGACATTCGGACAGCTAAGCCCAAAAAGTTCCATCCCGTGTTTGGCTTGTTTCTTTTCTGTGCATAATTGCTCAAAAATAATAAAGCTTGAACGAGCGTCAGATTCCCAGCTTCAAACACAGACATTTGTTGTAACCTGCTTCTGGCTTCTTGGTAGAATGTGATGTCTAGGTCAGAGTTATCGTCACCAATACACCAAGCCCCTAGGGCGAGGATTGTGTTTAGCAAGATTTGCCATGCAGGTCCATGAGGTCGGGGAAGCTGTTCGTAAAACTGCGCCCTGAAAGTGGCTTCATGAACGAAGGGATAACTCATATGATAATTGAGGAAAAAAGCATCCATGAACGCCTGTTCCACAACGCCAGATGGTGCTATATTCAAAAGTTGGGATTTTAAAGGGATCCTGTCTGAATTGTCTGCGGGTTTCGATGATCCGGTTGGTATGTTAAGATCAAAACCATGTTTGAGCAAGGCCCTTAGTGGTACAACGCTGGAAGATGCCCCTAAGACGGAAAGGTTAGCACTTGGTGGGAACATGGATGCGCAATGGAGCATATACCAAAATAACCGGCGCCTTCTGGCTTAATAGACAGAGCGGCCATTCCGTCTGTTAGATCCCCAAGTGTAATTCTGTTCTCTGCCCAGTCAAACCCATCGGCCTGCTGAGGTAAGGCCTCTGGCGCTGGTTCATGACGATCTGCTTCAGCCTTAGCTGGAGTAGAGTGTCTGGAGGAGGATTTGGATGATGAGCCTGCCCTGGGGAGCGGCTCTTGATCGTGTAATAGAGAGCGGACTGTAGCATCTAAATCACCTCCTGGGAACAGCCGCCCTAATGCTGATTCGAACGCTTGCAAGCGGTCTTCCACATAGGTTAAATGCCTATGGCAATCATTAATATTGTAATGAAACAAAAAGAGGCGGGTAGATGAGATTGGATGATTAGATGGAGGTATCATACTGTCGTGTCAGAGGGCTTCTGGTTATTTTTGGGCTATATTTGCATTCTTTGCCGAGTTGCTTGCATTGCATGCAAGTCGGTTTCTCTTTGGAGCACTAACAACAAGTCAGATTCAGGTCAAGGCATAATACGTTGAATAAGAAATATATACCCTGGACTTTCGTAGGCGGCATTCATCACACTGCAAAGCACATAATCAGAACCAGCTCTATTATACTCCAGACTGTAACTTACTGCATAAGAGTGGGAATCACGAGTGCTAGCCATGTTTATATTGTTCCTCGATACCAAGTATCTTTTGCTCGTTGAAAGTCATAGATAACTTGGATCATCTGCGAATGAATTGTCAGTGGACGGGTTACTGGTGCCGCATTCTATGTTACAGAGTAGTCGCCCGGACTTAAACTGACCCCAGCGGAGCGGGGATAGATGCATCAAAAACCCCAGGCGCATATATGTCGTACGGGCAGTCTATTTTGAAAGTTGAGGGAAAGAATGGCCAAATTTATATAAATCCGTGGAGTACTAAACTTGGCCTCGAGGGGTGCAGTGGGGTACAGTATAGCGAAAAGCAGTTCGAACACCTTGGTGATCGTATGGGGCGCACTCACGATCGGCATGAAACAGGAATTAATGCACGCTCTAGGGACTAAATGACGATGGGTACATCAATCAAAGATGCTGATCATTGGTCCCATGAGAGGTGATACAAAAGGAATGAATTGAAAGACTGTCGAGGAAGAGAAGACGGCACTTCTGCCAGTCCAAGTGTGGGGGAGGATGCTATCACGTGATCAGGAGCAGGAATTTTTCTCAGATGGAACGAGTTTGCCCTGTCGGTTTTTCAGAAAAAGGGAAGTTCTGGATGGCATGCGAATCATTATTATTGCTAAGATCATTTGTGCCTGCCACGGGGTGAATACTGATTGTCAGTTCACAGCCTATGAGCCTTTTGCATAGATGGGCGCTTAAACTGCCGCAAGTGTCTTGGGGACTGTCGAGGAAACGACCCGTTTATTCTGGCTCTCTCAACATATCACTAACCACAGACATTATTTCCAGCGGGAGCGCATTTGTACCATTAAAATATGATCGTATTTATGTCGAATAGAAGTATTGAATTTGCAAGGCCACATGCATTTAGAATCGTTGCCTTAGACGCGGGGCATCAAGTGGGCCGCCACTCAGGTACAAAAATTGCCCAATCAGATGCCCTACGTGACTATCAATTTCCACGACGTCATTTTGAAGCCGAAATATTCAAGCGGCACTGAAATTTATCTGATGTGCATGTACAGTACTCCGAAACCCAGGAATTGCGACTGAACTACACAGGTCCATATACCACGGCAATCCCCTACTCCTGCTAGAATATTGAAGTACTAACATCGCCCCCAGTCCAGTCATGCCCAGCCAACCGCCCCTCCCCCACCTTCTCACACCGTATATATGCTCGCCTCCTCCCTCGTCGCTCACAACCGTTTCATCCGTACTAGGTGCTACAGGGAACTGGCTTGTATTGCGATTCTTATGTGCGGCACTTAATGCACCTCCTAACTCCTATTCTGGTCCTGGGATTGTCGGGGCCGAAGGTGGGAGGAAGAAAAAAGTTGTGCTTGTGAGTTTTCTGCGGAGTTGGGAATTTTGGAGAGCGGAGGCAAAAAGATTGGTACGGACATGATACTTTCGGAGACGTTTACGTACGTTTACTTATGACACCACCAGGGTCTAGATCTAGCACGTCTTACAGAAAAACGGCAGTTTGCGTTTGTCGATGGGCTTTCAGAATTGTTCTCCCCTCCACCTGCTCCAACGTCGTCACCAGCGCAATCACACTATCCTGGGGCTGGCCCAACACCTCGGACAACCCTCCCTACTCGTTCATATCCTGGTATCACCCCCCATGGTCTGTCACCGACGCGCCAGCCACCTCCATCAGCAAGCCCTGGTACCCTGTCACATCAGCCTGCAGAAGAAGCCAGTCCGATGAAGCGACTGCGCCTATCAGGCAACGGTATCGCAGCTATAGATGGCTTGGAAAAGGACATCGTTGCAGTGATAAACCAGCTGAAGACCTCAAATCCTGGCGAAGATGGTGGTGAATCCGATGTTCTTCTGATCGTCGACCAGCCGGATCTGTTACTTGCAGCAACGGGACCAAATAAAGGAATCGGTGCTACGGAGATGGGGGAGTGGATAATGGGACTACAACAGGTATGGTAGAGATCGTGTTCTTTGAAATTACCCATGGGAAGGGGCAAGTGAGGTTCTGTCGGCTAACTCTAGCCTGTGACCATCTAGGCTGCGGCAGCGACTATTGTAACAGTATCCTCAGATTCGCCATTAATTCATAATGCATCCGCATTTGTACATCAGGCAGCGACTCCTTTAGAGACGGAACATGCCGCGTTTACAGTTGAATTGGCTTATCGGGCAGAAATGGTTATGCAGCTTCGGAACCTGGAAACTGGTGCGGCTAGGGATGTTAGTGGCGTCCTCAGAGTTAGCAAAGGAGGGGCCTGGGGTCATAAGGAAAGCGCTGGTGAGGAAAATTGGGAGGAAAAAGAAGTATTGTACTTCGTCCAGAGAGATGGGGGGGTAAGTGTGTTCGGGCGTGGGGAATAAGTTATCAATGCTGGACATTGCAAGGCATAAATAGGGCAAATATAAGTGCTTCGAATGTACGGAGCCAGACATGGTAAACAATGTCTAGATGAGTTTATAAGCGTAGGATCTTGTTCGCCGAAGGTTGGATTCAAGAGGCAGGTAACATTGAATGGATATCTCAATATCGACTCTGCCATAAGATGGGATATTCGCCAGCCATAAACAAAGAAAGGAAATTCATTCATGTTTTGTCCCTTTTTTGAATTTTATCCATTTCGAAGGCCCATGAGATTGTAAATTTTCTGTCTTCCAAGCACCGTCAACTGTAGTGCCCTTTTTTTTCTCTATAATAAAAGTGCTCTGACGGCAAAAGTGAAGACATGTCCCAACTCCAACTCCATGGGAGTGCCCCTGCATGAGAAACCGGTTACTTCAAATGCGAGGCCCCTCTGCCGTACCAGCCCCCTCCAGCCCCTAGGAACGAAAACGCGACATTGGGATTGATCTAGTGGTTCTCAGGGCCACGGGCGCCCTTAGGAGTGCCGACCTGGAAACCGTTCTTGAAGCGGCGGTGGACGTCCCGAAGGTGAGAGGTTCTTCCGGAACCGGTGGTCTTTCTTCTCTTGGCCTTCTCGCCCCAGTTGACTGTATTCCACATATTCTCGTAAGCCAATGTTCGAATGCAATTCAGATACCGGTTCCTGGTGATTCCACCGCCAAACAATAGGAAAAGGATATGGGGATGTTCGTACACTTGCGAGTCTTAGCAGAGGGGTAACCACAGTTGGCGCAGGTCGACTTCTGGATGTGGTAAGACCGGCGGCCTGGAATCGAGAAAATAAAACGTTAGCCCTTCCGTATGCTCTTCATTCCGGTCGTTCCTAGTGTATTCCAACGCAGAACACCACTCATATCTTGTCGGAAAAGGTTTCGGGAGGAAATGGAATACTGACCACAACGCCGGCAGAGGGTGTGAGTCTTGTTGTGGCGCTTTCCGAAGCTGGTGGTACCCTTCGCTATAATCGTCGTCAGTCTCTAAAGTTTCATCGAGGCATCGAACAGGTTGACGGAATATCGGATTTGGACGTACTCATCTTGAATTAGGACCTGTAATGAATGACAGATAGTCAGTAACAAAATTCTCCTTGGCTGAGCATTTCACAAAATGAACTGGGCGCAACTCACCTGGCGATTCCGTTGAAGGGCTGGTTGTCGTTGTCGTCGTCGCTACTCGGCTGATCGAAAGTTCGCGCTGGGTCCGGGTGTCTTGCTAAGCGAGTGTGCCAGGAGAGGGCACAAGCCCTGGCAATCTCCCAAATTAGTAATATCACATGACCTTGCCCTACAGCCGTAGTCACGTGAATGTTCTGGAGACTAAAGTACCGGATAAGAAGACAAAGAAAGATGATGCGAAAGTCGATTTGTCATTCTCGATTCTCATACTGTATTTGATTCCTGTCATTCTCAGAATTTATTTTAGAATAATAGTTTGACACAATTTAACTATGCATACAGTATATTATGTACATTGAAAGTAAGTTGATTCAGACATGTTAATTAGCCCTATGACTGCGGCTATTCAGCATCATCCTTTCCAATGAAAGAAGCCATCGGATCATCAGCTGCAAGTCTGCTGCGCTTATATGTCTCAAATTCCTCCTCTGTAATTCCTGTTTGCGTCTCCATGAGCGTTCGTTTCTTTGCAGTTGAATCTTGTTGATCCCGGCTCTCTGGATTCTCGTTTTTGTGCGAATCCGCAGCCTCACTGGCTTCTAGCAACGGCTTCTCAGTCTCGGTTTCAGGTAGTAGGAGCATGTTTCCTGCTTCTTCAAATGCTCGCTTCCCATCATCGCCAGTACAATAACTGTTCTTGACTGTAGAAAAACAGCAAGTATACCCCCATTGGAAATCGTGCCACCAGCTACCCCATACTGATTTGTGATTGTTTGTGAGTATATCTTCAGGGTATTTGGATTTGGCTGCTTTCTTCGGTGCGCCTTTGATTGCCCCTGTTTCATCATACTCAACAAATCGCTCATTCTCGATCACCATTGTATCGCGGAGGGGAGTTTTCTGCAGGTGCTGTTCACCACCATACTTATCGAGAAGAGCCTTCCGTTGCGCATCACGCTTGGCCTCAGTCTCGGCTATTTCTTTCTTTCGCGAAATTTCGCCAGAAGTTGGATTCGCTTGTAAATGAACCTTTTGCGTACCGCGTTCTTGAGCCTCCCAAGCGTATCGTTGAGCTCTCTCGAATTCTGCCGCATCCCCGGACGAGCGGACGAAATTCTCTTCGGCGACAAGAGCAGCAGCTTGATCCTCTGCAGCGCCCATGTCTACCATGCGTCGCGTTTTCGGATCGTACTTGGCTGAATCCAAATCAAGGTTCAAAAGATACTTCGCGGTGTCTTCTCGAATACGCAGATTGCGAGTGGCTGTGCTCTGTTGTCTTCCCATATCAGATTCCTCTGCATACCGGGCTTCCTGCTCCGGGACTTCCTCGTCTAGACCATCAATCGCATTTCCTGTTTCCCCATCTGAAATCTTCGCCTGCCGCTTTATCTTCTCCAACTCCTCGTATTCCTCTACCACTTGTCGGTATTCGCCCGCATCGTAGCCATTCCACCGGTCTCTTTTGGCATCCCAGCCTAAGTCGACGTTTTGTATAACTTCATCCGCTTGAATATCTTTCCCAGTCCATTTTGCGCCTTGTTTTCTCGGTCGGCTTAGGCACTCTTTAGTTTTGTGCGTCATGGCACCGCAGTTCTCGCAAGCGCCTTTGCGATACTTGGTGGCGGCTGGGCCAGCACGCTTTCCACGCTCGTACCATTTCGATTGATCTGTCGTTGATTTATGTAGACGTTGATGCTCAAGATAGTCATTTGCGGATTCGTCGTCGTCGATATAGAACGGTTTTTTCGAGATGAAAGCGGGAATATACTCGTTGCGCTCTTTAGATGCGACGTCTGCAGGTTTTCGAGACGACATTACGGCGGTAGGTGAAATATGAACTAACGGCGGCGAAGAAAGTGAGTAGAAGGCAAACACGGGTAATCGAGGTGCAGTATGAATATTAGATGCCCAACAATGCCCAGCACTGTTGTTGTGGAAGTTGACCCCTCCTACAATAGTACTTGGGTCAAAGGCTGGTCATCTTGACTTTCCTGTCACGTGAGCAGGCGTTCTTCCCGCGCCACCGAACGCGTCTTTCATATCAACCATTCCATCGGAATTCTTCCAATCTATGGTGAAATCGCGATCTTTCTCTTTGGGGGCCCTGGCTTGATAAGGTTGTGACATATGATTCTTTTTCCGGTATGCTGACAGCGTTCGCTGTCACAAAATCAACGTGATCAATGGAGCCTTTCCAAGTGCGCCTAAACTGTGTGGACCATTATCAGGCAAACCCGTCGGAACTCGACCCTCCTCTGCCTCACAAGATTGGAAATAGAGAGAAACTTTACAAGCCTAAGGTCCCTGTGGTGAGGATATTTGGTACTACGGAAACCGGCCAGAAAATTTGCGTCCATGTTCATGGCGCGTTTCCCTATCTCTATGTTCGGTACGATGGGGACTTGAACCCCGATACAGGTTCGTCGAGGCACTTCCATCATTGTGTTTCTCCAACTAAGGTCATATTTAGTACGGTCTGCGGCAAAGAGTCTGCATATCTCAATAGATCATGCCTTAGCCGTCAGTTACCGACGTAATGCGTACGACAAAAAGGCGGTTTTTGTTGCGCATATTACTCTAGTGAAGGGTGTCCCCTTCTATGGCTACCATGTGGGATACCGTTTCTTTTTTAAGGTATACCTATTAAACCCCATTTACATCACACGGTTAGCGGATTTGCTCCTCCAGGGTGCTGTGATGAAGCGCCCAATCCAACCATACGAAAGCCACATGCAGTATATCCCGCAATGGATGTGCGATTATAGTCTATTCGGCTGCGCGTTTATGAAGTGCGGCAAGGTCAAATTTCGCTCTCCGGTACCAGAATATCTAGATTTTACCGACCTGTCCCACCGCTGGCATGACCGATCAATACCATCTGATTGGATTTCAGATGAGAGTGTGCTACCCAAACAAAGCCACTGTCCGCTAGAAGCCGATGTTTGCGTCCAAGATATCCTGAATAGATTGGAAATAAATGAGCGACCCATTCATCATGACTTCGGCGAGCTTTTGAAGCCTACGGTATTAAACGAGAGACTTGTTCCAAGTCTGGCGGGGCTATGGCAGGATGAAAAACGCCGGCGAAAAAAGCGACTCGGGCTCGTCGATCCGGATAGTAGTCCATTTACCAAGGAAGACCTAGTCTCATTTACGTCTGATCCAAGAAAGAACTCGCAGGGAGATTGGATCCATGGAGATGAATTCCAGCTATTGGTTCAACAAATTGCTGCGGAGGAGCGACGCCAAGATAATGACCAGGATGTCACGTTGGATGGGCTTTTGCGACACAACGTGTATGAGAAGGATGTCAAAACTGCATTGGAGAGCGTTGAAGACTTCTTTCCCGGTCCAGATGGGTTTACGAGCTTGCAACTGCGCTACAACAGCGAAAGTGATCCGGCGGAAGAGGGGGCTCATGACTACGTTGACGAAGATGCTATCCGGCTAGTTGAATCAAATGCGGATCCTGACTCGTCTGAAGAGGATGGCATGACTGACATATTTTCTGAGGATGAGGATGAAGTGGACCTTGTAAAATTGGCTACTAGCATGCAGCAAGATGAGAGCTCCGATGAGAATTTTCAAACTCGAGGGCACAAACCTTTCGAACCTCAAGATGATGAATTGGACTCAGAACGAAATGGCACTTCTGGCTTTGAGGAGCTGGGAAGTGTTCCAGGTCTAGACACCCGCGGAATCCAGTTCGACGTCCCTACTCAAAACAAGATACAAAGCGATGATATGCGGGCGACGAGACTGAATCAGAACAAAATAATGGACAAAACTACCCAGGTCGGCATACATTCTAGCCATTCCCAGCCCCGAGAAGCATATTCAGAGCATGACCTTACTATGAAGGATTATAATAATATGCCTAGTCGCCGTGCAGAACAGTCACCTCCACTAGAACAGCTCTCCTCCCAGTCGAAAATTCGTCCCAAAAACATGAGCCAAGCTGGTACATTGAATTTCCCTGTTGTCAAAGACCCCAATGACCCGATGACAATCCTACGCTTCAGTCAAGAGGGGTCAACCTCGAAAGTCCTGTTGGACATGGGAGCAAAGCAAAATGACGATCCTAGAAAAGTTGAGGACATGCTGCAACCTCCTTCGTCTACTGAGACTGAATCTGATGGTTCGTCGGATGTAGTTGCCCCTGAAACTGCAGCTCTTATACTTGAAGCTTTCAATATCCCATCACATATCCGCTTGGGTTTCTTGCGGCGACCCTGCCCTGTTCCTAGGGAAGTTTCTTCAATAATAGACGCTTTCGGACACCCAAGTGTCATATACAAAGATGCGCACTACAGTCGGGACGAAGACGTCCCTGATCGTCCACGGGACTATGCAGGAAGGGAGTTCCGGCTTGGGGGTACCAGTATACGTTATCTTCCCGGTTTTGATCGTTCTGGCCGCTCCCCTGCAATTCTGGGTGAACAGAACATAGGGACAAAGGACAAATGTGACTGGAATGAAACAGATCATCAATTACGCATCGCATCCACGGCTAGGATTTGGGAATTTGCAGCGGAACCCCCTAGCCGTTCGGAGGTCATCACTTGGTTTGAAAACCAACAACGCAAGGCTTTGGCACCACCCACGAAAACAAAGGAGCGACATAAGGACAAAGAGTCTAGGATGCAAGCGCTTTCCCAAATCGAAGGCCCAACACAAAAGAATGACCATGGATCCGAATGCTCGCAAAATGAAGAATCGACTAGTGTTGAGCATCAGGCTCAGTATATGAGCACTATGAGTCTAGAGGTCCATGTGAACACTCGAGGGGTGCTCTCACCGAATCCGGAAGAAGATGAGATAGCTTCGTTTTTCTGGTGTATAAGCTCGGAAAATGAACTTCTCGACGATAATGATGTTCCATCAGGAGCCCAAATTGGGATCGTTTTCCAAGGAGATGGAGAACGTCCTGAATTGAAAGTTTCCAAGGCATTAAGAGTGGATTGGGAACATGAACCAACGGAGCTGGATCTAATAAATCGTCTAGTTGACATTGTTCGATTGCATGACCCTGATATTATCACCGGATACGAAGTGCATAACAGCTCTTGGGGGTACGTAATTGAGAGAGCAAAGAAGAAATATGATTTTGATCTTTGTGACGAGCTATCGCGGGTGAAATCGCAAGCACATGGACGATTTGGCAAAGCGGCTGATAAATGGGGCTTCAATCAAACTTCGTCTATCCGCATCACTGGAAGACACATGATCAATATATGGCGTGCCATGAGGAGTGAGATGAATCTACTACAGTACACAATGGAAAACGTTGTTTTCCACCTCCTGCACCGGCGGATTCCGCATTATTCATTCCGCGACCTTACCTTATGGTATCAAAGCGATAGGCCTCGGGATTTTATGAAAGTTGTCAACTATTTTGTTTCACGCGTTCAAATGAACATTGAAATTCTTGACGCAAATGAGTTGATACCTCGGATCAGCGAGCAAGCGAGAATTCTTGGCATAGACTTTTATTCAGTGTTTTCTCGAGGGTCCCAGTTCAAAGTCGAGTCTCTGATGTTTCGAATCGCAAAGCCAGAAAACTTCATCCTTGTTTCCCCAAGCAGAAAGCAAGTTGGTCAACAAAATGCCCTTGAGTGCTTGCCGCTTGTTATGGAACCTCAGAGCGATTTCTACACTAGCCCTCTTCTTGTTCTGGATTTCCAGTCGTTATACCCTAGCATCATGATCGCCTACAACTATTGTTATTCCACTTTCCTTGGGAGGGTTCACTCATGGAGGGGGCGAGATAAGATGGGTTTCATGGACTATAAACGGAAACCGAGGCTGCTGGAGCTGCTCAAAGACCAGATTAACATCGCGCCGAACGGTATGATTTATGCAAAGCCTGGGATGCGGAAGTCGTTACTTGCTAGAATGCTCGCAGAAATACTGGAAACGCGGGTGATGGTTAAGGCTGGAATGAAGGTGGATAAAGATGACCGAGCACTGCAGCGTCTTCTTAACAACCGACAGCTTGCCCTGAAGCTCATAGCCAATGTTACATATGGGTATACATCTGCCTCGTTCTCAGGGAGGATGCCTTGCTCTGAAATTGCTGACAGCATCGTTCAATCGGGTCGCGAGACTCTCGAAAAGGCCATTGCTTTTATTCATTCTGTGGAACGATGGGGCGCTGAAGTGGTGTACGGAGATACAGATAGTCTCTTCGTTTACCTCAAAGGACGGACTCGGGATCAGGCTTTTGATATTGGTGAAGAAATTGCTCGAGCCGTCACAGACATGAACCCACACCCAGTCAAGTTGAAATTCGAAAAAGTCTATCACCCATGTGTGCTACTTGCGAAAAAGCGATACGTCGGCTTCAAGTATGAACATCGAGACCAAAAGGAGCCCGAGTTCGACGCCAAAGGCATTGAAACTGTTCGTCGCGACGGCACCCCAGCTGAGCAAAAGATCGAAGAGAAGGCACTCAAGCTTCTATTCAAAACAGCAGATCTTAGTCAGGTGAAGAGTTACTTCCAGAATCAGTGTACGAAAATTATGCAAGGACGTGTGTCAGTCCAAGACTTCTGCTTTGCAAGAGCCGTGAAACTGGGAACCTATAGTGAAAACGGAAATCTTCCCGCAGGAGCTCTAATTAGCACAAAGAAAATGCTCGAGGATCCTCGTGCAGAGCCTCAGTACGGCGAGCGCGTTCCCTATGTTGTGGTCACAGGAGCTCCAGGGTCCAGACTCATCGATCGCTGCGTATCACCAGAGATTCTCCTGCAGGATGCACAAATCGACCTCGACGCAGAATATTACATCACGAAGAACCTCATTCCTCCTTTAGAACGCATCTTCAACCTTGTTGGAGCTAATGTTCGCCAATGGTATGACGAGATGCCGAAAGTCCATCGCATCCGTCGTGTGGAAGGAGCAAACTCCATCATTGGTGGAAAGACCAGCATAAGAACCCTCGAATCGTACATGAAGGCCTCAACTTGCATTGTCTGCAAGACCAAACTCTACGACGCCGAAATCCCTGTCTGCTTAGATTGCATGCAAAGTCCTCATCTCTCTCTACTGGAACTTGTCTCCCGCCGGCGGCAGGCCGAGCAGAAAGTTGCAAATCTTGGGCGGGTCTGTCGGTCTTGCATGGATGTTCCTTTTGGGGACGAAGTGAAATGCGACAGCCTAGACTGTCCTGTTTTTTACGCAAGAACGAGAAGTCTGGCTCATTGGAGGCATACAAATGCTTCGCTTAACCCTGTAATCAAATTTCTACAGGATAACTGCGGAGACGGCTTGGAATGGTAGCTTACTTGGGCCGGCTGGGAAGGCACGGCGTGGACATAGGTTTATTATTCCTGAGATATCCATGCTACCTGGGTTGCTTTCTCTAGGTTTGGTTATCACTTTCTGTCTTTTGGTTGGAGTACGCTGTTATACTGGAGTTGGGGGGGGGGGGGGGNGTTTGTTTTTGGATACCCGTACAATGGCAGTCGCAATTGATCATTTTTAGTCACCATATTGCCACCTATCGCTCCTCCTAAGTAGCCGTATGTAGGAAAGAAATAATAGCTGCTAACTTTAGAAGAACACCGCTAGAGGGACGAATATTAGAGACCGGCCAGTTTGTTTAGCGTATCGATGCCGAGAGGGTCATCGCCTGCATTAGACTCTTCTTCTTCCACAATTTCAACAACACGACTCTGTCTGCCTTTGCCATTGATAATTGTCACTGGTCGGTTCTCCTTTAGGTCGTGTGTAGCATTCTTAGGGTTAGCTGTCCATCCGCCCTCAGTGGGGTCACGATCGAAATCCAGTAGACTTTCCCCTTCCACCGGAGCAGATGAAAGCACTATAGATGAGGAAGGAGTACTCGGCATATGTAAAAGCCCAAAATCAAGAAGTTCCTCTAGTAAATTGACGCTACCATCATTAGGGAGGGCTGGGTTGCTGTGTGTGGTGGAGGTTGAGCTACCTTCATCGCTGAGGTTGAGCCCGAAAGGATCGTCATTTTGTTGACACCCGGCATCGTTAACTACCTGAAAGGCCTCGTTGGCCACTTTATCTTTGACATTTGCGTCAGGGATTGTGTCGTCAGATTTACCCTTCCGCAAACCTTTGATCGCGTCCTGGTCCGCCGGAAGAGTAGTTGTAGAGTCTGGGTGCTCGTAATGACCAACTGCAATCTGGCCGAGGACCCTTGGGAATATCCAGGGAAAACTGATCAAAGGTAGCTGATCTATCTTGGGGGCTGGTGTATTCGTGAATAGGTTTTCGTCTGCGGGATTGTCTTCGCGGTGTTTTGCTAATGCTGCAGCCATCTCCTTGTGCGTAATTCGATACATGGCGACGACAAGAGGCGCGAGCAACTCAAAAGTCCGACCTCCAACCTCTTCATAAGCTCGCTTTTTGAAACCTTCTCGTAGTGCAGAAGATATGGTACCAATATCCTCATGGAGCTTGTAGTCTTTACTCATATTAGAGTGATTGAGCACAAATGTCGACCACACCTCGAACTCTGTCTTGATCTCATGCTGTGCCATTATCCGGCGGATGGAAGTGTCGTATTCATCTTTGAGCTTCGTGGAAAATTCGTAAAAGTCTTCCGGGACTTCAATCTGACACTCTAAGATCCGTTTGTCGAAATTCATCTCAAGGTTTGGATCAAAATCGATTCGCTCCACGGCATCGTATAGCTGTCCAAGGATTTTCCCCGAACGATATTGACAATGCTCAGGTTTGTATATCTTCTCCATAAAATGAGGCCATTTACGGGGCCGCAGATCGCGTGTAATCATGGCTGGATTCCCTGTCTTGTTGTAGTCGACCGCATCTGAATGAAGTTGTGCGAGCCGCATGCATTTTGCTTCATTGACGCCACCCACTAAGTAATCTCCCCATGCAAGATGAGCGTGGGCAATTGCTGGGAGGCAATCGTTTTTCATATAGGTGACAAAGAACGAAGTAATCTCGTCCACGGTGACATCGTGGTCGAGGTCATGAGCCTTCTTACCAACATAGTCCATGGGCTCACGAAACCAGTCTTCTGGTAGCAAATCTTGATCCCAGATCACAAGGTAATCATCTCCATCAAGGTCACCACCGGAGCACATGCTAGCAACATCACGATCTCCAGTTTGGGGTAGGACAACGACGTCCTTGAGGTGCTTCAGGCTGGGAACGTTGACAGCTCTAACCACGCGAATATCACCAGGGTAGAGAGAAGGGTTACGGGCCAAAATGCATAGTCCTTCGATAATTTCGTATTTTCCATTCTCTGGGCGATATACCTGCACGAATATCTCAGGTATTGCTGCAATCTTCTCTTCGAGGGATGCATCGCCGTTCGGAATTTTGTCGAAGAAATATCCTTTCAAAGTCGCAGTCTCGTCCATACAGCCCAAGAGGCATGCGCCTTGATCGATGACTATCTTTGCCTTTTCCTTCAGATATTTCAAATGCCACGCCCTCCATAGAGTGAGAAGCGAGGTTACAAACGGTTCGTTCGATCTTCTAAAGCCGTCGAGAACCATTTGACTAACGGCAAGCGTTGTCTGGTTAGGATCCACATATTTCCTTAGCAGGTAGACTGCCTTTGGATCACTTTCCATTGCCCCATCCAAGTTCTTCAGCATTGTTCTAAGCTTAAGATGGAATACCTCGTCTGTGATTCCGAGTGTGGACAACACAAGGATCAGCTGTCTGTTGAGAGTTGCAGAAGAGAATTGAGACCAGCGAATAATCTCCAGGCCTTGGGATAGTGCAGCAAATTTAAATTGGCTCTTCCGAATGTGGACATCCTGACGGCAGGCATCTGGGGAAATGATGAGCATACCCTTGCAACCTCCTAGACGAAATTGATAAGCAGAAGGAGGCTCTCTGTCAGGCGTTTTGATTTTGAGTTCTGACATCGCAATCTGTGCGAGGAATTTCGAGATTTTGCCAACGCCATCTGAGAAAGTGTAACCGTTCCTTGTTATGTCGTCAATTTTCTTGACATGCGCAGAGCAACCGGAAATGGCCCGGGTGGTCGAGAAACACTGTCCCAGTCTGGCAGCATGTTTGGCAATGTTTCTAATGTGACCGAATTGCCCCATCCAGGCACGGATATTAGCAGCTGTGACACCGTCTTTAGGAGCGAAAAAGTATGCTCCATGCTCGCGGAATTGAGAGTTTCCAAATGCAAGAAACTCGTAGCGTGTACTTCCAATGACAATGCCATTAGCTAACGCTCTTTTGATACGAGTAAATACCTCATCCATGGTGTTATCAGCAGTGAAATGGATGCGACCCATGTGTTTCTCGTCTGTAAATCTGACTCGGAGAAAATTGTCTGCGAGATTTATGTAATGTCGAATGACCCGGTTTGAGATATCTATAGAGGGGAGGTTGTAGTAAATTGTGCTTGGAGTGATTCTTGCTGATCGCATGAGACAACAGTAAGATGGTATTTTCCCGGTCGTGACACCTTTGACAAATTTAATGTCGAATATTTCCATCGGATTGTAGTAAGCTTTTTTTTGAAGAGCAACATGTTCAAGGAGCTTCCTTGCCTGCACCTCTCCGAGTTCAACTAGCCGTAAGGCAAATTCGCGATTCATGTTGAACTCGGAAAGGAAGCCATGTGATATGCATACTTCTAGTTGGTAGCGTACTGCGAAAGGCAGATGGATGTGGGTAGGGTCAATCAGATCCTGTAAGGAGGCATATGAGGTACCAGAAGTCTTAGGGTCAAGATCAATCCATTTCCAAATAGTTGTAGGTTTGGGGGCGTTACTGTCGACAAAAGTGAAGCGGTCCGTCTTCTCGACAATAAGATTATAATCGCTCAAAATGCTACAGAAAAAGGTAAACTGTCCTTTGTCATCACAATTTCTGGGGTAGTTGATTCGGAAAGCGTTCCAGCGACCTACATAGCATCAGTCAACCAAACGTGAGACACGGGAGGTCCATATGTCCGACTCACCAATATCAATTATTGGGTTCTGCCTTCGAAGGCTAGCTGGAAGAGTAGCCAATCCTTGGGGGTTATGAACAATCTGAGCTTGTCTGAACCAGGTATCCGACTCCCTCCATGACATTTCTTCTATAAATGTAGTCTCGGTGTTCCGAATCCGACGTTGATATATAGGCGGCGAATTTAGGAATGTGAACTGAGAGATGACACCGTTCGAAGTATTTTGTGCTTGGAAGAACCTATCAAGCTGCGAAAATGGAATCCTAAGGCGATATTCTTCAGGCGATGACGGACGTAGGGCGCCGGGGATGTGAAGCTCGAAGTATATGAACAAGTCTTTGCGTCTCAAATTAAGAAGTAGAAAAGCAGCTCCATTTGTTGATGATCCCACGGTTCGCATCGGCATCATTGTTGTTTCGTCCACGACAACTCCGATATCCATCGATGAGATTGGGATTTTCTGTATAGTAAACACTTTGTGAGAAGGGCAAGGACTTGAGGCAGAAAAGATGAATAGTTGCAACTCACAATTTCCGCTGGGAAATGAACCCCGGGACGAACTGGACTGGGAACATCCCATTCGGGAGCCTTGTTATCGAGGGCGATACGTATGTAGACTGTTTCCCCATTTTGCAGCTTTACTTGCTTGGTACATTGTCTCCAAAACTCGTTGACCGGAGGAGGCCTGTATGAATGTTTAGGGGCACGAGAATGCAAGTGGTTGTTCACGACTTACTTAAAGCGTACTTTAGCCTTTGTACCTCTGCCTCCATGGGAATCTTCCCAGATGTCGATGGAGACGATAGTGCCCTCTTCCTTGAATGCTTTCCAGATATCTACCGTGCCCAATTCCTTGGGGACGTTTGTGAGAACAACAGCAAGCGATGGCCATGACATCCATGGAGCTATCAGCTGTTGGCGATTAAATTGGGTAGCAGGGCTTGGGCGGTACTTGGCTCGAGACATAGTAGGCTCTGACCGGTTGAGAGATAGAATGAAGCAACACAAGGTACGAGAACGTGAACAAGTATAATAGACGAGCTTAGATAATTGGAGGGCAGGGCGAGAGAGATGAGAGCAAGATAGAGAACTTGATCGAAAGCCTCGAAGCTATTTCTTCTCCCGCATGGGTAAGATTTTCAAACTGGTTTCCACCTATTCGAGATTGAGCAAACTGACTGAACTCAGCTAGATCTTCATCACACTCATGCAGTTGTTGTTTTATTACCAAGATAGGTATTGTCTTGAGTGTTGTGTGGAAGAGCCAGAAAAGGCAAAGCAGTGAATGGATACAAGTAAGAAAAAGTGAAGGATGTGGTGAGCTATGAAAAGTGAAAGAAGGTAGCACTCACTTTCAAGGCTGAGAAAGGACCTCACTTTCCAAGTTGTATTAACGCGCAGACAGGGAGCCATGCAGGCACCCGCCAGACAAAGCAACATGGAGAGGAAAAATATGATCTAGATACAATCATAAGCACCAACTGCAAACGGTGCATGTAGCGCAGGAACTTTACGTGTTTGTAGAGTATCAATCTCTGATGATTTACAAATATAACCCCGAATTATCTACTGTGGTTTCCCTTTGAAAACAACAAATGGCCTGGATATATCACTTGCTATATAATTAGGTTTTTTATGTACTATATATTATTATGTCATTAGCATGATTCACATAGGAACCTCGTAACTCTTAATTCATGTAGGTGACAATGCTCCAATAATAGCGGTGCTTATACCCGTCCATGGCCATTCATCTCTGATAAAGAAGTACTGGTGAAGACAAAATCCTTTGAGAACTCAAGATCCAGATCCAAGTCAATGTCATCGAGATGGTTCTGGTCCCCTTTGGGATTAATTCGACTGTCATGGAAGCTTTCGTGGCGACTATATGACAGCTTTTCCGTAGTCTGCGAGTCTGGTAGACTATTGAGACTGGTCTCTCCAAGGGGCGTTCGTACTTGGTGTTTCTGGGGACTAGCCCTAGGGGGTGACTCTCGCGACTTCTTGCTACTTTCAAGTGAGCGGGAGGGTGACGGCTGATCTGGAGGAAACGCATTGTTACGAGTTCTTTTAGGGGTACGAGCGACTGGGCGAGGCGAGGTGGATGAGGCGGTGGGATCATCGTCCCGAATTGGGGAGAGCGCGCGTGCAGAATTCGTTTGCACTGTGGCTGTCTGCGATTGCTCGGATGAAGGACGGGGTCGTTGTTTGCTTGAGGTTCGATTGTCTGAGGATGCAGGCTTGAAACCCATTACACCCATTAGTCGACTAATGTGCTGCTGTGCCTCCGAGAATTCGCGCGCTTTAGCTGCTCGCTCTTCTCGTAGATGTTGGACCTGCACAGATGTTAGATGAGGAATATTTGGGTCTCTCCTCAATTCTCACCTTTTTCTCCAGGTACTGGACTCTCTTCTCCTTTGTTTGTAATTCCCTCGTAGCTTCTGATTTTACCTCCTGCATTGCGCGTTGTAAAATGATGAACTCTGACTTTTGCTCCGCCGCCTATAATTATCAGTAATGGGAATGCTGGAATGCGCTAGTCAAAGACTTACCCCCTCGGCCATTCTTGAAGCCTGTATCTCGGAGTTCCTTCGGGACTCCTCTAGCTCTGTTCTGAGCTTTTCAGTAGTGCCACGGAGAGTGGTTTTCAGGTTCTCGGTTTCGGAAGCCTGTTCATGGAGCTATTATACTCTTAGAATTCTTACTTTTAAAGAAAAATAAAAGGGTGTAGAGCAAACACTGACCTTCCTCTCTAGTTCTTTAGCCAAGTTATCGGCGCTCTCCTTTTCGTTCATCAGTTGTTGAATCAATGTATCCTTTTGCGCAAGAGACGCCTTGCTTTGTTCCAAGTATGTTTGTAGAGTTGAAGCCTCGTACTTTACTGCAGCAATCTCCTCAAGAGAAGAGGAATTGTCTTTTGAAGCCTCGGCCAATTTTGTCCTTAGATCTTCATTCATTTCAGTTTGACACTTGATCTCTTCTTGGAGTTCGTCCAGACGCTCGTCCTTCTCGGTTAAGGACGCAATGATGCCAAGCTCTCTGGTCCTGGATAGCTCTCGCTCATTGGAGATAGTATCCTGTGAGGTACGTTGTAGCTCTTCGAGGTCATTTTGGGCCTGAGTCAAACTCGCAGACAGCTCATCAACACGGTGTGTAGCTGAGTTCGCGTGCTCTTCCAGGCCAGACATTTCCTCTCGAAGTTCGGTAATTGTGCCTAACGCCTGCTGCAACCGAGATTCTAAACCATGGTTCTGTTTCTTTAGTTGTTCTGCTTCTAAACAATACTTGTTGCGCTCGTCCTCGGCGGCTCTGAGAGGAGCTTCAATATTGCCACAGCGTTGCTCGAGGTCGTAGCAGATATCTTCGATTTTCCTGGCAATACTATCATTTGCGATTTGAGTGTTTGCCGCCATCATGTCTCTCATACCAGTTCTCCAATCATTCCTAGAAACATTCGCCGTTTCATCAATTTTGGGAGACCGCATTGTAGTTCGGAATTCTAGTGGTTTGGTCTGCGACGAGGTGCATTTAGGTTCCGGTAGTAATAGCTTGCTCCTCCTGGTCACCAAGCTTATAAGCCCCGCGGCACCAAGGGAAAGTGACTGGTCCTGTGCGTTGCGTTGCATCGTTGCTTCAAAACAAAACGAAATAAGGTCCGACAATAGATCATTTTCCAACCCCGAGACTGAAGCGGAACACACAGTATTTCCATTACAGTCCAATCCTGCTGGCTGTCTTGGGAAACTTTCCATTAGGTTATAGATAGCCGGCCCATACTTCTTGGACACTGTAGCTGCAAGTTGCACGTCAGAAGATCGCAAACCATCGAGCGCAAGTTTTGATATCCGCAATTTTGTCAAGTTCATAGTGTCGGTCGCCCTAGCTGACAGCGTAGAAGTGATATAATGCAACACCTTTTCCAGCCCATATTCGTCCGAGGAAGTCTAAAAATTCTTAGTACATAGGTTTGTCCACTACGATCTTACACATACAGCCAACGTTCCCACTAGGCGTGTTATAATGTGTGGTGGGAGAACCTCCATAATAAGCAGCGCATTGTTTGACAAGATCGATTCCAATGAAGCTCTCTTTAGCTTATGTGGTAGGGACACAGCAGGTACAAGGGAGGTGAGGAACGATACACCCTGCAGAAGTCAGTAAATATTAGCCACTTCAGAGTAAATATCAAGATTTGACAGTACCAAGATCTGGACGCTATGGTCAATACCATGGCGAGTGACCTTTTCGAGAAGTTTAGCGAGCTTGGTCGAGTTCCCTTCGATCCAGCACTCCCGCTGTGTCTTATCAACACCATCACATATGCTTATTGCAAGACGGATGCTTTCTGCAGACTGTTGCACTGTCAGGTGACCATAGTTAGAAGAGCAGGCAAGAATGACTCGTAGAACAACAAGGTCCAATGTTTTCAGGCCCCGCTTAGGACCGAAGAAATGCCTAATATTCTGCAGCCATGTCGGCGCATCTACACCGTTCTCTGTTTCAGCGTTCCGGCGCTCGTATGACCCAAGCCTTGCAAAAGTAGCTAGGCACAGGAGATTGCCCATGTGGTCTTCCAGGTTGCGGAGTGTCTTTGTAAACTCTGTCTGGAAACACGTCATTACTTCCAGAGGGAGCTCAAATAGAACACCTGATGCTTGAAGGCAGCTAGAAACCAAATACAGGGGTCGAATGGTTTCTGCGCACGGATTTACTCTCATCCTCTCAATCATCCGCATAACGAAAGGTGCAAGACTTGCAGGCGGGATTGTGCCGCAAGGCAAAGGAGAGGAGAGAAGTGAAAGGCATGCTGGTAGGCACTGCTTCGTGGTGTCAGTCGTGCTCATTGTATCATACCGCCGAAGTAATTTAGACATTAACTTGCTAGAAGTTATATTGGATATTTACTTACTTCAACCTCATTACCTTCGGCGGATTGTTGAAGGAACTGATCGAAAAGGTGTGGATATCGTTGGAGTAGAGCATCTCGAAATTCTTGCGCCAGCGCTATTTTATATTTCACGTTAATCCATACGCTCCCGGTGGCTCTTAGTCTTTCTCCATCAACTTACCAAAATAAGTGAGCAAGGGCAAAGCAAAGCGGGACCGCGTGAGGCCGTCAACAAGTACATCGATCAGAGGCGCAACCTGGCAAGGCTTTTGCGACACCCAAAAGTATACCACAGTCGATGGTAATTTCTGTGTCAGAGTATATAGGTCCTAAATGCACAATCTAGCTATCAGCTAATACATCTTACTGATCCATTTAGGGGGTGGGGTTCACCTGGAGTGAGGGCGCATATGGCGCATTTACCAAACGTTCCACTTCCCGGGATAATTCGTCGGACATCATCACCATATCGGCCTATCCCACTTGAAGCCGTTTGTGAGCGTGGAGTGATGCTGCTTCTATAATTTTAATGTCGCCGTCGAGTCGTGGTCTGAAGCAGCAGAGATGGTCTGTTGATGAAAGCGAAGTCTTCCGCTGGTTGCCCCCTCAACGGTCTGACTCCATCTTGAGTTGGTTCAGCTCAGACAACATCACATCAACCTTGTGGGCACCTTTCAACATGCAAGTGGTGTTTCGTACCCACAGGGTAGTTTATTGGTCCTAGTAATATATATATATCTGAGGTTAGTTGTTCAATCTTTGCCTACAGAATATTCGTGGAGTTTCTCTGCTGGAACATACTCCGTAGTATATCTCCTCTCTCAAAACTGCATAGCACAGCAATAGTAACCAAATATACGATTATAAGCTCAAAGTCACATCTGTCTTATCTTTGAAGTTCCCTAACTACGGGCTATCGGGAGGGCATAAAATGAAAAATTGACTGGTTGTTCTAACCCTTGTGCCCCTGGGGGTTGACTCCAAATTCCGCACTTGTCGGAGTTCAGTCCGACCGAGCGACAGACATCACTGCTTGCAAGACATCCTAGAGTTGATCAGCTTTAGCGTGGGGGGCGCATGGACGCGACCGAGGCGAGGTGGGCGTTGTCGCCATTCTTCCCCAATATCATTCGTCTTGTTCATTTTCCTCCACTCGGCGAAATTCCGTGGTCGCTTGCTGTTTGCCGATGGGGTTTCTCCCTGCTGACGATATCGCTAAAGCCGCCAAAGAGAATTGAAAAGCATGACGGTACGACCATTCGAGCGGCAGGTTCCCTCATAGTCTCTCTTCGATTTCCCATCCATTCTTACACTTCGTCTTTTGCTGAAAGCCATGAGTGTCTCCGCCTTGACTCGGGGTTTCCCCGCAAGTCCCCGCATCATCTCTCGCCGCCCATTCCAATCACTCCTATTCCCCAGTGTCATCATTCGGCCGAGTAGTTCTAATTCTAACGGTGGTCGAGGCGAGAAGAAGAGCGACACTTCGAACACAGGCTCATCTACCGGAAGCTCGTCCAATTCCTCGTCTACGGGCCGGACATTCCTTATCTCTACAATTGCGGCTGGGGCAGGTTATGGAGTTGCCAGTTCGGTTCAGTCGTCAGCAGCCAAAGACACTGGTGCTCCAAAATATGGATCTACGAAAGACTTTGAGAAGGTGAAATCTAACTGATTTCCTGTGTTTTCTCTCATAAAATGTCACTAACGATTGTTTCCCTTGGCTAGGCAATTGCTGAGCTTCAAGCGAAATTCGGCGAGGACACGATAAGCATAGATGAGGATGATTTACAACGACATGGGTTCTCTGAGTGGTCAAGTGTGAATGCAGATCGCCTACCGGTTGCAATTGCCTACCCTTCGAGCACTGAAGATGTCTCGGAGATTGCGAAGGTCTGCAATAAATACAAAATGCCGATGGTTCCATACTCTGGTGGATCTAGTCTCGAGGCAAACTTCTCTGCTCCTTACGGCGGCCTAACGATTGATTTCGCTCTCATGAACAAGATAGTGGATCTGCATGAAGCAGACTTGGATGTTGTGGTTCAGCCCTCCATTCAGTGGATGGATTTAAATGACAAGATCAAAGACACTGGTCTCTTTTTCCCCGTCGATCCAGGCCCATCCGCTATGATAGGGGGTATGATCGGGACGAACTGCAGTGGGACAAACGCTGTGCGCTACGGCACCATGAAAGACTGGGTAATAAACCTCACAGTCGTTCTAGCAGATGGCAGTGTTATGAAGACTCGCAGACGTCCTCGCAAAACATCGGCTGGATACAACCTGACGGGCTTATTTGTAGGTTCCGAAGGAACACTCGGCATTGTTACCGAAGCTACACTCAAGCTGGCTCCAATCCCGGAAGAAACACGAGTTGGCGTTGTTTCCTTCCCCTCAATTCGCGATGCTGCATCTACTGCTATGCAGCTCATAAGGAAAGGAGTCCCGGTCCAGTGTATGGAGATTCTGGACGACGTGCAAATGGATGTGATCAACAAGGCCGGTGGGACAGGAAGAACGTGGAAGACGTTACCTACCCTTTTCTTCAAGTTCTCTGGAACACAGGCAGGTGTTGCCGACAGCATCAATTTGACTGAAAACCTAGCTAAAGGCAATAATGCGGAGGCTTTTGAATTCGCGAAAAACGAAAGGGAAGCACATGACTTATGGTCAGCAAGGAAACAGTCTCTTTGGAGTATGATGGCTTTGAGAAAAGAGGGCTCTGAAGTGTGGTCTACTGATGTCGCTGTCCCAATCTCTAGGCTTCCGGATATCATCGGTACGTTGATCATAAATTGGCTGTCGGAACCTACTAATAGCAGACAGAAATATCCAAGAAGGAGCTCGATGACCTAGGGATATTTGCTAGTATACTTGGTCATATTGGCGATGGGAACTTCCACTCGAGTATCATGTACGACCCCAAAAACGCCGACGAGAGAGAGCGCGTCGAGAAGGTGGTGTACGACATGGTCGATCGCGCATTGGATATGGAAGGTTCTTGCACGGTAATTGCACCACCGCTTTCTCATAATGAATAGAGAAAACTGACACTGTCACAGGGTGAACATGGTGTCGGCCTAGGCAAAAAGTCATCCCTAAAGAAGGAGCTCGGGCCTAATACGATTGGGGTTATGCGCAGCGTCAAAAAGGCTTTTGACCCCCACTGGCTGTTGAATCCTGGAAAAATTTTTGACCCTCAGGACCATTAAAAAGATAGAAACGTCCCACATATGTTGTATATACCGGTATAGAAAAAAGGAGTTACGCTCTATCCTTTTCCTTAAATTGCACCTTTGCTTCTGGCGTGAAGTATAAAACTCGGCCCGATTAAGTCATGGTGGGGACATCTGTCCAATTAAAGTGCCTGGGGCCCTGAGAACGGCTGACTCACCGCGGGGCGGATGACTCCCCTCCAGAGCGATATCGCCCTCGGTCAATCTTCAATTGCCACAATCGTTTCTCTTCAAGGCTTCAATTAACATTTTTGGCGGTAAGTTTTGCGATATCCTACCTTATTTATTGTCTACCGTTATCTTTGGGTTATCATGTGAACTATAATTCTCTCTGGGTTTGAGCATTGGCAGAAGTTATATTATTGCGGGGCTTGCTTTCTGCGACCAGTTTGCTGTTCAATGCCCTATCACCATATACCCATGGACATGGTCTTCGCCGTTGCAGAAATTCCAATTGTAACAATCAAGGACATTGACTGATTTGCCTAATTAGTGTATTCCGAATCTCTAGGTTACCAAAACCGTGATCAAAATGACATCGTTTCCCAAGAAGAAGTGCGGTACGGGCGCCTTCATAATTTATATCGCTGTTCCCAGTACTCATGATCAATAGGTGTTCTTGGTGCCACCGGATCGGTTGGCCAGAGGTTCATTCTGCTACTTGCGGACCACCCCTTCCTAGAGCTTCATGCTGTTGGTGCTTCGGAGCGATCTGCGGGGAAGAAATACAAGGACGCAGTGCGATGGAAACAGAGCGCGACAATGTCTGAGAAGCTTAGCAATCTGGTTCTGCGCAATTGCAAGGCCGACCAATTCAGTGACTGTGACCTCGTGTTTTCCGGCCTCAACAGTGATATTGCCGGTGACCTCGGTAGGTTGGGCCTTGGATCTAATAGCCAGGACGAGTGCTAATACAGATCCCCGGCATATTTTAGAGATGGAATTCATCAAGGCTGAAATTCCTGTCTTCTCGAACGCCAAAAACTACCGGAAACACCCCCAAGTCCCGCTCGTGGTTCCTACGGTTAACCCTACCCACCTCGACCTCATTCCTCACCAGCGAAAACAATTCGGTTTAAACAAGGGCTTTTTGGTCTGTAACTCCAACTGCGCTGTTATCGGAATTGTCATCCCATTTGCGGCTCTTCAGGCCAAATTTGGGCCCGTTGAGGAAGTAGAGGTGTTCACTGAACAGGCTTTGTCCGGAGCTGGCTATCCGGGCGTTCCTAGTATGGATATCTTGGATAACGTTATCCCCTTCATCAGTGGTGAGGAAGATAAGCTGGAGAACGAAGCCCAGAAGATCCTTGGTTCTTTGAACGCGGATGCCACTGCTTTCGATGAGCAACAAGGCCTTAGAATTGGAGCCACTTGCACTAGAGTTGGCGTCACTGATGGCCATATGGCATTCGTTTCTCTGCGGTTTAAGAACCGCGACCGTCCACCCAGCGCCGAGCAAGTGGTGCAGGCCATGAGAGAATACCAGTCCGAGGCTCAAAAGCTTGGATGCCCCTCTGCCCCAGCTGAGGCGATTAAGGTGTTCGACGAGCCCGATAGACCGCAGCCAAGGCTAGACCGAGATATCAACAAGGGCTACACCGTGAGCGTGGGTCGTGTGCGTGAAGGTAACCAGGGTGGTCATTTCGATATTCGATTCGCGGCTCTCTCGCACAACACCGTCATCGGCGCTGCTGGGTCTTCGATCCTGAACGCTGAGGTTGCAGTTATTAAGGGATACATCTAGAGAACCGAAAAGTACATAGTCATTTAGAAAGCGTTAGAGATATCATCTCATTTTGCGACCCTCGATATTATGATTATGTAATAGCAGTAATGGATTTAAGCCCGTTTAGGTAAGTGATCGAGTGGGGCTGGCTTGGGTCTAGCGTTAGGGCAAATCCCACAACCAGCCCGCTAAGCGAAATTCGTGAGTGGACCAGTTATCAAAGATTTGAGTCCTTGCTCTTACTGCTTCTTTCTCCTCGCGACACTTCCGACAACTTACCGTGTTCAAGTCGACAAAGCAGTCAAGATGCCTCGCGGACCGTAAGTTTTGCACTGATTTATCTTGTTTCATGTCTCAAGACGCTGTCGAATATTATTAATTTTTTTTTTTTGACTGGCGATTGAGCCATTGGTGATGGGAACTTGATGCTAATCCAATGCGTGCTTTAGTAAGAAGCACCAAAAGCGCCTGAGTGCGCCCTCGCACTGGCTCCTGGACAAAATGTCCGGAGTCTATGCTCCCAAGGCCTCCCCTGGTCCTCACAAGCTCAGGGACTGCCTGCCTCTGATCGTCTTCATCCGCAACCGGTACGGACCCCAAGAAAATACAACAAAGCTCGAGCACAGCTGGAAATCAGTCGAACGAGGACATGAAACTGACTGACTTACTCGTTTATAGTCTCAAGTACGCCCTTAACGGCCGTGAGACCAAGGCGATCATGATGCAGCGTCTCATCCAGGTCGACGGCAAGGTCCGCACTGACCCTACCTACCCTGCCGGTTTCATGGACGTCATCGGCATCGAGAAGACCGGCGAGAACTTCCGTCTCATCTACGACACCAAGGGTCGCTTCACCGTCCACCGCATCCAGGCTGAGGAGGCTGAGTACAAGCTCTGCAAGGTCAAGAAGGTGCAGCTCGGCAGAGGCGGGATCCCATTCTTGGTTACGCACGATGCGAGAACGTGAGTGAATACTCTCGAAAAGTTCCGCGTCATTCAGTCGTTGGACCAAGCTTTGGTTGATCGGCGGAGGACGAACGAACTTTCCCCCGAATACAAAGCATCCTTGCTGGGAGACAGTAAGGGTCTAGATCACGAGGACATAGGTGTGCTAATCAGGCTTTTATCTTATAGTATCCGCTACCCCGACCCTGCCATAAAGGTCAACGACTCCGTCAAGGTTGATATTGCCACTGGCAAGATCTCCGACTTCGTCCACTTCGATACCGGTGTTGTCGTCATGGCCACTGGTGGTCGTAACATGGGTCGTGTTGGTGTTGTTACCCACCGTGAGCGTCACGATGGTGGTTTCAACATTGTCCACATCAAGGATGCCATTGACAACACTTTCGCTACTCGTGAGACCAACGTTTTCGTCATTGGCCAGGACAAGCCCTGGATCTCCCTCCCCAAGGGCAAGGGTGTCAAGGTATGTTATGCCCTAACACGCCAGCAACATATGAGGAATGTTTACTAATTAATCGTACAGCTCTCTATTGCTGAGGAGCGTGACCGCCGCCGCGCCTACGCCATCGCCCAGTAAATGTGGTCCGGTAAGTGATCGAGGCTACGGGCAAGTAGTAGAAGGCACATATAATGTAAGAAAAAGCCAAAAATCCGCGAGAGACAGCTTCTTGTCTTGCTCTGTGGACTGTATGACGCCTGATATCACGAATGAACAAAAAGTTGTCAACACCTTGATTTCTCTCCGTAAGCGTCCGGAGTTCCTAGAGCGCAAACCAAAACCAAGGAGTCTCTTCGCTACCTTTTCTTTTTTTGATGATACCTATGAAGTATACCAAATCCATAGTTTTTTTCGCTCCCGTCAGGTAGACAACCACTCTTGACTCATTACGTAGACCTCAAGTTCTTCCCGAGGATTATTCGCCTACCCTTTTGACTGCCCCTGCTTTTCGACGAACAGGTCATTTGAGCTGGAGTACTTCAGAATCCGGAGATATTTCGCAGCCAACCCTCACCTACATGAGGCATGCGGCGTATGCGTTGTTTTTGTCAACTGCAACAACTGCAAGGACACCCTTGGAAACCCCAGCAAATTCTAATTCTCTCAATAGTGTACGAGTCTCTCTTTCTCGTCCGATTCTTCCCGTTCTAGCGAACTACGGCTCGGTTTGCAGTTTCGCATGTTTTTACTGACGGAGAAGGCATGAATCGGCGCGCTCCACGGTTGCGGCATGCCGGGGAGTGAGTAAGTGCGTTAGTTAGTCAGTGCTGTTCGTTCCCTGTAACGTACAGGAGCATTGGGTGGACTCCGCAATAGGATGCTGTCCAACTTCCCATGTCTTCAATATACAATTCTCGGAGTACTTTTGTATTATATTAGGATAGTGCCAGGAAATATTATTCTAACGAATTGGCAGCTTGGGTAAAGAGCTTGCGCATGAAGAATTTCCCGAGAGCGCGGCGAGCAGGAGTGTCGATGCTTCGTTCTACAAGTAGGAGAGCAGCACGTCGGGAACATGTCTGGGCCACCCACCCACCCCACGCGAGGTACGCACGACCGGAGAATTGTCTACTGCAAAAAAAAAAAAATCGGTACGATGACGATGGGGCCAGACTCAAGAGCATCGGCGTATTGTAGCCTCTTTTGTCCGCAAGAGGGATCCATCATTGCGCAGGAGATTGAGTTGAGGGCTTGAAGCGAGGACTGAGCGTGGGTCATCCGAAGTGCAACGAGAGAACGAGATCGCAGTCAGTCAATTTGCGGGTGCAGATACTTTGATCAACTTGAGACTCGATCATGAAAGAGATTGAGAAGGAAATTGACGAGTCATCTTGATCTCGTTCCGCCTCGGGTACCTGAGTGGCTGGCAATGAGCGGGAGGGAGTCTTTTCTGATAGGTATAAAACCCACCCGCCGCCCCAACGCAGGGCTGTACCAACGGTCAAAGACAGCGGGACAAGTCCTCATTTCGCCTCGGGAACAGGGATTTTGCGTCTCTATACGGTGTACTTTGGAGGCTTGATGTTGATCTTCATATTCCACGGGGCGTAAATCGGCTGAAGAGATTCGGTTAGAGAGGCACGGGACAGTGACGGGAGATGAAGTCTGAGTACGGATAAGCAAGAGAATGCGGGGAGTTAGTCGACACATCCGATTGAGGATCATCTCAGGATCAACTTGCCTATGTAAGTAAGAGGGGAGCCGTTCAGGAGTGATGTGTGCCATCCGAGGTGGCAGGCGATGAGTGTTTGCATGGACCATCATGTACAGGGTGTTAGCAAACTCAAATCACCACAGTCTGATGCTTCAGGCTCATCTTGGAATCACAGTGGAGAGTCTTTGGCTCGTTGCCGTCATGTCTCGACTAGATTGTTTTCTTGCTTTGTTCCAGGACAGAATACCAATGGATATGGCTGGCTTTGGGGTGATTGTTCTGGAAGTTTTCTAGAATGTTCAAAGAGAACCGCTTGGACACAGTTCCCACGAGCAAAAACAAAGCAGTGGCAACTACAACGAACGGGATACCGGGGCCTAAGTATTCCTGGGTTGCTTTTGCAACCGACCCGGCAAGTAAGCCACAAAAGCACTGGTTTGGAGATGTTCGATATTTTCCCGACCCAACGTTGATCCCGCAGCAAGAGAGGGCGGATGTACGGTGGATGTACAGACTACGTGCATGTCTAGTGTCCACCTGTCTGCTCACTGCTACGTATTGTCCTGTCGCCAGCATCGATGGTCTGGACTCTGTACTCAGCCTTTGTGACTGACACAGCAAAGTGAGGGAACTCAAGCAACGACCAGAAAAGGTTCAAACGGCTTTGAGGTTGTGTAACAGCCGCAGCGACTGCGGGATTGCAAACTGGCCGTGTCCACTGCCGTGTTGACTGCGTCTACACTTGACTGTGTCTGCACATCCACTACACACGATCGGCGAGTGGTGATTCTGCTGGTGTTTCCCACCAGGAGGCCCGAGCAATTTGCAGCTGTCCATGTGTCCAATCCCTGCCTTACCTGCCCCTCTGTTATGGTGCATTTGATGATTTTGATCTTACTCTTGGTATGCGTTCCGCCGAATTTCGACCAACGTGATATCCGTATGTAAATAATACTACTGCAGTCGCATTCTCTCTTGGCTCCATGCTGCAACAGTGTTCCCACACAACCAGGGCCAAGAGGGCTGGATCTTTGAAACTACCCTCCAAAAGGCTCTGTATTCTATCCAACCATGACTTTCATCATGCACGTGGACCAAGCATCCTCGCGCTGTTGTTTTCTTTCAGCGGGCATTCCCAAAAGGATCCACCACCCCAGCTCCTCAGACCAGAATGTTGCAAGCGAAAATGTGGGAACGGTCTCCCCGATTGCAGCTTTGAACTGCTTGTCGAACGGACCTCGCGGCGGCGTTCACAAATGTAAGGACTGCACCTGATCGGTCGATCCCCTTCCCGCCAGGTTTCTTTGCCTCCGTTCGAGTCTGTTTCCACTCGTGGCTGCCAACAGACCTCGGTGGCTTTTTAATTTCAGCTTCAGTGTGGTTCAATCCGCCATTTCCAACGCGTTTAATAAATAAATAATCGAATAAAATCAACGCAAAAGGTCGAGATGCATGGGTTGCTCAAAGTGGATCGTCGGATCTAACAAGAAAAGAGGGGAACAAGTACAATCATACAATATCGGAGAGTATACACCGGACAGGGCAGACTCGCGGGAAGGCCGCTGTGGGATCCATCCTGTTCCATGGGTGTGCGTGTGCAACTGCAGCTCGATGCAGGTCGTCGAAGCATGAAGAGCCACTAAATTAGTCGGGGTCCCGGCTACCGCTAGCGCCAACGACTTTGTCCAAGTCATGCCCCCTGAGGGCCTGGAGCTCCTTTCGGCATCCAGCTTAGGGGGTGAACTGGGATGGTTGCTGTGGCTCAACCAGGATGGATCATCCGTCGTTATCCTGACTTGGGGTCTCATCGACCCATTGTCACCATTATTGTCACTAATGCCATCATCCTCTGATCCCTCTTCCCGAGGTACCACCTTGGTCCATATTAATACGATCGCGGTATTGAAACGTCACCGCACCATCCATGCATTGCCTCCCTCAAACACACCCTCCACACTCCGCAGAGATTTATACTTGCCATCATGGATGTGCAACGTATCACTCCGTCTCCCAGCCTCCAATCCATATCCATCAACTAACTTCAGACACATAGCTGGGTACACCGCCAGAGTAGACTGAAAGAACTGGCATCATGCTCTCCAACTTAGTGTCCGCAACATTCACTGGGATGTTGATCGGAATCCAATGGAATTTTCTAGGATTTTTTAACTCCCAATCCATGTGGTCATTGCTCACCCATTGGTTTCTTCGGGAACTGTTAAGGGCTTTGCCGGGTCCTCCCTGACCGCTCGTCCCTTTCCATGCCACCAGATGGCCGCAGCTTTTGCAGTTGGGCAGGATTGGTTGCTGCTCTCAGCACCCAGTCTCATTGTCAAATGGACTGCTGGATGGCAATGGGGGTTGATTCTCCCTCATATCGCCTCTCTATCTTGGTGATACTGGCAGGTGAAGGCGCATATCCCTGACTAGCCCAAAGAACTGATAGGGGAACAAGAAGTGGGTTTCATTATTTCATATTGCTTTTTATCCATGTGGAGAGCGTTTTCATCATGAGTGAAATACTTCGATTGGCGCCTGCCCAGTCCATGGGGCGGCGCTTCCATTCCGAGCACCAGAGGTTTCTCTTAACGGTTCATCAGCGGCCCTCAGAGCCACGCTGGGGACGGTTGACGTTGACCGATGTAAGAGAGATTGGCCTTCAGACACGTTCCGCCCAATCACTACTTCTTCTCTCGGGCAATATCCCTGGTCTGAAAACACGATGACTGACTGCTTCTCGCCATCTCATTTTGCCATTTTATTCTTAGTTCAACATCCGCCTGCGTCTTTTTTCAGCTCCAAGTAAGGAGTACACGGCCGCCAAATTAAGTGCTCGTTCAGATGACCCCGAGGCCCAAACTCAACTGGGCAACCTGGCACTCGGAGTCGGGACCCAGTAGTTTGGAACGAGATCTTCGAATAGATGCGCCACTGGCTACATTAACCTGTCTTTGTTCCGCCCTCAGCGTCGAGCAATGGGGGGGAGGGTCATCACCATTACCAACCGTAGTCCAGCTGCAAGTCTGCAACCCTGGGTTAGCGTGGCGAGAATTGTACTGAAGGATTGGCGATAATTAAATAGATTTAGGAAGGCGAGAAAGGAAGAGAAGCATACTTGGCCAATTACAATAAATCATGAGGGCTTTAAGGATTTTTGCACGAAAGCTGGCTGTCGTCACACTCGCCTTTCTCTCTCAACACCTGCCGAGTATAGAAAAGCCGCTTCATCGACTCCGTCTTCATTGCGGATTCATGACCCTCAGGTTTCTGTCTTAGCCGGCTGTTCGCTCTTTTTTTTTTTTTTTTTTTTTTTTTTCCTACTTGTCAGTCTGAGTCGATTTTTTTTTTTTTTTTTGACCACCGTCGCCTGCAGTTGAGGAGTAGATATCTCGGGTGTTGCCCAAGCAAGCCTCTTCGGACATCTCTGCCTCTCTACCACACATCCGACGGCATCGTCTCGTATCATTCCTGGTCGCATTGTACCGGGATTCCAACCTCAAGTCCCGCTTTGGTAGCACAGGAACGGATACGCTGAACAAAAAGGTAACGGCTCCTTCTCTTCATCCCAACCAGTGACCTTCTCTTCCCCCTTCCCGTTCCAGACTTTGTTCTTTACTCCCGACTTACTTCTCCTCCCCATAATAATGATGTCGCCGTTGCTGGAATACTGAAATCGCGTTGCTGCGACCGGTGTAGGGGAGTCTGTCTTCTTGTCATACAACACATAAACCAACTCGCCTGCTGTCCGTTCAGCACAAGATGTCTCTCCAGACACAGTTGCCCGCTCATCTCGCTGAAGACTCATCTACTCTAGCCTCGTACATTTTCGGGCAGCCGAGCTACCCATCTCTGTTCCGGGCGAGCGAAGAGCGACCTCGATTGGCGTCCTTCCCGTGGTGGGAGGATGAGGCAACAACTACCCTCTACAGTTTCGATATCGAGGCGTTCAAGAGAGTTGTCTATTATGGTATCTTTACAGATGAGCAGCTCCCTCGGTTTGTGCTTACAGAGAGGTCCGAGGCGTTCACCATTAATCTTATAAAACCTCGAGCGAGAGCGTTACGTCTTGAGAAACAACAGCGGGTAGAGGAGGCTCTACGACAATGTAAACCAACCGTTGCGCCTGTGATCGCATGGGCCTGGTTTCCAACCTACTACGATAGTGACAGAAATCCTCTGGCTATTGCAAAGGCCATCGATACCGAAAGTCATCTCCATTTTGCCCGAATCCCGTTCGAGGAGTTGGTTAGGTACGCGCTGAATTACCCTTACAGTCGTGTTGAATGGTTCTTGCAGCAGCATACGACACTATATGCACACATCTTGGACCACCTTAACGCCTTTCCTGATGAATTAGAGAGGTACACAGAGGTTGAGAAGGTCAGTTGCTTGACCCCAATTCTGGCACGTCTGGCTAGTTGCTGACCGAAATCTCCAAAGCATCTTCGAAGTCGAAGTCCCTTTGCTCACCGTGCTGTGGCCACCGCTCTGGAGGGTGTCGGGGTCAAACTTGACCTACCCATACCGTCATCACCGCTATTTGAATTTATTGCTGGTCCCATTCAACGTCTCTTCGGAGGGCTTACGGCAGGCTTAGATTCAATCATGAGGGTACTTTGTGTGCTCGGAGTCCGGTACGAGCGGGTGTATCTGCATTCTGGGGAGATGAACTGGTCTCGACCATTTAGCATTGCCTTTTCGTTTCTTGAGGACATTTTAGGCTCAACCTCATCCACGGATTTTGCTCGTACCCTAACTACTTCTGATGAGCAAGATTTTGCTCAATTAACTGAAGGGGAGGAATTTGACAAAAACGCGGCCAACCGCTTATCAGCTCGATGGGAGGCTCGTAGTCTTGAAGTTTGGGAATGCTGTCGAGCCCTCCCTGAGTATGTAAGCTTCATCCAAGAGAGTTTACAGGTAAGTGCCCTAAGAACCTCCCAACTAGCGTACAGCTCTGCCAACTAACAACTTATAGCCCTTATTAGGTCTCCGAAACTACCACTCCCTGACGGCAATCCTAAGCGGGCTTCATAAATACAGCGTTTCGCGGTCTACATATGTTTACACAGACGACGGAAACATGGCATTAACCGTTGGTCAAGTGCTGCCGCCTGAACTCTTATACCTCCTTGAACCGGCTCAGAACTACGCAGCATACCGACAACAATACCAGCAAGCTGCTGGAATACCGTTCCTTCTCCCCCATATGAATGAATACCGTCAGTACGGCGAGCCTGTTCTTCAGGATCTATATACTAGATTCAGAGCCGTTGTTCCAATGGCGTAAAAGTACGGAATACGGCCGATACTATACGGAAGAAAGAATATATATATGCGGCAATATAGGATGAGAATGTATGGTTACGACTTGGCTGCAATACTGCATGGCGATCTTCTTCGGTTTATATAGATATTGATATGGCGGATGTATGTTGTTTGGTCTCAACATGGGCATAATGGTTGACGTTTCATGGTTTTTTTATTTTGGGCTTGTTGAAAACGCGAAAGTCTTATCGTTTCTATAACTGACTTGATACGGTGGCTCTGTAAGTTACTGCTGGCGATCTAGATTATGCGACAGACAAATAGTATAGTATTCATCCACTGTACATGACAATGAGCCTTCTGGCATTGAATCAAGGCCGCTTTTCCTTCTGTCCATCGGAGGAATCGCTTTCCGCATACCCAAAAACACCCAGAAAATACATAATCCTATTCACAAACAAAAACCCCGTAGCACCCACATTACCCCAAGTGAGCACATTCCAAGCACCGACATCAAAGAAAAGATCCCATCCCATAGCAAGATATGTCACGTAGATATGCCCTATATCGGCTATAGCCAAGGCAACAAGGTAATTGTGCAGCACTTTCGGCTCAGTGGTGGCATGGAGCACACCCACTCCGACCATGGCGAGGAGTCCATACACATTTGCCAGCTGGTAGGCAAGTGCGACGGATGTTGCATGGATTTCCAACTCCTTCGGGACCGCCGATGGAACCTGGTCAGCGACAAAGCCTTGCAGGTCGAGTATTGGGCAGAGCCACCCGCCGATCCTGATATTTTGTCAGAGGCTACTTTTTAGTTTGGCTTGGGACTTGGGGAGGCGAGATCCTGGATAGGGGTTAGGAGGTCGTCCTCGGAGGATTGGACGTACAGGGAGATGGGCTCGAAGATCGCGAAGACGAGGTGCGGCCATGTTGGGAATATTGTAGGCATTTTAGGTTGTTTTTTTGGGGGGAGGGGGGATCACGGTGGCAACTGGGTTGAGATATGTTGAGTGTGGCACCCTCTGGGAAAGAATATTTTTCTACTGAGGTAAATAGTATTCAGGCTGGCGCTGAAAGGAAGTTTCCTGGTTCTGATGAAGGCCTCCATAAATGGGCGCCTGATTGCCCAGTGTTATAGTTAGTTATGCAGCGTTTTATACGTGCTGATTCAGCATCATTTAGGCTCACATGATATAGCTGGCTGCTCCTTCCCCGAATGTCGACCAATACTCCGCACCTTCCTCGGTGAGACATCTCCAGAATTATACGGATATCATTTCACACAAGATGACTATGTCCAAAGTCACCAAAGACCCTTATAGTGCTAGTCGCCTTTCATGATCTGTGCCATTAACCTTGCTCCCATGGTGGGAATTTGCGGCTATGGATTCCAACGGTACTTTCGCCCGCAGTTTCGATGAATCATTGATCCGCGAACTACCTCACCTCCGTATAGCTCCTCTCCGTGAGCCGGTCTCGTCTCGCAACCTTAGTATCCCTCTGACTCTCGAACCAAATGCCAGCGGAACTCGGGACCCTAATACAGTATCGAAATCTGGCGGTTCCGCGGGGATTCTGCCTCCCCGCAATGAGTCCAACAGCACAGCGATAGATGGCACGAATACAACGCGACTGAAGAATGATTTGGCGCCTGAATCGCTCTTAGAGGCTCCTCCACGACCGATATTGCCCGCATTCGTGAACCTTCGTGCCCTCGAGCGATTTCCCTATTCTTCGTTTGACGATGACAGCCATCAAGCTCGCAAGCGGCGGCGCGTTGATGCGCAGCCCGAATCATTTGGAGAACATCTGCAATTGCCCATCCCGCAAGCGCAGAAAGAACAAAGGCCTCCACCATTTGGACCCTTTGCTATCCTCAACGGGCTGAATGAACCTCCGCCCAACGCTGCTCTGCTCCCGCCCATCGAGGCTGGATCAATTACGGAGCTGTTGACCAAACCATCGCGAGACAATATTGATTTAGAGCCGACGCTATTGAGTACGAACTTTGGCCCCGATGTTCAAAGTGGTGAAAGAAGGGAGGGAAGGATTGCAGATATTTTGGATTCTCCCATCGTCGAGAAGCCCAGTCCTTACGAGAACAATGCCGATGCCGACAGAGTTGATAAACCAGAGGCGGAACGGAACTTGATGGACAGCGAAGAAGGATCACAGCCCGCCCAGGGTGCTGAAACAACGGACACGCCCCTTTCACCTAGAACAAGAGGCCGGTCGCGAAAGAACATCCGGAAATGGAGTGACGAAGAAACAATCGCTCTACTGCGTGGAGTTATAAAGTGCGGCATCGGTAATTGGAAGGAAATATTAGCGCGGCAGGAATCGAGTTTCAACAGACGCAGCGCGTCGAACTTGAAAGATAGGTATGGATTTGCGTTGGTCAAAGTGCGGTCCGAGGCTGATTGAGTGATATTCAGGTTCCGCGTCTGCTGCCCATCCGCTTATCGGTGAGGCTAATATCCATTTTTTGTTAAAATTTCTAACCTATTTCTAACTTCAAAGCAGCGCCTCAGCTCCCGATGAAGCGATACAGCACATCCGTGATGCTCTCGGCAAAGTTCTTTCACGAGTTGAAGGTGATTCTTCATCGAGGGGAACTTCTGGACGTCAGCCGCAGGCACTGTCATCCTCGGCGGGCCCTCCAGGACTTACCCACAGTGGGTCTTCATCGAGCTTTACTTCGTTGGAGACAACCCAAAATAGCCCTAGAAACCACCCCCCGGGCGATCCCGTGTCAGAAAATGCCCAACTATCGTCGAGCAGATCCGAGTCCGCACTCGAGTCTTTGGGTATAGAAGAGCCTTATACGCCCGCGAAATCCAGACGTCGTTCTCGGCGCCCATTCACCACTGCAGAGGATGAGGCCTTGTTGAAAGGATATTCAGCTCACGGTTTCCAATGGACACTTATCCAGCAAGACAAGGATCTAGGCCTCGGTCATCGAAGGGCGACTGACCTGCGGGATAGATTTAGGACCAAGTTCCCCCACGCATATCGCGACGGAGGTCCTGTCCGCGGCAGTGCGTTGCCAACACAGATGACCAAAGATACGGTCCTGAAAGAGGGAACGAATCGCGCGCCTAAAAGCAAGCAGAATTCTCAGGATACCAAGCCTCCTTCCTCCGATGGCCGTCCCAGCAAGCCCGAGGACCTCATCTCGAGTACTACAGGAGCAGTAGATCCAGCTTTTCCTTCGCTTGTACTTCCGGCAGTTCGAGAGAGTTTGGCAGGTGTACCGCCTGCTGGATTCCCGTTCCCGTTGGATGAGGGACCCACGAACGTTGCCAGTGTAGACTTACCACCGCTGATTTGGGACGACCTTGCTTGACAGGCATAGTGTCTCACCGCGGTTAGTTAAAATATAACTTTAAATATAATAAGAGAAAAATTTACACATCCATAAAAGGAAAGCGATATATAGTTTATCTACATTAATATCTGCCAGTTATCTTCGCAGGAATTGACAGTGAACCATGATTTCATTCATCCCAGGCTCTGGGTTTCCGTAACAGCTGCTCGTCTAACGAGCTCTGACAACATAGCCGCTTTTCCAATGCCCATCTCGGCATTGATAAAAGCTAGCTGCCGGGAAATCCAGAGTCTCTGCGCAGCATCCACACCCTCCACAATCCCTGCCACGTACAGAGGCCAGATAATCTGGCACGCGGATAGGAGGCGCGGGTACTTCCCGCTGGGAAAGGAGTCACCTGGATAACAAAGTCCAGGTTTTAACTTGGACTTGTATCCTAGATGGTACGGCATGGATGCACATATATCATTCGCTATTGCACGAATCTTGCTATGAGTTGTAGCGACATATCCAGCTAGAGCTGATAGCTGGGCATTCTCGTGATCAAAGCCAGGTTGACCAAACCCGTGCAAGGGGCCATAAATAATCCGGTAAGCTCGCAGGCGCAGACTGTGAGCCAGGAGCTGAAGCATGCGGTACCGTGACCAGTCATTACCCGCTGAGAATGTGGGATAAACGTGTGCATCTGTACCCCAGAGATCGATGGGGTCGTCGAGTGGTAGCTGGACGGTCGTGTAGGTTGATTGTGGCGACAGAGTATTTGGCCACTTATCCATTTGGAATTCGGTAGAGGCAACCTGCCTGAGGAGTGTGGTGGCGCCTGCAGCTGCGCTGACAGCAGCGGCACCGTTGGAGGAGAGCGCTAGCCAGACGTCTCTTTCGATCTGGCGGAGCTGGATGTGAACGATGAGGAGGGCGGCGTTGTAAAGATTGAGGTAGTCGAGCTTTCTTTCTGCTGCTAGACCAGCGTAGAGCAGTTGGAGATCGTTGAGGGTGAAGATGAAGGGGGTCGTGACTTTGAGACCGTCAAAACATGTGAAGAGCTTTGCTCAAAAACACAATTAACTACTGTTTATCTTTTACTTGAGGATGGGTGTCTGACGTACAGCTCGGGTCAGCAGTGCACTGTATATCCTTCTACTTGTTTCCTCGCCAAAGCTATCGCAGCGCTGTGACCTGACAAAGGCCATTGCCCCTTCAAGGTGGGAATTGGATGTGGCCCTGACATGGTCTTCGCTGCTGTTCAAATCCTGCGCGTAAGAGGTTGGTACCTGGCTGCCAGAAAAAAAAAAAAAAAAAAAAGAGGGAGGATCTCTTACCTCGTACATTCCCAGGACAAAAACAGTCAAGACAAGCTCACCTCTCCTACTTTCATCGAACTCTTCCATCAACCGACGAGTGTGCTTCAGTGCTCTACCATAGCATGTCATGGCCTTGGTCACGGCACCGGAGTGTTGGTAGTTGCCCTTGTCTGAGACGAATGTCAAAAGCAGCGCAGATAAGGCGGAGGGTAGTGGTGACGTCGCTATTATGGGCGCCTGTAAATTGGCGAGAACGACGGGGAGAATTGTTACTGTGAGAATCCCCCCATGTAGGCCTTCCGCTTGTGGGAGGCGAACGAGCCGACTGTAAAACAAGCATAGGTTGGCCCGCTCCTGGTCCTTGTTCTGGCCCAAGAGGCTGGCGGGAGATAAAGCGAGATCCTCGAGTCGGCGGGCTACGTCTTCCACGCCTTTTGACGTGCCCAAGCGCTGTCCCGAGCGTTTGTTTGTTGTTTTCCGGTCGTCGAGAATGCGATACCCCCCGCATATCCGATTGCCTTTGATGCATCGCATGCAGATGGGTTTCCCCTCGTCACACTAGGTATCCCCTCGCCAATCAGTTGTGCCCTTCCTTACGGGGTGACGAATACGAACCTTGACTTTGCGAGCACGACAGGTGTAGCATCCTTTGCTTGGTCCACCTGGGTAGACCATTTTTCAGGTTTCCGAGTGAGCTCGTAAGCTCTTAACCCTAACTCGGTAGGGTGGGTTCAACGTGATTGATACAGATCCGTAGTAATCCAGTGTGGGGGGAAGAAAGAACCGTGCCTTGCCGGTCAACTGGCAGGGCATATCTCCTTTTTTCCGGTCAATCTTTTCTTCGCTCAACCCGGTCCACAAACCAGTCCAGAAGACGGAAACACCAAGATAATAAATAAGCACTGGAGGGTGTCGAAGCCGTCCGGTTGCGAAGGCACGAACGAACAAGAATCAACCCGTCTTCCTCAGCGTCAAAAATCCACGAGCAATGTTAGCTGGAGACGCGCTTGCACACCGCACGGCCGGCCTGAGCTAAAAGCCACTGGGGACATTTAATAGGACCAAAGACTGAGACTCACGAGTCGACCGTCGATCCCACGCTCAGAAGGGTCTGGCCGTCGTTCACAAAATCCCTGAGGAGCCCCAAGGTGTGCAGGAGCTCAGTGGCTGAGTCTGCCATTAAGGCCCATCGACTCGCTGGCGGCCTTCTTGGCGATCCCGGCAAGGAAATGGTGTTTGGGGGCCATTTGCATTTATCAGCGAGATTGTCGTGGAGAAGTCTCTTTTGGATGGATGGGGGCCTTTCTGGACACGAATTGAATTGAAGGGATGGCATGGGCACCCATGCTTATGCTTATCCAGTGGATGGAGACTGGGGAGAACCAACGTTGTCGGGCTGCGGAGTCCAGTGCGGAATTCCACTGGGCTGAAGTGTCGATCTCCAGCCTCGATTTCCTTCTCTCAGCGATCATGATTCATTCATCCCTCCCCATTCGGCATCCTTGACTCTGTTCCAAGATTCTTCCTGGCGAGTGAACCCTTCCCACACCGTCACTTTCACGGGTTGCCCTCAGCCTCAGCAGTCGCATTCCATGCTATCCTGCCGATCGGTCATCACCAGCGGTTCCAGACAGGTCAGACCGAGTCCGTCACAGCCTCGTCGATCGGTCTATGGTGTTACTGTGATGCCCCCAGTAGATAACTAAATATGGCAAGCTATTCTTGGACCCGTTCATCACCCCAGATACCCACTTAGACCCATTGAACATGTTTTACCAAGAACAGCCAGGGTACGAGACCGGTCCCTCGAGAGACCCAGCCAAGTCTTACGCCGAGCCCAGGTCTGCAGGGCTGCCAGGGAAGCAACGTGCTAACTACGCCGTTCAGCCAACGGGACTGTCCCGCCAGAAACCTAAACCTGAGACTCGACCTTGGGAATGGGATTCCTTGTCTTGATCGCTAGAATTCTAAGCTGGGGTGGAACGTCGTTGACATGTGCCAGCATATAATATTCAGTCAACTCATGTGCAAATATCCACAAGACGCAATGGACTTGCATTGGATTCCAGAAACCAACATGGTATAAGTCAATGGAATACACCAGAAACAATGGATCAGAAACACCGGTAACAAACGACACGAAAAAAAAAATCATAAAATATAGGCAAAACCAGATGCCGGGATAATCACTTGATGGTATGTATATGAATTCGCAATAAGAAAGAAAGAAAGAAATCAACGCTGTTTGGACAGTCGATCAAGAGGGTGCAAAGGACTTTAGTATCTAAGCTTGGTAACCTTCTACCAAGCATTGCGATCCCAATTCGGATCTATATCAACCACGGTAAGATTAGCCCATACATCTATAAATAACCAGTAACGTAGGCTGAGAGGCGATTGACTAACCCTGTATAAAACTAGCCAGCACTTTACTCCCCGTTTGTAGAAGCGGGTGGCCCGCAACTATCTGCAAGAACCGCTGCAGGCCCTCCCGGCGATGCTCAATCACGTCATCACTAAACCGGTTCGTGAAGACCTTCCCCGGGAGGGGAGGAATCGTGACTCTTGTGCTCTCGCGCTCCAGGATGTCGCGGAAATACTCAAAGTCGGAGTATCGGCGGCGCACAACCGAGTGTTTTAGCTTGAAGGCGGGGATATTGGTGCGGCAGACAATTTCGTAGGAAGTGTACATGTTCCGCGAGGTGCCGTGAGTTTGCGGGTTTCGGACCTAGATGACAGTTTCACTAGTTAATTTTGGAGATACTCTGAGATTCGGACAGAATTGCAAGATACAGCTCGACTTTGGGTTTCGCGAGGTGACAGGGAGCTTGACGGAAAGCATGGCACGTGGGGTAGAGGCTATCAGAATGAAGCTTTACCTCTATCTCAAGGAAGTTCTCGGGCGGCCCGTAGATCTCCTCAAAGGTCTGTTGTCGCGACTCGGGCACGGCCTGCATCTTGAGGTATCGTGACCGCAATATTGGTTGTCGAGAAAGCACGGGGAACTTGGGAGGTGGGGGATATCGCGGGGAAGTCGGCCTCGTCTGTGCTCAAGATTGCAAGATTGCAGGTGGATGATTGAAGAAGCACGGGGGCGACCGGATGTAGACCAAAAAGAGCCGGCGCAAGACAGAGAGCTGGAGACAACTCCTGTGGAGAGCGGAAAAGGTTCGAATTGCTCCTCACGACGTTGCGGGTTAATTATTGGAGTTGGAAAATGACGCTCCCGTCACTCCTCGACGGCGCTACGCGGCACGTGATTGGCTACTGTTGTGCAGCTCAAACTACACCCAGTATCCAATTTACAGGCTATCAAACAGCTTGCTTAAACCTACGATTAAGTGCTCATTCCTTGCGCTTGATAGATTGTGAGTTGCTACTTTCCAGTTGGCATTTACCCGGAACTTGCAGCTGCAAACGCGCCTTTTGTTGACACAGGTTTCGATCGATCTATCTTCCGCACCGTGCCATTAACGAACTGGTGTGCATGGAATGAGCAAAGTCGACGAAGCAGGTGCTTTGCTCGACTTCCAGTTAGCAGTAGTGGTCTATCCATTTCCTACTTGGAACAACACGAACAAAACTTCTATGGCTGCTAGGCGGTAGTCCGAGAGCAAACAACAAAAAGACCAAATGACAATTCTAAAGCAAAGTAAGCAAGAAAAAAGTTTTGATTTGTTTAATACACCTTGAGCAATGCCCGAAGTAAGAAAAGAAACAATTAGACAAACCCATGCAGAACAGAGCCAGATTTCCCAAATAATCATTAACAGAGAAGAAAGAACAGTTCAGCGAGACCCAAGCTAAATGGAAAAGTACAGTTCAAAGAAAAAAACCAATGAGATGGGAAAAAAAACCCCCAGCCAGGAAGATGTCCCGTTACCGCCCAGAGACACCTTTAAATATGACAAACAAGAAGAACAGCTTTCATGGACTGAGGAAAGGATGGGAAATATGAGGGAGAGAAACTGCATCGTTTACTCTTGTCGGCTGCGCTTGGTCCCGTGCGGATTCCACGAGCCATCACCTACGCCTTGGTTCTGAGGGAAGAATCCCGGGTTGAAGCCCTGGTTTGGGCCTTGGAAGCCGCCTATACCTGACAAATGCATGATTAGATATCTAGCCACATGAACAAAGAATTGGGGTGCGCTAGAGATTCAAAGTTGCGTACCTTGCATTCCCATATTACCTGCCATTCCGCCCATCATTGGATTCATACCACCAGCCATAGGATTCATTCCCATGCCACCCATAGGACCCATGTTGGGCATTCCCATCATGTTGGGTGCACCAGCCATGCCTCCGCCACGACCACGCATCCCACCGGGGCCGCCACGCATGTTCCCGCCCATCATGCCTCCACGATTGCCAAACCCGTAGTTCTGCATCCCCATGGGATTTCCCTGGAATCCACCACCAGCCATGGGGTTGTTGAATCCGCCCATGGGGTTCTGGAAGTTGCGGTTGACGTAGCCACCGCCCATGTTCGACATTCCTCCGCGGTTGTTGTATCCTCCCCGGCCTCCGCGGAAGCCTCCTCCGCCCATATTACCCATTCCAGAGTTGAAGTTGTTCTGGTTTGGTGAATTGAAGCCTCCAGATGCGCGTGTATTGTCTTTTCGCATCGGGTTGTCTTTGGGGAGCGTGCGGAATGGGTTTGGCATGGGACTAGTGTAGGTGACTGTGTACTTCCGTCCACTTTGGCCGGTTGTAGTAAGGGAGTCGATCTGATGTTTAGTCGCAGATGAGGCGGGAAGGGACGTGAATTCTAAAAAGGCTTGACTGTCGAAGATCCAAGAATCAGTATCAAGGGCGGAATAAGGACGACAGTTTAACGACTTACCCTTTGCTCTTTCCGTTCACCTTGTGCTCGCTAAACGTTACATCCTTTAGTTCATCCTCGCACCCGGCTTCGCGTACCCAACCCCGAATATCATCATCTGTAGTCCACCAGTGTAGTTCTGAAATAAGCAGAGCCGGTGTTGCATCAGGATCGACAGGGCGATCGTCGAGTTCTTTGCGCTTTACACCCTGCTGGGGCGTTGTATCGTTTTGCATTTGTTGCTGATTAGTTGTATTCGTGTCTGTTACATTCTCACCATTTGTTGTTGCTGTGGCTGTGGTGGTTTGTTGCTCTGGGAGTGTGTCGGAGTCTGTGGAGCCGCTGCCGTTGTGTTCAGTGTTATCCGGAGCATCTAGGATGAGGTCCGTGTCTTCCTGCTTCATGTCATCATCTTGTTTGTAACCCCCCTGGTCATTGGCATTGTAGCCACTACCGTCTCCATAAATGTCAATATCGAAGTTATCATCCTCAGTAGCCATCGTGTTTAGGTAGATTTCGAGGTCTCAAAGCAAAATTGATTGCTTGATTTCTTTGATCAATATACAGTCCTTGATTTTTTTTGTCTTCTTCTTCTTCTTTCTTGTCTTCAGGTTCAGTTCTCGGGGAGATAGAACAAGTACATGTCTGCAGGCATACGCCATCAATTAGCAAGGTGATTGTCATTATCTTTGGCCAACACAAAGAACATCAAAATTGACCCAGCATGGTACTCAGGTAGTAACACCAGGCCACCCTGGATTGTGCTGAGATCACTATGCGACCTCTCCCAAATAAGAACACAAATGGAAAAGAACTCGAATATACGTACAATCCGAAGCAAACAAAGCTTCAAAGGGAAACAAAGTTTTCACCAATCTGGGAATATGTCTGAAGGTAAAGAGGAGGGTTCTCTCTTGTTTGTGGAGTCCAAATACAGGAAGAATGGGATGGGCAGTGCGATCAATATGAAAGTTAAACGGGCACAGCTCAACAACAGGTTCGATCAAAGCTCCTCAGTGAGAGCACATGCGATGAAAGGGTAAGATAGAGAACAGGAAACCAAGCCGTCTGTCGGGTCACTAGAGTAGCCCGAATACTGGTTCCCAGGGTTGCCACGCCGATGAAATCCCCTGAACGATAACCGCCAGTGCTCGAGTGGATTGGGGATTTGAAGAGAAAGACGGGATTACAGGGACACAGAGACGGTTCAAAAAGAGAATCCCCTGAGAGGAAAGCCGGTAAGGGACGGGGGTGATCGAGTGAAGCGCGGCGCGAGGCGAGATCTTAGCAGGGACGATGATGAGCTTCAAGCGTGAAGGAGCTTCGGCGCTTTCGCCCCGACAGCTGAAACTCGGCCCCGCATAAATATATATCCGAGTGGTCGCCTTCCTATTTTGGAAATCTACTCTTTCCCAAAGCCATGGGTGGTTGGTTCATTTTGAATGATAATTCTGGTTTCATTATATAGATACCACCGATATCTGAATTCAGTCTACAAACTACTCGTTTCACCTTGGCCGGATTCATATATCTGCATCCCACGCATCCCACGCTTGTTCATTCTCCCGGGCGCGTTCATCCATTGCCTTAAAAGCTGCATCAGTGGGGTTCAATTCAGCATCGCAGCTATGTCCATGTGCAAGTTCTGGTCCACATTCGTCTCGACGAGCACCATCATTCCAAGAGTGTATCGTACAAGTGCCTGTTGCGGAACCCCAGCCATTCCAAGATGTTGCTCCAAGTTGTTAGTTGGCACTGCCGGATCGAAGGTTGGGGGGAATGACTTACCGGCCAAAACGGGGGCATTTGGATGCCAACTGGCGTCACGCACGCAGGTTTGCCATTTCCTGCCGTTGGTTCCTCCCATATGACCGTGGAATCGACGAGGGCGAGGGCGGGAAAAGTCCGTTGCTTTTTCAACATCGATCGTTCCAGCCAAGGTTGCGTCAAGATTCCACACGTAGACCTTTCCGTCCTGACTGCCACTATACACATACCGAGAGTCTGAGCTTCCGGGCGGAGAGAAATGGCATCGGATTAGAGTTTTAAGAACACTGTGCCCTCGGAATGTAACAACAGAGCAGTCGTCTGGATGGGGGTAATAGAAGTCTGATGGGAAACGGTCAACCCTATAATCGAACCCAGTTCCATAGCTCGTGGGTTGAAGAGTGTCGAATTTGGCTGTGGACGTCATTTTGCGCAAGTCCCATAGTTTCATGGTCTGGTCCTTGCTGTTGGATAGAACATATCGGCCGTCACCCTTGCTATCAACGTACGTCAACCCTTCTGTGTGCCCTATAAACACCCCAGCTTCTCGTCCATCACCCATGGATCTCCTATCCCAGATGCGAATAGTGCTGTCATCTGACCCAGAATAGAGGATATGAGGCGAAGACTTGTCTCCAAAGCAAACAGCATTTACGTCGTCCTGGTGATTTCGTACGCGAAGGACGGATTGCCTCGTTTCAAGATCATATACAATCACGGAATAATCCCCAGTGCCAGCAACAATCTCACGGCCATCTCCCGAAAATCGGACGGACCAGATCTGCGTAAGACGAATGATCAGAAACGGATCAGCGAAGACATGATCAGTGTACCTACAGCAAAACCATCTCTCCCAAAAATGTCCCGCCTGGCTCTTCCTCCAGGCGATGAGGCAAGGTCCAAAACAGTTGGATCGGAAGAATCGTCCGGGTCTGTCGGTGCAAGACAAACGAGATGGCGAAGTGAACTATATGCTAAAAATCTGTTGTCTGGGCTCAACGTAGCATCGGTGATTGTCCACGAGCCAAAAGGGTAGTCCACAGTTTTGTAGTATTTCCACTCATAGGGGTTGGAAGTGTCATACATTCTGACTTTGAAGTCTTGGGCGCAAGAAAAAAAGAAGTTCCCATCATCAGAAAACTGACCTGAATAACACCTTGCGTCATAGTGAATGATCTTGTCTGCAGTTGTGCCAGGGATAAGACCCTATATATATGAAATTCATGAGCAAGGTCATCCCCTCCGTTTTAAGACTCATAAATCAGTACTTACTTGCGCTATTGACGGGGTTTTACTCCTTTGCAAACCTTGCCCGTCTACACCCAACTCCCGCCACATTATCTTCTCCATGAGTGTCTTCTTGCGTCCCGCGCGCTCATCGATGTAGTTGGGTTCTGCCCCAAATATTCCGGACCTCATCAGTTTCGAGCCTTCGTCGCTCGGTACCTTGGGATATTGAGGGGGGCCCCTCCTTCTCGGAACTCGCCTCCCCAGCCCCAGTATCCCGTATTCTTCGTAATCATCGTAGTCATCATAATCATCATCAAGGTCGTCACCCGGACCAGAACCGCGGGGGAAACCATGGTAGCCAAATATATGCCCGAGACCACCGGAAGCCAGTAAATCGAGTAACTGTGTAGTAGAAACTAGTCGTGATCAGTTTCTAGCGATGGATGGCCAGTCCTTCATATCCTTCACGGGGACCTACCTTGAGCCTGTCGCCCCGTTGGATGACCTCCGCCAGCGTGGTCAGCTCTATCCATCCCGAACTCGATTTGTATGCCGCCTAAATGTAATCCAGGACCTTGATTGGCTGGTAGGTCATCGACTGTTAGCACTGAAAATGCTGGAATCATATATAAAACCGTAGGACATGGTTTGAAATACCATAATGTTCGTCCATGGGCGGCGATTCGTTGTCGGCTCTATCTTCCATCTCCTGAATAGCGCGCGTAAAAGGGTCCATCTCATCAGTGTCTTCGGTTCCATATTCCTCTTCATCCTCCTCAAGCCATGCTCTCGCAGGGTGCCTTGTATCCTCCGGGCCTGTTTGCGGGGGGCCGTCTCGTCGGTTACTGCCAGCATTAGGAGCAGGCGGAGAGCTCATGGTCGGCCAAAGTTATGACAAGATGTAGAAGTATTGAAATATTATAGATAAGATCGCAAAAGCCATATCAGAGCCACCGTAGACAAGGCACAGACGCAACGGAGTCAACACTCTCCGACTCAATTGGCGGTAGTCATTAGTTGACCATTCCGACACCCGCGTTATCGATAGGTTATGTCATCCTCCGTCAGTTTTGGGAGCTCTTAACTCCGTGTACCTTAACTCCTATCCCCCTTTGGCTTAAATTTAAATGCCCCTCATGTCTTGAACGGTGGAATAATCAAACCAATACCATAATCATCAAGTTAATCATCAATACATCTATATACCATGGACCCATTACATATGCGTTAACGAAAAAAAAAAAAAAAAAAAAAAAAAAAATCCCCGAAACGAAGATAGGCGAAATCCAGTAAAGGTACAGCAAAAGTACAGAATGCGTCAAGTCAGTTGGGATACCCCGAACGAGTCGTCCGCCAACATCACACAAAGCTCGGGGATCTGGTGCATTCTCAAAAGGAACACCAAAATTTGGATTAAATAAGTCAGAATATTCATTACCTCTTCCTGAGACGCGTGTGAAGGAAGGGGAACATCGAGTTCCCAGCCGTCGTTGGCTTCATGGCCAACCTCACGGCCAACTTCACTGTTCTCGACGGTGGGAGCGGTTGTCTTGGAAACTGATGCGCGAAGAGCTAGGACTCCAGCGATTGCCCGAATGCGAACTTTCAAGTGTGCTCGCCTTTTTGATGCCCGCCTTGTCATTTCGAGGTTCGCCTCAGAGGTGCCGTGATCCTTTCCTCTCGCTAGATAGAATAAGTGATCACTAGGTATCTCAAGCGGCTTCTCTGATCTTAGTTCAACCCTCAGGTATGATATATCTGGGACCAAATGTAAGTTAGCAGGTGTGGGGAGTCGAACAAAGGACCGAGCGATGTTTTTCTTCATACCTCGCATCGACAACACAATAGGCCGAGCAGGAGCTGAGAGAACGAGCGTTTCGTGGAAATAAGAGAGAAAGCCCCCCTGTTTTTGGTTTTCGTACAACACACCCTCGAAAAACCTTAACCGTTGGAACTCTTGCTGAATGTTGTCATCGACTGGGATCGATGCTGATTGTTTGCCAGAAACAAGCCGCCCCTCTCCGTTTTGCTTGTCCAGATCCCCATGACCTCCCCAATTGGGACGATTGAGGCGGAGAGCGAGTTCAGTGGTGAAAGTCTCAAGACCGTGAGTGTGTCCATCTACCCACAGTCGGGGGCCATCGAACTTTGATTCTTTCTGGTGTTTTCTACCTGGAAGGATCGGGCTTGGCCGTGAGATTCCAGGCCTGTTTGACGTAGTCGCAGTGTTCTCAAAGCCAGACTTTTGAGAATGGGCCTGGTCGGAAGGTACTACTTGTCCAACCGAGGTATCGTGGTTTCGAAAAGAGCCAGCTCCATTACCGGGCCCGGGGTTCTCAAACGAATACCCGCCAAAATGATTAGAGTGGTCACCATTTCCCATGTTGCCTGAGTTCCCGCCGCCGTTTGCATAAAATGGACCATTACCGTGAGTATTGCCAGCGCCTCCGTGGCCTCCGTTGTCTCCGTTGTCATCATCCCCATCGCTATCGTCGTCATCTGGGCTGCCACCTTGACTCCTATCCGCCTCAGGTATTGAACAATGTCGGCAGAGGCACTCGAAAAATTCGTCCCATGTCCGAACAACCCTACCGCAAAGCGCGCAACCAGAGGGTGGATCATGGCGCGTAGTGGAAGCCGCCAACTCCGCCTTGGTTAATTTTTGCCCAGAGTGTGCATTCCTCATGTGTTCATGGAGTTTGTCCTTTCTTCTGAATTCCATTCTGACCGGACCATAGCATATTCCACAAGAGTAGATGCAATCAGGGTAGTGCTGGTCCCTGACATGCCTTCTGAATGTGCCTTTATTCTTGAAAGGTCCTCTATCGTTTGGCTGGCAGAGACGGCAGCGAAATCGCCCGTCGGTGACATTCAGATTCTGGTCGGATCCAGGGCTGTGTTGGACCATCTCATTTGTCACGAGCAACGTCGCGTGAAGCTCTGAGGCCAGGTTAGTCCACGACGAGAAGCCAAATGAAGTGCCATTGCTGTGCAACAACTCTTCAAGAATCCGATAGACCTTAATGAACTGCTCTCGATGCGGTATGGTGTTGGAACTACTCGGTTCATTCGATTGAGCTTCAAATGCGTTCGGAGCCCTGAAGTTGTTGGAGCCGGAGCTATCGTCTCTCGGCTGGTAGGGAGTCAATTGTGGCGAAACACCTGGCTTTGGTCATAGTCAGCCACCAGGCAGCTCACGGGGGTCTATATGGGAGAACTAACATATTGAGCCTGGGGGGGGTTAAGCCTCGCAGTGAAGTAGCTAGGGCCCGGCTGGATAGTGGGTTGCCGATTAGTAGTCCCCCCCAGGAGGCCCAAATCCAAGTGAGGATCTTCGAGTGCCGGAGCATGCGCAACAGTGGTCAAATTCGGCTCAGTATACATTACCCGCCCACCACCATTCTCAAAGCCTAGAGTTGACTGGGGGTTTCCGTACTGCAAAGGGGGTACCGCTGAAAAACCCAGGGGCGACTGAGCATTAGAATGACCCAAAGAAGCTCCATTCGGGAAGCCCTGGACCAGAGAGCTCCCGTGATACTGGGAATTGTCGGCTTGGGTTCCTTGAGTCAAATAAGGATCATGCTGTACCTGCGCCGACCCGGATTGATAGGTCTGCGATCCGCCCCCGCCCATGATCGGCGGCACGACCATATCGAAAAGGAGGGCCGTGATATATTCATCGTCATAGTTGTAGTTGAGCGGCGGGTTATGTTGTCCGTTTCCCGCCATAAGGCCAAGCTTCAGCGGGTTAGGCTGGGATCCGGGGGAATGAGAGCAAAGGAAGGAATGGTTTGTGGCACAGCTGTAGACGGAAAAGTGTCGCGGTGGTCAGGACGTAGGTGAGGGGAGTTGATCATAAACGCACAGCCTAGCGCGGTGGTGAGGCGGATGAGGCGGATTCGAGGCGTCGGTGGGAGGGGCAGGCAATAAAGGGCAAAAATATATAGACAAGGCTGTCCTTCTCGTTCGTACACTTGGAGAAGGCTGCCGGTGTTATGAGACGAGCATGGAAGGTAAGTGGCAGGCAATGTGAGAAACGAGCAGTAAACCAAACGCGCTTCAAAGAGATGCTAAGGGCAGTATATAACCTGAGTGAGATGCCACTCGTGGGATCTGTAGCTTGTCCGGCTTTTAACGATGCCCAGAGTCTCCCTCACATCGGTTGTCACCATGCGGAACTATACAAAAAAACAAAGGAGTCGAGTCCCGTCAGGGCGAGGGGGCCGCGTCTTTAATAATGCATGGTGGGAACAGTTACAGCTACTTTGGGTGATAATGCGACTGTGCTGGCTGTGTAGTGAGAGGCCGGGCAGCCAGTGATACTGCTTTTTCACTGGCATTACATACGTAAGATACTACCAGTTGAAAAGTGAGGCTCCAAGGCACCTGATGAGGAAAGTTCTCAGTGTAGCGTCTTTGCATCCTCGCGGTTTCTCCCTCGGTTCACCCAACCTATTGCCTTTGCTCATCTGCAGTGGTCGAATCCTTGAGGCTACAATGCAGTGATGTCTGAGAACTGCTCTGCCCGCAGGCCGGCACATCTACCGGGCAACAGTTCGCCCAGGCGCGGGTTCCCGAAGGATTTCCTCAACAATTATTAATTGTTAAAGCTCTTGCTATCCCATGTCGTCTGGTTTGGGTGTTTACAAGCGTCTGTTTGGCATGTCCAGTTTGAATCTCCCAAGGGCCTGTTGTGACTTGTGAGAGGAGAATCAGAGCCGCGTCTCAGCCACACTCCCAACGTACTAGGGCTCGATGGCTCAGGAGAGGGGTGAGCATGGGGATTGGGGATAAAGTCCATACTCCAGACCGCCAACATTGGCATTCATTATTGGTTTCATGTCTGACCGAGCGTTTTTGCCACCGTGGCCGGGAGCTCTATACTGTGTGTTGAGTTCGTTGCCCCAAGGCCCGCGCCGGTATCTTGGCTCGAAGGAGCTCGTCAGAGTCCACGAATAACAGCATGGTAGTGAATCCACGAGGGTTAAAAGAATGTGCCCAAAGACAAACTGAGCAATATTCAGAAGCATATATAAATAAGAAAAGGGCAATGGGTTTTCGAAGATGTTGCGGATTCGCCCCAAGGTTGACCTCGAGGCAGACGCAGCTCGTTGCGTGATGTCACAGTGCATAAACTACACCTTAAGAGTAATAACAAGAGAAAGGCGCAGCTGGACTCGAGAAGTCGAGGACGCCCGTGATTGATTCTAGATCACAGTCCACGCTGCCACATACTTTGGATAATGCGTAGACCCTGGTTCAGGAACCGGCTTTGGAGCATCTCGACCTGCTCCGCACGATGATCTTTTTGGGCCCCGTCCGCAGGCAGACGTTCGCATACCGCGTCAGAAATGATTGCACTGCTTGTAGCCTATTGCACAATAATGTTTGTAGAACGAGGAGTAAGTAGTATTCAACTATTTACTGGCATTTCGCTTGCGGTTGCGGGCGGCCACTCGTCTCTTGTCTCGCTGGCTCCTCGTCGCTTGTATCCCTGGGACCCTCGTGAGGAGACTGTGCAATGGATTCCGACTAATGAGGCATTTCCTCGAGAAAAAGGAGAGGCCCAACCAGGATATTCGCTGCCTTGCCGGCAGGCTGCAGCCTTAGCTTTTTGCAGGACGACTGAACAGTCTGCCTTGGGCGGCAAATTATTCCATAAACTGCAATAATCCACAACCTGCAATGCGGCGTTAGCTAGAGCAATGTAACCATATTTGACTTCGAATGAGTTGGCATAAAATTTGGCGAATGGATCAGACGTCACTTGTGGATGGTTTGCGAATCGCTGGGCAGCAAATACACCTGAGGCTCTGCAAACAGCACTACACAGCCACAGCCCACAGCCACCATGCTCCACGACAGCTGACAAGACTGCCAGGAAATTCGATGGAAGCTTGAAGCTGCAACGAGGGGTTGGCACCTGTAAATTTCCAGGGACACCCGCATAAGCCAATCTCTACGGAGAGTTCATGATATTTCAGCACGCACTAGGTAATCTCCTCTTGGCTACATCGAGATGTTTGCTCCTCTCACCTCATGAACGAACTCTACTATGCCGAGACATTCCACAGAGGCAGTGAACTGCTGCCCGGGTGAACGGACCATACACCGCCAGAACCGGTTGTTTTATGGCGATTTGACTGGAAAAAAAATGAGCCAGCGAAGCAGGTGAGCAAGGCCATGGATGATAAGTATAAGCCTCCGCCCCCATTTCTTGATTGGACTGGCCAAACTTCAGAGGCTGCTAGCACACGGCACCGCACCTTTGTATTTGGTCTGTGGTCTAGAATTGGTGGTCTGGGACAATGATCTACTATGATTTGGCAAAAAATGGATTCGAGGCGGAGCGCAACCGGGTAAGGTGGCCGACACTGATGATAAACCGATAAGCACTGCCTCAATGTGGTATCTAGTCAATTGAGCAACCCCTTCGCCTCATCCATGTACTATGCGACGTAGTCAATAATAATAATATTTTTCTCCAAGGCATAGCAGCACAGTGCTGGGACCTCGCATTTACCGCCATGGTCCTTATCACATGCCAGTCTGCAATCAAAGGAATTGATAATGATTTTTGAAAGTCTTTTTCATTCAGGGGAATCTATGCACAAGGTACAGATGTGCTGCTTCCGAGAGCCTTCCATTTTCTCGTCACAAATTTGAACTCCACACTTGGAGGTGTAAAACCCAGAAAACACCAAACAACCCGCACCGATCGCTCCGCTCAGCTTAGATGTGGGTGTCGTAGGGGAGAGGAGTGATGGTTTCGGGAGCGGTACCCTCGACCTTGTGAGCCTCACGGGGGAGGGTAGGCTGGCGCTTCAGGTGGAGGTGAACACCCTGCTCCTTAGCCTGCTTCTTCTTCTCGGCGTTCTCCTTGACACGCTTGACGAAATCCTCACGGGAACGGGAGTGCTTGACGTGCTCGACGCGGACGTTGATGCGCTTCTCGAGGTAGCGGTTGCCGACGACCTTGTAGAGGAGGACACCGACGGAGGACTTGGTGACGTTGTAGACAACACCGGTCTTACCGTTGTAGACCTTGTAGGGCATACTGTTTCGAGCAAAAAAAAATTCAGCAAACGACATTCCTCATTTATCATTTCAGTCGAAAACCAGCCATGCTGGACTCGTCGCAGTTGTATGCTTTCGGGAGGGAAGAAAATTCACTGACCCCTTCTGAACGGCACCGTTGACCTTGATGTCCACAATATCACCGACCCTATTATCACAATCAGTCTATTTTGCCCCAAGTTCTTCATTTCCAATAATTGCAGAGGGAATCGTCGTACCGGTAGGTCTTCAGGTAGGTCGAGAGGTGGATCTGACCCTTCTGTCTGAAGTCGCGAGAGAAAGCATACTGAAATCATCGTTAGAGACCGTAGGAATAGCGTATAAATTCCATATCGCCGTAACATACCCGGGTGCCGGAACGGAGACCGTGGGAGTGACCCATTGTGACGGTTTTTTGGCGTTGAGGTTGAAACTTGTCGAAAACGAAGAAGTCCTCCGATCTGCCGCCCTCTGGGATGGTATCGCCGTCGGGTGTGTGCTACCCGCCAAGAGGAGGGCTAGACCCTACACACTAAACCATATCTGAATTTGACCCACAATTTTCGCTCACGGGCTCGGCTATCTTCAAAAAGACTTCCCCATCTGTTGAACTTATCGAAATCGTCCAGCCCAGTATTCGACAACCATCGCGACAACGCGCAATCTGCAGTCATGGCCCCCGTCCCGTGAGTATTCAGCACCTGGATATTGACACAATGAGTGCATTCATCTAATTATCGATTTTACAATGCAGTCGCGTCTACTCCAAGACCTACAAGGTCCCTCGTCGTCGTAAGTACCTTCATTAGAGCATGGAATGAATATTCCAAAAATTTTGAATATATGAACTAACTGTGTATAGCTTTCGAGTCGGCTCGTCTGTTAGTACTCTCCGGCCACTAATCAGAAGCGTGCTTCTGTTTATGTCGTGTGTTCTGTTCCTAACCTGGTTTTACTAGTGACTCGGAACTGAAGGTTGTCGGCGAGTACGGCCTGCGCAACAAGCGTGAGGTGTGGCGTGTCCAGCTTACCCTGTCCAAGATTCGTCGTGCTGCTCGGTATGTTACCATTGAGTATTCAATGAGGAAGATGAGAAGACCGGGCTAATTGCACATTTAGTGAGCTGCTCACCCTCGACGAGAAGGACCCCAAGCGTCTTTTCGAAGGTAATGCTTTGATTCGCCGTCTGGTCCGCATCGGTGTGCTCGATGAGTCCCGCATGAAGCTCGATTACGTCCTTGCCCTTCGTGTCGAGGACTTCTTGGAGCGTCGTCTCCAGACCTGCGTGTACAAGCTTGGTCTCGCCAAGTCTATCCACCACGCCCGTGTCCTGATCAAGCAGCGCCACATCCGGTATGTAGGAATCTTAGAAGAAGATCGCTGGTTGCAATTACTGACGAATTTGAAATAGTGTCGGCAAGCAGATCGTCAACGTCCCCTCCTACATGGTCCGCCTCGACTCCCAGAAGCACATTGACTTCTCTCTCACCTCTCCCTTCGGTGGTGGCCGCCCCGGTCGTGTCCAGCGCAAGAAGGCCGCCGCTGCTGCTGGCGGTGGTGATGATGAGGCTGAGGAGGATGAGGAGTAGATTATTAAAAATAGGAGTATGGACGGGTTTCGTTACGGACAATATATCCACGGGGCTTCGATGTCACTGCAGCATCGCGTATAATGTTGTACGACCTTGCATCTTGACGAATTTAAAAAAAAATATAACACTTAGCTAGCCTACGGCTCAGTTTCGAAACCCAATCTTTCATCTTAGACTTATCATCTTATCGAAATCACCGTAGCCCTCATCGTATTGTATACTGCAGGTTTAAAGCAAGCCAGAACGCCGAACCCCGCCCCCAGATATCAAGTCATGTCGTAATTCATTACCAACGATTCTTATCCTTCGACCCCAACGAGTTTCTTCAACGCTTCTTCCGCGCTCCGGTACCATCTTCCTGCTTCTTCGAGTCCGTCGCTTTCGCCCTCTTGCTTTTTTCTCTGTGCCTCTCGTGCTTGCATTATAGCCTCTGACTTGCGCCGCTCCAGTATATTTAACTCTCGCTCCATGGTTTCAGCCTCTCGAGTCTTTCGGGGTAAAGCATTCTGTGCTGTGGCGATTTGTCGGTTAAGTGCTGCAAGTTCAGCCTCGCGTTCCGCCAGTAGGGACAACGTCGCGGGAAGCGGGAGATTCTGCGACGACGATGTGCTCGAATTGGCAACTTGTTTCGTTCGTAGCGCCGCAATGGTGGATTCGAGATTTTCAATTGATTCAGGAAGCGTAGCCAGTTCCGTCATTTGCAGCTGGACATTCTTGTAACCTGATATGGTGAGACTGCGTTAGAACTCTTTCCATACCATAATCCGCCTAGCCGCGGGCGAAGAAAGAAGTGAGCATCACTTCCGAGTATACTTACGATTTGAGAGGTTCCGAGCCATCTTTTCCATATCCTCTATCATCGATCGAACCTCCTCTTTACGTGCCTTCAGCTCCGCCTTTACTTCGGCCAGTTGTGTTTCCAACTCCACGTTCTCATTATGACCCACAACAAGAGGCGGATCGCCTACAATTGCACGTAAGAATTTCTCTTTTGTCACTTGTTCGACATATGAGAAGCGCAGCTTCGAGAACAACTCCTATAACCTGACGTTAGACGGCTGCAGCTTTCCAATTTGCCGGCTTTCTCCGTACCTTGTAATGTGTCAAATCTGCCTCAAGGGACGCTGGTGAAGGGGTATCAACAGCAGATACATCCGAATTGCGTTTCGAAGGAGATGAGCCTGTGGAATCTTCCTCTGGCGAGAATATCGGCTCGCTGATCCGGACGATGGAAAGTTGCGACTTCAAGTCGCCATGTTCGCTTTCAAGCTGCTGAAGCTGCTGGCGCGTTTGCGTGGCATTCAATTCAGACATTATGTGCAAAATAGATTCGTTCCCTCTGGTAATATAGCTAAGGAAAGGGTATTATGTAGTCAAGATTGGCTTTTCGCTCAATGACTGCACCCCGCGGCAGAATAGAGGAGGTAAACAAAACATTTGGCGGCGGCTGCGTTCACTTCCAGGCGGTGAGTGTGACTCGTCAATTGAAAGTATCCAAACTCCACGGTCAAAAGTCAATCATGCCTTCCTTTGGAATTTGACTTGACATATTTGCTCCATTCACATATGCGGGATTACCGACCGGGGGTTATGATTTAAATTCGGGGTGATGTAGCCAAAAACACAGCTTGGACATTACCCTTCTCCCCAAATCGCGATACTTCCAGCCGCCCATCCTCAACACCATGCCTGCAGGACTAGGGAAAGCCAGCGACGACCCAAATAATGATGACTACGTTGCACAAGTACTCGCAAGGGAGGCTCGGGATAGCTCCATGAAGTACTCTACTGTCGGGATGGAGGCGTACAGGCCACCACGGTACGAATATCTCTACTGGAATATCATATTTTCGCAGTCTAATGAATAATTGCCACAGGCCTGCAGGCTCTGCCCCCAAGCCCAACACTCGATTCCTCCGCCATATTATCAGGGACACGGACAACCACAATGCGGCGCTCAAAAGGAAAGAAGAAAGGGAAGCCAGAGAGCGAATGCGCCAGATGCGGGACCAGGTTCGCTCTTCGGCTCCCAGTGATAGCAGGGATCACCGATCGCGTCGCTCCCATAGAACCGACGATCGAGATTCACACCGGGAGAGGGAATACCGTGACGGTAGACATTCATCTCACCGGAGAAGGCATAGAAGCCGTTCAACCTCTGCAGACAAGGCCCGACCGCGTACATCTCGACGGGAACGTGAGTCGCGTGGGCGGGATGATGACCGACACAGGCGCTCTCGAAAAGATCATCGATACCCATCATATTCAAGGTCAAGAAGTCGCTCTCCACGTGAAAGGTATTCGGGATCTCACCGTCGTCACCGCCACCGAAGGCGCTCTGCTTCCCGTTCTCGATCGCCAGAGAGGAAAGAGAATCGCAAGGACAAAGACTCTTCACGACGTAAAGAGGCCCGAACCTCGCCGCCTGAGTTTCAAGACCGGGTGTCTGGGAATGAGTCAGATCCTTTGGAAGACCTTGTGGGCCCTTTACCTAAGGAAGAGGCTCCAATTCGTTCTCGCGGGCGAGGGGCATACAAGCCAAACATGAGCAACATTGACGCTCATTTTGCCCCCGACTATGATCCGTCTCTCGATGTACAACCCGACGACGATGATGCTCAAGCCAGCAACAGGCCAACGCGCCGGGCTGTAGCAGGACTAATGACTGGGGAGGACGACTGGGAACTTTCCCTGGAAGCACTACGTGATCGGGCGCGCTGGAAACAAAAGGGCGAGGATAGGCTACGTGAAGCAGGCTTCAACAGCGACATCGTAGAAAGGTGGAAGAGCAGCAGCTCAGCAGCCGCCGGGAACGGTGATGAAATGGACAATGTCAAGTGGTCTTCAAAGAGCGAAGGTCGGGAGTGGGATCGCGGGAAATTTGTAGACAGGGATGGCCATATTAACGTCAAGGCTTCTTGGTAGCGCAATATTGATTTTGGCCTGTCATGGCGTTTTGATTTTGCGCCCACTCAATCTACTCTCAGATTGAATCTCCACGGCACATTTCGGGTCCCTGACCATGACAAGTTAAATATCGCATGTCAGTCACATTTCTAGTCAATATCTCATTTAGTAGCAGAAATATGTATACGTCTGCAGAATATTTCAATCGATTACTGAATCAGCCTCCAATTCTTACAAATATGTATTTGTTTCCGCACTACTTTGTCAGATCGCGGAATACATCTCTGCCGGCCGGGCCCACTCTGAGATAGTAGGAGCATCTAATCAGATCTATAACCTCCAAACTTCACCCATCATTCTCACAAACACTCTCAATCTCCTCTCATTTTTTACCCTCCAAATGACAGACCAATTCGCTTTCACATATCCTTCCCCGCTAGAGGGCTACGAGAACCTCGAGCCCCTTTCCGAGTAAGTACCCCAGAGAATGGAATGGTGTCATCCAAGAAATGGATGATGGAAACAATTACCCCTCACAACCATGCTCTCAAACCATCCCCTCCGCTGATTCAACCACGTAGGGAGAGAAACGAGGATGGAAAGTCGCTAAAGAATCCTCAGCATGGGGTCTTGAGTAAAGCATACGATGAATTTCCTGATCCTCTAGCTAAGGATCGTCGCGGTGGATTCGATATCCATATATACCACTTCCAGGTTAGTTTCTCCATTTACCTTCACATACATGTCCTTGGCTCTTGTGATGTAGCTACGATTCTGACACACGATATTTTCCAGAATAACCCAGACCAAGTAGCCTACGCAAAGGCACTATGGGAGCGGATTAGACGGGAATGTATGTCCCCTTTTCCATGACCGGTCCATTCAGATCAAGACTGACAGAGGTTATCAAACCAGTCCCCGAACTCCGAATATATACGTTCTGGGATAAACCCATCGGCCCCCATCCAGTGGCCATGTTCGAAGTGAATCTTTTCACACCAGCGCAATTTGGTGCTTTCATTCCCTGGCTTGTCATCCACCGGGGCCCACTGAGCGCGTTAATCCACCCGAATTCCGCTCCAGATGAGGATGAGAGGAATCATACGCAACGCGCAGTATGGATGGGGGATAGGATTCCGTTGGATTTGCGGATTTTTAAGCTCATAAAGGAGCGGGAGAAGCAGCAGGAGGCTCAGGCGGAAGCGGCAGCAAAGAAGAGCAAGGGTGATAAGTTATAGTCTTTTGAGACTGTATTTTGCCACGAATAGTAAACTTAGGGATTTTACTGATATAAATATCTTAAAATATGAATTGTGGTACACTAAAATCGGGCATACAGAGTATATATATTTGGTTGACACGGGGCGGGGTGAACTTCAAATCTTGGCACAATCGTGGTTTCATTTACATTATTGGGGTAAACAACAGAAAAAGGTCAAGACACTAGCAGATAGTAGGGTAGTATCAACAGTGATTTTTCAATATCTCGGAATTGAGGAAGCGGAATGATTCGCTCATCTGACTCCAAAGCAAGAACCCCATCACGGGGTGGCCGACATCCATGTCCATCACCTGGGCGCACTAACAAATAACTACTACCTAACTATGGAATTTTGGAGGCGCTGGAATCATGTTTAACTGTTATTTTATGCATACTACTACCTACCTAGGCAGTCCGGCCCCCAAGGGGTGTAATCGCACTACGAAAACTCGAAGGAAAGCCCTAGTGCAGTTAATCTCCCGCGCACGAGACAGCAGCAAAAGCGTTCGTTGGCCGTCATCTGGCGCAATACTGAAAGCTTGGGTTTCCTTTGCTGACGCCCACAGGGAGCCATGAGTGGATGGATCAGCGCTGACGATTACGATCTAATATAGTACAGTACCTGGAATGTGGATGTGATCATCGGCATGTGAGTGTGTTATGCAGGTCGGATGTAACGAACCTGGGTGTCTGGAGGATGGAGGGAAAGGTCGCTTGACTTTTCCACCCGGGCTATATATAGGGTTCTTCATCCGAAGGAATTTGGGTTCGGGTAACCGAGTTCGACATACTTTTGTTGTTGGATCCGAGACGTGAGGTTATTTTACCTTCAACTTCCCACGCACAAGGGATGTCTGCCCTTAACTTCCCTCGTTCTGCGGACGCCTCGCTGGCCGCGACGGCTCTCCCCGACTATGTGCTGGACTATGGTAAGTTTATCTGGTTAGATCTGAGGGTTCGAAACTGACGAGATCAGCCCCTCTGGTATGGCTTCATAGCGAAGACAGGTACAGGCCTTCCGGCTTTGCTGAGCATCTCAACTATGTCGTGCCGGAGGTAGACTACAAACCCATTGAGGGTGTCGAGACGCCCCTTACCTTGGATAACCTGGACCAACTCAATGCCATGGGCAACGAAAGTGTGTATCTGACTTCGGAAGAAGGAATCGATGCCGACCCGCAGCCCGACTGGATTTTCGGCACCGATATCGATGACAATGGCAAAGCAAACGACGTTTCCTCGATTATCGTCGTGAACGATCATGGAGATGGAGATGTAGATGCATTCTACTTCTATTTCTATTCGTGAGTTCGATTGCTATCCGATTCGTTTATTGCCCGAGGAGTCGTTCTAACCAGTAGATAGTTATAACCTTGGTAATACGGTTATCGGGATGGAATTCGGTAACCACGTTGGAGACTGGTGCGTCAAGATGTCCGATACCAGTACCTGAATCTAACGATGTTTGTTGCAGGGAGCATAACATGATCCGATTCAAGGATGGTACTCCGCAGGCCATCTGGTACAGCCAACACGCTGCGGGACAGGCTTTCACATATGATGCGGTGGAAAAGCAGGAAAAGCGACCGGTTGCGTACTCTGGGAATGGAACCCACGCCGTCTACTCCGGCACTAGGTGAGTGCACATTCCAGACCTTTCTCAATTGAGAGTCATGTTAATAATCTCGTCAGAGGTCACGACCACACAATTCCAGGCGTTGACCTCCCGGTCGGATTCCTCGTGGACCAAACCGACCAGGGTGTTTTGTGGGATCCGGTATCGGGGGCATATGCGTATAGTTATGCGGCAGACACGCAGACATTTGAAGCCTACGACTCTAGCTACCCGATAAAATGGCTGGACTTCAACGGGAAATGGGGAGACGACGCGCTCCAGGGAGGACCAGAATTATTCGGACAGGCGAAGTACACCGGAGGACCCAATGGACCGAAATTCAAGAATCTCCAGCGCGACAAGGTGTGCCCTAGCAGCCCGTGCATTGTCCTGCCCTTCAAGACCTTGGATGCCGAGTCAACAACAAGTGCTTCTGCATCTGCTTCTGCGTCAGCGACTCCGTCTGTGTGATACCTTGGCTGACAAGGTGTCGCTCATGTCGTCGGGGTAATTTATGGATTGATCCATGGTGAGGGCGCGAAATTTTTAGATTAGGTAAAGAGCACCAGTCGATCTTCTGCAATTATGTATGTAGTAGTGATATAATAATGAACATAAATGACAGCATATGATGATACCCCGTCTTGTAATAGTAATGGTGGCCCGAGAGTCGAGAACAAGGTTGGTGGCCGGCGGTGGTGCCAGGCCAGAGTCAGTCAGGGGCAGCGGAACACGAAAGGATCTGTGCATGAAGGCCAGGCCAAAGTCGGGTCAAACTCACCCTTTTTAGCGTCTTTGGGGAACGGGATTTAGTTCGGACGAGGTTGGTGGAATGATTGGAGCAACCAATCAGTCAGCCAATTTTCAATGTTTTGACGATGTGGATAGCTGAATGTCGTACAGCAATTTAACGCAGAACTCATGTCGGACATTCAATTTCCTGGTGTGTCTCTGTATCATTACCGCCCAAATACGGATGCCTCTGCATTCTGCACTGGCGGGGTCGGCGAGATCGGTTCCTCAAGTGTGGATATGGCCCAAGGCTGCAGGAATCGGCAGACGGAGAATTCATGTAGTGCGAAAAGCAAGGAGTTGGGTGAGTGACAGGTGGATGAATGCGTACCGACTTTACCGAGACATACCACGATCCCCACGTGCGAACGGTGGGCTGAGGACGAACTTTGCCCTGTCCGGACAGCCTCGACCTCCCGAGAAAGAGACAAGCTCCAGAGCCCAGACTGCAAGTTGTTGTGATCAAGAATTAATGCCATTTTTGAGTTGTTATGCGTGCGTGAACGTTGAGATATGGATGCAGAGATCGTCGGCCCAATTTAACAAGCCGAACGCCTGGGTGCAAGTGACTCTCCAAACCTGAAACCGCAAAAGCAACAACCTCGCGACCTCCTATTCTGGTTAAAGATTGGCTCGTGAGATGAGCAAAGGTCGAGGGCTGCCCCTCCAGCGGAGGACCTGAAACTCGATTCACAGAGGCCGGACCAATTTCGGGCCAAGCCAGTCTAAACGGTTTGAGGCCGGCGAGTGGGGGAGTCTAGATTTAGTCCCAATTGACGTTTGCCCCTGAATCGCATCAGCTTTGGAGCTGCGAGCCGGCAGCTGTCTGCGATGAAAGAACTGCTGGCGAAGAGACGGAGAATGTTACCGAGTAGACGAAATGTAGACCGCGTGTAAGCCACGCTGCCGTATCCGCGAGAAATAAAATCACAGTCGGGCCTGCGCGATCTCCTGCGCCGCCACGTTGGGCCGTTGCTGCTCGTGCCTGCGCTGTCTCCGGACAAGAGTTCGAGGTCGAAGAAAACATCGACTTCTCCGTTCTCACTGGCCGATCTTCATTCTGGCTGCTCAGCGTCCGTCAGTCATCCTTTCGTTTCATTTCTCTCCCCATTCTTTCCTCCCCCTCTCCCCCCATCCATTCCTTTTCTTTTCATTCCCGCTGTGTTGATTCTCTCTCACTTATACGCGCCGCACCAGTCGGACGCTGTGAGCAGGCAATTTCGCTTCTCTGTCCCTGAAATTCCCACCCCAGGAATAGGGGCAAAAAAGGACCGCAAGCCCCATAACCAGGATCTATCGTCCCGTTCGTTCAATCTTTTCTTGCGCTCGTCATCCTTCCAGAGGCACAGGTTCAATTCGGCAGTCGCTTGCTGGACTCGTGGATTGTCGATTTAGATAGGCCTCTTCTTGGGATTGATTCTCAAGGTATATTTTCCGTCAGCTCTGTGGTTTCTGTATCGACAGCTGTTTGCGACCAAGTCGAAAGCATCCGCTTCAACCGCAGGTTTTGCTATAAAACCCATCACAACCCAAAATCTGAGTCGGATCCGCAATTGATAGCGAGCTTCCAAATTGAACTCAAGATCAGTTCAAAACTGGTGAGTTGTTAATCTGAAGTGACTGTGACCTGTAAATGGTTGCCACTAAATACACATCTTATTTGCGAAGAACCTATATCTGAGACAACACTCATTCACAGACCCCACCCTCGTGTTACAGACAGTCCATTCGCACCCATGGCGGCTACTGCAACAAGACCCCGGACTCCGGCCCGCGGCCAACCTCCTCTTGAAGCTCCTCCTATCCCTACGGAAAATGGTCAAGCCCAGGTAAAGGATCGCAGAACATCTTCATCCTTGGGATTCCTCCGTCGTTCCAAATCGACTGAGCCAATCAGCGAGAAGAGGTCTAGGAAGAAGATGTCAAAAGCCCAGATGGAAGAGGAACTCCGGCGCCAACGTGAAGCAGGCCCGAAACAACCTCCGCGCCTACCGGATCTTTCGCCCCAACCGGTCATTGAGACTTTCGGAGGAGATGAAAATCGCGACGGTGTTGCTGATCTGGCCTCCCCTCTTTCACCAAGCCAACCTCGCCAGTCGCGTAGCGCCATGAGCACTCCTGTGCCTCCGGACAACACCGACCCCTATGCCCGAAGCGAGAGTATGACCCATCGCGGCCGCTACAGCTATGCGAGTAGCTATGTGAGCACTGTCAACAACCCGCGCAGACTACGCCGCCGCAAGGATCCAACCCCGTATAAGTGAGTATTTCATGCTCCGCAAGAGCTGAGAAACAATGCTAACACATCCAACAGCATCCTCGTTATCGGTGCGCGAAATTCGGGGAAGACTTCTTTCCTTAATTTCCTCCGCAAGTCCTTGGAGTTGCCGCCGCACAAACACCCTTCTCGCTCGCCCGACGAAGTCGAATATGACAACCACAACCCCGCCAGTGAAGGGTACACCTCCCATTATCTTGAAACTGAGATTGACGGCGAACGTGTGGGTCTGACCCTCTGGGACTCTCAGGGTTTGGAGAAGAACGTTGTTGACATCCAGCTCCGTGGAGTCACGGGGTTCTTGGAGAGCAAATTCGAAGAGACGTTGAATGAGGAAATGAAAGTTATTCGCTCGCCCGGAGCTCGAGACACCCATATCCACTGCACGTTCTTGATCCTTGACCCATCACGATTGGACGAGAATATTGCAGCCGCGGAGCGTGCTGCTCAGGGGGCCCCAAGAGCATCCGATTCCCGCGTCTTGGGTGTCCTTGACGAGAACCTTGACCTTCAGGTTCTTCGAAAGATCATCGGAAAGACTACTGTGGTTCCTGTGATCAGTAAAGCAGATACAATTACCACCGCACACATGGCTCATCTAAGAAAAGCGGTATGGGACAGTTTCAAGAAGGCCAATATCGACCCTCTCGAAATCCTGACTCTTGAAGACCAGGAGGACTACACTTCAGAAGAAAGCGAAGAGGAAGAGGAGGAAGAGGAAATTGCTGATGAGGAGGCCGAAATCTCGAAGGATGAAGATGCGCCCACCAAGACTGAAGAAGTCCCGAACGAGGAGGGTCCCGAGGCCGTCTCGCAAAAAACCCCAGCATCTCCGCAGCGTAGCGAGGGCTCGCGTAAAGAAGAAGCCAACCCGGCGGCTATTCCCCTCATTCCTTTCTCGATTCTATCGCCTGACCGATACTCGCTGGAAGATGGGCCTGTTGGACGCAAATTCCCCTGGGGATTTGCTAATCCCTATGACCCAGAGCACTGTGATTTTCTCAAACTTAAAGACTCGGTCTTTAGCGACTGGCGGTCCGAATTGCGTGAAGCTAGCCGTGTTATCTGGTATGAGCGCTGGAGAACCAGCCGCCTGCACCGTCATGATCCCATTGTTGCGCCGAAGCAAAAGACGTATGGCGGCAGAGCAGGCCCTGATTTCGGACGTCGAACTCGCTAATATTTGGACACCGCACCGCCCCGGCGTTTTTCCCTTTGAGAATGTATACTTGACAATCTTTTCATTCCTTCATCTACCACCTTTTCTTTCTCGTCTCCATTACTTGAGCGGTTGTGCCAAGCGAGCGCTACCTTTGCACCATTGGTCGCCCTGAGCCGAAAAGGAGGGCTTTGTTGGTTCATCATCCCTGCCTCTCTGAGTCTGTCAGCCTTCTACATTTGCTGATGACACCCCTGATGTGTAACGACACGCAACCCCTCCTTCCGATGTGCCTTTAATGTGATGATTTGGATTTGGGTTATCAGGTTGAGGGCACTTTGCATGAGAGGCAAGCCTTGTTGAATGTCCTGTGTTTGAATCCACCAAGCTGTCGGTTCTACGCCCTTTGGCATCGTTCCAGCATTAAGTGGATTCACAACTCAGAGATACGCCGCATTTCACTATTCCCCCTATTGTACAAATCCATTTACCCCAACGTTGTTTCTGTTCATTATTATACCACCTTTTGTTCATCTCGGATGTTGCTACAATATTCTGGCGTCTTTGACCCGACCTGCGTCTCATTTTGTGTATCCCCTGCCGGTTAAAACAAGATACAGGCTTACCCACGGCTGCTCGCTATTTCGTTGCCTCACTTTCCTACCCTGTATTCTTGATAACTTAGTGCCACTGTCAAAGAAATACCACATCTGATTTCCATTCTTGACGTTTGACGGATAAGCGTCCCCGTCTTGTAGACCACGCCCGTTAAAGCGCCCGCTTTTCTAGCATTGTGGAATCCTGAAACCGCACCAAGCTTATCACTTGCGGATTACGACTGGTGGCCAATGACAATGGTTTTCACCATGCAGGCCTGCGGAGCTGGCTTGGAGGGAAGTGGTTTAATGGTTCGTTGCTTGCAGGCGCCGGCTGGTGAGATACGAGAGGCTAGGCTTCCTCATGCAGTGGCCCGCCCACTCAGCTGGGATTGTGCGTGCTGTTTGTTCCAGCACAGAAGGCGCTAAGGAGTCATCAGTCCATACAAGAGACCAAGCAGCGAAGCCAGCTGCTCACCTGCAGCCCGAGAAGATGCATTGTTAGCTCAGGATGCGGCTCCAAATGGCCGAGGAGGGTGGCAAGAAATGCGGATCGCAGAATCAACAAAATCGCAGAGCCAGTTGCCAATAATGAATAATGCCTGTTGCAGGGAAAGCAAGTTTTGTCGGGGCGTGAGTGTGCCTCAGCTGAAGCGAAGGCGTTTTTCGGTTCAGCCGCGAGCGATCGATCAAGCTTAGAATGATTGCGATAGACGAACAAAAGGGTCCAAGATCTCCCTCTTCCCCTCCTTCGGCTGAGAGCATTGACGCCTTTCCCTGCCTCCCCATTATTCGTTCTTTTTTCCCTTCTTTTCTTCTGATACCCTTCCGGTCTCGTGTTCCGGCCGCTACTTTTCCTTCCGCTTGATTGCTGCCTTTGTGCGCATTGCAGCCAGCCTCCTCCATCAGTTGCGTGACCCCGCGACTGTAGCACAGGGCTGTGGCCGGTTTCTTTCTCTGAGCTGGGACTTTGTTTTGCGGGGCAGCTTCAGTTTCTCAGATTTTGGCTCTATCGCCGCTTGTTCAGCTGGGTCAGACCCCTCGCTTCCATGTCTCTCCGCGTCGATGACCCACGGTCGCGAGGCCGTTCCAAGTCTCCCAGCGGCCGTACCCGTGATCGTTCCACGTCTCGCGATCCTCGTCTGCCTTCTCCCGGCCCGGAGCCCTCACGAAGAAGCGCATATCTATCCGCCGACCCCGCGGGCGAGAAAGTGCGGACGAGATCCAGAAGCCGCGGAGCCAGTCCTCTCCCCAGCTATAGGAAATCTAGCCGCTACGACTCCGACTCGGAGCACGACGCAAGAGATTATGCGCGCCGTCGATCCGACCGAGACTATTACGACCATTCCGACTCGGATGACAGCAGGGGCGCGTCGAAACGAAGTAGCCAGCGATATGCCCAGCCGCCGCCCCAGCGGAGATCCGGGCAAATCTCACGATACTCGGATGAGGATGATATATATTCTTCGGACGATGACCTGGCCTATGGCGATGGCCCCGGAGGATTGGATCGTGGGTATTATGGACACAAGAGTAGCTCCAGCATCTCGGGACCTCCTCCGCTCATGACCGGAGCGCTGAACAACCCCGGCGCCGGTCCAAAGAGCAGTGCGGAGGCAGTGAGCGGCTACTCCAGATACGGCCAGGGTCAACCTGCGTATTCTGGGCCTCCCCATACTCAACCGACCTGGGCACCCGTCCCCGACTGTGAAAAGCCGGGTTTTGTGCCGCCGACATCTCAAGGAGGAGACTCTATGCCGGGAGCCTTTCCAGGCGCGACGTCTGGTCCACCACCTACCACACAGTATATGAGCCCAGACTCTGCGCATAGCCCTTACGCACCCTGGAATGCGCCACCTGCGACATCTGGTGCCCCGTACGCACCTCCAGTTACCACTGCGAGCCACCAACGCAACCCGTCGGGCGACCCTAAACTATACGCCAATCCACCGGCGTACCAGTATGCGCAAATTGACCCTAATGTCCGGTACTCGGCCAAACCCACGACTGGCTCCACGTATTCGTCCCATCCTAGGGCGGAGCCTTTGCCCAGCGGAGTTAGATACTCTGCAACTCCTCAGTACCCAACAAGCTCTACAAGCGGCGCCGATAGGGGGCCACAATACGTTGAGGTTGCACCGGGCAGCCGAACTTCTGGTCGGCCCAGCAGCCTCAGCGTCTCAACAGGAAACAGCCTGGGCGTTGGGGGAGGCCATGATTCTAGTCACCCGCCTGCTAGCCCGCTGCTGGAAGCATACAAGGGCACATATCAAAGCATATCCCCCATGCCCTCGCCGATTCTCATAGCACCCAGAGATGATGACATTTCAGATCTTGAGCCACTGGACAACAGCACAGATAGCGAGCGGCGGCGGAAGCGGAAGTCCAAGAAGTCCAAAGAAGATGGCGGCCTCAAGGAACCAAAGGGCTCTAAAAGAGGCAGCAGCCGCGTCCGACACGAGCGCCATGGTTCAAAAGATGCCAGAGGTTCCGATAATATGCTCGTAATATCCCCCAGCAGCTCAAGACGGAAGGTATCATTCTACGATGCTACCGATGACGCGCTTGCTTTGCGCGATGCTCTAGCCCACACGCGTAACATCGAGACCAAGACACTGATACACGTGCTGCCTCATTTGACCAACCACGAGATGCTGGACCTCCGAAAGGAATACAAGAATCATGTAAAAGTCCACGGAAAGGGAGTCAACCTGGCCAAGCATATCCGCGTCAAGCTCGGCAATAGCGCCTTTGGAAAAGTGTGCTATGCAACCGCACTCGGCCGTTGGGAATCGGAAGCATTCTGGGCCAACTGCTACTACCAATCGGGGTCCTCTAGACGCGAACTCCTCATCGAATCCCTATTCGGCCGCAGCAACGGCGAGATGCGCGAGATCAAGGAAACGTTCAGGGACTCGCGGTACGCCGACAGCTTAGAGAAATGCATGAAGGCCGAGCTGAAAGCAGACAAATTCCGCACGGCCGTCCTTCTAGCCCTTGAAGAGGGTCGACAGAGCGAGCGCGATTCCGTCGACTCAGACCTAGTTACCCGGGATATCCAAGCCCTACACTCAGCGCTCGTTTCGCGCAACGGTGGCGAAACAGCGATGATATACATCATTGTCCGCCGGAGTGACTCGCATTTGCGCGAAGTCCTGCGCGCTTATGAGAAGATCTACCAGCGGAACTTTGCGCGTGACATGATTCAGAAATCTCAAAATCTTGTCGTACGTGTTTCCCCTCCCCCCCCATCTACTTAATTTCCGTTTCTTTTGCGAGATGCTAATCGATTCACGTGGATAGGGCGAAACCCTTGCACATATCCTCAACGGGGCCATCAACCGACCCATGCGCGACGCACTGCTTCTCCACCAGGCTCTCCATGAATCCCGTTCCGGCAAGGAGAGGTCAGAGCTTTTGATCTCCCGCCTCGTCCGTCTCCACTGGGAACCTCGGCATCTCGAAAATGTGAAGGTTGAGTACCGTCGCCGGTATGGTGAGCGACTAGAGGAGTCGATTGCGGAGGAAATCCTACCGTCTACCGGTGGGGCTGACTGGGGGGAGTTTTGTATTCAGTTGGCGCAGAGCTCGAAGACGCATGCTGCGAAGGACTGAGATTGACCTCTCATACGTATTTTCTGGATATAAATGTTGTGGAATTCTCCTGTTTGTCTTTTTCTTTTCTTTTTTCTATTAGTTGCGCATTCTATATTTCGGCATGAAGGTACGAATGCAAGACGGCTTGCATGATTATGAGAGACAAGACAGGGTTATATTTATGATTTTTTTTTATAAAAATACGAGAATACATATCGGGTGCAGAAATTATACCAAAAGTTTGCTCTTAATTTTCTAGGAAGCCGTGCATTAAGAGGACGTATAAGATATTTGACTCATAAATGCAAGGGATTGCCAATGCCCTGACTGCGTCTTTGACAAGGTAGAGAGTACTGGGGCCTTGGATACACTGCATTTTGAAATGATCCATGTACTGTGTACTACCACATTGAACAAAGTCGGACCAGCTGACCCATGAAGATAGATTCGGATGGTAGTTGTAATGTTGCAATACTAAAGCATAAACTAAATCATCCTTTGGAGGCTCTGAATCATACCGCGGAAGCAAGCCTCTGGTTCCATGGTGCGCTTTGTGAGAGAGGTACCAGCATGCAGCGTCTGCTTATCAAGGACTTCATAGGCCACGGCGTCGTCAAGACGTAATCTCCTGACCCCTTTCATACCTGCAGCCATGAGTTATCCTGGTCAAAATTGAGATTTTCACTCCGATATGCTTGGCCACCATCTCCCCTTTCCACCACTGACCAGATACTGTATCCATACACATTTCCATATTTCTCCGCTTTTATCCGATATCTGCGCCTCGAGAATATTGGCCGAAGGAGCGACAAGCAATGTCAGGACCCACAACTCGATACCAGCAGAGGTATGAGCATCACGCTTGGCTTGACGGGGTGATGGATGGGTCTGCAATGATACCGTGGGAGTCTTCTTGTGATTTATCGTGGGGGGTGGCTAACTGGTAACTCACCTTGAATGGTCGAAGTGAGGTCACACTACGCAGGCACGGACGTACGTTCGACTAGTCAACCAAACCACCTGGTTATCCCGTTGCGGCATAGAATAACCAAGCGAGAAAATGAGAAAGCGAAGGTAGCCTGAGCTGATACTCAACGTGCCATGTCTCACATGATGCTATCATAAGCTCATAACGTGGCGTCCACTCCGGGAAGAGGGAGATGAGGGGCTATTGTAGGAGTGTGTGTGTTGACCTGGAGAAGAGATGCGGGGAGTGTTGACTTTCAACATAGAAGGAGGAAAGAGCGACCTCGGGGTTGACTGAAGGGCCCCGGCCTTCAGCGCACCTTCCTTTTTTGGGTGTCGCCCTCCGCTCGCAGATTCGATTCCTTCACACCTTCCTCGTTTTTCTTCTCATTTTCTTCAAGTAACTTCTCTCAAACTTCAATAGCCTCTCCCTTCGAGATGCCCGCCCTAATCTTGGCTTCTTGGCTAACCCTCCGAGAGAACTTGAGGGCGTATCACCCATGCTAGCCAAGGTAAGTAGTTTGCTGACAGACATGCGAGTCACCTTGACTTTCTAGCCCAACTTCATGCTGGTAAAGTGGAACCAGCAGCCCAAAGACTGCCTACCGTGGGCTTACTCACCGCAATGGTATCGCTCTTTGCCCCCCGATTAGTCCTATCTCAAATCGCCCTGCAGAGGGTGGAGCATAAAAAAAGGAATATACACTGATATTTGATTGTTTTGTCAAGGGGCGGATCTACTCCGGGCTTCGGAGTGCACGCCTCTCCGCAGTCGCTCTTTTCAACCCCTGCCTATATCGATCGATGATTGGACATTGCTATTCATTGTCGATAGCGCCGAGTCTGTCGACTCAAGCAGTCGACGTAGGCAGAATGACTTGTCAGGCGACAATTTTCGGGAGAATTCCGCCCTGAGCATGTGCATATATGCTCTCTAGAGTCCTGGACAATCTAGACGGCGTTCCCACATGCTGGAAATTGGGAGTGCCGGCTCCTTGACTGCTATAAAAATTCCTCCGTCCGCGTGGAATGCAAGATCTCACTGTCATTTCTGAGCACCTAGCATTCCACTGCTCATTCTTGAGGACCACATCATTGCTCTGCTATTTGCAGCTCCGTTGGGCTTGGCTTTGTTATTATTCTCAGCTTTTAATTCGTGTCAACCGCCCTCCATCAAAGGGCAATAATGCTTTACGCTTAAGGGACAGCCACCTAGATCACCATGTATATTCTTCCATTGGGCTGCCTGTGCGCATTCCTGGCTATCCTGACGGATGCTGCGTCCACCTTTTCTCCTGCTCGTCCTCCATCCCTGCCCCTGGCAGTCAAGTCCCCCTACTTGAGTACTTGGTTGCCCGCTGGACAAGATGGCGGAAATGGTGGCTATTTGGCAGGCGAGTGGCCAACTTTCTGGGAGTAAGTAATCTAGAAATAAAACAACACAAAGGAGAAGCTGAGAACTTGTTATCAATAGAGGCCAGGTCACTGGTTGGGCTGGTTTGATTCGTGTTGATGGCCAGGTCTACACGTGGATGGGACTACCAGGCTCCGCTACTGTGGACCAAATTGCATATGAATACACCTCCACGAAAAGCATCTTCACTATGCACGTTGGTGATAAGGTTGAGATGAAGATAACCTTTCTCTCACCAATCACACCAAGTGATCTCCGACGACAGTCCCTTGTGTTTTCGTATCTTGATGTGAGCGTCAGCTCCCTCGACGGAGAGTCTCACAACGTGCAAGTGTACGCCGACATATCAGCTGGTAAAATTTACCTTGTCCTATTTTGAGGCAAATCAGAAATATTTACTGATGGTCTTCTAGAATGGGTGTCTGGCGATCGTTCTGCCATTGCACAGTGGGATTATGGTGTAACCGGTGACGGCGTTGCCTATCACAAGGTCCATCGCCAGACGCCGCTCCTCTTCTCTGAGAATAGAGATCAGGCCGAATGGGGCGACTGGTATTGGGCAACCGATGATGCTGCAGGTCTTACCTACCAGGCCGGGGCAGACGTTGATGTGCGAGGGGCGTTCGCGAGTAACGGAAGGCTGAGCAATACCAATGATGCCGGCTATAGGGCCATCTCCAATAACTGGCCAGTATTTGGGTTTTCTCATGACCTTGGGTCCATCAGATCTTCTACTGGAGTACTATTTTCGATAGGTCTAGCGCAACGAGAAGCAATCCAGTTCACTGGTACCTCTGATACGCTCAGCCCAATATCTTCCTTGTGGACAAGTTACTTCAGTACTGCACTAGATGCGGTGAGTATTCTACTTCCAGCACTGTAATGATCTGACTGACGGCCTGTAATGTAGCTTGATTTCTTCCACCATGATTATCAGGAAGCAAACTCTCTGTCTTCAGATCTTGATGAGCGAATTTCTCGAGATTCCATTGCTGCTGCGGGCCAAGACTATCTCACGATTACATCCCTTAGCATTCGTCAAGCTTTTGCCGCAACTCAGCTGTGTGGACCAGAAGACAACCCCTATCTCTTCATGAAGGAAATCTCGTCCAATGGCAACATGAACACGATAGATGTCATTTTCCCTGCACACCCAGTATTCTTATACACCAATCCAGACCTTCTCAAGTACCTTCTACGACCGCACTTTGAGATCCAGGAATCCGGGCACTACCCCAATTTCTATGCCATGCATGACATCGGTTCACATTACCCCAACGCCACAGGTCATCCAGATGGGAATGATGAACCAATGCCACTGGAGGAGTGCGGCAATATGGCCATCATGGCTTTGGCATTTGCACAGAAGTCTGGCGACACTGCATACCTCGAGAGTCACTACACAATACTGAGGCAATGGACTGACTATTTAATCGAAGACGCCCTTTATCCGGCAAACCAAATATCGACGGATGATTTTGCTGGCCCGCTCGCGTAAGTTCTCAGTTTTGGAAAATTGTTCGATTCATCTAACAGAGTTTCTAGGAACCAAACCAACCTTGCCCTAAAGGGGATCATCGGAATCGAGGCCATGTCAGTCATCGCAGATCTAGTCACAAATGCCAATGATGCGTCGAACCTCACCGGCTACGCCCACGACTATATCGATATGTGGCAGACTCTGGCAATTGCAAATAATGGAGCCCAGCCGCATACGACGTTGTCGTACGGATCGGATGACTCCCATGGTATGTGAATTCTGAAAACATTTCGTAGGATGGTGCAAATACTGATGGATCCTTGAAGGACTCCTTTACAATCTCTACGCTGATCGCGAGCTAGGCTTGAACCTAGTCCCGCAATCTGTGTACGACATGCAAAGTGATTTCTACCCAACTATCCAGGAGGAATACGGTGTGCCACTGGATACCCGACACCTGTACACTAAGAGTGAGCTGTCACTTGCGAGTTATTGAGACAAAGCTGATATTTTGTAGGTGATTGGCAACTCTTTGCAGCGGCGGTTGCGTCGACAAATACACGAGATATGTTCATCCAGCTACTTGTCAAGTGGATAAATCAGACGCCGACAAGTCGTCCCCTTACGGATCTTTATGATACTGTAACTGGAGGGTAAGTGCCTCTAGGCGTTTTAAGTTCTGGAACATCTTACTAATTTACTCAGGTACCCGCCTGTGGTTTTTATCGCTCGTCCTGTCATGGGCGGCGCTTTTGCCATGTTGCTGCTTGAGACGAACTCGTGAGGTGGCAGGTACAAATACGCCTTGTCGTTTTTCACAAAGGCTAGTTAATTAGGTTGAAAGGTCACTGAATATTTGTCTTTGGTAGTGTTATTTATCACCAAGCTTATACAAGTGACATCTTTCATTTTGTCTTCAGCGCATATAGCACCCTTTGCATTATTGTTCAGTTATGCTAGGTAGCAGAGACCCATGGGATACTGCTCGCAAATCTCTATAATATTGCGCGATATATAATCACAATTATAGACCATGCCCAAGGTGTAACCTAGGAGCTGAATATTTATAATTCCCAGTCGTAGATTTTGTGGCGCCGATTCAGCGTCACATGTCTAGAGTCCAGGCCTTCTACTCTGGGGCGTCCCACGAATCAAAGGCGCGGATTAAATCTGCAACACTTGGTTAACAAAAGCCGTACAATATTAAGGAACTGGCATACCGTAATACAGCATAATCCCCTCGAGGTGGGCATCCATGCCGATTCTCTCATCGACGGTGTGGATATTCAGCGCACGCCCTTCGCGAGCGGGACTCCAGCGGTAAATGTTTTGTGACAGGTTCCAATAAACTTTGGTGTCGGTATTCCCGGTCATGATGTCGCCGCTAACAACGACGGTTTTGCCTTTGAAGCTCGGTACTGACTCGAAGACGGAGCGGGTGACACCGGCAAAGCGGGCCCAAACAGGGCTCGTCTCAATATCGGTAGGGCTGATGGGAGCAGGGTTGAGAGGGGAATTCAATGTCGATACCGTAAGAACACCGGCCTTTCCCGCCTCAAGCTCGATTTCATTATTCCCGGAGGCATTCCGCCAGCTCAGGTTGAACTTATCGACGATAGGCTTGATGATTTTCTCAGCTCGTGCTTGCACCATCTCTGGCGTCTGATGTAACCCAACACGATAATTGACGACAGTGCTGATCTTTTCCGGGAGTGCATTGCTCTTTACTCCTCCATTAAATATGTCTGCGGCCTGAGATGACTGAAGAGTAAACCTAACCGTTTCCCCGCGGGATTTGGCAATTCTTTCGGCCGATGCCTCGTGGTCATCCGAGTCAAGAGCGGAGGAGAGCCAGTCCTCCACATATTTAGGAGAATGGCGGGCTTGACACTCGAGCATTCGGCGAGAAGGGTGATGTAACCCGAGGTTCGGAGTGAAAAATTCTAGTTCTTCGTTTTCGAGCTTGTATATGATTTCCGACATTATTCCGACCCCGGTGTGCTTTGGTGGAACGGAGCTGTGGCCACCAGGGACAGCAAGGTTGAAGACGAGAGTGATGGAACCTTTCTCGCTCACATCTGGCAGAGCATAAACCACATCATCCTCTCCTGCTTCGTCTTGAGATGACGACAATGAATGAAGGGTCATGAGTCCGGGTCCTCCCTCGTCAAAGATAAACTCCACGCCGTCTTTTCCGTACCTTTCCTCTAAAACCGGTGCGATACGCACAGCGCCGATATTACCTTGCGTCTCTTCGTCGAATCCGAAAGCCAGAATCACGGGCCTAGAAGGCGTCCAGTCTTGGCTTAAAAGGTCATCTACTGCAGACATAATACCGATAAGACCGTTCTTGCAGTCGCTGCTGCCTCTTCCCCAGAGAAACTCGCCGTCAAAGTAGCCAGAAAAGGGAGGATGGGTCCAATCTGAGGGATCATCGACGGGAACGACATCTTGGTGAGCAGTGAATAAAATTGGCTTCCTCTTTTTAGAAGACTCTGGAGAGGGTTCCACAGTTATGAGAAGGTTGAAGCGGTTAATGGTTTCGATTTTTGCTTTGGTACGGCTGTAGAAGTCAGCGGAAGAAAAAATGATGCAACAGAAAAGAACAAGGAAGGAGCAAGGGAATTAGGTTTGGAAGTAGGGAAGGAGCGACCTCAATGGGGATAGAGCCTACATATGAGGAAAGAACAGAGCAAGTGCATAGCCAAAGTCAACAAACGGCTTAAATGCGTCATCATTGGGATCTGTCATGGAATCTGTGATCGCAGTCGGGATTTGAACAGCCTTGGAAAGGCGGTCAACCTGACGATGTAGGATCGCTTCATCTTGGATATATCGAATGGATGGGAAGAGACCGTCGTCGTCGAGATGGACCTTCTGTGGGAGAGGGCAGACCTCTGACTCTCTATCTGTGAGATCGCCGAGGATCTGCTGCGGGGAAAGCGGGATTGAGAAGGCTTCGGCGCTCGAGAGGAGGCTGAAGCCAATTGCAAGGGGCAGAACGGGAGCCCACATTTTGGCAGTCTGGGGAACGATCTGATCTCGCCGTCGGCATCGAACGGTGAAGTTGAAGAGAAGAAAAGAAGATGGAAGGGGTCTTGGAGGTCCGACGGTTACATTCTACTCAGTCTTAGTGTGGGGTACTGGGACTGTCAGGAGCGGAGTCGGATTTGGAGTAATCGCAACGACTCCCATCGATACGCAGTGCGAATCGATAAACAGATGCTGCAGCTCCTATAGAATGGAATACGATGTAGTTCTGCGTAATCAGGTTGTTACGTGCACATTTCTCGTGAGTCAGCAACGGCCTGGATGATGACTTCACGCGGAGAATGCGGTGGCTGCTTGGACCGCGGCTTGTCGGTTCGGCTCGTCTCAAGCAATAAATACCGGCTTTGCCTGCAATTCTTCCACTGCATTTCCACGACAAACAATTTCTCCCTATCGTTATCAGTAATAGTACTCAGACGCTCTAAAAAAATGCCGTTTAAAACATGGTTGACAGAAACCCTCGGAATCCAGGTCCCCATCGTCCAAGGAGGTGAGAGCTTTATCTTAGATGATGCATGTGTGCGAAAATATCCTAACTAGACTTGGTAGGAATGATGTGGGTTGGTCGTGCTGGTAAGTCTTTGGCAGCCGTCTGCTTCTAATTTCTAACGTTTGAAAAGAGATGACCTCTGCTGTTGCGAACGCCGGAGCTCTCGGGTTCCTGGTAAGCTACCAATATCATCGCAAACAAGCAATTAGTCCGCTGACAATCCGTAGACAGCGCTCACCCAACCCTCACCAGATGCCTTGCGGGCGGAGATCCGTCGCTGTCGGAGTATGACTGATAAGCCGGTACTGCCCCAAATCGCGACCAGGAAGGCATCCTCAAAGATACTAAGTTGTTATCTCTAGTTCGGTGTGAACATAACCATGCTTCCTGCCATGAACGCTCCAGACTATTTGGGCTACGCCAAGGCCGCTGTTGAAGAGGGTATCAAAATAATTGAGACCGCGGGGAATCCCGAGCCCATCCTCAAGTACCTCAAGAGCAACGGGGTTACTGTCATTCACAAATGCGTGTCGCTTGGACATGCATTGAAGGCACAGGCCAAGGGCGTGGATTGCATCTCCATTGATGGGTGAGCATTACATCACATATTCTAAAACTTGTACCCAGCTAACAGGGAGTACAGTATCGAATGGTGCGTACCATTTCTAATCGGATATTTGCGTTCGTGGCTAACAGTAGGGCATATACAGCGCTGGCCATGGAGGTGAATGTATGCAGCTGCCCTGGCCTATGGTTACTGTTGACTTGACTGACCGTGTTAGATGACATCACATCAATGATCCTCCTAGGACGGTGCGCCCAGGAGCTGAAGATCCCATTTCTCGCATCTGGCGGTTTCGCCGATGGTAAGGGACTAGCAATGGCCCTTATCCTCGGAGCTCAAGGGTAATCCTGAAATCAAGCATTGGGAAGTAAAGGCCTGCTAACTTGAACAGAATCAACATGGGCACCCGCTGGATGTGCACTGTCGAGTCCCCAATCCACCAAAACGTCAAAGAGGCAATCGTCAAGATGGATGAGAACGACACTATCCTCGTCCTTCGCAAGTTTCGTAACACGACGCGCTTGGCCAGAGTGAGTTTTGAGCCAACACCTCCAAAAGCCAAGATCATCCGCTGATTAGTTGACAGAATGAGGTCACGTTGGAGGTGCACAAGATTGAAAACAGCAAGCTGGAGCCTCAATTCCAGGAAGTGGCCCACCTCATGTCCGGTGCCCGAGGGAGGGGCGTATATGAAACCGGTGACATTGACGCGGGTGTCTGGTCCGTTGGTCTTGCGGCCGGGCTGATCAAGTCGATTCCCACGTGTCAAGAGCTCTCACGAACCATCGAGCGTGAGGCGGCTGAGGCTCTCTCAAAGGCCAATAGTCTGTATACAAACCGCCCTAGTCTTTGAGTTGGTAGCGCGTCCGATTGCAAGTTGGTTAGTAGAAATGTGCCTGCTATGCTAGACTGTGTACTTATGTTTTCAAGTCAATAATAGTCCGTACTTCGTATACTCCAAGTTGAATTGTAAGTGGATAACGGGGACCGTTAGTCTGAAACAGCCGGGCAACGGGAGTGTGCCAGTTAAATGCCGAAGCCTGTGCGGGTGGCTCCGTGCTCAATTTCCCTAGCAGTAAGCAAACCTACCGGGTCCTCTCCTGAATTTTCATCGGAAGTCCGAATAACTCTGGCCAGGATATGGGTTTTTCATCACAAACAGAGTACCTGAAAGTTGAAACTGCATATACAGCCACAGACCGGTGACGTCAGGGGTTTTCAGCCCTGACTCCAGCCGAGTCAGGAGTGTGGCTCGGGTCGGTCAGCCAACCAGGATATCCTGAACATCAACCAGGACCCAGAGACTGAGAGTAAGAGTATGATCTTCCCCGCGATCTGCAGGCGTGGAGGACGATCGTATTCTCGAGACGGCTCAGAATTCCCCCGATAATAACAACGCGTTGTGTGCTCGTGCTGGTGTTGAAACGCATCGCAGCTTATTGGGGGCGAAGATGGTACTTTGTCGCAATGGCGGCACGGATTTCCGGTTGAAGTAAGATACGTATTATATCCAAGCCCCGGGGTGAAAAGTTTCTTCATCGAGTGGATTTGAAGCCGGGCCAGGGCGGATTGAAATTTGGCCGCCTGGTGTCCTTTTCGCCGAGAGCGGATTGTCGATCGGATGAGGTGATAATCAACCCCGTCCTTGCAGAAGCATTGAATGTCCATGGTCTCTAAATGTACGTGAGCTCCGGTATCACGAAAGAATCTCCTTGAATCCGCATCAAGTGGCTGGCTGGGCGTTGGGAAACCAACAGCGCGAGGTTGACTGTAAACAGGGGATAGCAAAGCCACAAGCGAAGAGTGGGCCTCATGGATCAGATTAACTTTGGTCCCCCCAGGCACAGGAACACTAAAAACATCAATGTCCTTTGCAAGGTCTTCCTCAGAGTTCACGCTCCACCCTCGGCTCCTCCTTGTTTGACAGATTCAATAGTGCGGCGATCCTGACATCATCGCCTTGCGCAGCCAACCAATGCAGCCCAGAACGGCGTATTCGGGGTGGAGGTGTGGAACAGACGAACCTGTTCGAGTTTGGTTTGGAATCTGGAGAAGCAAAGTCTTGGCTCGGCATATCGCTTGTGTTTCAGCCTGCGATATTTGCGATTTCATTGTCCCAAGCTGGACCCAAGGGGTTGGGTTCGTCTCCCCGTTGTGGCCCGCTGAGCCCTTCTCAGTTCGGCCTTGAATAAATATGCCGCTGTCCCTGTGCTGGAGCCCGCGGCCCGTTGAACTTTCTGTTTCATCCTGCTTTCGTTCTCTTTTCCTCATCTCTCCTGACTGAGCATCTCCCAGTGCTCGTTCATCCATTCTTTACTATACTCGCCAGAGACGCCTCTCGCTTCCACTCCTTCATTCACTACACAATACACGCCAATCCATACTTCCACAATGCAGCTCACCAAGGCCCTCCTCCCCCTCGCCCTCCTGGCCCCCCTCGTCTCCGCGAACCCCCAATTAGTCAACGACCTCCTAGGAGCCGGCGATTCATCCGACCAATCTGCCGGAGAGACCGGTGTCGGCAACGCTGGTGTCGGCGCCCCTGTGCAGGCCAGTGTTCCCACCGAGACCGCAGGGGTCGGCGCACCCGTCCAGGCCAGCGCAGCTCCTTCTTCTTCCACTGAGGACGAGGAAGAGACCGCGACCGCGGGAGTCGGCGCACCCGTCCAGGCTACTGGCTCTAGCAGCTCTGAGACTGACTCCGACTCCGGCTCTGGGTCCTCAAGCACCGCCGAAGCGCCCGCCGAGACAGAGACTGGCGCAGCTGGCGCAGCCACCACAATGGCAACCGAGGCTTCCACAACTGCTGTCCCTACCGGCATCGTAACAGCCCAGGACGACGACGCCTCCGGCAGTGGCATCGCTACCGGATCTATGACCACCGCCCCTACTACTACGGCCGGCAACAACCAGTCGCAGGAGTCCCAGGGTGCCAGCAGCACCTCTGGCTCTGGATCTAGCCCCAGCTCCGGCTCCGGCTCCGGCTCCGGCTCTGACTCTAGCTCTGCGGACCCTACTTCCTCTGGCGATGCCGCTGATGCCTCGCCGACGGATGATGCCGCTTCTGCGGTGCTCGGAAGCCCCGCCTCCATGCTCGGTGCTATCTTGCTCTCGGTCGTTGTGCCTTTGTTCTAGATTATATAATTTATTCTCCCTTGCACCTCAGCGTCCATTTCCACACCGCAGCAGTGTGAATAGGACAGGGGTGTGTGGGAGGAAGGAAAGCGATGCAGTGGGAATGCAACGGCTCTGTATACCATACGTATATAAGTACCTCCTGGCTTGGACTGGGTTGGCTGGAACACTTCGATATCGCTGGACGATTCGACGAGAGACTTAATTCTTCGTGGTCAGATCAGGGCCTACACTTCGGTCCGGAACATTTGTTACTTCTTACTATACCGACTACTAGTAGTAGTAGTATTATTTACTCTACCTACCTACGCTTGTAGGCAGGACATTTGATTATTAGATACCACAATCGCTTTGCCGTACTCGAGGCTCATGTATAGTAGTTTCATAGACGAGAATAATAAGAATGTATTGAGTCATAACGTCAACAAGCTGGGGTATCTTGCTGCTAAAAAGCCCGAAAACAAAATGAATAACCGAAAAAAGCAACCACAAAAGATCAACGCACCAATGCATAATTCGTTCATAATACCAATCATCGGGGTACAACAATCCCCCGTGCTTCAAGCCTCTCATAATCCTTCTTCTTCATCGTCACGGGCTGGAGGTACGGAGGAATTTCGATTCCGTCGCTGTATTGTTTGTGTCAATAACAAAATCCAAAATGAAATCATGCAATGTAACAAAGAGATGCACTTACCGATAGTATGCAATCTTGATATTCCGAGCACGGTCCTTGAGCGCCCCCTGGTCTCGTCCCTCAATTCGCACTTCGCCCTCCCTCGGCGGCTGTGCCTGGTTCTGTCTCTCGATCACTGCCCAGCTGTTGGAGTGATCTTTCATCAAACGTAGTAGTCTCTTGTCCTCCTCTTCCGTCCATCGTACTCTGGCGGTGGGCTGAGAGCTGGGCACAGTGCGTTGTCTTGGAGGTTCTGGACTTGGGGCTTCTTCTTCGTTGGTGTCAACATTGGCGTCACCTTGAGTTTCTGGTTCCTCCACCCGTGCACGCTTGCGTCTCGATTCTTGTGGTTTCTCCCTTCGTCGGCTTTCGAGATCAACCGAGCGTCTGTCGTAATCAAAATAGCTTGGACCAACTTCGGGCTCGGACTCGGACTCGGATGATCGCCGCGCACGCTTGCGAGATGCACGCTGTTCAACGCGTCTCACTGCACTATCAGAGTCACTGTCTCGAATCGGGGAAACTCGCGCAGCGTCGTGTTGTCGGTCAATAAACCGTGTAGCAGCACTACGACCGGGTCCGGTCTTGGTTGCTTCCCATATGCGTTGGGTCAGTGTCATTTCACCTGAGCCTTGATTCCTAGTACCAGATCCCTGACTCCAAGGCGCTCTGCTCCTGGGGATAGGAGCGGGGCTGCGAGACCTCTCTATTTGAGGGTCCTCGTTCCCGATGGCGAGTTGTGAATCATCCTCGAAAGTGATGTCCTCGTCAGGTCCCAAAGTAGGAGAGACATCGTCGAACGACTGCGGAACCTCGTGAGGCACATTTTGCTGGGCTGGGCGGCTCGAGGGAAGATCTGAAGAGCTTCGGCGACGGATGGAAGTAGGCTGCTCGTTCACTGTTCGAGAGACTGGGTGGACAATGTCGGATTTTCGGGAATTTCCAGATGCCCCAGTACGGAGTCGATCGTGTCTTTGTGTGATGCGTTGAATAGAGAGAGCGTTCAAATATGAGCTGATAAATGTTAGAAAAGTCGACATATTTGGGAGTATTACTTACGGTCTGGAAGACCGTCTCCGCTCCGCATCCCCTTGGACAGTTAGTGATTTAGGTTGCTGCTGCTGCTGCTCCGGCACTTCAGTAGTTTGCTGTTCAACGCTCTGTTGATGCGTGGTTTCTAGTTCGTCCTCTTGCGTCTCACCGCTTGGCTCCGCTTCTGAAGCCCCCAAGGTGCTGGCAAAGCTAGGGTGCTTTGAATTAAAAAATGCGTCGTGGACTTCTTGCGCAGTCATGCGCTTTTGCAATTCCTCGTCGATTTCTTCTGTCCTCTTGCGGACCCACCCTGCTGCCGCGAGGACAAACCTTTTCCAAAGGTATGAACCTCGCAATTCCTCAACGTCAATGCCATCCTCAGTGTCTGACAGAAGGATCTCGTTGTAGAGATTCTCAACGAAACCTCGATATTGCTCGGGAAGTGCACCGTCAGAACCACCGAAATTTGGCAAATTAAATCCACGCGGTGGAGATTTGCGAGACAATCCTGTAAAGAAGCACATTCTAACGGCGTTCTTAGCGCTGAACCCAGGCTTACCATGGTTTTCTTCCAATTGCAGGATCAGGGACTGCTTTCGAATCTCTAAACCAAGCTCAAAGGTCTCTTTCTCCAAGGAACTTTCACCGGCCGCTTTTTCTTGTTCAGCGCCAACCAGGCGGGTCATAAAAGGCAGCGGGAATAGATTCTCGATATTCTGTATTGCCCGCCTCTGGGAGTTTGTACTAGTACCGGCCAGAAGTATCTCAACTGCAAAGCGTGCGCAGTTGGCCATTTGCACGATGGGTTCTGGTCCCCAGTCATTGAATTCACCCCGTCTGCCTCCAAGGGTAAAAGCGAACAGATGACTAATGTCTCCAACATCAATATAAGTTTGACTCCCAAAGTGCTGTATTTCATTATCCAGGTTTGTCGTCAAGCGGCGAAGGCGTCTACTTTGGGTGTTTCTGGGATCACTGAGCGTTTTGGCTTTATTCACGATCACCACCGGAGTCGCCGTTCTCGGAGCGAGGAACTCCAGGACGGTTTTGCCCGCCCGCTCAAGATCAGGAATAACCTCTAGCATCATTTCCGGATCAAGGTCCATTCCCGACTCAAGCTGGACAAAGGTTGTTCCCGAAATGTTGGTAGTGTCACCAGGGGATTCTGGGACGATTGAACCTCCATAGCGGGCACCCGTTTTTCTCGGAGACTTGAACGGGGATTTGAACGGGGATTCTTCATTGACAGGAGGGAGGGCTATCCAGTGTCAGAATAAATGACGATGAACCAGAGGTGAATACAAGAAGAGAGCAAATAAAGGCTAAATGAAATGAGAGAAACGTGAGAAGTAGTTGAAGTTGAGACTCATAGGCATTGGGGCACGCCAAGAAATCTCCCGATCGGGAAACAGATCAGGTAAACCAACAACAAGGTGCGCGCGGGCTTCAACTACCACATACCTTTGCTTTGCTCTCGCCCGCCATGGCCATCTGTTGGTTTGATTTCCTTGGAGCCCATGCGAGTTTCTTCGACCTCACGGCTTTGACTTCTTGTAACGCGTTTGCGACTCGGAGACGCTTGCGGCTGCGAGAAGAGATCTTGCCGCGACCGTGACCGCGAATGTCCCTGCATCATGGTGTAGGCGGCAGATCAGAAGGAGGCTCTATATACTATGTATATAGATACTAGTGTCGGAAGAAGATCGAGTCTCATAGATTTTCGATGAATCGCGATAAACCGCGATGGAAATACTCGATAGTCGACAAAAACCGAGGGGCGGAAGAAGGCAAGTTCAGATCACATTTTCGCCGCCAGGAAACAAATAAGGGGGCTGATCGAGGTTTAGGTTGTCTTGGCGGTTGGCAGCTCGAGATAAACAGGGTTAGTACAATATTTAATTAGTAAGCATTCACAACCCTAACCCAAACCCAAACCCTAACCCTTCGAGCGCGTAGCAGAAGTAAACGGGCAAAACCAGACAAGTTTTCGGACCATTTATACTTACACTGATCCTTTTTAGACTTATGCTATTCTGTTGACTCTGTCGACTCTGTTTGGCCGCAACCCAGTCTCTATCTAGTCCGAACTGAGTCAGTCGACGCTCGACAACCTACAAGGTATTCTTGACTGAAACCATTTTTTCCGACATTCTCGGCGCGACAGAACGACATTGGTGATGATTAGACGCGCATAAAGTCACGACCATTTCTAATCATACTTGTCATATCACGGGCAATCAATGGTAAGAGGTCGGATGCACGGGAAAGTTACTTTGGCTGATAACGAAAGATTTCCATGGATGGATGTAACTCTCGTCTCACTGTGGCTGCTTACCCGTCTCAACGTCGCTACCGCCTAATAAACGGCGAGACTCAGCTAATGCTGAGTAAACCCTCGTTGATAAACGGGATTTAAATAAAATCCCTCCATGGCTCCATGGATTTATGAAGATCTTCACCGATCTATCCGCAGTGAAAATTGAAATCTATCTTTATCACCAAGCTACAACCGCGCGCAGTAAAAATCACACCAAAGACAATGGCAATTACACATACAGCCCAGGACGTCATCACGACGCTGAACCTGGCACCACATCCAGAGAAGGGCTACTACGTCGAGACATTCCGAGACGCAAATACATTACCCGGGGGTCGCGCAAACAGTACTTACATCTACTACCTCCTTGAGGGTGAGTCCGGCCTCTCACACTGGCACCGAGTCCTCGACGCCGTTGAAGTCTGGCACTATTACTCCGGTGCGCCGCTGCGACTCTCGCTATCATGGGACGATGGTGCACCTGTTCGCGATCTCGTTCTCGGCCCGGACATTTGGCAGGGTCAAAGGCCGCAGATTATGGTTGAGCGCGGAGAATGGCAGCATGCGCTGTCTTTGGGGGACTGGACTCTTGTGGGCTGCTCTGTTGCGCCTGGGTTTGAGTTTGGGAGCTTTGAGATGGCAGATCCAGGCTGGGAACCAAAGGGCGCAGCGAAGGAATGATAGAGGAGCTTATAAAGTCTGCGGCAAAGCCACTATCAGGCGGCGGGATGCAGCTGAGATGGAGTCGCGGACAGGACTGCATGTAGACGCGGTCGATAGGTAAATTATTTATCGCAATTCCCAAAGCTCGACTACCAGACTGAGATTTTGATATCCATTTGTAGCATTCAGCTCTACATGTAGCTTGTCAGAGTCGTTCCGAATAGGGATGACCGATCGCAGCAACTAGAAGCACGACAAGGCCGTGTAATCTGGCGTATTCGGATAGGAGTCATCGGACTGTAGTGAGATCAGGCGTACAACATTTGACCGGTGAAGAATAAGAGAGCGGCTTGCGTATCAGCGGCGTGCAAGGCATCAAGCAACAATGGTATGAGCTGGAACGTTTTAAGTGGAAAGCTTAAATGGTGCCATCGCTTATTATCAACGAGAAGCGCATGAAGAGCGTAGCCTTTCAGGACTCAAGAGACATTTCCCCTTCTTGGATATGTAGCTGGCAAGCTGACGGTATACAATTCGCTAGAAGATTCCAATGCCCATACTTTACAGTAAAATAGTATCTAATACACATGGTAAGATTCACCAAGACGATCAATCCCAGAAAAAGGCTTCCAGTAAATAAATAGCACCGAAAACCAAGAAAGCCACGGCACCGCCAAGTGTCACTTCAAAATAATTAGCCAGGTATTCCTTTGAACTGATTGGCGGATATACATACCAACACGCATGCTGACTTTACCAGCAATAGCACTACCTCCAATGACTGCTGCAGCTGTGCAGATACCATGCCCAGCGATTGCACCGACAGTGACAAACCAATAATCCTGTCCCGCGGCCATCGCAATGGTTGCGATTTGGCTGCGGTCTCCCCATTCGCCAAGGAAGGTCATGACAAATGTTTGCACCCATGCGGGGCTAAGAAGAAGAGAGAACAGGTTGTTCATGCCAACAAGCAGGTCATTCCACCGTCGACTAGGGCCAGGAGACGATTCGCGAGAAGAAGAGGACGATAGACTCTCCGGCGGCGAAGGAAGACGATTCGCAGACGAGCGGGGTTTACGACCCAGACGCCCGGATTCCAACGCATGAGGCGTTACAGAGGAACGGCGGCGGTTCATTCGCAGTTGCTCGTGTTCTTTCTCTTCCAGCTCCATTTCAACTTCCCTCATCTCCTCGCCCACTCCCTCATCGGGTGACATTTCTCGGCCTTCTTTCAGCATCTTTGCACCGAAAATGAAGAACAGCACCGCTGCCAGAAATTTGGTGAATGTCTTGGGGATCAACGAGGGAACAGCGTGTCCAAGAAGGGCGGAGAGCACGGTCATGGTTATCAGCGCAGAGAATGCCGCGGAGAAAACTAGAACTCGTGGATGTCTCATCGCCATAAGAGCGGCCACAAGAAATGTCTTATCACCGATCTCCGAGACAATTATCATGGTAAAAGAGAAGAGCAGTGAATGAAATGCGTCGTTCTCTCCCTCTGGAAGTCCATCACCAGCAGTTGCCGAAGAGCTTTCTTTCTCAAGGCCGACCGGACTATCTTTGGTAGTAGGTGATTTGGGAAGCGGAATATCATGCGGTTTATTCGGTAGATCTGCGGGTTTCTGTAAAATAAAAATCAGTTACTTTGAGATCATTTTGGGCGCGGAGCGGAAATAGTACCTCAAGCACACCGAGAGTCGAGTCGGTGCTAGAACCCTTTGTGTCCTTGGCGTCACTGTCGTCTCCCGTCGTGGGGAGCTTCTGCTTTTCACTGTGTGGTAGTGGAGGCGCCTCCTTCGGACTGTCTGGAGATTTGTCCGTGGTATAGGGGTTGCCGTTGGGTTTTCCAGACACGCCATTTTCTGTTCCTCGAGTGCCTTCTTTCGGGGCCGCCCTGTTACGGTCGTCCATCACACCGTCATTGGAGTAGGGGATGGGTTGCCCATCAGAGTCCCGGTGTTCTGCGGACTTGGTGTCTCGTCGGGGTTGTTCCTCCGCTGACGGCACCGTGCCTGATTTCTTGCGGTCCCGTTCCGCATTTGTTTCTACCCATGGGCCAGCGTGGGGTCTGCCGTCTTTGCCGTCAACGGGGGCGTCCTGCGTCCCTTTCGGAGCTGCCTTGGGAGTGAGTTCGTCGAGATCTGGGACAACTGCGTCGGACCCGGAGGCGTCGCGCTCCACGGCGGCATATTCCTTGACGTTTTCATTATTTGAAGTTGGGTCTGCGAGTGCAGCCGTAATCGCGGGTAGCAGAAGGAGGATAGCGGGAGATGAGATGCTGAGCTTCATTATTGCGTTGATCGTATAAAAACAGAGACGCAACGGTAGGCGATTTGAGAGAGGAAATATGAATTATTGTAAGCGATATTAAAAATCCATATAAAGCGTTAAGAGAAATGGAAGCCCGATCGGCTGAGGTGATTTGAATGGATTCGAGGTGCTCAACAATTAGGCGACGACGGCTAAAGGAACGAGTATTAGTATAAATAAAATGAATATATGTATGAGTCAATAAGCCAGTTCATGAGCCCGAAGGGAAGAAAAAAAAAAGAAAACAAGAGCAATTGAGCTGGAAGAAAGGAGGTGGAAAGAAACTGGAACGAGTGACGACCGCGTTATGGGCTGGAAAGGTGTCCGGACGCTTTTTCGCCGCAAAGGGGCAATTTCAAGGTCACGTGCACGACTGCCGCTTGCAGGTCGAGCCAGCATTGCAACCCTCCACTTTGCGGCCATATGGTCATAGTGGGATCTCGATCTGTCCAATGCTGTATTCCGGGGCCCCAGCCATGGGGACGGGAATGTGGTCTCGCACTGAGAGCCGGGTTAGCAGCTGCACTGACCCTGCCACCCGCTAAGTTCCCAAAACAGCATGATGAGAAGACGTCGGGTAGTGTTACCACAGTACTCGCGACATGCTCAGACTCCCGTGGCAGCCATGGACTCGCGTACCTTCACCTTGGATAGACTGACTGTGTTGAAACCGTAGCTTGGTGTGGAATTTGAAGGCAAAAGTGAGAGCGACCTAGCCGGAAAGGATGAATATAGGCTGGCCTGAGGGTTAGTTAGACTAGTCTATATCACTCATATCGAGGAAGTTCCTCGTGCACTTACGATGCATAGGCACAGGCACGCTTAAAAATTGCGAAGCTATTCTATTCTGCTTCTATTGGCATGAAACCCAGCCTTCACTTGGGTCTCAACTTTGTGGCCAACACAATAGGTAGCTCTAGACAATAGGAATATTCACCATGCTGCTCAGTCTCCTGACTCTCTTCTAAATCTTTCCCACGCCTTGTACTTAAGCACCCTCGCTACGTATGAATCTCTCCTCTCTCTAAAACCCCCCAGCCCAACTCTTTTGCTCAACGTTCCCTTCCAAAGTATTTCCCCCAAACATCTTCTCCTCTACCAGGGCCTTGTTTAGCTATTTACATGAGCTTTACCTTTACGCGTCTTCTCGGTGTTGGGGCCTCTTTCTTCTCGAAGCCGTTCCGTCGATTCCCTCTTCCCCAATTCCTGCCACTGAAAACAGCGCGGGCTGAAAATAAGCCCGTGAACATGGTGCCAACGCATGAGCAGGAAACCGGAAACCTCTTGGCTTGTTTGAAAAGGCGAGTATCACTGGTTGGACATTGGAAGTGATGTTAACATCAGCTCCAGCTATTATCGCAGCTCGAAGTTTACGGACATGACAATCATCACCTCTGAAAAGGAATTCAAGGTCCATAAGCTGGTGCTGTGCAGCCAGTCTGGTTACTTCGCGAGAATGTTCAACGGGGACTGGCTGGTATGTATTATCTTGTCTAGGGAAATGATGGTGGCAAGCAGCTCATGTATTGGATCCCTAGGAGACCAATACCAACGTGGTCAAGCTGGAGGGCGATGACCACCGATTCTTGGTAACGATGATTGACTTCATGTACGGCTTTGATTACGACACCACTGATCACGGCAATACATCTCCAATTATGTTCCATATTGCGGCATATCAGATCGCCGATAAGTATGATGTCCCAAATATGAAGAAGCGCGCCATGGAGAAGTTCAAAGGGTTTGTGACGGTCGGTTGGGATATGGATGACTTTTCGGTAGCGGTTGCAGAGGTGTATCGAACAATTCCCATTTTCGAGAGAGGTCTCCGTGACCCTCTTGTCCGTGTCACACATCAGCACTTTGGGGAACTATTGCAGAAGGAAAGCTTCGTGAAGATGCTTGAACAGACACCTGGTTTTGCGGCAGATCTGGCCAGGACATACTTTGTGGATGGAGGAGGGGGAGGATGTCCTTGCAAAGTTGGCACAAATGCTGATGGTTGGTGTGTGAGTCCATTTATGCTTCCTTTACCGTTAATTTGCATGCGCTCCCGTTTTTGGACTGGTGCAAATAACACCACCAAGTTGCATGTATAGCATACTGACGTTGTTAGTTTTGATAGGGAAATGCCCGGTAATCAGATTCATGGTGGGTGGGAGGTTTATTTAGACGATTTTACCGATGCAGAATCGGATATTGATGGGCAGAATTGGCATCTGGAGGGTGGATGGTGAGTTCCAGCCGACCACCATATAGCTAGTTCAGAGAGCTAAGGGAACTTGGGACCAATTTTTTCTAGGGATTTTGGACTAGATTGAACCATGGACGCTGGAGTAACAGACTCGGTTGCTTTTAAACCATAGGCCACCAACTCAAGTTCATCCATGCAGTGATGTTTTAATAAGCGCCAGGAACGGTCTTTGCAGCACATGAGACGGAAATGACATGGGATACATTGATACATTCTCATAAAAGAGCCTAGCGCCCAATCGATAGTATTGGTTCTATTTATGGGCCAGAGATAGACATTCCACGGTTCTTAGGATAAGTTCTTAGGATTCCTGCGGCGCAGTAATCGTGCAGTAGTTCTCCCACCCCTGCGAACCCCTCACAGACAATCCAAATCTGCCTTGCAAGACTTATTTTCAGGCGGGATAAACGAGGAATAAATATTTCGAGCAATCCGTCTTTGCATCTCATTCCTTGCTGTCTCAGAGCCATTGTTGCTGCCTTACTGCACAGCGTCCAAGATGACACAGACAGCGAGGATAACTCCAGACGGGGACGACAGTTCAACCTTGTCCCCTCACTCCCACGCTCAGACTCGGCCTACAGCCGCTCCTTCCTCTTCTACTTTTGATTTCTCCCCGCCCAGTGATTCCAGGTTCGCGTTCAACACTCCTCCCACCGCGGCCTCCTTCAGTTTCTCCCCACACAGTACCAGTAGTTTCCCATTTGTGTTTACTCCCTCTTCATCCAGAGGCTCCCATTCTACAAGTGCACGAGTCACCGATAGCCCTGAGACCCCGTCCCGATCAGGTCGTCGTATATTCACACCACCATCTCGGGCAACAACTACTTCAACGACACGAGCTCTCTTTTCGGCCCTTGATCTTGGTTCCAGCTCGCCCGAAGCGCCAGGGCGACCGTCTTCCCCTGACCATAGACAATTTCAGAGCTCCAATCTTTCCCCTCATGTCAACGTGTCGACATACAGAGATCTCTATAATGCCACCCCGAGCCCGCAGCCTGGCCCTTCCAGTCGCCCAAATCAAACAAACGCCCCGAATATCGATTCACCATCTCCCTCTAGTCTTTTAACTTCAGGCGTTCATAACCTAATAATTCAGAGTATTGAGCCTCCAGCAGCTGAAGGTGAAGGCTACGACAACGCTGATCTCAGCTCGGACTATGACAGCGAGGATGGAAGTGTTGATGACTCCACGTACAACGTGCGGGATGAAGAACTTCCTGATGCCCCTATATACAATTCTCAACTGCAAAATTTACTGAGGGATGTGCGGAGCAATCTCTTGGGCCTCGTGAGGTCGATGCAGGCCTCCCAGATGGTGCAGGATGGTAACACCCATGTCAGTGACCTTTACAGACAAGCCGAGACCGAGAGCAAATTTGAGTACCCGCAAAGTCGTATAGTTGGTTTTATCGGGGACTCGGGTGTTGGTAGGTCTATTCTTCCTAAATGGTATTCCTGTATTTAATCTTGTCATAGGTAAAAGTAGCCTCATCAATTCACTTCTCGACTGTGGGGGAATTGCACGTTCGGTACGCTGGGGGGCTTGTTACTGCCGATGAATAGATTGATACTAACGATATCAGAGTGGGAGCGGAGAAGCCTGCACTTCTGTTGTGACCGAGTTCCGACAAGTAGACGAGACACATCCTCACCCATATACTATCGAGGCGGATTTCATGACGACTGATGAAATGAATGAACTTCTCCGTGAGCTATTGATGGCCTACCGGATACGCCATACTAGAGCTTTCAACGAAGATCTCGCGGAGGGAGAGGCCGATAGAATAACGAGATTATCGGAAAGGTCATGGACGACGTTGCAATCGTTGTTCCCAAATGAAGGCGACTTGACCGAAGCCTTTTTGTCAAATGAGGAACCGGATGCGGAGGACCGAATCCTTGCCCGTCTTAGGGAATGGGCCATGGCTGGGTTAAACCATCGGCCTGGTGGGTCAGATGCTCTTCACTATACGATTAGGGCACGGGATATACGTCACTGTAGGGAGAACATCGACATACTTACTGTGGCATCTCGGGAACCACAAAGGCCAGCTCTCTGGCCATTTGTCAAGCTAATAAGGTGGGTACTGCGGTTACCCTCTTTAGATTCCGGTCTAATTGGTCTAGGGTATATATCAGGTCAAGCATTTTACGAACGGGTTTGGTAGTTGCGGATATGCCAGGTAAGGCTCCAGTTTAGAGATATAACTAAAACGGCGAATGACTGTATTTTCTTAGGATTTCGAGATATGAACTACGCCAGGGTGCGAGCTACTGAGAAATACCTTCGTAACACTTGTGACGAGGTATTTATTGTTAGTGAAATCAACCGGTGCAGATCGGATCCCTCAATCGAAGAAATTTGGGACAAATGCATTCGCAACCAGCCCATGCGAATAGTGTGTACTAAATCAGAAACTGTATGCCTGAAATCCAAGTGTATTATGATAGTGGACTGACCCTGTGCAGGAACTGGATGGTGAAGAAATTATAAGGGACCCTAAAATGCCAGCTAGGGTAATAACAGAGACCAGGCGGCTGTTAGATCGGATTGAGCAAGCTAGAAGATCACTTAGGAGATTGGGCCGGCGTCGGCGTGATTCATCTGGAGCACAGCAAGCGCAGTACGCTCTACAGGAGGCACAACAAAAGTAAACCCTAACGTCCTCTCTTCCTTTTTCCCGACGAGGCCAATGCTAATCAAATATGTTTGCAATAGCGACGAGCTAGGGAGGCTTGAGCTCGAGTATGCATAGTCCCTAGTATCTCTGAAAGCCCTATAGCTGACACTTTTAGGCGCAAGACGCTTCTTATCAACGCGCGCAACGAGATATCGAGGACGCATCTTTCCAGAAAATACCAGGCCAACATTAAGGTTTTCTGTGTGAGCAAAGAATTGTACGAGAATTACCGTGGAGGCGAGAGGGAGCAAGCTACCGAGTATATCCGGCTGAGCGGCATCCCCGAGTTGCGACAATATTGCCAATTGGTACCAGCAGACGCGCAGTTCCGAGAAACAGATACCTTTCTTAGAATCCGTGTACCTGCTCTTCTCGGATCTCTGAACCAATGGGTACTGGCCGGATCAAATGACGTTACGGCTGACAGAGCCGAAACCCTTCGCCGGGTTCTGGATGAGGCGCAGAGGACTTTGCATTCAGTTTGTTCATCCCCTATTTTATTATGATCACCCACTTTTGCCTCAGAGAAAACCTGCATGTATATAGGCATGCTTATACTGACACTAGGTAGTGCCTCATATCTCGTGGGTCGTGCATCCGGTCCGTCAAAACAGAGCTTGAGTCAATGTTCGAAAGTTCCATCACCCGTTACATTCGTAAGCTACATATTAAGTTATATTGAGGCGCTGTATTCTAAACTTCGTTCAGGCAGCTTACAAGTCCAAAGAAGATGGAAAGATGGAGCCATCAGAGCATCTCGAAATTGGAGTTCCGTGAGTTTGAGCCACCAGACCAACTTCATAGCCTCATTGCCTGATTAAACACAATACCAGATGCATCACTCGAGCTATGCCGCATTTTGTCGAAAATATGGAGTCCATAAAATCGGCGAAGAAAGTGTGCGTTATTGGAACAACGAAGTTCTTCAGGATGCGAGTGAGGAGCTCCATCAGTGTCGGAGCACACTGATGGAGTGGCTGGATGGCCAACAAAATACCACTGAAGATCAAATTTATGCTATTTTTAGTGTTGTGTCTACTTCTATCGAAGGTAAAACAAGCACCCACGCCCTTGAGTACAAGTCCAATCGACCACTAATCCGCCATTAGTGTATACGCACCTTTCGCCGGCATCCATAGAGAACCTCCTTGATAACCTGGACTCTCAGAGACGTGGGATAGCTTACACCACCCAAAGGGCATTTGAACATCTTCTACTTCAAACTAGGTATACGATGTCACTTTCCTGTTAAAGTGGCCCCGCTGACCATGGAAGACGAGTTACCCGGGATGTCCTCGACGGACACAGCAGCAGCTCGTATATTGCTGAGATTATGCGCCCGGCTTATCATTATTGTAACATGGAGTCAGGTGAGTAAATTGATACTAAATAAGCCAACATTGGAGAGTTCCGACGCTGATAGAGCGACTGACATAGGCACCGGAAGTGATCGCCGACGAAAGGACCTCATGGAAAAGTACGTACGGAATCAAGATATATTTCGGCAGCTGTCCACAAGAGCTAAAATGGATTATGATGCCATTATAAATGCTACTTTTGCTGATTTGGAGCGCAAACTGAATGAGGAGGTACGGAATATCACCCGAGATTTGGGAGTTGTCATCGCAGTTGAGGGCGAGGTACCAGAGGCCAGACACGAGATTGAGCTGGCGCAGAGAGTGAGAGACGGCGTCTCGCAGTTGCAGGCTCAAGTGAATGAGGCTCACTTGATTATTAACCGATTGCAAGGCGGCGTTACACGGTCAGCTTAGCACACTCCTTTGCATAGGCTGGCGGGAATATGGCTGGCGGCGTGACTATATTTTAGTATGAATGCTATATTGATGTTCAGAATTCACCAGGTTCACTGTTATATTATCAGCCCTCAAGCTATTCATTGTCTAGAGAGAAACCATGTTGAGCTTGTATGCCACTGCGAGTCTGGACTTTCACTGTGAAGATGAGACCCGCCTGGCTTGTTCTTTGTCTCAGCCACCACGAAGTATCATGCGCTATTGCGGTATTGTTTTCACATTTCCCAATTGCAACACTGTGAACTTGTGCCCGGTAGGGGTTTCATTCAATATGGACCCTGTCTTCGACCAGACACAGGCCATTGGCTCTTTGTCCAACTGACACAGGATGGCGGTCTTGCCGGGCTGTGTGACCAGCCCGTCCTTTATCCTTCGCAGCACTTTATTTCAAATACCCAGTTCCTCGCTCCTTTCAACGCGCTCTCACAATACCTAATCGAGGCCATCGCCCTATCTGATTCCAGTCATGTCTAACAATACAAACACAACAACACCACCTCCGACAACATCAAAACCCACCAGCACTACCACCGCATCGTCAGCCGCGAGAACACACACAATCAAAGTTGGTCCCAAGGAGGCTCCGCATGAATATATTCCCCATGAAGTGGACGCCAATGTCGGCGACTTGATCGTCTTTGAATTCCACCCGCGCAACCACTCCGTTGTCCAGGCTGACTGGAGAGCTCCATGTGTGCCTGCTGACGGCGACTATTTCTTCTCTGGCATTAAGAATGACTTCAACGAGGTAAATGGGCAGGTTTCGGGCGCGTTGCCCACTTGGAATTGGACGGTCCCACGACCAGAGGTATTTTGCCATACTTCCCTTTCCTCTCTACATTCTCGTATTAAGTTACTTTACGGTGCTGGACTGACTCCATTTGTCTCTATAATAGCCGATATTCTTCTACTGTACTGCCATAGATTCATGCAAAATAAATGGCATGGTCGGCGTCATCAACCCGGTACCTCTCCCTCTTATCCTAACTTACTCCCTCACCACCAATCACAACTAACACTGTCCAGACCACGCAGAAGAGCTATCAGGCCCAGAGAAGAGCCGCCCTCGATTCCCCTTACATGCTCGTCCCGGGCGAATCCATGCCAGCAGAAGGCGACTCCGGCACAACCGCCACACATAACCCATCCGAAACCCCATCAAACGCACACGCCGCATCCTCCCACAAACTCGGCGGGGGCGCAATAGCAGGTATCGCCATTGGAATCGTGGCCTTTGTAGCAGTGCTCTGCGCTCTCATCTACCTCTTCGCCCGAAACCAAGCTTACAGGAAATTCTTCTCCCACTCCCATGAAGGTGCCTCCACAAGCGACGCCCGCACTGCGCAATGGGCACTCTCCACCTCCGCAGCCACTACCGGGGCCGGTGCTGGTGCTGGTACTGGGAAGAGCGAGGTTGATACTACTACTAGTAGCATCGGTATCCCGCAAAACCTGAGTAACAGCGTGCGTGGGGCTTCGCCTGTCAATGACCCTGGTTTGTTTGGACCAGGACCAATGGCAGGACCGGTATTTGCCCCGATGGACCAGAATATAGCCCAGACGCAAAGTGGGGGTTATCCACCTCATCATGAGGGTGGGTATGGAACTCCGAGTCCGCTGGGTTCGCAGAGGCAGCATAGCCCACAACTACCGCCTGGGCAGCAGCAGCCCTATTGGATATGGGATCAGAGTATCCAGCCCCGCCATCCGGCTGGGAGGACGGGAGGACCAACGGAGTTGGAGGCGGAGACACCGAAGTGATATGGCTCTTTGCAGACCCTTCTTTTTCTCTTTCATGTTTGAGTATTATATCTAGCTAGATTTATTTTTATGTTTAGCTTGTCGACTCGGTGGAGATATCATATATGTGCCTGTGCATTGATTGAAGATTAAGCGAGGTATATGTCATTGAGAAAAAAAAAAGAAAATGGTATTATTTAATGACGAGATCAAATATGAATTCTATCGTAATCTAAATAATCTAAACCCCCTTATACTGATGTCGTCAATTCAGCTCCTCTTTCGAAGAGAGCTGCGCGAGGCCCGGCAATTCATGCTCCAGGTTCTCATTGTCAAGCATTTTGGGATTTAGAGACAGAGATCCCCTTGGCACGAAGGTGGCTGCCAGGACCAGGGCCGCAACCACGGTAAACTGCACGCTACCTACATTCTGGATTGCCTCGAAAATATTACCATTGCCTTCTGTCCCCCCTGTCTCCTCATAGACGTGATCGATATAACTGCCAAGTATAGGAGAGGTGATTGCGTAAACAACGATGTATGTAGAGTAGAGGAATGCCATGACAGCACCTAGAGAGGAGACATTCCTGGTTTTCGACTCGACTCGCGCAAGTGAGGCTTGTATATAGGCTGCCAATGACACGTCGCCGGCTGCCCAGCCGAAAGAGATTGGTAGAAACGTCGCGGCTGCAATCCACGCCATCGACACATTGTGTTGCTCAGGCCGCCAGTATGGTATATACCATGTTATGAGAAGTAGGATTGCATCCAGTCGAAGCCAGGGGATCGGCGTTGCCACCGTGTCAGTAAAGAGAATAACAAACAGCGCGCCAAAAAGCTCGCCCAGGTTCGAGCCACCAACTATAATCTGCGACCAAGCTGCGTTTCCGAGATAGCGACGGGCGATAGCGGGAGCTATACTGTTCTCGAGATACCGATGGGCATATAAGGCGATTGAGTATCCGGGAAGCAGCCAGAGGAACTTTCGAGAGGAAAAGAGTAGTCTGGCACCGGTCCAAATGGACTCCAAGAAGAGCCAGAATCCAACCACGACGGCCTGGATATATGATGGTTGATCTTCAAGGACCTCGGTTCGTTGACTTTGGAATCCATGATCGGTGAGGAAGAACCAGCCAACGGCTGCCAGCGCAAAGCAAATGGGCGTAATGATAAAAGAGTAGTTATTGCCGAAGTACGGGATAAGAGCCAAAGCGGTGCAGAAAGCACCACCAGTCCCAGCCACTTCGTAGAATATATGCACCACAGCATCTAACTGCCGCAATTTCTGGACATTTCCGCCGACAAGGTCACGGGGAATAACACGGCGAATCAATTCCACCATCCCATAAGCGATCCCAGCAATGCAGTAGACGGGGATGATACCATCGGTATTGTAGTCGCCGTAGTAATGAAAATCATGTTCAGGGTGCTTTTTGCGGAAGGCTTCTGGGCAAAATCTACCACCTGTGCTAGCATCGATAATGAGAAGTAGGGCGCTGAGAAGGCCAAAGACGAGCACGGCACCCGCCAAAACGAGTCGGGAAGGGAACCTCCGAATAAGCGGGGCGATCAGGATAGACCCGACACACTGACAGGCTTGATTTAGACCCACCATGAGTCCAACTCGTTGGAAAGTTTTGGGCGTGGTGTCGGAAATCCAGGCATCGTAATCGTAGCGATTCGTCGCGAGAGTCACGATAGATCCGTTGAATGCCTCCAGACCAAACTTGTACATCATGATCCCCAAAATATAAATGGCTATGTTGCGCCTCTCCGTGGGAGTAAATAGGCGCCAATTGTGCTTGATTGCATTGTAGGAGGGTGCCATAGCAGTGATTGTCCCATAGTAGTCTATCACGAAAGGAGGACTATCGTAATGATCACCCAGGGACCGGGGCAAGGATGCAATATAAATAATGAGTGGCCTTGGACGCGCGTGCCACCAGGGTTGCAGCGTTCAGATGGCTATTCTGATAGCTGACTCGACAGCAATCCTCGTCCTGTAGTCGAACCATAACCCATCTGACAGACAGCTTGGTGGGCCATGGCGCGAACTACGGGAGCAAATCCGACCCCGAATTCCAGGCACGTTGGACGTGGGTAAGGGCGGGCGCAGGGGTTCATGGCGTCAAAGCCTTGCTTGGGGAGAAAAAGAAAGCAAATGGAAGCGTAGAATCAGCCTGGAAGCTCTTGGGAGCCTGGGATCGGTCCTTGTCATCGGGACTGATGGAGGAATCGAAAGCCGTTAAAGATGCACGTGGTGGGGGCCTCTAGATTTGGTTAGTGCAATCACAGAATCACATGTGGATCCCAAGAGCACAGGCCAACGCTGACACTGTTCCTTGCGGCCTCAGGAAACAACTCCTGGATGCATGTGCCAGTGGTCAACGATGAACTGCGGACGCAGAAAAGGCCCTCGGTCTCGAGTGCTATCCTTGAGTCATTAGTATCCAGAATTTCGCTTCCAGGTCAGTGTCGGATTGGCTAATTGTTGTTATTCCCACAGCATCTGCACGCAGGGTCAGTGTTATCAGTCATTCCCCACCACAGTATGGAGGAGTACGCTTCGGCCATCTGTTTCCCTCCCAAGCTCATGCCACGATTGGAACTCGGACATCCGAGTATGTTCGCCATATTAAGACTAGTTTCCTCGGACCATTCATAATGAAGTGACGTCCACCGTGGAATTCCCTAGTAATGGAAACTCAGATCGCGCCAGAAGGTCAACTGTGCCAGAAACATACGCTTGGCAATGCAATTGCCCCATTGTGAAGACTGTGGAGAAAAGGAAAACGAGTCCAGGACTGGGAGACTCGAGAGGGCAAATGAAATGGGGTATGAAGAAATGTGAATGTGCTCTTCAGCGATTATTGGGTATGGTCACTCTGGGATCGCCGTCTGAACGTGGACGCTGTCAGTGTTGAGCTCCAAGAGAGACGCTGTTGGCGGTATTGCAAATAATGGTTTCGCAGGAATCAACGTGCTTCTTCAAAGGTTCAACCTATGATTCTAAACGTTGACGATGCTCAGTGGCTTTAAAAGAGAGTTGTGCTGCATGCGGCAAAAAGAGCTGGGGTTTGGTGCCTGAGGCCCTCAACGGGTTGGTACCCAACAGTGAACATCGATGACGCCACCCAAATTTCCATTTCACATGTCTTATCCTGCTTGTTAATCTGTTCTTACTGCTTCCTACAGCTCAGATGAGACAAAACGTCTCAGGCGTCTCACGTCAGTGTGCAGATATCAACCCCGTGACCCTGTGTGGCTGTCACGCCTTTGAGCTCGCGACCGTCGATCAGACCCAAGTGATTGGATTATCAGGGTGAGGTCCCAAACCGTCTCCGCATCAACGCTCGACTGGCTTTGAGGAGAGCTTTTAGCGTGGCTCCCAAGAGCCACGCATGATTTGCCAGAGCCTTGTTCCATCCATTTTAGCTACAAAGGCGCCTTTATGGCTACCGCATGACACTTTTGAGCGCCACGCTGCTGCCCCTCATTATTTTCAGGTTATAAAGCTCTGCGACTCGAGCATGTGCGCTGGTCGACATCTGAGTTCTCTGGCTCCGCTCATTGCAAGCTCTGATAGGATCCCAGGGGAGGGGCGCTGTCACACTCAATAATTAGATGTGAGTTTCTTCTACTTGGTGTCACTGAATCCATGGCTGGGTTCCGCTAACAGAGTGCTCGATCAGATATAGAAAACTCGTGTTTCATCCCCCAGACCCGGTGTTTCTTCTCGGATCTCCTTATTACCATCCCCGGCCTCTCAGCCAATTTTGTTTGCTGTGTGCCGACTCCCCCGAGTGACTATGGCGACAACTGAGGAGCACATGGATGCTGGAACAGCGCGACAACAAGAACAGGATGGCTCCCGATCACGACCGGACAGGGGCTGGTGGAAGAACATGTTTCGCTCGTCGTCATCTGGAGATGGTGACTCAAGTGCGGAGCACATGGATTACCGCTCTAGGGCGACATTGGGTATTCTTAGTGATCCAGAAACCGATGAAGTACCTGGTAAGAATTCAATTCCTGTGTTCTAGGTCAATCCGCCATCAAATGCTAAAGACTTATTTTTAGGCACTGTTCTTTTATTGTCGTCGAACCGCAACGAGCCGCTAGGGTTGAGGCACCAGCCTCATCGTACATCGGCCTCATCACTACCTATTCCGTATTCCTCATCCAGATCTTCTTCACGTGCGTCTGCTCCTCCGACAAGCAAAAAGACCTCAAATGGGCAGATTGTTTTGGAACCGCAACCAGACGACTCACGAAATGATCCCTTGAACTGGCCGGTCTGGCGACGAGATGCCGCTCTGATTTCACTGGGCTTTTACTGCTTGATGGGGGGTGGTATGACTCCAGTTCTTGCTGCGGGCTTTAATCAGGTCGCAGAAGACTACAACGTCGATACCCAGAAAGTAGCATACACTACAGGGCTTTATATGCTAGGACTAGGTATCGGGTCAGTGATCATGTCGCCGACTGCGATTCTATGGGGAAAGCGTCCCGTTTATTTACTAGGTGCATCGCTTTTCATAATCTCCGCCATCTGGTGTGCGTTGTCCCCAAATTACCCCAGCCTAGTTTTGGCTCGGATATTTCAAGGTATTGCGGTGAGCCCGGTAGAGTGTTTGCCCTCAGCCACCATTGCAGAGATCTACTTTCTGCACGAGCGGGCATATCGCGTGGGTATCTATACGCTTCTCCTTCTTGGTGGCAAAAACCTTGTTCCACTGGTGAGCGCAGCCATTATCGGGAGCCTGAACTGGCGCTGGGTTTTTTGGATTGTGGCCATAATTGTCGGGGCTTGTTTGGTTGCGATCTTTTTCTTTTTGCCGGAGACATTTTGGGATCGTACCCCTCGACCACGTCGACATCGCAAGCGGCCCGATTTGTATAGAAGTGTGTCAGACATGGTGACACACGGACTCCACCGAGGTCGAGGTCGTCCCACTGAGAATCGACAGCCAGATATGCCTCATTCAGAGGAGAATCCAGACCTCGCTTCTCAAAAACGAGCCAAGAAGGGCCACGTTGGTTTTGTCGACAACAATTCCGAGCTCGAAATCCAGGAGAAGGAGCAACTTCCCAGTGGGCTAGAACCAGCTCCATCGATGCAACCTCCCCAAGAACTCGCAGATCCGGCTATAGAACCGTCAGGCCGTGACGAGAAATCGGCTGTTCCACCCCTTGATGCGACCCCTACCAGACACTCGACCGATCTTGAAACCGGACGATTCGCCTCACACTCTCCCGCACGAAGTGCGTCCCTAGAACCTGCTGCAGGACTGAGTTTACCCGTACAGTACACCAATCGACTTCGTGAGCGGACAGATATTCCATTCATACACTACTTACGAGTCTGGAACGGACGAATGTCGCACGACCGCTGGATACGGGTGGCTGTTCGCCCATTTATCTTGTTCGCGTATCCCGCAGTCTTATGGTCGGCCGTAGTATATGCCTTGTCGGTCGGGTGGCTAATTGTGTTGTCGGAGGTTGTATCACACATTTACCAAGATAAGGAGAGCTACAACTTCACCTCGCTTCAGACCGGCCTGATTTATATATCTCCATTTGTGGGCGGCTTACTAGGCACAGCAGTGGCAGGCAAGATTTCAGATATCATTGTCCGCTATATGACACGGCGCAATGGTGGGGTTTACGAACCTGAGTTCCGCCTGGTAATGGCGATCCCGATTGCACTCTCGACCACCATAGGTCTGATGGGCTTTGGCTGGAGTGCTCAAGAAAAGGACGCTTGGATTGTTCCGACCATCTTCTTTGGGTTAGTGTCGTTTGGATGCTGTTTGGGGAGTACCACGGCAATTACCTTCTGTGTGGACAGCTACCGTCAGTATGCTGGAGAAGCTTTGGTGACGCTCAACTGGAGCAAGAGTACGTCCCCCATTCCCCAACTGCAGTATTGCACGGTGACTAACAGCGGAACAGATGTTTTCCACGGCCTAATTTTCTCCTTGTTTGTTGTCGACTGGATGGAGGTTGATGGGGCGCGGATGGTTTTTGTGGCCTTGGGAGTAATCCAGCTTGGACTGCTTCTTTGTTCCATTCCAATGTACATTTATGGCAAGCGTGCCCGGATGTGGACCGTCCGGAAACGATTGATGGAGAAATACTAGGAACCGCATTGAGTAAGGGCGCAGTATTGTTGTTTTGGATTGCATGTTGTAGAGTATAGATTCGCTCAAGAGATCTACAAGATAGACAGCAATTAGAATGCAGCATGTCCTGAAGTCATTACTAGACTATGCACCGTGCGTAGTCCTTGAAAAAGCCGGGGTAATCGTTCCAGCTTTGCCACCCGGCGCACCATTGGAGGCATGCATTGTCAGACTGGATATCATGTAATATAGACGCTTAGTACTAAGTAAGGGTACTCTGTACTTTCTGATGTATTATGATTATGGTTATACGCTAGCCCAGGAAAGGAGTAGCGCCGATTGCCTCGGCGGAAGCAACTGCTGGCGAAACCGCCTGAGTAACACTTTCTCTTTTCATCAATCGTGGGTGCTGTTGAGATATCTGGCTGACCACCCGCAGTGCATGGCCTTTTGATCTGGTGGTATGGCATCTCATTAAATGCTTGCCTTCTCATTCTCCGAGCTTCTCTTCATCCCCTTCTCAACCATGGATCTCATTGAAACCATATCCAATGCAGACTTTGTCGCCTGAAGATCCCTACTTTGAGTCCTGTATTAATCTTGGACTCGATCAATTTACACAGCTTGCCAGGGATAGGCAACGGGAGAGTTTCGCTACAAACAAGAGCCTAAAAAGGCCAATGGAGTGTCTTTGTTGTTGAGATAGCCTCGCCAGAATCACATCAACAGCTAGCCCTTGACGCACATGGCTGACTTGAAACTTCCTCATGTGTGGAATTCGTGGTTACAATCAGCATTAAACGCGAAAACCCTGAGATTATCTTACGTCGATGGGAAGCTGTGCCGCGAATATACAGTGTCACTACAAGATCATCCTCTCCGGCCGCGCGTTGTACCGAATTCCTCTTATTATCTCGAACTAATAACACGACACTCGTTACCGGAAAATCATACACGAACCACTACTACCACCACCACCACACGGTTGGCTCTGACCTTCAATGAAATCATCAATCATGCTCCTTACAATGCCCTAGAGCAAGATCTAGTCATACACAAGCAAGAGCTGATAAGTTTTGCTGAGAGTACATGGAGTGAGCAAGGATTGATTGATTGATTTATACACCAAACCCCCATCCCCGTAAGCAGTCACTGATTTCTAAGCTCGGTGCCCTTGTGAGTGTTGATTAATACCAGCCCCGAGGGGTTGACGGATTTGTTAGTGTCTGTTTAACATAAAGTCTAACTACGTATTAGTAGTACCTCTTTACATCTCTAGTTATGCCTGTATCAACTTCTGCGGGCGAGGCCTGACTCGCTACTAAAGCCCAGCAGCTACCGGTAATCAGTAGTTCGCCTATCCCCCCACAGTATGCTTGATCGTAGGTCAGCGTGACGATTATATGCTAATAAAACAGGATGCTTCTGCTGGGATACAGTAGAGAGCCGGGTTTTCACATCCTCTGTCCAGCCAAGTTCCACTATGGGCACATCGAATGTGGGCGATGATATCGAGCAACCTAGCCGACTGGTACGTCCTTGAGGTAGGCTCGTGGTCATTTCAATTAGCTGTTGACGCCGTCTTAGCAAACAAGCACGTACTATCTGATTATTCGCTTCCTGCTTCCACCACCAAGCCTCTTCCTCTTCTCATAATTTGCAGCAGGTCGTTGATTACAAGGTTACGCGGTCACTGTGATCCTCACTATCCGAAGTAGTGAGAATTATTACCCGCCGTGAGTTCCGCATAAACTAACCCGTACAACTTAGAGATGCCCTGATTCTCAGAGAACACAATACCAGAGGGAAACCTGGAGACGCTTTAAGATGCGAGCGACATTCCCGACCTGATTGATGCAACCAGCTCAACTCCAGGCTCGATGAAGTCCTCGCCTTCACAGGCAAGCTCCGAGCTAGCCGATCATATAACGACAGTAACTCCACCCTCCCCACAGGTGGTGGAACCCTTAACGAAACATGACCACGTCCCAAGAGTCCTGTTGGTGGATGACAACTCCATCAACCTCAACCTGATGCTCACCTTCATCAAGAGGCGGCAGCTAGGCATTCTTGTTTCTGCCGAAAATGGGGAACTTGCGGTCAATGCAGTCGAACGACGTGATCTTCATGGGTGAAATTCCCTCAGTATTGGCAGTCAGCTTACAGCTAGGGAACAGATATTTCTATTCTGGTTATGGACAGCTTTGAGGCTACCCGCGCCATCCGCGCTATTGAAAAGGAGCGCGGCACTTGCCTCTGGGATCGACCTCTTTCCTCACGGATTCTGTCTCATTTAAGGAAGTATTCAGGTTGATTGATGAATGGAGAATGAAAATGCCAACGTCAAATCAACACCAACTTCTGCCAAGATCCATCCTACTTGGTTCTATCTCGAGATTTGTTAGCGCCATTAAGAAAACGTCTACTGAGTGGACGTAGCTTCGGCTTCAATGCCTTTGTATCTCGTTGTTCTGTTCCATTCATCTTTCCCCCCGTTCTCTTTCTCGGCCTTCGGTACGGATTGATTGACTTCGGTTACCTTGTGGATATTCCTGTTAGGGCATTGTTTGTTGTTCTCGAGCTGTTGCTGATCTGGAACTTTTTGTTTGTTTTACCTTTCGGTAATGAATGTTTATATACAAACACACCTTCGTTACACGCGTCAGCCCAGTTTACTACGATAGAAATAAAAATATATAGTGATTGATTTAATTCACCATGCTCGGGATCTACTTTATCTAGGCAACCTCATAAGGTGTCTCGCTAGTAGTCAGAAAGTAAGGTTTCCCTCCGGTAGAGATGGTTATTTCGTGCAACTGTTGCATAAGTGTTAGTACCTCTCCACAAGCCATTTCCTGCGCGCCTTCTCATCCATTGCATTAAGTTTCTTGCTCTCCGCGCGTTTCACCATAATGTAGTTATTGACTAGGTTCGGACCTAGAAGGCCTTGAAGAGTCTTGTTAGATTCCAAGGCCTCGAGACTCTTAGCAAGAGTATTAGGAAGTTTCGTAGTGATGCCGAGGTCTTTACGCTCAGTTTCACTAAGCGTAGCCGCGTCGTCTATAAATTCAATGTTAGCCGCACAAGTTTACTCAGTCAAATAAGAGGTTCGGGGGAGGGGGAGACGGACATGCACAGTCCTTAACAGTAAGCGGCTTATCCTCTTTTACTCCGGCATACCCCGCAGCCAGGAAAGCAGACATGGCTAGATACATATTTGCCAGGCCGTCTAGTGACTTAACTTCCCAGTGGCCGGGGGAAATCTTTCGAATGGGTGCTTCGCGGTTCTGGGTGCCCCAGGTGACCCATTCGCTTCCGGCCCAGAGACCCGCTTTGACGCGGTCGTAGCTTGCGTCACCGGAAAGCGTGAGGGCTACTACTGCTGGATAGTGGTGGAGGATACCGGCGAGGAAGGAATCTTCTTTGGTTGGTGGAGAGATAGAGACGTGCGCATGAGAGGCTGTGCCTGCAGCAGAGGGATAGGGGCGTGGGTGGAGGGTCGCGCGGAGACCGTGCTTCTCAGCGACATAGGTTATGACTTGGCGGGCTTTGATGAGAGCATCCACAGCGGCGACGGGGGAGTCGGGTGGGAGGATGAATTCGAACTGGCCTGGGGAGGATTCAGAGTGAAACTGTTCCAGGTATATGCCGATGGAGGCAAGTGTTTCGGTGACATCTTCGAGCAAGGGTAGCATGCGGCGAGTCTCACGGGTCATCTGTGACCAGGAGTGGTTCGTTATGCTAGGAACGAAGTCTTCCTCCCCAGTGGACGGGTCTGTGGTCGGTTTCAGGAAAACGACTTCAATCTCGAAGCCGCAAGTAGCTTGAATGTCAAACTCGTCCTTGAGTTTTCTCGTTATATTGAGCAGAGTCGTTCGTGGGCAGCCCTCAATTGGTTCACCCTCGTTTGTCTTCCACCACGTCATTACGGTGGCGCTCTTGGAATCAAGTCCAGAATTTGGGCTGAGTGTAGAGAGATCCGGTTGCATGTAGAATTGGCCTGTGGTCGAGCCTCCAGCAATTCCGTCGTCCTGCAGCATCCAAAAGACAGCCAAGCAGATGCCAATCCGGCGCTGCTTACGTGCAATTTTCGCGAACTCTAAAATCGGAAACATGCGCTGTCTGATGGTCGAGGTATAGTCAATAAATTGCATCCAGATATACTTGACGTCCGGGTAACTCCGAATGAAAGCCTCAAGCGAATCTGTTGGCAATGTGTGGGAGAGGGGCCCCGTGGACGCAGGCGTAGTGCTAAACCGTGGTTGTTCGTTTAGGCAATATAACCGGTTCGAGTTGTAGAAAAGAATGTCAACGGCGGCCTGTATGGCTTGTTCATTGGTATAATCCCCATTTTGGACATAGTCCACGAAAACCTGTTCCAAGTCAGTTCACATACTTGGGTGGGAGGGGGCTGCATGCAGGGATATCTGAACCTTTTCTAGAATATCTCTAAACTGCTTGTTAGCCAGCCAGAAAGTTTCCGGGAAGAAATGGCCGTCGGTACTCCACAGCAGCCGAGTGGTTGGAACAAGCTCCAGGCTCTCTCGTACGATAGATTCCTGTGCATCCCGGCTGACCATGGGGAAAACCTCTCCAAGGTCCAAATAGACGTTAGGATACACACATGCTAGGTAACCGGCCTCCCGAGTATAGGGATAGGACGAATGAAGCAAAACAAAGTCAACCTCCGGGTACTGCGCAATGACAGACTGCAGGTGCGCCGGATTAGACAGTATCAGGTCGATGTCGTTGTCGCCTAGGCCGGTATGTAATTGGAGAGGTTTGTTTGGTTGGGTAGCCTTGGCAGCTTTGAGTAAATTCAGGGTTTGGCGAACAAGCCAGTCGTTCATCGGCTTGTCCTCTACCCGGGGTGTGGATACGGTCGCTTGCGAGACTGTACGCGCGAAGGACTGGAGCAAGGGTTTTGTATCACGGTCCTCGGTTGGCTGGACATTTAACCCTGTACGGTAACATATGACCGATTTGAACCCCACCACGGCGGGGTCACGAATGGCGTCGGAGATCCGAAGATTGAATTCTCGGGAGAAGCTCTCCCAGAGAGCTTGGAAGGATGCGGGATCACTAGATTCTGGGGGAATCGATCCCCCGCTGACAATCTTCGACAAGACCTGCGCAGCTAAGGCCTCGATACGGACAATGCGTTTGGTTGGCGATGCGGTGAAGCGGTCATGCGAGTCGTATGGCTCAATATCTTGATCCGTCAAAAGATCATCAAGGAGAAGTGTATGTGTTCCTTGTAAACATTTGCGAACCAGACCGTCGTAGTCACTCTGGACTAATTGGTCTCGGGCCGCCTTGAGTTGTTCCCAGTCGGTTGATGGGCATTCGTATAAAGTAGCGAGCTGGGTAGCAGCACGATGGAAAGACAGGGTGGAAGAGGCGTTGGTTAGGGCGATTCCCTGAGCCTCCGATACGATTTGTTCAAGAGGATACTTGGCATAATTGCAGGCAGCAGATTTGTAGAGGAGGTTGTGGGCATGGTTATCGATGAGAGGATGTGTTTGGATCACTTGGTGGAGAGAAGGCCGTGAGGCCATGGTGATAAGCTAGCAAACTCAGAGGAGCAGCACTGTTAGAGCAATAGATGAAAGCAAGGAGGACACTGATCAAAGGAGTGGACGGGACCGGTTTTAAACAGAATGGAAAGAAAGAATGCCTATAAATTGGGCAAGGAGGGGACGACGAGGAGAGAATAATAGACGAGGTGAGGCGCGTGGCTTACTCGATCAGGCAGCCCAACATAGCCAACTACACGAATGACGATCCGGAAAGAACTCAAATATGCGACAGCTGATTCTTCACCTTGAAAATATACGGCATATCCGAGCTGTTGGTGGTCTTCAGCTTCGTCGGTTTTCACACCTGCCAACCGACAATATTGCCAGAACAGGAATCTTCTACGAGCGCGGCCCACGGCGTCGGCCAGGAGGCAGATCTTAGCGTCATGCGCACACCTCGAATAACAAATCGCGATGCTCCGCCGTATACTCTGTCGCTACCAAAAGCGAATCAAATTGAGCCAGTCTTAAGGAAACGAAAAGAATTCAGATACATGTCAATCTGGCCCGGGGGCCCAAGCTTCTCCATCTCGCTAATACTGTCCCTCAATCGTCAATGTTCCCGTCTTCGTCACTAGATATTCGTTCACAGCCACTTCCTTTCCGCTCTCCTTCCCATACCCCGATTCCTTGATGCCTCCGAAAGGTGATTCAGCTGCGGAAGAATTGCCTGTGTTCATGCCAATCATACCCGCTTCCAGATTCTCCAGCAAGCGCCACATACGGTCAATGTTCTTTGTGAATGCGTAGCTAGCGAGCCCCATGCTGGTGTCGTTCGCTAGCTTTACTCCTTCCTCCTCTGTCTCGAACCGATACAAGGCAGCGACAGGTGCAAAGGTTTCCTCGCGAGACACTAGCATCTCCTTGGTCATGTTCTTCAGGATTGTTGGTTCAAAGAAGTACCCCTTCGTTCCCTGGACACGGTTTCCGCCAAGAATGACTTCTGCACCTCGCTGCCGTGCATCCTCAACCTGGCTAATAGCCTTGTCGATACTGCGAGGGGTTGTGAGAGGACCCATTGTCGTGCCGTCACTGGCGCCATGGCCAATCACAAGCTTAGACGTCTTTTCCTTGAGCAATTGGGCAAACTTGTCGTAGACACCCGCCTGCACATATACCCGATTTGCTGTGATACAAGCCTGTCCAGCATGGCGCCATTTAAGGGCCATCAACTGGTCCAACGCCTGGTCAAGATTCGCGTCATCAAAGACAATGAACGGGCAGTTTCCACCCAATTCAAGGGTAACCTTTTTCAAGCCATGTGCACAGTGCGAAGCAATCAGCTTGCCAATTCGCGTCGACCCAGTAAAAGTAACTTTTTTTACAAGCGGGTGCTTGCACAGACTCTCGCTAAGTGGCGGTGTGTTTTCCAGATCTGTGGTAAGCACATTAAATACCCCGGCAGGGAACCCTGCCTTCTGGGCCAGATGCGCCAATACCAAAGCTGTCAACGGCGTCTCAGGGCTGGGCTTGACAATCATTGTACATCCGGCAGCAAGAGCTGCACCTGCCTTTCGCAGAACCATAGCAATGGGGAAGTTCCACGGAACAAGAGCAGCCGCAACACCAATGGGTTGCTTGACGGTGAAGACACGCCGGTTTGGAGCAGCCGGGACAGCTATGGATCCATGAATGCGCTCTGCCTCCCCGGCGAACCACCAGGTAAAACCGGTGGCGTAGTCAATCTCACCATTGGACTCGGCGATCGGCTTGCCGGTCTCGTGCGTGAGAATTTTGGCTAGATCAGCCTTCGCTTCGCGGATGAGGGTGTCCCATTTCAGGAGCCATTGTGCACGCTGGCGAGGGTTAACCTTCTTGAACTGCTCAAATGACTCGTGTGCGACCTGCACGGCGGAGTCGACGTCTTCAGCTGAGTTTGCCGGGCAGCTTGCCCAGGGGATATCGGTACCAGGGTCTAATAACCACTGATCAGTACGCGAGAATTGAAGAGGTCATTCTGCACTTACCGACAACTTCAAATCGCTTGCCACTCTTTGCTGTGACCCAGGAGTTTCCAACGTAGGAATCAAAGTGGAGGAGGTCGGGGTTGTCCAACTAGAAGCAAGTAATAAGTATTTGTACCTATCTTGATGCACATCCTTGTCGGGGGGTTATGACGTACCTCGAACGGTAGCTTGTATTGTTGAGCCATCTTTTCTGTTCGATTTCGCTTGAGAGAAACCCAAAGAGCTGTGATGGGTTAGGAGTGAAGAAGAGGATAGACGATAAAAGGAAAACAGAAAGGAATCGACCCCGCATGGGCCGGCGGCGTCCGCAACCCCTCCTCTTATCGGCATCTCGGTCGTGCCCCAAGAAGGCGTTTTCGATTCTTGAAGGTCCCCAATCCTATCCCAATAACCCCAAATTGCCCCAATCCTAATTTGGATACTTTAAAACTAACCAAACGGAGTAATACAGCTGAGTTGGAATTTTCATAAATTATATAGTTCTAGAAATACACGGCCGATTCTCGCTCTACTAGTCGCTCCGCTCGCCCCTCCCTCGGATAACTTGTAGACGGACGTGCCTGAACGTGATTATAGCTAAGGCTATTCAAACTCGTCGAGACATTGGCTTCCTTGTTCCCGGAGGTCGTTCCTGTCGTTCCCGGACTCCATTCTGGCGGCGCCTCGCCTTCAATAGGCCCATATACGCGCGACTTTTCCACCCACCAGTTTTCGAGGTCCTCCGGAGTGTGCAGTGGAAACCTTGACCATTCGTTGGTGGCAGCAGTTCTCGAGGGATTTGGCTGGGGGCCATCGAGAATGCTGAACGACCGGGGAGAGATGGTCCGCAGGTAAGCATATGAGCTATAAAGAGCTCGTTCTGTGGCTGCGAGTCGATTTTCAAGGTGGGTTATATAGCCCTGGGGCAGCCCGCTATACGTTATTAGCGAATTAGGTTACTTGAGAGTAGTATTCCTGGTATGAGATGCCTACCGTTTCCCACTTTCGGGGTAGTTGCATCGCGCTGGGTCAGAGCATTGCGAGCAAACTGGTCTTTGGCAGTTAGTACATATTGGATAGACGGCGTGGATTCAATTACAATATTCGATCACACTAAGAGAATCAGTACATCAAACGACCTCATGGTTGGGTTGGGAAAAGAGGAGGGCAAGGGATGTAGAAAGAGACCAACCTTGCATTTCTTCTGGCGACAGGGCTCACATGCTATTAAATTTTGGATGGGATTCTGCTTGTCAGCCATTCGACCATATATATGAATGACCAGGCAAAAATAAAAGGTGGAATGGAGGAAGACAAGAAAACCGGGGAAGACAAGACTGAAGATCGTGCGTCTTTTGAGTCTGGATTTTGCGGGGAAATAATGGTTGTAAGCAGCGCAGGCAAAGCAGTCAAGCGGCCGGTTGGGAAAATCTGAAAGCGCCGACCTCAGTCTGCAACGCATCTCGACTCGCCTTCTCCTCTCCGCTCCTCATCGAATTCTGCTCCATGTCTCTTCGCGCGTTTCCGTCGTTGTAATCTCTCATGGACTCTGGAAATTCTAACCATGGTTCCCCCTCCAAACGCCAGAAGCTCACCCCCAAGGCTCATGAGCTGGGGGTGATGCGCAAGTCCACCGACAATGGCTCTGCATCTTTCTTGGGCTCTTCCAGTGGAATTCATTTTATTCGAGTCGTATACAATGCCTTTGCTCGACGGTCGGCCCTTTTAAATCAGCCCCAGCAGGCGTCCAAAGACACGCAAGTTCCTGGAGAGGACGACCAGTTGCACGACCAGCACCATCAGTATCGACCGGACCTGTGGCAGCCACCGGAGCTGAACCTTCACGCCACTTCGACGCTATCATCATTTGAGGCGCTGGTTCAGTGGACGCGTGCCTATTTTGAAAATTGGCATCCAATGTTCCCGTTTCTCTCTGGGCCGGCGTTCCTTGTTATTCTAGAGCACCTCAGTCGTGATGGGTTTAGCAACCTTTCCGTTGCAGACGGGATCCTTGTCCGATCCATCGTCTCTATTTCTCTAATGGACCGTCGACAAAGTTCTCTAGGCACGCAGGGCCCTGTCCCAGCAGCCTACGTCTTCCGCTCCGTCCACCAAGCAATGGAAAGTCTGTACACTCTATTCTGCGAACCACCCACCATCTCTATCCTCCAGGCAGCCTTTGGCGTCCAGCTGTTCCTTGCCTCCCTTCTCAGACTCAATGCAGCTTCACGGGTCGGTGGAGTCATCATTCGGACGGCCTTCCATTTAGGCTTGCATCGATGTCCCGTGCGGTTTTCATTTAGTCGTCCAGAGATAGCCACTCGCCGCCGGTTATTTTGGTCTATTTACAGCCTTGAGAGATACCTTTCTCAAGCACTGGGAATTCCTCTCGGAATTCAAGATGATGATATCGATGTGTGTTATCCAAATGCTGAAGTTCATGGCACGGTAGACGAAGGTACCCTTGCCCCTTTTCTCGCAGTCTATTTCGTAATAGGGACTCAATCCTCACTGTTTGCTCCTTAGATCACAGACTCCGCCTTCTCAGCCACCTCGCCAAATTTGCGCGAGTTCGCGGGCGCATCATTGAGCTACGCAATAAATCCATCATTCATAGAGAAGATTCCATTGACGCAACTCAAGTTCTTCATGGCGAACTCACCCACTGGTGGAACGAGGTTTATGACGATGTCCATCCACTCGAGTTCGACGATGGGGGCCCCAGCCCGGCATCGACTTCAATTGCACCATTCCATCGTGTTCTATTAACTGTTCTTCGCCACGAAGCCATTATTTCAATGAACCGTCCGCTGCTGGCAGCCGAGGCATCCTCTCCAGAATATCGTACCGCCCTACAAATCTGTATCGAGTCTTCACGGTCCCTCCTCACTACATTACGGCAATATCAATCCACGACCTCTGCGCCTTCTGTTCCTCTAGTATGGCCATCATTCACCTGGGCCGTATGGATGAGCTGCCTAATATTAATTTATGCCGCATGGGAAGGCGAGTTTCCCACATCCTCAGCGTCTAGGTACCTACCCCTGATTATTATTTTCAAATTCAAATGTATAAGCTAATAGACGGAGTAAAAGATATGCAAAAAGCGGCCTTTCTATTCTCGAAAGCCTTTCTCGACGCGGAAACACCTGGCCTCAAACCTGTATTGAAGCAATTCGTGACCTGGACTCCGCTCTCACGACCCCAGAGCAGCAGCTCCCTATACATCCAACCATGGCCGACCTCGACAAAAACAAGAATGAAAGAGATCCTAACGCTTCTCCAGACACCCTAGATTCCGGAATCCCGCTTGACCATCATATACAACAACCGCATCCCTCGAATCCCGGAGAAGGACTTCTCTCAACCGCAGAAGGCAACCAGTGGACCAACTCATCTATGATATTTGGAAACCAAGCGATGAATAATATCGGCCCAGCTTCGGGGCTCGGGCTTGGACTAGGTCTACCGGACTTCTCCCTTGGTCCTGGTAGTGGCGAAGAGGGCTTTAGTATAGGCGATTTATGGAGTTTAGCAGATGGGCCGTGGTTGATCCATGAGAGTTACGACCTCACGGAGAATGTACAAAATACTGATTCTGTACTGTAAATTGAAGCATCTGGCTGAGGGATTAATTCTTTCTTGTCGAGGCGTTGAGATATCGAGATGTTTCTCACTTTCTTGGGTGGATCGGACAAAGACATGTCCGCCGCACATATCTTCTCCGGTGCGGGGGCGAATTCGGAGAATTATCCACGAGGTCTGGAAGAAGAGAAAAGTATTTAACAGCCCCTCCCCATTTCTCAAAGGATTCTGACTAGCAGTCACAATTCAAAATCTCGTTCGACTGCTTACTTTCCATTTGGAAGAAAAAGGGGTTCAGAAAGCCGACAAAATGACCAGGTCATACCGCATCGCAACCATCCCCGCCGACGGCATTGGCCCCGAAGTCGTTGATGCCGGTGTCACGGTTCTGCAAGCTCTTGCTGAGAAGCTACAGTCATTCTCTCTAGACTTCACACACCTTGACTGGAGCTCTGAGACTTTCAAGACTACGGGCAAGTACATCCCTGATGGCGGACTAGAGGAATTGAGGAAGAACGACGCTATTCTGTTCGGAGCTGTTGGCGCGCCAGGTAAAAATCACCCCGCATTACACATTATGCTATGGTTAAAAGATAAGAGAGTCGAGTGCTGATAATTAACGTAGACGTTCCCGACCACATCTCCCTCTGGGGTCTCCGTCTGGCCATCTGCCAACCCCTTCAACAATACGCCAATGTGCGCCCCACGCGTGTCCTCCGTGGCACACAGTCGCCCCTTCGCAACTGCAATGTCGGAGACCTTGACTGGGTGATTGTCCGTGAGAACAGCGAAGGCGAGTACGCTGGTCAGGGTGGACGTTCGCATCGCGGACACCCCTGGGAGGTGGCCACCGAGACTGCCATCTTCTCGCGCCATGGCGTGGAGCGCATCATGCGCTTTGCGTTCGAGACGGCAGCCAAGAGGCCGAGAAAGCTTTTGACCGTTGTGACGAAGAGCAATGCGCAGCGCAACGGTATGGTGTTGTGGGACGAGGTTGCGAACATTGTTGCCAAGGACTTCCCTGAAGTCACTGTTGATAAGATGCTCGTTGATGCTATGACCACAAGAATGGTGCTCAAGCCCGAGAGTTTAGATACCATTGTTGCCAGCAACCTGGTATGTTCGCTTGGCTCCCTTCCCCATTCTTCTAGTCTCAGTTGATATGATACTAATTGTGTGGCATAGCACGCCGATATTCTTTCCGATCTTGCCGCTGCCCTTGCAGGCTCCATCGGTATTGCGCCCACATCGAACCTCGACCCTAGCCGCCAGAACCCCAGTATGTTCGAACCCATCCACGGATCCGCCTTCGACATCACGGGTAAAGGTGTCGCCAACCCGGTCGCGACATTCTGGACCGCTGCAGAGATGCTCGAGTGGCTCGGCGAGAAGACTGCTGCCGACAAGCTGATGCAATGTGTCGAGCGCGTATGCGAGTCTGGTGTACTGACAGCCGATCTCGGTGGAAAGGCCACAACCGTTGAAGTAACCTCCGCCGTTGTCGAGGAGATCAAGCGTTTGAACTAGTTTTCCTTCTTTTTGTATCATTATATACCTTGCCGCGAAGTTATGCTGCGACAAAATAGAATAGAATGAACATATTCATGACTCCAAGAAAAAAGAAGAGCCCTCAACGTCTTGAGCATCTCCACCATGACCTTGATCGTTCGATTTTCAATTCTCGTTCCTTTCGTCTGAGTACCCATTCCTCTCTTTCCTTCAGCGACTCGAGCCGGTGTTTGTCTCTTCCGCGCTCAGGAAATTCTTCAACGGCCATGGATCGTGAGAGATTTTCAAGAAGCTCAACGATCCCAATTGCAATTGGGACAAGAAGAAGTAGTGCTGCTGCATATAATTCGTCCGAGTATCGATCTAGTAGAGCGTACAGTGATTCCTGCGTGTGCAAAGGGTGGGTTTGGCTGGTATCTGAGGATTGTACGCGGGGTTTATCCGCTTGAATGAATGTACCATGATTGATTTCGAGGCCCGAAGCCTGTTCTGATTCTGGATTTGCCTGGGTGTTTTCAAAGAGGGGCTGCTGGAGAAAAGGGCTTGGGTTCAGGAGGCCAGAGTGGTCGATCGGAATAGCAAGAGAAAGGACCAGCGAAACGAAGGTGAGGAGGATAAGGGGCCTCATGTTTGCGCGAGCAGCCTGGCTGCAGCAGGACTGGGAGCCTGGAGGAGAGAAAAACGAAGACCCTGAATGAGCTGCATGGGCCAAGCTTCCCTCAACTGTACTTATGTGGATTTTTCGAACAGACGCTACCTGGCTTACGGGGCTGAATTGGCTTCACTGCTTGGACGGGTGAAGAGGCCCCAACGGCCCCGTGGAGTTTGCAGCGCGCGGATTGGCCGCGACGTTTCAGCACAGCTCTTGCAACATTTTAGAAAGCAATCTGGTGGAATTTCGGTTTCCATCTCGAAAAGATCGACTACTTTGCATATAAGGTTAATTCTCCCTCTCAAACTTAATTCACAATTAAAATTCAGAGTCCTCGCGAGCCTTGGAGTTGCCACCGCGCTCGGCCACTCCTGCCTGCATCGCCTTCAGATGCTCCCATTTGTATGTATCCTCTCCCAAGCTCCACGCCATAACACCTCCCAGCTTCTCGGCGTCCACAATATCCTTGAACTTGCGGGTGATTAATTCGGGTGTGTCCCAGGTCCAGAACAGGTTGTTCTTCACGTCCATGTAGTACTGGCCGCCCGCTTCCTCGTCGGTCTTGCCGTCCTTGAGCGCGCTTTGCAGTGAGCCTTGAATCGACACTCCCTTGCACTCGCCGTAGTTAGAATCACAGTTGGTCCCACAGAAGTCATCTCCCGTGCCACTACTGACGTTAACAAATTGTTCTTTCTTCAAGAAGCGGGCTTCAAGACTTACCAATTTCCGTAGATGCTGCAGCAGGACCCAGCAGGACACTTGGCTTTGGCCTCGAGACCACATTTTTGGTCAGTCGACTCTTTCAAGTCTTTCGGCGGTGGAGCCATGCTCTTCGTTTCGAACGTGATGGTGCCAGACTTCCCGTTGTCTTCTCCGTTGGCGGTCTCCATTTCCACAGTTGGGCATCCAATGGGGTGAGTGTCGCAATCTGCGTTCTCCTGGGTGGTAAACCATTTCATATAGTAGGCAATCCCAAGGTTGAGCTTCTCTGGTGGCGCTCCAATATCAAGATACGCCTTGATGGTATCGTGCGAGTCGACCACGCTGGAGTGATGCTTCGTCACGTTGTTGCGGCGGTTAATCAAGTCGTACGACATGACGTTGACAAAGTCCACAGACGGCCAGATCTTGGGTCCGTTTTCCTCTGTGTACGCGATCATGTCCTCTCTCTTAGCCGGAGTCGCGATGGTGAGGAGTTTATCATTGCCGATTGCCTCACGAAGAGCCTGGATGAACAGCGGGAACGCCTCGATCTCGCCAACCTTGTCCTTGTTTGGGACCTGTTTGTAGTCTTGACCGTTTCCACCAGGGTACTCCCAGTCGACATCAACGCCGTCAAATCCCTTGCTGTCCAGCATCTTCGCGACGTTCTTCGCGTACCGTTTCCGGGAGGCATCGTCCTTTGAACCCTTCGAGAAACCCTCCGTGTCACCCCATCCACCGATCGCAACCAAAACCTTTGTGTCAGGCGCAAAACGCTTGCGCATGGTTTCGACTGGCTCAAATGGCTCAAACGACGACCCTGAATCAGTGTTGAAGTCAGTGGATTTGGCAAAGCCCATAATCGCATGCGTGATGCCCTGGGTCGTGTTGCTGCCAGGAAGGCCCTCGGTGTGGTATCTATGAACCAAAATTAGCTGATCCCGTATTCGCCTTCATCTGCGCTTGTCAAAGGGGAGCACTAACTCATCGATATACATCGCAAAACGAAGACCCGCAACGCATTGAAGGGCCGCCAGGGCCAAAGCAACGGGTTTTAGCATCATGATGTCGATTTTCGTTCTCGTTGGTCTAGAAACTCAATAATAATAATAATAATAATAAAGGGTAATTCGCTAGGACTGAACGGCCAAGGTCGCAAGAGGGCGGAGCTATTTATACCTCCCAGAGGCAGAGGCAATTCAAAGCGCTCCAAAATGAAAGAGAATACTGGGTATTCGTTGCGCAGGCGTCAGACAGAACAAACGGACGCGTAGGGGCTGAACGCAAATAAGTAACACAGGAAAGTGACTGGATCAGTTCACAAGTCAACCATTGTCTCGATGTCATCGGCTGTGAAGAGGTATGTGAGGTAGGTATGGCAACATTCATCGGTCGAGGCCTGAGTAGGACAGTATGCAGATCGATTCATCCCTAGCAAGAGTATCATGAGTATGGCAACAATTATAGCGCATTCCGAGGCATCCATGGAATGTGAATGTAGGGGCTCGATCGGGTCAAGGGGCTGGCCGGGCGCCACACGTTATTTTACGGTGTCCTTTCCCCAGACGACCCTGGGGCAAATGAATTCTTGAATATAATCTTTGGAATCTGGAGATTCAGAGCGCCAATGGCATATCCCAAAAGTGTTGGGCGCTCTGCTCTACAGCCTTACTAGGTAAAAGTGAGAAACAGAGGATAAGAGAGTTCCTAATGCAATATTCATTATAGATATAGTAAGGATAACAAGTGAAGGGGTATCTCAAACACAGTGCCTCAGTCCCAATGCCGTCTTATAATCGGCCGAGCGGGATCCCACGGCCCCGAGACAACATTCTTATACTTCTGGAGGCTGATTAGCCACCAGCTACAACCACCCATCGTCAGCGCTGTTAAAATGCTTCCCAGGAATGATCCAATTATCGCCCCCATCCATCCACCTCGTAATGTGATCCCAACTGCTCCGCCGGCGAACATGACCAGCGCCAAGGTGAGGAATATGTGCCCAGTCCATGAAATATGGCGCAGCTGACGCCGAAAGATAGGAAAGAGGCCGAAAACTTCAATAGAGAATAGCATCAGGCTGAACACATGTGTTGTCGACGGGAGGCGAGACGCCAGCACCGTCGATGCCATGACCGCTGCATTTGTGGACAGAGATGCAGGGAATTTGGTGGCGCCCGCGCCCTCCCCACTTCCGTAGTCGAATGAGAATATATTCATGATTAACAACCAGCAACTCATGGCCCAGATAGAGTCACTGGCAGTCGATTTTGTAAGGGACTTTAGGATAGGACTCAGCCCAAGTAGTGAAAAATAAATGAGGAAAGCCGACTTCACGGTGGATAATCGTTGCTTGTTTCGCGAAAGAAATGACTGAGGCTGCCAGCCTTGAGAATGAGATGGCCCAGAAGGACCATTTGTATATCCAAGGGGCGGAGAACCTGGAGGAGGCGAGCCAGGATCCTGCGGCACAAAAGAATCAGTGCTGAGTCCTGTGCTCTGCCGTCTCAAAGGACCTGGTTCATTCTGTGCTATGCTAAGTCCAAGGCCATGAACATGGTTTTCTTTCTGCCCATTCGCCCGTTGCTGGTTTTGAGGGTTCACGGAGCTCATCATGGAACTGGAACTCGACTCGTCATCCCCCTCCATCGAATTATCCGTAGCCCTCCGGTTCTCTGAGTGTTCTGTGAACGCCCACCAGTCCCATAAAATCCAACCGACAGCCGTTCCGACACTTCCCCAGCAAACAACCGAAACTGGGCTTACGCGGCCTTGGACAATGCCAACAAAGCAGCAGACGAAGATAGCCACAGAACAGACATGTTGCACAATAACGGTCGAGTCGGCCACTAGCGGCCAGAAGTCGTAAGGGCGCACGCGGGGGTTTCTCTGCAGGTGATCGAGGAACGTCTCGGTGTCGGTGTAATTATCAGGATCTATTTCTCCGAAGTTAGTAGGCGCCGGCGAAAGGACATAATCCCAACGTGAAGATTCATACATGACTGTTTTACCCATAGCAACTTTTTCCAAGCACCCTTCCGCTTTTTGCGTATGCCTGCTCCTCGTAGTTTGCGGTTCTCCTTTCGCGGTACTGCAGGCGGCGGTCGCAGGTCCGCAACGGAGGCAGCGGTGCCAGCAGTCCCGCTTAGGGGACGGATCGGGTCCTCATAATTCGAGCTACCGTGTCGACTCCGGAGAAGAGAGGAAGAGTAGTATGCGTCTTCAGGGGCGAGGCGAGTGGGATCGGGGAGCGCGCGTTGTTCCGCCGACGGATGCTTCAGCCCACCTGTGCGGTTCGGATGGGTTTCAACAGGGACTGGAGGGGGAACGGGGGGCGGCGAATCAGGCAGAGAAGGCATCGAGGTAGCCTGATCGTTATGCTCGAAGCATGGCGGTCAATCTGGGATAGAAGTAGCTCTTTCGATCGAAATAGACGGAGCAGAGGCGGGCGGGAAATAGACTTGTCACTAAACTCGGGGTTGTCCGTGCGTAATTTAGTGCCTTCCGTTTCTGGAATGGTGTTGGTAGAGCCAAGTTGTCCTCCAGATCCCGAATTCTTATTATTATTTCAATGTATACAATAGTGTTCGTCCTAGTAGTTTTTAACCTGGCCACTGTGAGGCTGTGACTCGGCGAGTGTGACTTTAATGGTCAGGGGTTTCCTAATTCCCTGGTAATATCCTGAGCATGCCGTCCAAGAAGCTTGAATCCGCCCTGCTTCCCTGCAAATATATAGTGTTGTTTTGACCACCAATAAAAATAACGAACATGTTGCACCGTAGGTTTGATGACTGCTAGTTTGTAAAAGAGCCCTGGGTCAGTATCTCGCCTCTCCTTCGCATGCCATGATTCGAGGATTTCCTTGATTTCAGCGTGTAGTTCGACCGGCTCGGTTGAGTATTTGGCTTTCGCTGCCACTGTAAGGACGAATGCAGTTCTTGCGTGAAATGGTCAGAAGAACCTACTCCTTCCCATACTTCTCAGGAGTAAACGGGGGATGTTCTGCTGAACCTGGACGAAATGAACAGTCACGTAGTCCTGTCCATTCGCTTCGCGGGGGCAGTTGCAAGCCTTGGCGCAGTTGACGGATGGAACTGGCGAATTTGATTTATCACATTTGGCGTTGACTACGGATGTTGCTATTTTGAAAAAGAAGGGACTTCTCGAGATGCCGGAAATGACATGCTCCTGTAAGCCAGGCCGGCAAAAGCCTATGCAGCAAATAGTAGCAGCCACTAAGAAGCTTAATTTGGAGGTAACCCATGCTACATACCCGAGCTTGAATGCTCCCTTTAAAGGCGATAGATAGGCAAACACCTCTATGAATTTGTATGATTGGTCTATCCCTGAAGCTGAAAGATAAAAAGTCAAAGGCTTTTCGCAGGACCATGTACAATGATACCAAATGAAGGGTGCCGAAACAAAAACCCAAAAATACGGCAAAAAACCTAATTAAAAAAGAAAAGGAAAACATTATCTCCATAAGGAGTAAGTAGTACGGTTTTGTATAAAAACAGGGCGCTCGCTGAAATGTTCTGTGAAATCTGGCCCGCAGAAGAAGACAAAATCAAATCTGGCGAGCGTAATAATGATTGGGACCAGGATGCATAGCATGTCAACATGATCAACGGGTATCAAACGCTCAAAAGTGATTTAGAGGTGACTGATGAGTGCCCCTCCACCTCAAAGATGTCCGTATTCAAATTCCATTAGCAGGCGTATGCTCGTCAATGCTGTTTCTGCGGCCCCAATTGACTGGCTTCCGGCGAAGGAATGCGCCAACTGCGCCGATATAGCCCTCGTGGCGGAGGAAGTACGCTTGTTTCTCGCCTTTGGACCAGAAACGGATAGCATATGACAGCGTGTTCATCGTTTGACGGTGTCCACGAATAAAAGAACCACCGAAGTAGATATGCTTGACTTGGTGCTTCTCAGACTGGAGGTAGGCGATTTGTCCGATGTTGTTACTGGGAAAGTTAGTGGTGGTCGTTCTGTACCGGGAATGGGCCTAGCTTTTACCTGATAGCATATAGTAGGCTTCGGCTCATATCCTCATGTTTAAACATCAAATCGTCGTCGGCATGTTCGGTTCCATTCTCGGTTCCATTCTCTGTTCCCTCTGCGTTTTCCTTGTGCTGTGCCTCGTTCTGCAGCCGGAATACTTTCCCAAAAGTGCTTGCAATAGCGGTGCTCTTCAGACCAATCTTGCCGTAATCCATGCCGTAGATGTCACCGACTAGCATATCCACCCCGCTGTTATCTCCTCGGTCCGCCATTGCTAACATGTCGTCAAAGGTCCGGGCACCTGTTAATAACGACATGATACCCCAAAACGTTCCACCGCCTAGGTGAGTTCCCCCAACACGTTGGAATTGCTTTGGCCCTGACACTTTGATCATAGAAACTCCGGAGCCGATGTTTACTAAGAGGTATGGATACACATCCGGTCGGGCCTCGGCAAATTGCATCGGCTCGGTCTCACTATATGTGAATATTTCGTTCGGTATTTCGGTGATAAAAAAATCAAGCCCTAAGTAGAAGTCAAATTAGATTTTCGCTCTCCCGGTTGTAGTTTCCGTGGTAGGTAGGGTCAGGTCATACCCGTAATGAGACATTCCATTTCATCTTCTCGCATGATGTTCACGTTTAATGTCTCCTTTAGTTTGTCGTAATATTTGTAGGCCCCGCCACCAGTAGCTACGACACATAATTCCTCTTTAGATCCCCCATTGAGGCCCCGGTGCTCTTCCTTGAGTTGTTTGATGAACTCCAGGCAAAGGTGTATCCGATCGGTCTCGAAGTTAATAAAGTTTAACCGCCCGCCATTGTCTGGCGAGTCCAGTTCGCGTGTGAAGTAGACTAATTTCGCCAGCGAGCCTCCAATCTATCGAACATCACATTTAATTGTCAGTCACACAGTGTGTTTCGTTGACGGTCGGCAAAAACGCGATTGCGGGGAGGGTGCGAGGTGCGGGGAACCACGGAGGCAAGAAAAAATCCAGGTATCTTACATCGACGGCAACATGGCTCACAACGCCGGTGTGGTGAGGTAAACGAATGTCCTGACCCTCGTAATGGACGCCATCAGTCCTTACAGGGCTCTTGGAGCGGGGGTCATCGTCGACGATAAAGGCGCCCTTGACATTGATCTTGACAGATCCTGGGTTGGTTATGGCTTGCTCAAGCCGAGGGGTTCGGGCGGGATTTGTGTCCGTGGAGGACATGGTGCTATTGCGACAAGTATGGAGTCGAATTTGTGGGAGAATTGGCGCCGAAGAACAGGTACCTCAACTGAAGCGTGGAATAAGATTATAAAAGAAGGAGTTGATGTTCCTTTTCCAGTCAATGTCGGCGGTATGGAAGTTCCCGTGATGGCCCGTACGGCGTATATTTCCTTCTGCCCGGAATTTGTTGAGAGCTTGGGTGGAACCAAACTGAGCAGGCCGAGGATAAGCTGTGGTCTAATCAGCGGGCGCCACTCTACCTTCCAAAGAGTAGCCGGGCAAGCTTCCGTCCCGGTGTCGTTTGCATCCCCTGGGAGCCTCGGACTTCATTTTAATGATCGCGGCTGACTGTGAAAGACGAAAATGACGTCTGCCAATTATGTATCAGTAAGGCTGCCGTTGTCCTCAGGCACCAACTCTCTTCCGTCTACATGGCTACTTTGTTTCGTACATCGCCAAAATCATTGAGACGGACACCAGAAGCACTGAGACGGTTAAAAATCACCTTAAGCAGGGATGGTCATTCCGATCACTACGACAAAATCAAATAAATTCTATGTACCGCGAGGTGCCTGGATTGGGATATGGATGGCAGAGGGCAACGGATTTTTTTATCTGAGAATACTATAATAAGAAATCCTGAACATTGTAATGTTTTTTGTAGTGATTTATCCAATAAACCTTGCAATAACTCCGGATTTGACTGCTTATGTTCCTCTTGCAAACGCATGGGCGGCGATACGCATGTACTTGGATCTGCCACGCCCAAGGAAAGAAACAGAAGAAATGTCTCGACTCTTCTAAACCAAGAGTCGTTTCCAATGTCAATTAATTATTCAAATCCTCTTTGGATCATGTTGATAACTTTGTTGTTGTTCCAAGCCAACAATACCTCCAGAGCACCACCTCACTTCATCCATGGCTGACCATAGCATAGAAACGCAGTGTATAGCCTCATATCCTGTCACTCACCAGCTTGGTTTGACAGCTATATGTGCAATATAAAACCCTTTCAGTTTTATTTGCTGTTACCCCACTGTGAAGCAACCTCGTACAGCTGTTTCCCCCCACAAAAGTAATCTGAAAGAGCATGGTGGTTGTGTTTGTTTGGAGCCAGGGTGAAAACATGCTCACCTCAGTAACTGAATTCAACCTCTCAAGCTCTGCGAAATTTCTTCTCTTTCGCCTTTTTGTTGTGTGTTTCTCCCACCTACCAATCTCCTCTCCTGTCACCCATTCCATCTTTCTTCTACGTTTCCTCCACCATCTCTCCTCGAACTCCCACACTGGCTTGATCCCTCAAGCATTCACCAAAGTAGGCCTTCCATAATTTCACCGTTTCAATTACTTAAGTATCCTCCACCTTTATCACTTAGTTTGAAATGCTGACTTTTATATCCCTTCGCAGGGGCCACCTTTCCAGTCACCATGGATGACACTGGCAACTTCGAGGTGTCCTCGGTGAGAGACGCCCTCGCAGAGGTCACCAATGATCAAAACAACAGGAACACCGAGGCTGCTGCCATAGCTCGTGAGAAAGGCTGGGTTGAGTCTGAAGTTTTGGACTATGACAAGTACAAGTTCGCACCTTCGGAGAAGCTTGCAGAAGGTGGTGAGAACCCACAGGATGAATCTGTCCCTGAATGGGCGGCAAATGCTGCTAAATACGAATGGAATGACGAATATGGTGATGTTGGCCCCAAAAATCCCAGGCTCGAGGAACAGCTGTTTCGCAGCGAGTTTATCAACCGGGCCGGCCTCAAGATTGGAAAGTGAGTGCCCCCCCTGTGTTACTTTTCATTGGATATACTAACAAATCATAGCCTGCGAAACATCGAGGTCATTGCTGAGAGTCATGAGAGACCTAACCCAATCAAAAGTGTAAGCATCCTTTCTTTCATCGTGATACATTCCACACTGTGATAGTAACTCTATGAAGTTCGACGACGCAGGTATCCACCCCATCGTGCGCGAGAACATTAACCTTTGCGGCTATGAATTTCCCACTCCCATCCAGGCGTACGCTATCCCAGCAGTTCTTACCTCGCACGACCTTATTGCCATAGCTCAAACCGGTTCGTCTCCATTGAAACTTCATATATTTGTTGTCTTGCTAACCCTAACAGGCTCGGGAAAAACCGCTGCGTTTTTGATCCCAGTCCTTTCTCAGTTGATGGGAAAGGCGAAAAAGCTCGCAGCACCACGCCCTAACTTGGCTGCTGGGTTCGACCCAATGACTGACAACGTTCGTGCTGAGCCACTGGTCCTTATTGTGGCACCAACTCGCGAGCTGGCAACTCAGATCTTTGATGAGGCTCGGCGCCTTTGTTATAGATCGATGCTTCGCCCCTGTGTGGTTTACGGCGGCGCTCCTGTGCGCGACCAGAGAGACGAGTTGCAAAAAGGCTGTGATATTCTCATCGGAACCCCAGGAAGGCTCCTGGATTTCATGGATAAGCCGCATATACTCTCCTTGCGTCGTGTAAAGTACGAAGCCGTGAAGACTATGCAACGAGCATGTCTAATCATAAATTTAGGTACACCATCATCGACGAAGCCGATGAACTCCTTCAGTCGGATTGGGAGTCTGATTTCACCAAGATCATGTCCGGTGGAGGTACATATTCTTTTCCGGCTCTTCCAACGCCGACCCTGCGCTAATAACAAACACAGACATGAATGAGGATGCTGACCACAGATATATGATGTTTTCGGCAACTTTCAACAAGGACTGCCGTGTGCTCGCCCGCAAGTTCCTTGCAGACGACCATGTTCGCGTTCGTATTGGTCGCCCCGGAAGCACTCACATCAATGTGGACCAGAATGTATGTCTTTGAGGTGGATGGAGTCCCAGAACATGTCGCTAATGAACTATTTTTTCTCTTAAAAGATTGTTTACGCAGAGCCCCATCTTAAGAAGCAATGCCTCTACGACTTGCTTCTTGCTATGCCCCCCTCTCGCACCCTTGTTTTCGTGAACTCGAAGCAACAGGCGGACCTTATTGATGATTACCTCTACAATCTTGGCCTTCCTAGTACTTCCATTCATGCCGACCGTACTCAACGCGAGCGCGAGGATGCTTTGTAAGTTGTCACCCAACCTCAATATGATAAATCAATTGCTCATTTCCCGTAGGCGTGCCTTCCGCGCCGCTAGATGTCCAATCTTGGTAGCCACAGGCGTTTCTGCTCGTGGTCTAGATATCAAGAACGTTATGCATGTTATTAATTATGACCTCCCCAGTTACATGCATGGCGGAATCACCGAGTACATTCATCGTATTGGTAAGTAAGCGTCGTTCACTGTGTTCCTATTTAGGGTTAGAGAAGCCCTAACACTTACTAGGGCGCACTGCGCGTATCGGCAATGAGGGTCTCGCCACCTCGTTTTACAACGAAAAAGACTCCGATCTTGCACCCGATCTCGTCAAAATCCTGATCGAAAGCAAGCAGAAGGTGCCTGATTTCCTTGCCGATTACAAGCCGGAAGGTGAAGTGGTGGACTTCCACGACGATGACACCGACGACGGAGAAAATGAAGAATATGGAGCTACCGGCAGTAACGGAAACACGGGCGGTTGGGGTGGTATGGGTTCTACTCAGGATGAAGCTGCTGAAGCTCAACCCGGCTGGGAGTAGTCCATATATGCTACCTCGCTAGTTGCGCAGTCGCCGAGACCATGAAATTCTACCAGGCATGGAATGCCAGTCGTCTGTTTTTCGGCCAAATGAATGATCCTATGATGGTTGATGGTGTTGCGCTAGGTTCAATTTGTTTGCTTTTCTTGTTTCTTGATTCTAATGGCTGGATTCAAAGCCCAGTGCCTCCTGTCTTTGTCCGACTTGGAGAAATTCAGTTTAGCAATCTAATAACGCTACGTCTTTTGACAATCCCCTTTTCAATAAAATGCAGCAACGTAACTTCCCCATTGGAGTTGGTGGCTCTGGAGGACGTTGTTTCCACTTACGGACAGGCGGCGCTCCTCCCACAGCCTGCGAGACTTGGAGTCCGTCTCAATATCACACTCCTTGGTTGCTCTCAGACGCCTCACTTATTCACAAGTTATTTCTAACGTTCCATCTTCAGCGCATCCAAGAGTCCGTCGGATCCAGTCAACTGAGGACGTTAATATGAGGCTTTTGGGATCTAGCAACCAGGTGGTCCTGATCTGGATGAGCCTCATTGCAGCACTGAGCCCTCCATTTTTTACCCTCGCTGTGGAATTACTCCCACCTCCGCCGATACCTGCCGATTTCACTGTTACATCCATTCAGAACCATACCGTACCGCGAGACAATACGACTGCCCTGGTGATCGATTCGTTTACAGATTCAGAGGTTAACGATTTGGGATTTTGGCACGGCCCCAGTACCAATTTGGTCAGCGAGCCTGGCGATGGCTATATCCGTCTTTACCCTACAGATCCGGATCAGAACTACCACACGGAGCTCGGCCCGGCAACGTGCTTCGATATGCGTCCTTACCAGAATATGTACCTTCATATAGTATCCTCCGGGTCTACAAAATTTACCGTTTCCTTGAACCAACACAATGAGAAATGTGATTCCCGCCGAAGCCCCTTCCTACAGACGTGGGACAGTATCGAAACAGAGCGCTATGCGCGGGGAAATGATATATATGTACCACTAAGTCATTTTGAGATCGACCAATCTCGGACGGTGTCGGTTTCATTCCACGGTTTTTTCTCGGAAGAGATGGTGACGCTTCACAGGGTGGAAATCGTGCCGGAGCTTCCAAAAGGATTCTATGTGCCTCCAAAACTGGAGACCGGAAAGCTGTTCTTTCACTGTACGAAACCGAATTCATTTGCGTTTGGGATAGACGATGGGATGCCACACTTGGTACAAGACGTCATCAAGATCTTGGAAGAGGAAAAGATCTTGGTTACCTTTTTTGTAGTTGGTGCTGGGCTCCGGGACAAGGAAGCCAATTTTTCGGGTGTGTATAAAGAAATGTTGCAAAGGGGCCATCAGATCGCCCTACATTCGGATACACATCAGCAGTAAGTGTTATCCCAATCATTAAGGACGATGCTGACATCTCAAAAAGAATAGAAGGTCTCGATACCGTCATGGCTATCGATGAGGAGATTGTCCACAACATTGAGACCTTTCAAAGACTGCTTGGGATTGAATGTATGTGGTTCATAACCTTTCCTTGAAAATCTGCCTTCCCTCACCTAGTAGAAACATGGCAGCTGACGTGAATAGCTCGTTACTTTCGTCCGCCCTACGGCACGGTTGGTGCGAGAACCCGGCAGCGGTTGGCAGCGTACATTAAAGATCCTTATGTGATCAACTGGAGTGTCGATGTGGAGGACTGGTTATGGGCAGAGAGCAAAACGCCGGAGCGACAACGTGATGCATTCTTCCGAGACGTGGGCCGAGGAGGAAATCTTGTCGTTATGCATTACCTGAACTCTACAACAGTCCAGTACTTCCGAGAGTTTATCCGATTCGTCAAGAGCCTCAACGTCGATATCATGCGAGTGGACCAGTGCTTGGAGGATCCCAAGAGCCCCCCGTTTGATCCTAACCGGTACCGTGAACGAGGGACCGGGCGACACAGGATTCAGTCGGATAGGAATGCTGGGAACAGTCATTACCAGGAGCCAACAGAGTATGTTTGAAGGGAGTTTTTGTCGTTTCGTTTTTGACATGAACGACTCTACATGTACAGGCTACAGAATCAGTGACCAACGCCGAGTTGTATAACAATCCTTAGTAACCACATGGCTAGATCTGATGTGTTAGAAATACAGAAATCGATGCCTTTGGAGCGTCCAAATTATTTCGACCCGCGAAAAAGAATAGAAAAATCAGATCATCGCCCAAAGTCTGGTCGAGAACATTTAGGTGCTTTCTTTACCATCTTCTCTATTTTATTAATGACCCATCCAGACCGAGCATTTGAGGAGCTCGACCCAAGTCGTGGTGTCGCACCAGTATAACATTTCCCACCGCGCATGACGAATTGCACACAGTCGGTGGATTTGTCGCAGTAGGACTGGCATTCCTGGAATGTAGATGCTGACGATTGTTCCTTGTCACTAAGGTTATCCCAGCCATCTCGGACGTTGGAGAGTTCAGGGAAGATAAGCTCCTTGAAAACGTCGCTATGCAGAAGAGGTTTTGAACCCTACAGAAGTAAAACAGGACTGTCAGCCAATGGATCACAAGAGCTAAAAAAAAAGGTAGTTACGGAGTATAGTTTACCTTTGTTAACCTCCGCTGCTCAAAGTCATGCAGAAATTTGACATCACTCGGTGATAGGTGGTGGAAAGCCACGGCCGGGAAACACCACGGCCGTCTGTAGAACCCCGTTGTGAACTCGTCGAGCTCCCCGATATTGGTGTTCTGAAGAATTGGCCATGAGAACGTCAGGTCAACGCCGACGTTCGAGAGAACTTTCCCTAGCACGCAGTCCCCGGCCCAATGGGAATCTGTGTACTCGTGCAACTCGGCAGAGTTGTCGTCGTATTCATCCACCGCGCGCTTCATGGCCGGGTTGGAGATCATGAAGCCCGAGCCGCCGTGCGCGAAAATGACATCTGCGATTTGAGTTTCCGTGCCGATGTAGAGCGGCTTAGAGGCGTCGAAGCGGTCGAGCCACGCGAGCAGGGTTGGCCAAGAGTAGTATGTGTCTGCTTCCATGAACACATACCATTTGGCATCTGGCTTGCGCAGGTAAGCTTCCTTGACCATGGGAAGGAATTTCCATTTATCTAGTTTCCAGCCTGGATTGTTTGGTTTGCCAATGGCGGAGTTTGCCTCGTCGGCAAAATCTTGCGATTTAAGACCCTGGCGGCCATTCTCTTGGAGACGGTTGTAGATTTGGAAGTCTGCAACTGTCTCTTTCACGACGGGGTCGACGCCGCGGAGGGCATCGTGGATTTTGACCCCGTTGATTTCCTCTTCGTAGTCGGAGAAGATGGCGTAATTGGGGATGCAGCGGAGGGTTGTTTTGAAGTGCACAGGAACTTTATCGAGGGCTTCTGTGACGCCGGTTTTCATAATAACGAGGACATCTTCGATTCCCGGTAGTGGGGGACACTGGGTCTTTTGGTTGGGACTGCCGTGTGCATTGTGCGAGGACGTGGTCGTCGTGTCGGGGACGGCCCCGAAGGAGAAGTGGTAGATGAGGAAAACGGTGAGAAGGGTTGCGACCACGGCGATACGGCGACGGATACCGCGGTGGGAGCTCATTCTCCTTAACAGTGAAGCTTTTGCGAGAGTTGATTATACGTAAACCGGCCGAGCTTCGAGATTTGGGTGCATCTTCGGGTCGCCTCCTCTGTATCCTTCTCTTTCTGCTCTCGTGCCGCCGGCGTGGGTGTGAGGTATAGATATAGCTCAGCGCTCGGTCGAGGGGGGAAGGAGGGGCGTGTAAAGGAGCGGCGAGGAATTGGCGAGAAAAGAAAACGTAGCCAGATTAACGGGTAAGTTCAGAAGGGGCGGAGAGAAGATCGACGTTGTCGCTTGTTCTTAAAGGGAGAGAGTATGGAGGATCATCGGGCCACGCCTCATAGCGAGGGGAAGCTTTCGAAGATCTGAGGAGCTGTGATGACGCGTTTAGTCCGTTTCACAAGTAAAGAAAGAGCCCATGGGCACTGACAGCTTCTGAAACTGAGCCACAAGTGGAGCAAGGCAGCGAAAGATTGGGACGAAAAAGAAATAAACGATCGAGGCTAAGTCGACAAGTGGACACTTTTGCTTAGTGCGAGACCGACAAGGGGGGAATGTCAATGAACAGCAGTTCAGCACTCAGCAGAACTCAGGATGAGAAGGCCATCAGGCTGACAGGAATTCGGAGTCGACCGAGGGCCATTATGATTGCAGCAGGTGGGCACAGGAGCCTTGGGAATGCCGATCACTGGGAAACTCTGTCCATCTCAATAAATTTCGGACCAATTCCAGGTGAAGGGCACGAGGAATGAGAGGCCAGATAAAAAATGGGGCGGCGGATCGAATGATGCCTCAGGATAAGAATTCATAATCTCATGTATTACATAATCATATATATATAACTACAGAGCATGTGATCAATTTTTAATACTGACGCCTTTTTAGGCGACCAAGCAAGAAACTTGATAACTTATAGGCAAGGTACTGCTATGGAGATAGACAACCGAATCAAATTAGCATTGATTGCGAAGTTCTGCGATGTAGATCGATGTAGATTAACTATACGTCTATCGGGCTGCCCCGCGCCTGTCCCAAGGTTTGTCCCGTCTGACGTTTCAGTTAACTAGCCCTAAAACCCGCTTCTCACCTCGGGCGACAAGAAACTTCAAAATCGATACAGCCAAAGCAACATCATATGATAAACTATAAACACGCCACTAGGCTTCGGTGTCCTTTCATGGTCGGCAGATTAAAGTACTCGTGGAGAGACACTCAGTGGCGGTTGGCCATGAGAGGGGACATCGAATATTGATACCTGAGCCCACGCTGGGTGGGCCGTAACTCCCAAATTATCAGTAGACAGAATTCCCTGGCCGTCAGACACCAAAATATACTCTGCTCCAATAGCGATAATGTGCTGTAAACGGACATTGTCGTAGTTGTTGTCGAGGCGCCACAAGGCCTCCTGGCAGGCATGATGGTCGATGCAGTCTTGAGTGTATGAGCTAAACCAGGAGTATGTACCAGCACTGGCAATGTTGATATTTTGACTCTCCGTGATGATAACCGCCCAGGCCTCATCACAGCCGTCGAATCTTCCACCGCGGCAGGTATAGGCTGGATCCGAATCGTAGAGGCCGACTTGGCTGTTGAATGGTGCTGGTGGTCTAGGGTTGGGCTGGTAGTAGGGTGGCTCGGTCTGAATTACAGTGGTGAAGATATTTCGGGCGCGGTGGAAATTATATTGATAGAAGACGCTGTGCTCCGAGGATGTGCCATAGAGCCAAGTAGCAGAGGTACTTTCGATCAACATTCCACGAGCGACATATATACTAACCTGCGCCTAGTGTTGAGTTAGTAGGAACGGCGAATTCCTGCAACTTGAAGCGAAGCACAAACCATGTTATTGTAAGCATCATTGAGGTCAGGGTCACTGGGAAATTTGATGTTAGCAAACAGTAGCCTCATATACCAGCTTCATAGTTTGCAGGAGGATGGGAGACGGGCGTACTCTATCATGTGATCAGCCACCCAGAGCCACATGTTTTCAAAATAACCTGAAGCCTCCGGCGTTAGGTGAAGCATAAGGCTTGCCGCCTGGCAAGAAGCCGGATTGGTCCCTGCTGTCAAGGCGGGACACTCTTGAGGAGTTAGAGAAGTTCCAGTCGCACCACCAATGCGAGCATGAACATCTTGTACGAGACGGTTGTAAGTTTACCTGTCATAAGTTATAGGATATCAGGCTTCACATACCCCATAGTGCAGCAGAACCAGGTCTGGCTGCTTTAACATTCCATTGCATCAATACCACCCCGGCCGTGCCCCCTTTGGTCGTTAAAATTAGATCCTGCATTTCTACATTTCCCACGTCCCCTATATTACCGATCTGGAGCATGACCCGTGGATTACTACAACTTTTGCGTTAGTGATAACTGTTCTGTCTTTAAGTGAAGTATGATATACCTTGCATCAGAGAAGGTATTCCCGAAAGCAGCAAATTGTGACCAGGCCTCTCCATGAATTCTAGCGTCTTTGGGAACTATTACGGTATCAGTCAGTATATAAGTGCCAGCGTCCACGAATATAATTTTGTTTCCATCCCCGTAGTCGTTGAACGCGCGTTGGATAGCAGCCGTATCATCCGTGACACCGTCTCCTACGTCCGGTCAGTCAGCAAAATGACAGGATGAGGAGTAGGCTGAAGTGGAACCAACCTCTAGCACCGAGGGATTTAAGCTGGACAAAATCACCGATGGGTCTATCCGCATACTGGGTTTTCTTTCGCTCAAAATATGGCAGATTGTTTAAACCAGAAATCCTCTCCCCGAGTAGTGATCCTTCTCGAGGATATGAAATAGAGGCCCCCGAGGTCCAAGACCGTGTCCCACCAGTGTATGTAGCACCGAGGACCCAGTTGTCATAGTATCCGGCCCCCAAATATGTCGTACCAGCAGTATCCACGATGGGTCCATCGATCCTAGTATTGTCCAAGATCAAACCGGTAGTACCGGAACCAGGAGTTGGAGATGCAGGTGCTAAGATTACGGCGGTAGTCACGTCAGTGAATATGGAGTCAACGAAGGAGACAGACCCAATATTTCCACCACCGTCGCTATTTATAAGACGAAAACCAACATCAGCACCTTGGATGTGGAGGGATTTCCAGACCCAGGCCCAATCCCAGATAATTTGGACGGCCGTTGAACAGCCAATAAAGGTCATTCGATGAGCACTAAATTGTTGGTTTCCACCATCTGTCTTGTTAGCCCGTCGGGGTACAAGGGGGGTGGAATTGGGATTGGAATTAGCGACTCACAGAAGCCAAAATTACCACCCCGAAATGTGACGTCGGACATCATGCCGCCACTTCCATTCTCCGAGACTGCCCTAGTGTCAATAACAAACCGGTTGAATTGAAGGCGAACATACATATCCCTTGCTGTGTAGTCCCGGTCGTGGCAATCAACTCCACTTCCTGCAGACTAGTAGCTTGCGCTATTTGGTAGTGAATAGCACAGACATACGCATTCGGGTCCGTGGATGTGATGTCGATGCGGAGGTTTCGAATTTGGCTGTAGAACCGCGCGGTGTTGACATAGTACTCGGCATCACCGCCGTCAGGCCCAGTACCGCCCACGTACTGATTAGTTGAGAGAACTCCCAGGCCTATGAAACTGCTCGCTGCTCTGATGGTCGGCCAATTGTTTGCCTAAGGGAGTTAATAATGTATGAACTTATGGCAGGACAATGCTGAACTTACATCACCTATGATTTGTGTCGCAAATAAGACTTCGATGGAGCTGGAAACGAGGTATGTCCCTGGAGGAAAGTATACTATGGCGTTCTTTCTGGTTGATCCGTTACACCTTGCACCACAGCGGTTACCGTCGTTGATAGCGGCTTGGATGGCAGCAGTGGAATCCGATGCTCCAGTTGGATCAGCATGGTAGTCATCAACGACATTCCGGAAGACCTGTTGAGAGACCGCGTGTCAAAGCGTTTGTCAAGATTGCAAAGGGCGAGGAAAAAGGCAGTTTCTCCCATGTGCTCACTTTATACTGCGCATCATCACCCCAAGGAACAGTTCCCTGGCGTCTGATATCTTTCATCCAGAACGTCCCCTCTGCTCGCGCGGTCAGTGTAGCGGATCCAGTAGCCAATTGGTTTGCCCTATCTGCCTCTGCGACAAGGGCGGCGGCATGCGCAACTTCTTCAGTAATATGAAGTAGAGGAGGATAACTGTGATCGTTTCTTCTGGTAAAGTTTGCACCAGAGTACAGGCTGTACGTATTATGAATGGGGCTATCGAGACGGGCTTTGTTGAGCTTTGTCATTGTAATGATGGCATTTCGGACGACTTCGCGTGCCTCATCAATGCTTTCTTGGGTCGCCTCATTGAGTAAGGAATGATGAGAGTTAAATTCTCCCCGTGAAGGGAAGATAGAAGGAGATTCCTCCTTTCGCGGAGTGACCAAAGCATCGACGCCTGAGGCCAGGCCGGTAAAGGCCTGCAGAGAGACGCAAGCCCCAAGGACTTTTAGAAATTTAATTTTAACCATACTGGCAGATGTGTCAGAGTATTCCCATAAGTTCCGTCGTGAATTGAATAGTTGAAGAAGTTTAGAAACCCCCTCAGCAAGCTGGTCGGGCACCTTCCTTTCAAAATCGTGCAACGCGCCTTCCAACCTGGGGATGGGGGTACGGTCGTACTTGACTTATATGGCAGCTACGATAAGGGCAGGGAGTGTTATTGTTACACTGCAAGCACTCGATGCCACCCGACCCCCTTGACACCATCCAAGCTGCGCGCATTCATAGCACGAATGAGGAGAATGGTTAAAATCTCATCGAAAGTGAGCCGGTCTTGACCGTGCCCTAATCATGCAGGAGTTTAGATTGCCCAGCTAGTGAAGCGACAAGACGCAGAGCCCCGTCTAATGTGCGACTATGGACGTGGAAGGAATAGCAGATAGCCCATGTAACCCAAGCAGCAGGTTATACATGGTCAGGCTTGACCTGTCACCAGACGCCAATCCCCGCATTTCGGGGCTTTACAAGAAATAACTCCGACGGAGCTACTTTGCTTCTTCCAATTACTCGAGTCCTCGAGAATATTTTTGGTGTTGCTGAATGAGCTGTATTTGCACATTAATCTCTTACGGTTGAACTGACAAAGTCTCATTGCGGCAAAATACTCGAGAAGAATCCTATCTGATATCACACTAAATGGACCTCTAGGCCTCAGTAGGCATAGAGATTGACAACCCCAGGATCAGCTGCCCGCAGCTTCTTATTTTGCCTCGCGAGGTCAAATCTCATGACCCACGCCAATATAATAACCCCGGCCGAAAACCCAATACTGGCATACATGGCGGTCGAAAACCTCGGAGCGTCGCTGTCTGGCCACAGATATGGTGTGTAAACACTGGCAAGGTTGCCCAGGGTATTTGCCATTGCAATCGACACGGCCTTTTTCTCATCAGTTTGTCCCAATGTCGCCGCAACCCACGCAATATTGATGTTATTAACTCCGTATGTGGCCCCGACAAACAGGATCATAGCAAAGTACCGCCCGCCGATGTTCAATGTCCCACACGCGACTGCAAATCCAACGATGGCAAGCAACTTGGAGATCGTGACGTGCCAGGTTCTTTCGTTAAAGTGGCCAGAGGACCATGAAACGGCGACTGAAGTGAAAGTGGCCAGAAGATACGGCGGGCAAGTGAGAACAAGGGTTATAGTTGAGTTGAAGCCGAGTGTTTCAACGACTGTGGGCATGAAATTCTTAAACCCGTTGGCAGAGAGATGACAATTGCACATCAGGGCGAAAATCCAACAGCGATAATCCGAGCATGCGTCTCGAAGCCCCGTCCAAACGCTTGTTCCCTCTTCTTTCTGAGTCGTGTCCCGCGCGATGCGGTCGTGTGCGAGCTGTCGTTCCTCTGGGGTAAGCCAAAAGGTCTCCTTTGGGGAATTTGGAAGGAGAAAAAACGCAGCGATAGCTACTGCCACAGTCACGACGCCCTGAATCAGAAACAACCACCGCCAGCCAGCAAGGCCGTGTTTGTTATCCAGAGTCGCAAACACAGCAGCGGAGATGAGACCGGAGAATGCACTGGCCAGCATGTTCCCGGTATAAAGGATTGCCATGCGGGTGGTTGCCTCTTTGCGATTATAGAAAAGCGATATCATGAACAAGGCTCCGGGATAGAATGGCGCCTCCACAACACCAAGTATAAGTCTACAGGCGAGCATTCCGTGGTAGTCCTTTACCAGGCATGTAAGTGTGGATACAATCGCCCAGGCCATCATGAAGCCCGCCATGTACCATGCCGGCTTGATGCGGTTGAGAATCATGTTGGAGGGAATTTGCCCAGCAAGATACCTTTGAACAAAAACCACGATCAGAATGTGGAATGCATCACAGAAGGAGAGGGATAATTCTTACCCAACGAACAAAATGCTAACGCAGGTATTATACTGCGTTCCAACCAGGTTCAAGTCTTCGGTGAGACTGTTCAGCTTGCCATTGACGAGGGCATTGCGGTCCAGAAAGTTGAGAAAATACATCGCCCACACCGTTGGCTGAAAGCAGTCAGCGGACCATAGCACAGCAGTAGGGGATAGGCAGGCAAAACCATCATATAACAGTCAATCTTCCTGACAAGGGCAATTTCTTTGGGATCGACTTTGGCTGCTGACCCGAACTTGTCGTATTGTGGAATTCGCTCGCTCTTCTCAACATCGCCAATATGTTCAGCATAGCGAGCTTCCTTCTCGATGACACCTTGACGAGATATGTCGGCCATGGTAGAAATGTCTATTGAGTTGGACTTGGTAACTGGTATAAAAGAGCTGAGCGAGGAGGGATACTTCCTCATCAATATCGAGGAGCTCGGTGGGTCTTGATATACTTCCAAGCTCAAGGCCTCCACGCCCCCGCTTCAAATAATCTGGGGTAAATGGCAGTGTTGGAACAGCTAAACGAGAACTGTCAGATCCGAGATTGCCAAGTACTCCCGGAAACACAGCAGACCAATCGGCAGGACCACGTTTGCAGCTGAGCTGAGGGCTGCCAGGTTCATGATCCTAAATCGGAGGATGAGCATGCCAGTTTTCCGAACTGCATATATTAAGCTTCTCGGAAATGCCATGATACCCCTGGCTCTCTAACATTGTTCTCGGAACCTTGGGGTTACCTTGAAAGCTTCAGTGAGTTTATTCCCCCAATCGGAACGCGTACGTACCCGGGGCGAGGTGACACTGGAAATATCCCGGCAAATAATAGGTAGCAGTAACTTAATATTTTATTGATATTTTGTGAGAGAGTAGTATTATCCAGTTCTGAGGATTGAATAGTGGACACCATCGTGTATTTTCCTGGGCTGGGGGGCAGGACATACAAGCAATAGGATGTACATTAGTTGAAGCTGGTCCTATGTGAGTGTAATGTACAAATGGCTTAGAATTGGGCTTTTTCTTTATCGAAAGCTACTTTAAACCGTGGGGTGTTAAATCATTTACTGAATGATAACGGCTGGACATAGATCAATGATTCTTGCAGTGTGATCATAGAAGAGAGACGCAAAATTATGTACATTTGAACAGTCTAAACAAACTTGAGTCAAATTATCCTGTCCATCACCACTCGCTCCTCCAGTAGTCGACAAATTTCTTAATCAGTCTGCTCTCAATCAACTCTACTCCCCCTCTCAACGATGGACTTGCAGCCTCGGACTTCTCCATCTCAAACACAAGACCCGCTCGACCAGGCTTGTCGTTGTCATATTTCTCCGTAAAAAAGTCCAACAGCTTAATGGCTGGGTTCTTCTGCGGGTCCTGTTCGCCTTCGCGGAGACGTTCAACCCACTGCCTTTGGGGCAGGATTTCAAAGTCAAGCCCTGCTTCTTTTAATGCGGGGAGGAGCTCTTCTGTCCACTTGAAAGTCCTGGAGTTTTGGACGTGGTAGACTGTATGCGGATCGTGCGAGAACTGTCTCAATATGGCGGAGCCTGAGATAGAAGAATCGTGGAGACTTGCTAGGTCTAAAACGGCGTCTGCGACAACGTCGACGGGAAGCCAAGATGGGGTTTCGTCCAGTGCTGGTAACGCCTTCAGCGTATGTGCTGTTTGAATCATCAGAGGGATTGCCTCGGTAGTGTTCCATTTTCCTTTTACCGTGTCGCCAACAATTTGACCGACTCTGAGAACTTTGGCGATCATACCAGTTTGCTCTGCTGCAGCCTGGACAATTCGTTCTGCCACAAGTTTAGACCTCGCGTAGCCCATGTCGTGTGCGTCCGTGAGTTTAGGAACCGGGGCTTCGCTGATGGTGGCAGGCAGTGGCGTTCCAGCAGCTGAGGATATGGAGGAGCAGAAATAAAACTGTGCTGGATACGACCGTTCGCTAGAGAGGCATAGATTTATCAAGTTGTGGACACCCTTGATATGCTGCGCTTCAAAACTGCGCACACCTAGCGTAAAGTTGACAGCCCAGGCAGAGTGTATGACCTTGGTTAGGGAGGCCCGAATCTCACTGAGCACCGAAGGAGACAGTCCAAGGCTCTCTGAACCGAGCTGGGAGGGCAAGGCCACGATTTTTGAGACGTTTACCATGGGCAGTGACCTTGAAGCCAAGTTGGAAAGAATTCGATCAAGGGCGTTGCTTGTGTTCGATGCTCGTACAAGGCAATATATTCTTTTGACATTACTTTTCTGCATCAATCGAGAGAGAATATAGATACCAAGGGAACCGGTTGTTCCAGTGAGGAGCTGGTTAAATCTAGTAAGCACTGAAATTAATAGGAATAGGGTTGGCTTTTGGGGCTTACAATAACTTCCTCCGTTTCTGGCCGCTCTACGAAAGATGAATACTTGTCGATTAACTGTGACATGACCGCCAGCTCATCGTCCTCGCTTCGTTGGTCACCGGTTCGAAGGGCGTATAAGTGCGCCGCCAGCCTCTTGATGTTCGCAAAGTCAAAAACAACGTTATTACCGAGTTCGGCGGACCCGATGTTGATCTTTCTCTTGATGATGCCTCTTACTTTGATCGCCTGGAGGCTGTCAACTCCTGCCTCAAAGAAGTCGGAGTCCAAACCAAGTTCTGTAAAGCCTAGATCGGATTTAAAAAGATTTAGAAGGTATTTTTCCAGTTCTGCAAACTCCAGAGAGAGCTTTTGCGCGTCATCAGATGAGCCATTTTCCAGTGCTTGGTATGCGGCTTCAATGAGGTCGCTGAATTCCATATAGCAGCGGTTTCGAATCATGGTTCCTTTATCAGTCGCTGGATACGAAGACCCCACGGCTAATACGATAACCATGTCGCGGGATATCTGGCTAAATGCCTCTGCGTTCTTGTTTGCGGCCTCGATATCAGGCCAGACAACATCGAGAATCTCATCGTTGGTCATATTTTCACACTCAGCACTGGGAACAACAATCAACCCCGGGAGTGGCCTTCCCACGCCGAACACGAGATTATCCTTCACAAACTTGCTCTGTCGAATGCGGTGCTCAATTGGTACGGGCAGTACCTTCTCACCATTGACTAAGGTTACTCGGTCATCAATACGACCCAGATACTTCCAGGCATTTGGAATACTAGGATGCTTTAAGAATGTATCTCGAGTACGGAAGGAATTCGGCGGGTCATCGCAGTTGGAGGTGACTTTAGTTGGGAGTCCGTCGAGGGCAACGCACTCGTAGGAGCCGTCCTCGAGCTCGTCCATTCTCAAAAAGGGCAAAGCACCCTTCAGTGGCCGGACGTAGTTCCACAGCTTGTCCTCAACGGGGCGGTCGGACGTCATCAACTGGCCGGCTTCCGTGCTACATATCGTAAATATTAGTGTGTGACTCTCGCTTTTGCAAGTCTGAAGAGATAAGGCCTGAGGAATACTACATACGCTCCGTAATGGCTGATTAGCCGGACCCCCTTGTTCACAAGGTAATCTCCAAGGTCATCCGGGCAACTGCTTCCTCCAAAGAGAACTTGCCGACATTTAGCTAGTTCCTCAGCTCCCCCGTCAACCTCGCTTAGGAGTTTCAGAACGTATGGTACACCATGGAAACTCTCAGGCTGGAATGTTTCCATGGCTTCACGGACGTTTTTGCCGGTCAGGGGTAGATTTGCATTGTAAATGGCAACGGGCTTTGCCTTAAACAAGCATCGAAATAATGTGCATAGACCGTGATTGTGATACAGGGGGAGTGTCAAGAGCGCACGATACGAGTTGCTGGCGGTATAGTTGGCAATGCAAGCCGAGTGCGTCTGGAAAATTGGCTTGGGAAGACCTGTAGAGCCCGAGGAATGAATAATGAAAGCCAGTTTCCGACTCATTTCCGGCTGTCCAGTAAACTGCAATTCTGATGATTCGACGCATTGCGAGTAACTAGAATACTCTGGTATTAAATAGGATTTTGTTTCTGGCACAGCATCTTGAATCAACGACGCTGCTCGTTGTGCCGTGGAGGAATATATGATATTGCTGCAATTGGTTTTGGCAAGGAGGTTGGCGTAGGCTTCGGTGCTGAGTCGGGTAGACAGCAATAGAACAGCATATCCTAATCTGGATAGTGCAAACAGAGCAACGACATAGTCAAGGTTAGAAGCGCCAAGTATTGCTACTACCCGGTTCTCGACGGGATCAGAGAACTAAATGAGCTGTCAGTAAGTAGCCCTTCGCATGCAGTTCGAGTTTGGTTACCTTTGGAAGTCCAGAATCTTGCAGAATATTGGCAGATCCATTTGCAAACCTGTCCAAGTCTTGTGCAGTGTAGAACTTGTAGTCGCTGATTCCATGTGTGCTTTGCGGATAGCCGACCAAAGGGGCACCAGGTGGATGTGGTATACGATGCAACAGGATATCATTGACCGTATATAATGGAGTTCCGGTTTCCGCCGGTGGAGTGGGCGGAAGTTTTGCAAAATCGTTCAGGGTGTCTTTTCCATCAACTAAGGCGTCACTACTCGTCTGCGATGTTGGTAGCATGGTTGAAAGTACGGGTAGGTGTGTTTAGGGGCCAGGTAGGGTTCGTCACCAAGACAATAAGACGAAGTCCGGGTTGAAATATAACAGTACTATAGAATGCAGTAGAAGTATAGTCCTTTTCACATGGCTTGGGGAATCTTCTCCTGCTCCGCACCCGGCCGGTTAGGGCTGTGCTCGGAAAAGCAACGCGGGGCTCGGATAAGGCCACCTTCACATCCGATTCGGTTGGTTTAGTACTGTTTGGCCTCACTAGCCCCAAAAAATATTGACGAGAATGTGCAAATTGCATATGATCCTGGCACCGCATTATCGGTTGGCTGGGAATGGAAAAGTTTCCTGCGTTGGCTCAGAGGAACGGGGAAAACTATCCGAGCACTCCGTAAACAATTGAAGAAGAAACACGGAAGAGCAAGCCTGTTGATTTGCTATCCGCGAACGGATCGTCCTCATTGTGAGAATCTCAGCAGTCTATTATAGATTGCTGTTTGTGATACGACCTGAGGGGTACAAACCAGGCCGTCGAACTGGAGTAGAGGCCTATTTGAAAACAATCATAGGGCGCCTTTGAAAACCCGATCACCAGTCGCCTCGTCACAAGGAGCATACTAGAAACTACTCTATCGAATATCCATCGCTCCAAATAAGAGGACTGAGGTTCAGGATGGAGCAGCCGGTATCCTGTACTTGCCTTGTGAGAGCTTCCGAAGAGCTCAGCCAAGACTAGAATCCGGCTCGTTCAATCGCTGCGGAAGAATTAGACCTCAAAAAGCCATTGTCGTTCAGCTCTCGAAATCTTGTCAATTGTTAGAGGCAAAAAGGTAACCTAATTCTCCCAGGCCTGTCAGAGCTAGTGAGTCGAACTCCCCCCAGCTAGTTAGACTAGGCATATAAGTACCAGGGCTGCCATCTTGCATCAGATTCTCCATCCAGGCCTCCGGTTGCATATTTGATAAGGTTAAAGATGGGCTAACCTCGCCTGTACCGCGCCGAATGCCTTCAAACGTGGACTGGGGAAAGCTCGCCGGGGCGTAGTTAAAATGTGCTCCGGGGATGTCTATCTGCCGGGACTCGTTCGATACGATGTTGATGTTATTGGCCACTTGTGGATCCATGGACGGAAGGCTAATTGCCGACTGATGTTTGTGTTGTATACACTTTTGCGCCTCTCTACGCAGTTCTTCAAGCACCATGGCGTAGCGCCGGGCAAAGGACGATTGCGACCCGGATGTTGCTAGATGCCGTTGGGCCTGCTCGCCCGCCTGAAAAAATGTCGAGTTTGCTTCGACCTCGGCATTGTTTGCTTGAGCACAACTCTGGATAAAGTGAACATATAATACAACAATAGCTGAGAACGCATAGTAATGAGTGAACTAGGGCTGGGTCAGATTTTTGCGGAAGAGTCATTCCGGATTTTCAAGCTTACCCAAAAAGTATGGTACATTCTGCCATTCTCGCATAGGTCACGTAAGATGCTAGTGATCTTCATAGCAGCCTCTAGACAAGTCTGAATATTTTGGTTAACAGACTTGGATAGGTGGTTGTTTTCGTCGGCCACCGGAAGGGCTAAATTCTTGAAGTCCCTGAGAATGAATGAACGGTAGAGTAGTATCTGAGCATGATAGAAAGCAAGATTCAAGACCGTATACTGTCGCTGATAAGTAACCATCATCATATCAACACTTGGGAGGTCAACAAAAGCCGATATTTCTTTTCGCCACTGTGCAAGCTCGGCACCATATTTTGTGGTTGCTGCAGACTGGGACTGGAGAGTTACTCGTCGTATGCCGTAAAGATCACGAAGTATACCACTGATAATTGTTGACAGCTTGGCGTGATATACGGGTGCCAGCATGATGCTTTGAGTGCTCGACACAGCCGGGGAAATGCCGCTTGCTGTGATCTGAGAGTCGTTTGCAATAGCAGGAAGTTCCTGGTCGATTTCGTCATCGTGGAAGATTCTTGGACGACCCAGTGCGGCACCGAGGTAGTTATCCAAGATATATATGCACCAGAAGACTCGCTTGCGGCATTCCTGTTCGACGAAATCAACACTCCCTGTGAGCTCTCGACGCCGTCCACGATGCAAGCCGATTGCAATAGCAAGTCGTGCCATGGTCCCGAAAAGACTCCAGCAATGATTGATCCGAGATTGGCCCAGAAGATAAAAGCACTGGGCCAGCCGTGCCTGGACGCTTGAAAGGCGAACAGGGCCCGTCTCTTCTGCGAGATAGTGTTCCGAGGCAGCGAAATAGACTGCGCTGCCGACCAAAGAACTTGTTAGAAAGAAATTCATAGAGAGAGTCATTTAACCAGGCTTACCTATTTACGCAAGCACCCAAGGAGCTCTCACTATTGGGGAAACATAGCTTGGCATGGGCAAAAATCATTAGGAGCAATGCTCTTGTCGCCATAGCTCCTGGCCTTGGGGGTTGTGACGCCCCAAGGTCATGGTAGAAGTCTTCAAGCCAGTTTTCAACTTGTGGCTGGTGCAAGAAACGATGGGTGGGGAATGTGAATTCAAAGTACCTATCGAGCAGCGCCGTTGCTTCTTTTTTATTAGGGATGATGAGAAAGGATGGGTCGTATTTAGGAAGCGGGGCGTCACCCAAATTAAAAATTGGTGTGGTACGAGGAAACGAGATATGCTCATGAAGTCGTTTCTGAACCCGGATCAAAAATGAGACACCTGATGCCGGCCCAACATAATGCCCCTCCAGATCAGTTTGGTGAGGCTCTGGTGAATTGCCAGATGATGGAAGGGTAGTACGTTTATCTGATTGCAGGAGTCCATCGTGTGAAGCATGCCGCGGTGTCAATGGAGAGAGGCTGTTCGTGCTAGGATTCGTAGACTGCTCGCCATATTGATTGGCACTGCTCACATCTCCAGTTTGGTGACTGGCTGTGGGAACCGGTGGCACTTTTCCTCTATGGTAGCCAGCAGTGTACTCGCACTCGAACCGAGAGCGCTGGCATAGTGCGCAGGGGAGGGTACCTGAACAGCGTAATTTCTTCCTGGCAATTGCAAGTTAGCCGTATTCAGCTTTTTGATCGCTCAGGATTGACTTACTTCTTACAATTGTCACAGGCGCGAGTGACGCGAACCCGCTCCTTACGTCGCCGTTTGCTAGGATGACTTCTAGTGGACTCCATGAGGGGTAAAAATCAAGAAGACGGCATAGTACGTGAGACGATTTATAGGCTTGATGGGTTTCTTGTTCGCATCGAAAAGATATTTGTCTCAGACTGGTTTCGAGTCCGGGGGTGGAATAGGTATTAGTTGTGGGGAGAGGAGCGATTTTCTGGGGAAGCAAAGAAGACGCCAGCGGGCTTAGAACGCACGTGCCTCCTCACATTGTCACGACAACAATTTCTGGAAAGTTGGGTGTTTTGCTTGGAATCTACCAATGCCTCAAGGTTGCTGCCATACAGAGATTGCATTCGTCATTGAATTGGCTCTTGATAAAACACTGGTCTAAACGCTATAGCGACAAACAGCTGATCTACGTTGCAGGGACTCTAGGTTGTTGCCTGTCTAAATTCACCACTCTCTCAACTCTCCTCCTGGTCCTAGGAAGTGCGGGCTTCGCCATGCAGCTGCATTTACGGACGCTGCCCGGACTTTCTGTTCGTCAATCTCAATACCCAGCCCCGGCCCAGTCAGAAGATCGATCAAACCATCCTCCACATTCCATACTTCCGGATTCTTGATATATGTGTCAATGTCTGCCGAGCCCGCATTATAATGAATTCCCAGGCTCATCTCCTGGATTGCAAAATTTGCACTAACAGCATCGACCTGCAGGCTCGCCGCAAGGGCAATGGGGCCCAATGGGCAATGAGGAGCCAAAGCAACATCATAAGCCTCTGCCATAGTAGCAATTCTACGGATTTCAGAGATCCCACCGACATGGCAAATATCTGGCTGCAGGATGCTTATGGATGAAGATTCGAGGAACGGCTTAATGTCCCACCGGCTGTGTAGTCGCTCTCCAAGCGCAATCGGAATAGGGACAAGCTTAGACAAAGCAGCGACAGATTCTGGGTGCTCGGAGAGGAGAGGCTCCTCAATGAATAAGGGCTCGTGAGGCGCGAGCTTGTGAGCTAGTTGTTGTGCCATTGCCTTGTGTACTCTGCCATGAAAATCCACCCCGGCATCGATTCCTAGGGCTTTAACCGTCTTCAATCGCTCAACAGATGTGTCCAAGGCATGAGGTGAATCGAGCCAGCCCAGGTCCTCAGTCGCGTTCATTTTGATGGCTTTGAATCCCTGTGAGATTCTGGCTCGACTATGAAGGGTCAGAATCTCCAGAACAAAAACAGAAAAAAACGAGGTTTTCGTACGCTTGAGCTTCAACATCGCCTGGACGGTCTCCGCCGATCCAAGCATACACCTTTAGCTTATTCCTCAGTTTCCCCCCAAGAAGCTGATATACGGGAAGGCCGAGTCGTCTCGCTGAAATGATTGTTCATTAGATCAACTAATTCGTCCCTGGCTTCTATGGGCCACCCACCTTTGAGATCCCAAAGTGCTATATCCACACCTGATAGAGCGCTCATAAGGATAGGTCCACCCCGGTAAAATCCCATCCTGTATCCATTTTGCCATACGTTTTCGATATCACTTTTAAAAAGAAAGACGTGTGTCAGCATAAGGCGCAGAGTGACGAAATCCCAACGGTAAACGTACTCTGCATCCGCACCGGTGAACCTCTCAGCAAACGCCGCGAGACAGCCCTCCACGGCTTCTGTGTGACCTTCTAGCGATGCCTCGCCCCAGCCATAATTGCCATCGGCGTCCGTGATCTTGACAAACAACCATCGCGGCGGCACGCGAAAGTATTCTATCTGAGCAATTGGTGCCATCGTGCTAGCTGCCGTCGTCGTCAGATAAGCCTGAGTATATACCAGCTTTTGTTGAATGCGCAATCCGTTACGGGCAGCTTCTTGTCCAAATATGCGCCGTGAAGAGAGGAGCCATTAACCGCCTGACCGGCGTAACTCCGTACATTTCGCAGCTACCATCGCACCCCTCCCCGCTGGAAGCTCCACGCTGGACCCCCGCACCGGCATCGGATAAGCCATCGGAAAAGCAACTTGATGTTATTTTCCGGAGCATCGCCGACATGACAATTACCGAGACAGCAACGAATGAGCAGCCACAGAGATACAGAACAGTGCTCAACTTTGAATAAAAACATCGCTCGTCAGACAATAAAGCCCGGCTCACATGGGTTGCGCGCAATGGAAAAGGCTACCCAACCCCGGAGAAATATGAGGCCCCGGGTTATAATCCGGCGATTTACTTTCCTACATAATAACTCAAAAGGCTCTGGCGCAGCGTAGAACGCTCCTTGGAAAGAATTAAAATACGCGCCTTTACAGAGCAACGCGACAATGGCCTCGGGACGCATATTCAAGCTCAATTCAGGCTACGAAATCCCTGCCGTCGGCCTAGGAACTTGGGTATGTGTTATTGTTGAAGCCCACTCTGAAGACAATAAATAATGGTGTCTTTTTTGAAAATAGCAATCCAAGCCGAATGAGGTGCAGAACGCAGTAACTGCAGCGCTTCAAATTGGGTACCGTCATATCGACGCTGCATCAGTCTACGGGAACGAACGCGAAGTTGGGGATGGAATTAAAGCGTCAGGTGTACCGCGTGAGGAAATCTTTGTAAGATTTATATTACTACAATATAAAAAAACAAGGACATCAAGGGCTAACCCGAGCAGCTCACTAGCAAGTTATGGAATACCCATCACAACCCCGAGAACGTTGAAGCTGCGGTGGATCGATCACTTAGCGACCTCCAGACCGATTATCTTGATCTTTACCTCGTGAGTCTCTCCGACTGCCTTGCGAATTCCACGAGGGCTTGGTTTGGGCCTCTAATACGACTGGTGACTTGCAGATACACTGGCCCGTCGCCTTTCGCCACTCATCTACGACTATCCAACCGATAGATGAGAAAACAGGTTTAATCGACGTGATAGACGTCCCAGCCAAGGATACATGGGCTGCGATGGAGGCATTAGTCGCCAAGGGCAAAGTGCGGTCGATTGGTGTCAGCAACTTCACTCGAGAGAGGATAGAAGAGCTCCTCAAGACGTACGTTCATGGTTCAATGTTTTACCCCTATACAAGACCAAGGAACAGCTGACGGAGATGTATGTCCTAGAGCGAAGCTACCACCTGCGGTCAACCAGATCGAAGCCCACCCTTATCTCCAACAAAGAGAGCTACTAGAGTGGTCTAAAGAAAAGGTAAGCAGGATATATCCTGCCTCTTAAAGCGATGCAGAGAACACCTACTAAGAAGGATAACCACACAGGGGATTTTAGTGACTGGATACTCACCTCTTGGGAACAACATATACAACATCCCACGGTAAGAGTGTTTCATCAGAATCGCAATGCCCGTAGACAAGCAAACACTCACACAGCCAACCTAGAACCGTTGACGACCCCCTTGTCATTGAGATCGCCAAATCCCTCAACAAAACCCCAGCCCAGGTCCTGGTCAGTTGGGCTATTCAGCGAGGAACAGTTGTTCTCCCGAAATCTGTGACCCCTGAGAGGATCCAGAGTAATTTCCAAGGTTTGTCTACCCTCGTCATGCTTTTTGTTGCCTCATGTGTCGACTTGTAGTTGATTGGCCTTTTTGATAGACTTTGTCCTCCCTGAGGATGCGTTCCAGGCTATTCAGTCACTAGAGAGGCACCAACGGATGAACTTCCCTGCGCGCCTTGGTGTGGATATATTTGGAGAGGTTGGCGAGGAGAGCGCAAAGAAGAGTGCGCGCGACTGGGCAGAGGCTCAAAAACAGTTGAAAAATTAGGGGGGTGGTTGATATTAGACTGGGGACTCTTTCTGGATTAGGACGTGGGTTATATTAAAATAGAGAAGATGCAAAATTGTACCTAAACAGGATAGATCTTGTTATTAACTCTCACTTACTAGTACCCCTGTAGTATATGACCACGATATAATCTTGTCGAGGTATCCAATTTGAGAACGTGGCAGCCATTGAGGGCAGGGGGCAGGGCCGTTGGCTCTATAGAAGCCCATAAAAATACTTCTAACAATGCGCTATTATAAATACAGAGCTAGATTAATAGCCTATTTATTGTTTGTGGAATTTCTCAACCATGTTTGAGTGCAGCTTGACCAGCTCTGGAATGATCAGGCTTTCGATTTCCGTGCCCTCGCGGGTTGTAATAACCGCCTCATTCTTCGATGAATCTGCACCATCAGGAGTCACAGAGGCATCGTCCCCTAATGACCGCTTTGCGGCCTCGGCCAATCCAACCTGGTCTTCGACACCGGAGATGCTCTTGCTCCGGTGTGACTTGGGAACCCGAATCCAGCGTTCATGTGGTGGATCTGGCGTGACGAATACCACCTCCCATTTTCTAGTTGAGAGTAAGTTTCCGACCACCAGGTGATGGGAATAGGTATCCAGCGCCGTCTGCGCCTTGTAGACGAGCAGATTTGGATCAGTTTCGAGCTTGAAGGAGACAATCATGCTTCCCTCTGGTGACCAGCCGTCCACAAGCTGGTGGAGGAATTTCGGGACTGGATCCAAATTGACGACTAGCTTCTTGCTTGACGTGGCTTGCTTCTGCTCAAACCCGCCTGTATAGATATCATCGGCGTCAACGGCCTCCTCGGGGCCACTGAATTCCTTGGGAATTTCGGATGATTGTATCTTGTGCTCTGCCATCCGGTCGCGTGGAATGAAGAAATCGCTCACCGCAGCAGCTAAATAGAAGAGCGCATTGGGACCAAGAGGGTTCATGCATTTTGCAAGCATGCGCAGTTCGAAAAGATACTCAGAAACAGTGGTAAAAGGAATCAAAAGAAGGAGGTTGTTCTGCTTCGCGTATCTATATTTCCGGAGCACATCCCGCATCTCATCCTGGTACTCGTTCCGCACCACGATGGGTCCATGGTCTGAATTGGCTGAGTCGCTCGGTGCGGCCTCGTCCATAAAGTCTAGGAAGCAATTGGTCGAATGGCTGTAATGTCGGGAGTATGGAAGCAGACTGAACTGACGGTGTAGGAATATCACTGCATATCCCTGCTGTAGGAAGTACTCCGCGGATGTGGCACCTCTTGTTCCTGCGGAGAAGTTGTCGATGAAGCGGACAGTTTGATTTTCGAGGGGAACTGTAGTTCCTCCAGAGGTAACGAGTACCACGCGTCGACTGGATTCCACATGATAGTCTATGAACGATCTAGCGAGTGATTCATGTTTGGGGAGGGCTTTAGGTGGAGGGTAGTTGTTGAAGTATGCGGATTCGCTGTCGGCGGGCGTCATTTCCGTTGGCGGGGTAGTCGAGTGCTATCACAAGATATACTAGTCAAATAAGCATTGCGTTTGTGATAAGAAAAGGGAGCAATTGAAAATAGTGAATTTCAAGGATATTACCTAGTAAGCACCGACTCCTTATAAATAAGCTAGCTGTTGAACGTTCTCCTTTGTACGACGTACCTGTCATGCCGCTGATGTCAGAACAGTTAATATGGAGGGACCGACGATTGCCGAGGGGCAGAGCTTGACCGCCTTCGGTGTTTAGTCACATGACCTATTTTGGCCAGAAGGAACGACCGAGGATGGGGGGTGAAGCGGTTGTACTTAGTACTTCTGAGTAGTTTCCCAAGAAGTTAAAATGTGAACATCCATTCTAGGAAGGTGCGGCCGTCTACTAAATAGGTAGCTGGCCTTTCAAGCTGCACCTAAGTTTTACAAGCAGGCAGGTGTTGGATAAGGAGAGCGGACGCCTCGGCAGGGAGTTATGCCAATGAAGTTTTGACAGTCAAGTAAACACCATCACGTATTGGGTTCTAGCTACCAGCTAGATACATGCCCCATTCCAACTATCTCCCAACCTATCTCCTAGGAGTGGCAATCCCTGGGACGGGTGCACATCAATATGATCAGAGACGAGAAGATTCTGTTCCCTTGTTACACATTTTGGTACACTTCGAGATTTCGTACGTCGAGAGCATCGGATGTGTTTGCATGGATACGTCTTTGGATAAGTCCGAAACTTCAGTTCCTACGACTTTGAAGAGCTGTCAGTAGAGCGCAGTAGCTTGTCATGAACACGAGCTCTTTAGGTTCATGCTTTAGAAATGCGAACTGCCAAGAAAGCCTCCCTTTTTGCCGATATGTATCAATAACCTAAGAACAATCCAATGCCGCTAACCAGAAGGGTAAAGACTGCACAAGGATAACCAAGCTTTCAGCACTCACCCTGTCAGTTCCGTTCTGCAAACCGTTACCTAGACCTTGAAGAGGCGAATCCTGACACCTCGCGCCGTCTAATGTCAGATTTCCAAGGTCATGCGAAGTATCGACTTCAGATTTATATTGACGGTGTCCATACGATTGAGTGTTATTTTGCGCCACCCCCAAAAAGAAACATGGACGTTCACGGAAGATAGCGACTGCGTAGCGCTTGGCTGATTGTACTCATCCGACTTGCCATTCCGCCATGTTGCATATTGCTCATAAGAGCCTCCTCAAGCATTGATTGAGTCACACTCGTATCCCCTGGGGAGCAGTGGGTGTCAGCTAAATAAAACATTCGGGGTTAAGAGGGTGTGCCCTACCATCCAGGTCACTGAAACTGCTTCCCATACTGGGCGTCCCATCGCTAATATCCCTCCCGGAAGCTGTAGACCGCCGAGGGCTCATACGCGCAAGATCAGCGGTTCGTCGAGGGCTGGGATGATTGATTTGAGTGCGTCGCTGGTTGCGTGAATGAGTTACCGGTACACCGGAGCTTATTGAGCTCTCGGAAGACTCTGTAGTGGCCGATTTCCTCAAGTTTTGAGGCGGCTCGGCCTCTCGTCCCTGTTGCGCAGAGATACCTTCTTGCTCCATTCTTAAAGTTGTACTAAGGTCATGCCCAGAGGCCCTATGGGATACAGAGCCGTGGCCTCGTGAAAGAGGGAGGAAAGCTGGTGATTCATCGTCGTCGTCGTCGTCGTCTCGTAGGCCCGGCCGATGCGTAGAGAAACGTCCAAACCTTTTGATCCCAATACCCCTTCGACCTGCTGAGGCGTAGTCGTCATCTTCCGAATTGGACTCAGATGAGCTTAACGAAAAATCTTCCTCTTCAAGTGTAGGGGATTTTTGGACAGTGGCAGGAACATGGGCTTGCTCGCGTCGGCTTGTCGAAGGTCGACGACCATGGCTTTCCCACTTCGGCTCCTCGGACTCCGTAGTCGGCGTTCCGGGATGTGATGGCTCTCGGGTGCCCTTAATCTGCTGTACCGTGTTTCCAGAACTAGTTCGCCTCGGGAGCGGTGCTACACGGAGTTAGGACATCAGACGACCGATAAAGGAGGGTGGAATTTACCTCGCGTCGGTGGGTTCTCCTTTGGTTGTGATGCCAATCGGGACGGAGCCCGCGAATCTATCAGAGATAAGAAAACCGAAAGTTGATGAATTTAGGAATGTTGTCATAAACTTACTGCTGCCCTGGCCAGGCTTAGCTGGTTGGGCTAAGGCCGTGCTGGCATAAATTGAGCCAGGGGTTGGTGAGGCAGTATTTGAATGAGTGTTGCCGACCTTGCGCATTTGCGCGCGAACTTGCGATAACTGGCGATCATACAACCAAGCTGCCTGCTGGAGGAGAAACTGGAGCGTCACTTCAAAGCTCTCGGCACTGAAAAATGTTAGTTTGCAGAAGACATCAGATCAGATGCGCTAATACAGCTCTTTCCCTATTAAGAAAAGTCAGTAACCCTATATTGGATGAGGAGTGGTATAACTTGGCATACAGTCTATATCATTTCCCTTTGACGGGCGGGAGAGAATGTCCCAAAGTGCTTGATCTTTGGCTGCATTCCAGTCCACCTAATAATACAGTTAGTAGTTGGTTATAGCTACTCGACAGGGAATGCTGGGGTACTCACTGGTGGAGGATCCACAAAGTCGCCTCTGGGGATAGGCAAACGGATCAGAACCGTGAACTTAGTGCTCTCGGGTTGGGTTGGAGACGGCATGACGGGTACACTCGCTGCATGCAACCCGGGGAATATTAATCGATAGTGCAGAGATCTGCAATGTTTTGAGCCTCAACACTTGAGGTATAGAACCAGCCTAAATGGTTTGGCGGGATAATAAGGAGTCCGCCGATGAAGGTTAGTGATGGCTGTGATGATGAGGGAGGATGAAAGCGGTTGGAGCCGTTGATGGTTCACCGCGGGCCGTGGAGATAGCCGATCGCCCGTTGCGATAAAGCTGACTCGGCAAAGATTTGGAGGTTTGGCTTATAGCCACGGCCGATAGCTCCAGCACATGACGTATCCCTCCCATGGATTAACGTTCAGTTTAACCCTCCCTGGACAAACTTTGCTCCTACTATACGGTGTAGACGGTGCAGCCGATTTATCATTATTGTTGCGTATAAATCCCATTGGCAGACATTTAGTCCGACACGGCGCTGTGGACAGGAGACACGTGGTGGACGGTTAAAACCTCCACTCTTTGATCAATTTACCAGATTAAGAAAGCGGGTTATTATGGGCCCAGGAGATTGCTCATGGATCGTGATAGGCACAAGACCTGTCGACATCGGATCTGTGATGCGACAGTGCGAGGTGGTTCACTTGGTCCCCAGTACCTCGGATATAACCAGTTTAGTTAGTACACACACCCTAAAATGGCTCGCGCGCCGACGTCGACCTCTCTGCGAAAGTGTGAATTGTGAAGTCTCAACAAAAACTATCTCCGTCTGGCTACTTCATTACATGCGCCTAATCGTATAATCTGCAAGATCAGAGAAGACATTGCGTATCTGATTGCTTCCTTATGTTCCGGCTCACATACATTTACTGCAAAGTGGTGGCAGTCCTCATACGGGCCATTGCCTGTCTCAGGCTGCCCACTCCAAAACCGGATGACGTTCACCAGTTCCAGTCGCGAGAGCCTGCAAGAAGCATAAAAATTCATGTCTATCGGTCTGCAACCATATCAAATCCTGCCCCAGTTCTTATAAACCTCCACGGGAGTGGATTTATTCTTCCTCTCCATGGATCGGACGACGAATTCTGTCGGTTAGTGAACCAAAAGACTGGGTATACAGTTCTGGATGTCCAGTACCGGCTGGCACCGGAACACCCATTTCCAGCGGCACTCAACGACGTTGAAGATGTGGTAAATTGGGTCTTGCAACAGCCAGACAAGTTCGATCGCGCTCGAATCGCCATTTCAGGATTCAGCGCAGGAGGCAATCTCGCGCTAGCTGCTTCATCGACTCTTTTTCCTCGTGAGACGTTTCATGCTCTTCTCACCTTCTATCCGCCCGTTGACCTTGATACCGATCCCGGTTCAAAAGCACCCCCAGATCCTAGCGGAAAACCGCTTCCCGCGTTTCTGGCTCGGTTGTTTGACAAGTGCTACATCCCCTCGTCGCATGACAAGAGAGACCCTCGGATTTCGCCGTATTATGCACAACCCGATCGCTTCCCTAACCGTGTCCTGATGATAACGGCAGCCGGGGACAGCCTGGCGCCAGAAGCCGAGGAACTGGCGGTGAAATTAGGAAAGCAGGCTGGCGGCAAAGTGGTCTCCCAGAGAATGGAGGGCTGCGACCATGGCTGGAACGTCTCACCCAAAAACGCGGTGCAGCGGGAGGCAAGAGACAAAGCATACAACATGGTTTTTGCTTTGTTGAATGAGCGGCGATATCTGTCGGCTCCAGCCATTGAATTGCGGTGAACAAAGGCTTTGGGGATTGTATGCACGTCCCCTTCTCGGGTCTCAGCGACATCATCAATTGACAATCACCAAAGCGGGGGAGATCACGGGGTCTTATCGAGTGGGCCGCCGATAAGTTCTCGGTATGCAAGTGCTGGCTGCAAGCCGGGACTGCTGGTCGGAGGGGAGAACAGACGGGGCTGGATGGAGACTACCGTGGTTAATTTAAAACGAGTCCGTGAAATATTACACTGTGTAGATCAGCGATTCTTCTACCATCTCCCTGAAGCGGCGGTGCCTGAACCAGAGCCAAGGTGATGCAGTGGCTGAAACCACGGCTCTCTCTGTGGCCCTCGCACCATGACTCGGGCGTGAGAGTCAAGGCACCCTGGCTCTCAGCAGCAAAAGCAATACAAACTATTGCCCGTGTTCGCGGGCTCGGACGCACAACAAACTCTTGTCTGTCTCATCCTCTGATCCTGTCCATCGAGGCGAGAATGAGCCGCCTGGTGCCCTCCTGACTGCCTATCGTGTGGGTGCTCGGCCGGTCCCAGCGTAGTCATGATTTGGTCAGGCGGGTCCTAGTCGCAAACAGGACCCAACGGCGGCGAACAAGAATTATTTTTTGTGTAGAAGTCCCTCCGTAATGTTCTCTTAGGGCCTGTTAATTTGGAGGAGCCGGCATCGACGCCCAAATCAGATTCTTCAGCGGCTCTCTCGATGTATCCGCTGCTCCATTTCTCCATCGCTCCTCTTCACTAACACGGCTGAGCTCCCCTCTCGCCTTCCTTCACTACTCCCGCCGTTCACTCAATACTTCTCGAGTCCCCTCCCCTCGCAACTCGAATGCTGCTCTCGAGCAACCCCCTCTCGTCCACCGTGCTTCTGGTACCGTGGGCGAGTCGATGAGTGTCGCGCATCCCGTTCTTCGATATCCCTTCCTCCGACCGTTACTCGCTGTTCGGCTCATCGCAAACCACTGGCCGCTCATTATACCGTTCGATATATCCTCGACAACAAATGCGCCCCATGTGTGAGAAACGATAAAAGAATTTGCAATTGCATAATGGCGCCCACCAAGTCCGTTGGTATTGACGAGGATCGGTATCGCAGGGAGGTTCTCTTGCTTTCTTCTGAAGAGGACGAAATCGCGCAGCAACAACAGTTGACTGAGGAAGCAAAACAACTAGGGCTCAAGGTCCCTGAGATCGAGATTGTGGCGTCACTGGCTGCCTCGATTGCTTCTGGAATGGTCGATCTTTCCTCCCCGATCCTCTCTTCTAGTTCCTCGACCGACCGCAATTCGATATGCGAAACTGCACACGCCCACGACTCTCCACAGCTCGACCAACTAGCCTCGTCTCTCTCCGATTATACCATCTCATCAAACATAGCCAGAGGCGGAAGCACTCGCTCCATTACTTCGACCCTGTCGACCCGCCCAACCTCATTTAGCTCCAGTGAGGGCAGGCCAATCCAGGGAGGCGAAAAGTCCTTAACCAGGCCATCCAGGCACAGAAGCTCGTTTCTAAGTGTGATATCTGGCAGCGAAAAGAGTGGAAAGGAAAGGAAGCGATCAAGTATCAAGTCTGCAATCGGGAAAATACCTTTTCGGAAACGGAGGACTCCCTCAACAGTGCTCTTACCGCCCGCTGCACAAATAACTGTTACGAAAGGAGAAGGGGGAGTCGAGAAGCTCTATGTGGAGTCAAAACCGAACGATACACACCGGCCTACAAGTATTCCTCCGGAAGATGAAGAGGAACCCCTGAAGCTCGAGGTCCCAGCGTTTGATAATGAATCCCTTCTAAGAAGTCTCGGAAATTCCGAGTTAAAGCAGCTGCGCGATGCGCAAATATCGGAGCAGAAACTGCATATTTCCTTCCAATGCGATCTGGTTAATGAGCTGCGGCGTGCACAGCAGGCGAAGCTTGACGATAAATTGGCGCAAAACCGGCAAATAGAAGATGAGAAGCGCGAGAAGGTATGCCCTCGATCCAAATATCTTCTAGTTTGTTCTCACACCCTCTAGAATATAGCAGACGCCGGTCGAATGGAGGAACGACAACTTATTATTGAGATGGAACAAATACGAGAATTTGAAAGGGCGAAAGCCAACTCCCGAACACGTATCAAATATATGGAAGGTTATCTTAGCAACTCAAGCCCTCCGGATTCGCGGTCTCCCTCTCATTCGGCCTCTGACCTCACAACGCCCAGTCGCAGTTTTACGCAGCGGCATAAGGCCCAGCTAGCCCAGGAGCATCATGACTACGATTCCATGGGCCAACTTCACACCTCCAAGATCAAGGTTTTAAGAGATCGGCAAGAGATTCGTTTGCGGGAATCCATTGCTCGAATGGACCGGGAACTCGAAGCCATGATAGATGGACATTCAGCGGAGCTTTCCAGCCTCCAAAAGGAGCACGAACAGGAGGAAACATTGATACTCCAGGCACTAAACGTTAAGAAAACAAAACTACGTCACCGATGGGTTCTAGAAGAGGCTATACTGCGGAAGAAACTTGAAAATAAGGACGGAAACCTATACGGACCCCTGCCGCCACTATCCTTCTCAGACTCTCAGTCTGAAACCCGCGACTCAGCTATTTGCGTGTCAGATCCTGACGGTGAAGCAGAAGTCAAACGCCCGAAGGACGCATGACTCGCGCTCTAGCTTACGAACTGATGTTAATATGATACCCTTTCCTTCGATTTCTCGCATTATCAAGAACGGCATTACACCAGCGGATCGTCCTCTCTATTCTCTTGTTGATGTTAGTTAATGGCCCGTAGCTGACATATGTCTTGTAATTATGCTACCCTTTTTTGTTGTCATGTTAATTGGGATTTGTGAGAATACATTGGGGTGGCGTGTCTTGTTATTGGTTTTGGTGCATAGCGTCTTTGTTCTGGATATTCCCCGGTCACTCTCTTCGCTCTTTCCATAGATTTACCCAGCTTAGAGTTATCTAACAAGAAATCATCACTTCATTGACTGGGCTCGTTATAGGCCGATATTAACTGTGTATGCTACTCTAAATTCGACGCCGTATCACTACTTCTTCTAAGCGGCATGTTCTTCCTCAACCGGTCTAGAACTGTGAGCAACTTCCTATCTCCGCCAGCAAGCGTAGCCTCCAGCGCCTTGTCTCTTCCATCGTCCCCGATAACTACCGCTCGCTCGACCAGTCCCGAATTTGAAATCTTGAATCTCCCAACCTGGCCATCCTCCCATTCTATCCGAATGTACGCCGCTTCCAGTGCTGTCGGCGAGAACGACGTAATGCCAAACTCATTCTTCTTCAGTCGCGTATCCCCAACACCGGAATCAAACCCAACATCAATAAGCAAGTCCCGGTCCCACGGCCCGTCATCCCCATCATCGGAATAAGCGTGCCCATCCCGCCGCACAACCCCTATCTGCTCACGAAGGTAATGAACCGCATCCAAGCGGGTATGCCAAGAGACAATCTGGCGCCTGATTTCGCGGGTGAGTCCCGGCAAATTCTGTTTCGGGGCAGGGGGGTTCGGCTTTTTCTTCATTTGCGGCTCGACGCTGCCGTTGCCGTCGGCATCACCAAGAACTCGGGGCGGGGTAGGTAGAAATATACGTTCTAACCGCTCAACTGGTATAAATGCGGGTATTGTATGCCGGTGAATTTTAAGCCGTATTGTGTCCTGGCCCTCCTCATCTGCCTCTGGGCGCGTCTTGCGCAGAAGGAGATAGTACGGTTTCGTGAAGCGGCCGTTCCGAACACAGACGTCAATGCGCACGCCGAGTAGATTCCTTGGATCCTTGTCGTCGCTGTCTGTTGTCGGCGATGGGTCTTTGAACGGAAAGGTGGTTGTTGAGAAAGCGATGCGGTGGTGGTTTGATTGGGTATGTGAGCCTGCGGCGCGGACAAGCGGGGATATGTCTTCGTTCAAGCTGGATATGGCATGTGCGGGGGCATTTCTGGCTTTGATGAATTTCTGGAGCGGTTCCGAGGAGAGGATGCTCGAGGAAAGGAACCGGCGGCGTCTTTGGAGCTTGCGAACTGTGTTGGGGGGGTTAGCTGTATTGCGATTCTGGTAAGAAGAATAAAATACGGACTTTCGCGGCGGATTGAAGATATTTCGGAGTCCAGCTCCTCCTCTAATTGCATTGTTGGGTCGTTCAAGTCCATGGCGAGTTTTGTTTGCGCGGCGATGGTGTTTGTTTGGGTTCATGAACTGGAAGCCAGCGATTGTTTTGGTGAGGGCGTCACGTGACTGGTATACCTTTGTTGGATTCAATTTACGCCCATTACCCTTCCTCATCCTCTTAGGCGATGATTTCTTTGGAATTTGTTTGAGAATGTTATATTTTGGTTATTGAATATTTGTTTTGTCTAATCCAATGCCCTAGTGTTGGACTCATTGTAGAGATCCAAGCAGTAAGTGTTTTCATAGTCAGAAACTCCACAGTGAGACAGTCAGAGTCAGCAGTCAGCACCAGCCTCGACGCTGTCTCGGCCAACGGGGAATTTCAACAAATCGCAAGGGGAGCCCTGGGGACAAAAAGCCAAGTTCACAAGTTCATTGGAACTCGGGGTGGCTGTGCGAAGTGGAAGACAAGAAGTGCTGCCGATCTCAGGGTCCAGCCAGCGGGTTCTTCAGTTGCGGAGTCCCTGAGAATTTCCACTGAGGCCAGCTTGCAATTATCAAGATTCAATTAACCGCCACATTCATCTCCATTACTCCTCCCCCTCGCGTGCGCTATTGGGGGCCAGGACGATCCAATCCATAGTCTTATGCTTTCTCCTCTGTCTCTCCTTCCGCTCGCTCCTCCATCCATGTCCAACCTGCCTACCTTCCTCGCCGCCGTCCCACTCACCACCGAGACCCCGAGGTCGAGCTGAAGACACTAGTATGCAAAATCAAGGATAATCAGAACTACAAGCCTTAAACCGTTCTCCAGAATCTAGAGATTAACCGCATATCTCGCCCACCGACTCCAATTCCGACGCGTTTCCTTCCGAAACGACCTCCGAGACACGAACCTCCCCGCGACACGTCGCCTAAGGTGTACTCAGCTCACAGATGAAGCGCAAAACCAATACTCTTTCCAAACGTCGGTCAAAGCCGGCACTCAAGGTCACGACCGGCTCGAACGGTCATACTCATGACGAAATGAATTCCAACATCGAAATGCGCAAGCGGGATACGTCCTCAGAATCATCCTCCTCATCCGCGCGTGCAAACCGTTTCATGTCCAGAACCAGCTTCTCCCTCGACCATGATCCGCCTGTAACACCCCAGACGCCTGGGATGGCTACTACAAGCTTTACCGATCTTCCTCCAACTGACAAGAAAAACTTTTTGGTGCTATGTCTTCTATACTTCCTGCAAGGTGTTCCCATGGGGCTGGCCACGGGATCGGTCCCGTTCTTGCTAAAGCCGTACCTTTCCTACGGACAAATCGGTGTCTTTTCGCTCGCATCCTATCCATACTCGCTGAAGTTGCTTTGGAGTCCTATTGTGGACGCTGTTTGGAGTCGTCGGTTCGGCCGCCGGAAGAGTTGGATCACTCCTATTCAGGCCATTGCTGGGCTGGCCATGATCTACCTCGGAAAACATATTGAAGACATGATGAAACAGGCCGGCGCAAACGGCGGAGCTGGTGTATGGAAGTTTACATACTGGTGGTTCCTACTGGTATTCTTCTGTGCAACCCAAGACATTGCTGTGGATGGGTGGGCGATTACCCTGATGTCGACGCAGAACATTTCCTACGCTTCCACTGCCCAGACTGTCGGCTTGACTGCGGGTCATTTCCTATCATACACCGTTTTCCTCGCCTTCAACTCGAAAGACTTCGCAAACCGCTGGTTCCGATCAACTGCGGGTGAAGGTGGCCTTCTCTCGCTCGGCACCTACCTTACGATCTGGGGTTGGGTGTATCTCATCGTAACCACTGGCCTTGCGGTCATGAAGAAAGAAGACCATGTCTCCGAGCGCGACAGCATCTCGGCTGTTTACCGCAGCATGTGGAGTGTGCTGAAGCTCAAGAACGTCCAGACCATTATCCTGGTACATTTGATTGCCAAGATTGGCTTCCAGGCCAATGATGGAGTTACCAGCCTGAAACTTCTGGATAAGGGTTTTGGTCAGGACAACATGGCTCTAGTGGTTCTTATCGATTTCCCCTTTGAAATCGGTCTAGGCTACTACGCCGGTAAATGGTCGACGGAATACACTCCCATGCGGCTCTGGTGCTGGGCGTTTATCGGTCGACTTGCTGCAGCTGTTCTAGCCCAGTTTACTGTCATGATCTACCCAGCAGCTGCTGAAGTTCCAACTTGGTATATATTCGCAGTCATTGTCGAGCATGTCGTCTCGACGTTCATGAACACAGTCATGTTTGTGGCCGTATCCGCGTTCCACGCTCGCGTCTCCGATCCCGCCATTGGGGGTACCTATATGACGCTACTAGCAACGTACGTTCCTTTCTTAATCCTCTTAATGCAAACTCACTGACTTTTTACTGCAGGGTTTCAAACCTAGGCGGTACCTTCCCCCGCTACTTCGTCCTCAAACTTGTCGACATGTTCACCCAGGCTACCTGTGTTCCACCAAGCCAAGCGCCCGCCCCAGACTCGCTGAAGGGTGATTTAGTCACATCTCCTTTCTCATGCGCTCTTGAACCTGAGAAGAACCGCTGTGTTGCTGGTGGAGGCACCTGCGATGTAACTCGAGACGGCTACTATTTGACGAATATCTTCTGTGTGCTGATTGGAACCGTCACGTTTATCATGTTCATCAAACCCGCTGTTCTGAAGTTGCAGGGTCTGCCATTGCGGGCCTGGAGGTTAACATCTGGAAATTCCAGGAACTAACATTGTATATCAGCATCTACATAAAGATATACATTGTACGGAGCTATATTAGAGCCATATTCTGAGGACAAAATATAGTTATTGTATTATTAAACCATAAAACTATACAACATCCAAACCCGAGTTTCAAACGAAATCTACCCAAGTCCTTCGACTAAGCAGTAACAAACCCCTCCCACCCTTCCAACGCCTTCCAGGAAAGCTCCTCATACATTGGCAACCCCCCAGGCCAATTCAACATCTCCTTCTTCTTCCCCGGTATATTCGCACCCATATACCACGAATCCGCCTTCGGGAACAGCGTCATATCGGCAATGGCATTAATCTGTGCCTTCCACGCATCCTCTGCCTCGGCCGTCGGCTCAATATAACTCAGGCCGCTCTCATCAATCTTCCGAATTGCATCCACAATCCACCGTCCCTGCAGCTCGATCGAAGTCGGCGCGTTACTCAACGCTGTCGGTCCATGGACAGCATATGCGAGAAACATATTCGGGTACCCCCTCCGCGTCATACCGAGGTATGTTTTGACACCAGCATCTTGGCCCCATTCCTCTGCGAGCGTGGTGCCCGATGTATTCTTGAGCCCTTGGATCTGGGTTAAGCTTCCCGTATAACTATTGAACCCTGTAGCGAGGGCTATTGCGTCGACGGCGTAAACAGTCCCGTTTTCGGTCTTGACTCCCTCCGGTGTGATGGAGGCAATGGCCTGTCCTGGTTCGCGGATATTCACGAGATCCACATTTGGCCTGTTGAATTGCTCGAAGTAGTCATGTTCCAGGGAGCATCTTTTTGCGGCGACTGGGTGGGGCTGTTCGAGGGGGGCGAGTAAGTCTCTCTTTCTGGGATCGGTGATTCTTGCGCGTGTTCGCTTTGCCCAGTAATTGTATGCCTCGCGGTTGGCGTCGGCGTCAGTGAGAAAGTCACTGAACGCACTGAGGAGGAAGGAAAAGCCGCCTTTCTGTATGAGGGACTCGTAGTGGGCTTCTCTTTCCTCGGTTGGGATGTCAAAGGTCTTTGCTGGGCGTGCATCGTCCAAGTACCCGCCGAAGGTGTGCTTGCAGGCCTCGAAGAGAGTGGGATGGCGGGCCCTCAGGTCTTCTTTTTCCTCCTGCGAGAGTGTCCTTTGCTGCATTGGGAGTGCGATATTGGGCGTTCGCTGGAATACAACCGTTGACTCTGCTTTCCCTGCGAGATCCTGGATGATCTGTACGCCTGATGCTCCTGTTCCAATGACAGCGAGCTTCTTCCCGCGAACGTCCACGCCATCTTTTGGCCAAGACGACGAATGGTATACGTTTCCCTTGAAGCTTTCTAGTCCAGGAATATTGGGCTCATACCGCTGCGAAGCAAACCCGACGCAGAGCAACAAAAACCGACAGGTTGTAATCCTCCCATCCTGCGTTTCAACCCTCCACTTCTTCGACCCATCCTTATCGAACTGCGCGCCAGTCACGGTCGTGGAAAACTCGACATCTTTCTTGATATCCAAAGTCTTGTCTAGATGGGCGAAGTAGTCTCGGATTTCCTGCGCTGCGGGAAACTTCTCCTTGAACGACCAGCTCTGCCATGCCTCTGGGATGGAGTATTGGTAGATGGCTCCTTCAGAATCCACGCGCGCTCCAGGGTACCTATTCCAGTGCCAGACACCACCGAGATCAGTGCCGGATTCGTAAACACGACAGTTATATCCGAGTTTGCGTAGACTGTGGAGGAGGTAAAGGCCCGAGAAACCGGCACCGACGATGACGACGTCGTATGAAGGGGAAGCAGACATGATGATGGGCGAAAATATATTTAGGAAGATATGAGAGGGGAACGGCCAAGATATTTATCTTGTGCTCGAGAAAGCCCAGGCCTCGGTGTACCAACCCCGCGCAAGGTCTCTGGCAGATCTTTCGCAATTCAGGACTGGTGAGGTGGTTAGCCTTCATGGATGGATTCTATGGCAGGCCAATTAGTACGTATCCCCATCGATGCAATGACTAGGACGGTGGGTCGTGGAAAGGGCGGGACTCTTCAGCTCCCAGCTATGCACTGAGGCCCAAATTTGGCCCTTCCGGAACGAGATTCAATTAAAACCCGCCGTTGCAGCAATCTGAGGCCTGAGAAGATGTCAATTGGACCCCGCCTGGACAGACTATGGATTGACGATTCAGCCTCGGTTCCGCAAGCCGAGTCTCCAAATCCTGGTGCCCACATACAAGGCAGGCTGTGTAGATCATTAACAACGGTGAAGGAGCTATTCTCGGACAGTCTCCGGCGATTTGATTCAGCTCTCGAGGATTTTTGGGGGCGAGGGTTCATAAGCAATTGATGACATGAGGGAAGTCCGCGACGGATTGGCTCGCACTGCGGAATTTAAGTTGGACTGGGAGTGCATCGTAAGCTTCGTTTAGCACGATATCCAAGATTGGTAATTCTTGGGCTCTGTAGGTGTAGATGCACATGGTCGGTATCAGCTAAAAGCATATGGAATTCTACTGTTTGCAATAACGTAGGGTAGCGGAACTTTCAATAAGCACAGGCTTAGGAATATAGAATAGGAGCTTCGATATTTATCAATTGACTGAGGATATGACCGTAAACTGATGCTTCGGTTGTCTATATACCGAAACGCATAGCCCTGAGCTTAATTAAGCACCGGAGGTACCTGATCGCATCTGTGCTATTGTGTTCGCCTTATGGATGGGCAGTCTCTCCACAGCCTGGGCCAAAATTAGCCTCGCATATGCCCCCTGTAGCCTAGACGCCAACTTTGGTATCGTCTTCTGGCTCGCCAGATCTCCCTCCCTAGGAACGACCTCATAATCGTGTGCCCATGCAAGCCGGACCTCAACGACCATACCTTCGTCCTCGCGCCCGGGAACAAGGAAAGGCACTGAGGCGCTGACTTCATACCTCCCCCCAGACATAAGTCGCCATGGATATCCCCAACGCGCAACCTTCTCAAAGAACAAGCGTAGCTCATCGGGCCATTTCCACGACACCAACAAACCGTGGGGGTTAGCCATTGATGGCGAACGCTCGATTGTCAGAATGTCGAGGAGGAACTTTGCTTTCTCTTTCTTCGCCCATCTTTCTTTATCGATGCCCATAATGGTGTGTCTATGCTTGTCAATTCCAACGGTGATCGGGAAAGCAGAGTGCATATCAAGATGGATTTGCGAAGAAAGAAAGTCAAGACGATCAGTCTGGCGCTTAGTGATGAAGCCGGCTATAAGATCGTTCCAGCGGAGAATAGGAGTGTCGAACACAGCAAAGGCCCATCTTAAACCGAAGTTCGCCTTCACGCTTGCTACGAACCATGAGGTGTGGGGCGAGTTTGGTTTAAATGCGTGCAACGATATTTGCTCGAAGGGAATATGAGTGCAATAAACTTCAATATGTGGCGTGTGTTGTGTGGATGGACGGTTTGGCGTCCGGAGCGCCGCACTGCATGTTGAGTCGTCCACTGGGAGAGCGGGATATCGCCTCTCGAGGTTGCTGAGACCACGGTCTATGTAGTAGGCTATTGCTGCTGGGGGAGTCAGAATATAGAGCAGGCGAAGTGAAGTCATTGATGGAGAACTCAGGTTGCTGAAGGCCTTCAACGAGGGGTTTGCTGAAGCAATGAAGTTGTGTTGCATGATCGACCGACCCCAAAGCGGATCAACAAATACGTCAGGTACAAGCCATAATGATTTATCTGAAACTTGCATGAGCAGTTCACTGGTTAGTACGTAGAATGTTGTTGTATAAATGTGGACCCAGGCCGACCGGTTTTGATCCACGGATCCCCAAATTTTATTCCCACCCAAATTTCACCTCCTCCTGCGCCAACACAATCGCTACATCGCAATCGCCTCAGAACTCGCAACAGCAGACAATATGTCCGCCGCCGACTCCTCTCTCGACGACATCTTCGGCTCGTCCCCTCCCCAGCCCGAACATCGTCTCCCGCATGCGCCCGCACACTCGACGGTTGAGCCCTCCGAGCTCCCCTCCCTCCGCCGCCAGCACGTCACCGCAGGCTACCGCGATGGCATTTCTGCCTCTAAATCCGATCACGTCCAGCATGGATTCGACGCCGGATTCCCCGTCGGTGCTCAGCTAGGTATGCGCGCTGGGACCATATTGGGGATCATCGAGGGTGTCCTGAAAGGATATGAGAGCAGCCCCGCCACCGGGGTGAAAAAGCCCGGTCAGAAGTCAGCGACAGCAACAACTTCCAAAGAAGCAGACGAAGCGAAGCGCGCACAACGCGACAAGTTACTCAGCCTCTATCGAAAGGCTGAGAAGGAGCTAGACGTGCAGGCGGTTTTCGCTGGGCTGGATGGCAAAGAGTTGGAAGGGAAAGAGGAGAAACCAGAGAATACCCTTCTGAAGAAGGGTGACACCGTTCTCGCAGATTGGGAGAAGAAGGTCCCCGTCGCCGCATGGGAGGAGAATGTAATGGATGTCTTGGAGGTGAAGAGCGACGATGGCAAGTCGGACGCGGATCGAAGGGAGGCTGCTGCTGGGCAAAGCTGAAACAATCCACAGACGAACGGATGCAAGCATCTGGTTTGCCTCTTTGCCTACCTACCGGTACTACCTATCCTGAATTCCAGGAACCCAGCCCTCCCTTCTCCCAGGATCCAAAGTCTCGGCCAGCCCTCAGGCCCGGTCCATTTTTCAGTGTTCTTCCCATGGATCATGGAACACAGAAAAATTTTTCTGTGCATGCGCATTCTTCACGCGCGGCAACGCAACACTGCAGCAGCCGCCTCGCCTCCTGCATCACGGGTCGGGGAACTCAGTCAGGGGATCTGATCGCGAAGACTGCAGGACCTAAATCCAGGCATCGACTGCAAGGCCAGGAGCCACCAACCGTCGAAGGAAACCACAGATGTATGGACCGCGTCGCGTCGCGTATCGTATTCTCTCAGTGCTGGCCCTTGCTGCTTCTTGCGATCTCTGGAAGCGGTCGAATATCCGCGGCCGGGAAGCCAGCAAGGATGGACAAGGAAAATTCCCGGCAGGGAGTTTGCAGCTTGCATGGAGGGCAGGCCGCAGAAAGGACACGCGAGTGAAGAGTGCCGGAATTTGACTCAGGGCGGTTCTGCAACGTACATTGTGAATAGCTTTACTGGGTTGGGCCATGCTGTCTTCGTACCGGGAAAGGTTTATGATACGTATAGGACTACACAATGTATACAGACTTCAATGCGTCTCATGGAATCGTGAAAAGAAACAACCTCTTTCACAAAGAAGGATATCCAAGGGGGCCGTAGCCACAGCAATAACTCAATAGGGTCAATAGGAGTCAGTACAAGAAAACCAGGGCTAGTCGTCTCGGGAAATAACAGTAGCGTCCGCGGAGGGGAGGAAACCCACCTCTCGTCACGCCTTGATCCCTATGCACAAAGTACGTACTAAGTACTAGGGTACCCATAGGGCCCGGGCCATCCCTACGAAGGCCCGAGTCAGCGATACGGAACGAAGGATTAACACCCGCCGTAGATCAAGAGCCAAGGGATGGGATCCGCGCGAAGGGGCGAGAAAACGAAACAGCTGAAAACACAACAAAACAACCCCACGGGAAGAGAGACGCGACGGTCTGGGCACGAGTGCTGCCTGAACACTCAGACCCTCTCTCAGACCTTTCGAGCTTGGATGGGTTTAGCTTAGGTCAGGTTACCTTTGAAAAGGTACGAGTACGTATACGGTATGTCTGAGGTCCTTGAGGTAGGATTAAGCTGGGTGGTGGTAGCAGTCGGGAATTCCATCCCCCAGCATTCTCAATGGGCTCTACTATTATTAGAGAGGTAGGGTGTGTTTACAAATTTGGAGTTTGGTAGTATCCAAGAATTGGTCTTTATTTCGGTCTTAGGGGACACAATAAGTAAGGAAATACTAGAGTAGTTCAGGTAGATATAACAAAAAGGAAATATAGCAAGGAGGAGCTGAACTCCTGTGAGAGTGGCTACAAATCATAGCACCGGAAGAGAGTGAGAGTGAGAGTGAGAGTGAGAGACACACCCAGACAGAGACAGATGTAAAATCAAAAAAGGAAAGACAAAGGCTTCGTAGCATGAGTGAGTGAGTGTTGCATGCCGCATTGCATCTTGTGGCGAATTATGGATCCCATTGAGCATTAATGAGACATCCAGCGCCGGAGTCATAAGTCATCTTGATCCCATTGCCAACTCTGTAAATGGGTCATAAGACATTAGTTCAAAATATAAAAGAGAGACATAGTCGTTTAATATCGTTTCAGCGAATGCACCGTGCCGTGAGGCGAAACCAGTTATAGACCGTGTAAATCATCCCAACGCCGTCCCGGACTTTTGGCAGAAAATGAGAAACTTATTACAACCCTTTCCGAGGCCGAGGAGGCGTGATATCGCCGTGGCAGCCGAGGACTCTTATGGATTCCCAGAGGCGCTTATAGAGCGGCGGGCGAGATAGGGTTAGACTTTGATGAATGGTTTTGTCGGACCGCTCTTCACGGCAGAAGGTGCACATCTTCTCGCGTTCTGCAGACATGGAGGTTTCTGGGCTGGTGGACCGCTGGCGCCGGCGAGATTTCGCTTGTATTGCGGCTGCTGCCGTTGAACGGTCAATGCCGTAGCTCTGTGATTTGGCGCTGTTGCGGCGGGATATAGGATTCACTAGAGAGGTGGTCGAGGGGGCAACGAGGCGGAGAGTCTGGTGAGCTGCTGGTCGCAGGATATCTCGTCCTGGTCGTGCTTGGACGGCGCTCTTCATAGAGCTCGGGCAACGTTCATGTGGAGGGTGGTCAGGCATGGTTGGGAACTTCTCCAAGGCCGCATTGTTCGTTTGGGCTGGGTTATTTTGCAGCTTAGGGTTTGACTTGGCGACCCGTAACTGCACCCGGCTACGAACCTTCTTCAAGGTATCCATCGGCTTCCGGGACAAGGACCTGGGGTCTCCATCCTCATTGTCAGAGTCGGACTCCCAGACAGATTGCTCAGGATACATTTCAGATGTAGAAGTTGAAGGTCTTTCTCTTGTTGAGGGCACTGTTGGTGGACGGTCTACCGAGGGTGATGGTGGTCCCGGACTAGGCACTGGGCTAGGGCATTCATTGGCGGGGATGAACAAGGCTTGATCGAAGTGCGTTCGGTGAGGCTCCAGGGTCACCGGATTAATAAGACTCGGAGGGGATATCATAGAAGGTTCGATTGCCAGCCGACTAGGTGGCTGCTTCTTGGATGGGTGTGCAGTACTAGGGCGTGGAGCGGCTGGTAGGGACGGGAGGGGCTTCCCACGTAGGGATGAAGAATCCTGACTCCTTGGAGGCATGATAACGGTTTCCGATGACGCGTTTGGTAACGAACGTTGAGACTTGGTATCGCGTTCTGGAGAAGATGGTTCGGTAGCTAAGGTTACTTGAGACCGGTTCAAGGGTGTAAAGGCGTAAGAATGTGTGCTATTTGCAACACGATCCTGTGCCTGTTTGGAGAGAAGGGAGAGTTGCTCGGTAGCTTTGACGACCGGCTCTGGATAGATATGCGCAGAGTAGTTAGAAGAGAATGAACTGCTAGGTGTTAGGTCTGGGGTGGGCTCTGAGATTGTGTCTGCCCACGGCTGGGTCCCAATTTGCTGAAGACCGAGCTGGTGCTCGAGCTCGACAGCAGACAGTGTAGAGCGGTCGATGTTGGCCTCTGACCTGATGGTACGAGGGGCTGCGGGTGGAGCAGGGAGGTCTGTACGAGCTTTCACAACGGATAGCATAAAGTACTGTTGGATATCTTGACCCGGTCTCGCATTGCGGAGGCCCTGTTGGCAAGAACCCCAGCTGCCGGTAGTGTTGGTCAGGGACTGTTCGAGGTAGAATGGGTCAGGGTTGTTCTCGTCTTGGAAGTCCGAGCCGCGAGGAGGATAGTAAGAGGAGGCGCGTTTCTTCTGTGGCGACGGGGTTGGCGGCAGACCGACGACAGTGGTCTGCGATCTGTTCCGGCTCTTGGGGAAAGCGTTCAGTTCGCCGGGCAGACGAGAGTATCCGTTAGCCATGAGCTATGATTCCGACGACTGGACTGGAGGTGACGGCAGTGAAACAGGCTGAGCGGGCATCAGAGGAAGTACCGGTAGACGAGAGGGACGAGACGAGGGACACAGGATCAAGAGGGGATGAGGAATGGACAGGAGCAGGCGGGGTGACCGGGGATGTGTTTATAGACGGGATCCGAATGTCGAGGTGGCTAGCCAGAGAGAGCCGCCGACGCATGCCAATGCAGCATCGTGTAAACAAAGCTCGAGCACAGACAGCAGGACGCAGCAGGGCCTTACATGATCTCCTTCCCCAGGGATGGCCGTGGTCGAGGCTGCTGCAAGGCGATCGAGACTGCTGCAAGGAGTCGGAACCCGATCCGCGACCTTTCCTGATTGCTGGATTTCTGGCCGTTTTTGGCAATTTCTGGCACTCTCGAGCAGGTATTCCAGTGGCTTCCTTGGATGAGAATACTTCAGCTGGGCAGGTTCGATGAACGCTGAGTGCGCGCTGCATTGTTACTTACATCGGCTGGAGCAGGAGCGGTGATGACTGGGGGGGTCGGTGTATCTGCAGTGACAAGATACCATCGACGAAGAAGTACGACCGTCCTCCGAGGAGTCTGCAGAGGCACTGCAAGATCGATCCTCAATGCTGTGCCGTTGCGCGAGTGCGAACCAGGAAGTTGTGGGCGGGAAGTGTCGAAGACTCGAAGTACTACTTTCGGACGCGCGGGCAGATGTGAGCCATCACAACGCTCGGCCTCGACGCAATTGCATTGTCCGGACTCTTTCGACAATCCATTATTGAAGCTTGTCCACCTCCAACACGACTCGTGTCTCAAGAGGCGTTTCCTGAACGCGAGGAAGAGCCCAGAGAAGCAGAGAGATCCGCATTCCCGAGTCCATTCCGGTTGCTGTGATACAGACCCATCAGGTGAGAAAAATCAAGAATCACCACTCTACATACGGAATCATCATTCGTTGCAACTGATTCGCCCTCTTTTCGTCCGCTTCAATCTGAAATCGGACCTATCGTAAAGCTTTGTCTTCTCTTCCGGGACGTTTCAACCCTGTCTGACGCCTGATGGATCAACCGCGTGTAAGGCACTTCTGCCAATAGAAACATAATATGGACATCAGGAACTATTCGCCGGGGTACAAAGGCACTGAGATTATGCAGTCTGTCAGCCTGGGGCCAGGAAGTTCGTACCACCAGCTTGGCTCTGTGTCTCTGGGAGTCAGTCAGCCCTGGGCAAGGATTCCCTTGTTTTCCCCTTTCAGGAACATCTGTTCAAGACTCCAGGACCTTTGGCGGACCAAGCTCCGGTAGAAACTCAATCTGGTCCTACGCAGCAAGTCATGGGCACGTCCGATTTTGCGCTGGAGCAAGCAGCACTGCGTATGATGCTACCAAACCATCGCAGGCTCGTCCTCATACATCCGGTGGCCAAAACTCAGGGCAACGTGTGCATTTCGAGTCCAGATCCCACCGGGTCGCCCGGGGAAGCAGAGGTGCATTTCCTGCATTCTTCATCCTGCAGGTGTCTGTGACTGGTGTGAGCGAAGACGGTTAGCAGCATGCACGGCCCAGAAGTATTACTCTTATGCATGTTGATCATATTACAAATAGACGCATAAAAGTTAGGAAGGTTACCGGTAGTTTACGCCCGGCAAAGTATGTACTTATTTTTGGAGTTAGTCCTCGGATATTGGATGAGTTGCCTCTCGTTGGCTTCGACCTTCCAGTACCAAGTTTATCCAACTACACCATCATCGTCGTACGTATGGCTCATTGCTTGACATTCGAGGGCCCGACGCTCCGGAATGTGTGTACAACATATCCTTACTGAGCCAGGGGTCCCCGTACAGTAAGCGAGGAACATGCTAGTGATTGTACCACCCTGCGACAGAGATTTGCCGGTATATAACACCGATTGGCCACCAACCGCAGGAAATGTCTGCAGGAAGAAATATCCCAGTCAGCAATCAACATTGACCCCAGCTTCGAGTATCGAGATGTCCACAGATCCTGCCTGGCTAGGTGTTGCACAAGTCTCGTCATAAGCGATGAACACGTCGCATTTGGGAAGGATATGCTGTATTATTTTGTACAGGGAACCAGGAACTTGTCCAGTGCTCTAAGTCTATGATGAGGCGTTCCTTAAAATGAATACTCAGTCTTATTCAGCTTAAACTATCTGGCTCTATCTCAGCCTTAAGTCATTCGTCCGTGGGAAGTATACCGCGACTGGTACAATTGACCGTTGAGTGGACGTGACGCTGCCATGGAGCTACCGTTTTAATACTGCAAGACTATTGTATAAATTTAAATTTTTAAGGTGGGAATAATTAAATACGTAGTTTGATGTGAATCATAAGTACGGAGAATGTGGGCTTTCTAAATCTGCCGTCGAAAAGACATTATATATAATTCCCCGACGCCCAGTACTTGAGCCGCTGAGTGACTCCCATGAGTTTAAAAATACATTTATGGTGGCTGATCAAAAGGTTCGAATCTCGAGGGTATGTGTTTGAGACCCCCGCGCTTGATTTCAGCTCTGTGGATTGGCATCTGGGGCGAGGAGATATGTCCAATATCGCTGGCATCTATAGATTCGACTCATGGACCCGGAGACCCCAAGCCGCACTCCTGGCTCCCCACCACAACTGTATTTAGAATAATATTTCAAACACAGGACAAAGAAGCGGGACTCTACATGATTATTACCTGCCAGTAAAGGTACCTAATATTCATGCCGCATGCATAAAGTCGCAAAGCGCCCGTAATTGAGATCAACTCCCCACGCCCATATACGCAATTCTGCAGGCACTCGCAGCGCCCGGCAAGCTGGAACAGAAGGTTCAGGCAGAACATTCTTCATGCCTCTTGCGCATATGTATGTGCATGCATCTCGTTTCAAATCCATTGAAGGAAGATATAAAGGCGGCTCGCTCCACCTCCGGCTGCACCTCAGACATCCGCTGGCCCCACGGCTTCGGGATGCTGCGAGGGCTGCGTCCGCGGACCCGCCAGAACTCATCGAACTCTTCAGAAGTCTTAGCACCACATTCCTGAATATGCAGCCGTTTATGTTCAAGCTGAGAGTGGCTTCGGTGAGCGAATGGGCGAAGAAATAGGCTCAGCCAGCCCGGCGATACCGAGAGTTTACCCCAATGGCCGAACGTACTCCGTCATCTCGATGAGGGCTTCGTTCTCTGGAAGTCGGTCACCAGCGAGAGGGAGAAACTGTGTATTCCTAAAAGGATAAGTCAACGGATAGACTTTCGAGGCGCGCTGAGGCTGACGAGAAAATAAACACGGGAAGGGAGTATCCGTGCTCTGGATGGACGAGGCCAATCACGGACGGATCCAGAGCGCTGGATATGAGACATGGCTGCAAGGTACTGTCCAAGATGTTTAAGACCAAATGAGCGGCCTGAAAGATGAACTCCCTTACGGACGATCACTCCTGATGATTTGCAGGTCCGGGATGGTTCCTGCCGGGTGATTGCCGCGACTCCGACTCTTGTCTTGGTCTCTGTTCCATCGTTGACCGGGAGGCGACGAGGTTGGTATACGATCCACGGCTCCCTTGATTGTGGCGCTTCGAAGAGACAATCGGTTAATTAGAAGATGTAAACAAACGCGTGACTGTCATTGGGATCCTCATTCAGCGGAGATTATTCAATTCAAATCACCCTCGGTTCGTGCTATCAAGAGCACTACATGTGTGGAGTTCATGGTCCATCATCTTGAGGAGGGTGAAAGCAGGCCTTGAGTTCTGACCCGAATAGCAAGGATTAGAACAGCAGAACCTGGGATACTTGGGTAGAATTATAATGGTGTGATGCAAACAGGCGTCCTCTAACGTGACTGGGTGCGTGGATTGCCAGCTCATCAGGCTGGAAGATCGATGATCTGGCTCCCAGGTGTCTTCGACGAGGGCATTGACCGCGAATAACTTGTTCGTAGAGAGCTCGCAATCTGTCCTCTGTAACTTGAGTGAAAATCAGACATCATCATCGCCTTGTTCCGTGCGTTCGGCGACTGGCTTGGAGAGGTAAGGCAGTCCGGTCCTTGCTGGGTCTCAGTCAACGCCCAATCCACAGTGTCCGATTATAATTATATAAAGTGGAAAATTTCTGAGCGAGATGACCGAGCAAACTGACCTGTCGAGCAAACTTGACTTGGTCAATTGAGTGCACATCCATTCGAAAGAATTCCTTCTGCGGCCCCGATACTTGAAGGAAGTGTTTATTACAATACGCGGCTGTAACCGCGATTATTTCAATAATTGGACACATTTTGCGAGGGTTCGGCGCGGCCCAATATTACGTGACGGACGCGTTACCGATCCTCTCGCCTTCGGCTGGCTCTCCTTCTCGCTTCTCATCTCCAACTTCTCGCCAACTCACCAACACCGGCGCTCTCACGATCACCGTCTTCTCACGGCTGTCTTCTACTCTCTAGCAGCCATTGAGCTCGGTCAGCTCAGCTCTATGACCACCGCGGGCCTTCCCGAGTGCTCGTTGTGGTCGAGGAGCGGGAGCCCGTCGTGCAGCTGCTTGTGTCCCCAGCCATCGTAATTCCGCAACGGAGACGCTTATTCGACCAGCCACTGCACAATTCAACTCCCGTTCTTCCTCGGTGCGCTCTGAGCTGTCCTCCCTTTCGAGGACGCTGGGGGTCGCTTTCCTCAATTTCCCTACTTTCGCTACTGTCATATCCACATTCCGGGCGCTGTCAGCTTCATCAGCTAGCTATAATTGCTTCTCTCCAAAACCGGCCCGGCAGGACAGAGACCGACAGCTTTCAATTCAGAAGTTGTCCTTAAGCTGCGTCAAGCCGCTTTATCCTCCGAGACTCAATCCTCACATTGTCGCCCCATTCACCCCCAACTCGACCTCAGCCTACCCAAGCGGTGTATCACCAAGCCCACCCTACGCTTGACGAGACCTACGACCTTCACGACCCTTCTACGTTTACGACCCAATCGCAGCAACGCCAGCAGCAGGCTGCTCCCAATCCTGCTCCTAATCTATCTAATTACCCGTCTAATCGCCCCTCGAGCGCTCTCGACAACTACCACCGTACCCTTCGGAGAACGTCGCGCTATTCTTCTCGCCGCCCAGGTTCGGTAGATGCATCGGGACGCCCGTTTGAAATAGAGCAAACGATCCCAGTTTTTGTACGACCTGCTTCTGAACATACCCGCGAGCTAGCCGCACCGCGCCCAGCGCCATCGGAAACAAGAACACAAAACGAGGGTGAGGAAAGCGATTCCGCACTCGACGATAACCCTCAGACAGCGACTGGATCGTATTGGCCTCGCAGATCCACTCAGGTTTCCCATACCACAGCGTCTGCGATCCTCTGGACACTAGAGGAGGCAATTCGAAAGCCATTTCCATTTACCCTCGACTGGGACGAAGTGAATGCGTCCATGTCTGACCTAGTAGGTGGCCCTGCTGTGTCCGGGCCTGGAGGCAATGGCCGGAGTCAGAATGGTGCTTCCCGAGCGGCCCAAGGCCCAATTCCCGTCAACACTCACCCTGCAAGCGGTGTGCGTACACCTACTGATATCATGAGACAGCGTCGGGACAGAGAAGCTCGCAGAAAAGCTGAACAAGAAGCGAAAGATCGGGAGCAGGAGGACGTCGAGCGCAGACGGCTACAGCAGGAGCAGCAAGCCAGGTCACAAGCGTCTGGACAGCCCTACCCTGCTGGCGTTGCTGGCGAAAGACCCACGCAGCGAAGAGCTGCACCGAGAGCTCCCACCACGACAGAACCTCGTACTACATCCAACATCGCGGGCCCATCTCCAACCAGTCCCCGCGACACTCAGGCTCAGGCTCAGATACCTGTCAGTGCAGCCCAGCCTAGACAGCCTATCGCATCTGCCCCCTTTGCATCGCAGCAAGGTTCGCAACCCAAGCTCGGAGCCCAGCAGCCCCAGGGCCCACCCCCAGATGGCCAGCCAGGAGTGACTCAGCCCCAACCCCAACAGTCACAACAACAGCCCCGACGTGTTGGTTTTCCTCATGCGTTTGAACGGTGGGAAACTCTTTCATCTCATTGGGAGGGATTGACCAGCTACTGGATTCGAAAGCTGGAGCAAAATAATGACGCGCTTGAACGCGATCCCCTCAGTCAACAGATGGCCCGTCAAGTGACCGACTTAAGTGCGGCTGGTGCCAACCTCTTCCATGCTGTTGTGGAGTTGCAGCGCCTGCGCGCATCCTCTGAGAGAAAGTTTCAACGATGGTTCTTCGATACGCGTGCAGAGCAAGAAAAGTCCAAAGAACTGCAGGGCGAGCTTGAGAGACAAATTCGAACAGAGCGCCAGGCCCGGACTGAGGCGGCTGCTTCAGTTCAAAAGGCCGAAAGCGACAAAACCCGTGCTGAAGATTTGCTCAAAGAGATGCGCCGCGAACTCCAAATCTCAAAAGAGGAGGCTCGCCGCGCCTGGGAAGAACTGGGCCGCCGCGAACAAGAAGAGCGGGACCGCACGAACTCCCTTCGGAACGGGGAACCTACCCTGGTCGGTGGAGTACAAGTAGTGCCCATGATCGCAGGGCTTCCTCGACGGGACTCAGGCCACCCACCAACTCAAGAGGGCGCTTACACTGGGGGTGACGGGAAGGGTGCCTCTGACCAGCTGTATGGAGAAACACCGCTATCACCCATGGGAACCGACCCGTTCGTGGAAGTTCAAAGACCTGTCCACGAGTCTGATCAAAGTTATGTCCAAGCCCCGGCACCTCCTTCTGCCGCTCCTCAAAGCCAGGGACATTATGCTGGCCATTACTACGAGCCAGAGGGCGCATACCCTCCCCACACTACTGCCGGCCGTGAGCCCAGCATAGGTAGTAGCGAGCCTAGCGATGACTATGGCTACCAACCGAACCCGCAAGGTCGCCAAATGGTTTATCCTCGGCCAATGTCGGATGAGAGTGAAGAGTACGAACAAGGGTCGTTCGAGGATAGCGAAGGTGGATACGTGACGAGCACCATGCCGCCGACTTCTGGTTCTATGTACGCTGGCTATGACCAATCGGTCGATTATAGCGGAGCCGGATGGGGCGTCGGGTCTGGATGGGATTCTGTTACGCCTCGTCACCGCCATCCGACGCGCCTCAGCGATGTCCTCGAAGAGGAGGAACCTCGAACAACCCCTAGCCGGGCAAGCCGTGCCAGCCAGGCGAGCAGAAGTGTACACTGAGCAACGTACATAAAGAGTTTCGGACAAACTATTCCATTTCCTTTTTTTCCTTTTTCATTTTGGTCTTAAATTTGCGCTATCTGGTTGGTTAATATGCGATGCCGATATTTACCTGCGGGCATACCTATTTTCATTTTTACCCTCCGTTTCTTTTCTCTTTCCATTTCTCGTGCGTTGCATACTCCAGCCGCGTTTCCTTTCAAAGTCAGTTGACTTGTTGATGACATCGCAGCATAGACTCGGGAGCAGGAAGCGGGAGTAATCTTGTAATTCTAGTGATGATACGACCGTGGATATACGTCTCAAATAAAAGTCCTCTCTCAATTATTCTCCATGAAGTAGTTGCTCAGTTCCGTACCGAATGGCTAAAAGCCACAAAAATCACGTGCATATTTATGCCTCAGGCGGCAGGTTAACCCAATACGCATCTGGAGATCTCCGGCTCAAACCCGCAACTGAGAAAGCTTCACTCCCCAACTTATAGACCTGGGCGACACCAATTTCATAAACCCGAGCCGCCAAAATGTCCCTCCCAATCCGGTCCCTAACACGGACCCTTACGCGCGCCTCTCGCCCGTCGTCCCTCCTTCCCTCGCAAACCCGCTCCCAGCTCCCAAAAAATGTCCCCCGACTCATCACAACATCAACGCCGGCATTCCGCACACAAACCCAATCGCACGCCTTCTCAACGACAACATCCCGCTCCAAAGCCCGCACCATGGGCCAGCTGCGCCAGCGCGGCTCCACGGGCCCGTTCTCCTGGAAGGCGGCCCTGCTGTTCGTGCTTACCGGCGCCGGAATGATTGTTTACTTCCGAGTTGAGAAGGAGAGGCTCGAGCGGAAACGGATTGCAGAGATGAGTAAGGGTGTTGGGAGGCCGAAGGTTGGAGGTCCGTTTGTGCTGAGGGATTTGAATGGGGAAGTTTTCACCGAGGAGGCGCTGAAGGGGAAGTATTCTTTTGTATGTCTTCCTTCCGACCTTGCTTTCTTTGCCGGACAGACTTAAAGGGCGAGGAAGAAAACTTTTACTAACTGGGTTTAATATAACAGGTATACTTTGGCTTCACGCATTGTCCCGACATTTGCCCCGACGAGCTGGACAAAATGGCTGAGATTATTGATAAAGTGAAGGAGGCTAACGGTGGAGAGAATGTCTTTGTACCGGTGTTCATAACGTGTGATCCCGTGCGGGATACACCCGAGGTGCTGCAGAATTATCTGCAGGAGTTTCATAAGGATATTGTTGGGTTGACGGGGACATACGACCAGGTGAAGCAGGTCTGCAAGGCCTACCGGGTTTACTTCAGCACGCCGCGTGATGTGAAGCCGGGCGAGGATTATCTGGTTGATCACAGTATCTACTTCTATCTCATGGGTGAGTTCTTCTGGTTTTTAACCTAGTAGCCGATTGGATTTGCTATGCGTGGTGCTAATTTATGGTAGATCCTGAGGGTGACTTTGTCGAATGTATCGGACGGCAGGACACGCCCGAGTCCGCGACGAACACAATCATGCAGCATATCAACGACTGGAAGAGAGAAGGAAGACCTCTGAAGAAGGACTAGATCGGCCTATCATCGTGATTGTATTTATAAAACCCCCCAATGTACCATGTCACCTAAGCCATGTACCATATAACTCTCCAATCTACAAACCACCGAAACTCCTTCTGATATTATATAACCTCCTCCTTCTTCCTCCCACTGGAATCTCTCTCCCTGTTCTCCCTCCACTCCATCCCCCCATCCACAAACTCCTCCCTCTTCCAAATCTCCACCCGCTCCTTCACAACCTCAAGCACCCTCTCAGCACCCCTCCACGCCTCCCCACGGTGCCCCGCCCCAACCGCAACAATAATACTCGACTCACCCACAGGAACAACACCCAGCCGATGCGCAATATAAACAGCGCCGAGGCCGAACTCGCCCACCGCGTCCGTCGCGATCCGGTTCAGCGATTTCAGCGCGAGCGCTGGGTAGCTTGTATACGAGAGCTGCGCGACGGGGCGGTCTTCGAATGTGTCCCGCGTTGTGCCGAGAAAGAGGACATTTGCGCCGCTTGAGGGCGAAGAGATTGTGCTTAGTGCCGTGGTGGGGGAGAGCGGGGTGTAGGTGAGTTCGAGGTGGATGGGGGACTGATTAGGGCCGTGGGTTGTTGTGAGAGTTCGTGGGTAGGTTTGAGGGTCGAGGTGAGGAGGAAGTAATTCAGTTTCTGTTGTATCTTGAGGTTGCGATGTTGAAGACATGGCTATTTAGTCGAGTTTGTTTGAAAATGCTTTGTGAAGTTGGTGAGGGGATCCTTGGTTGGAGATGTTGCTGCCTCAGGCTGCAACTAACAAGTTGCCCCTGGGAATGATAGTATTTCCCTGAATGGCAATTTTGCTACGTTGAATTATCATTAATGGACTTGCAATGTGGAAGAGGCTAGTGGCGGTCTATTGTTTAGATGCAGCCATGCTGTCTAGATTTAGGACTATCTATTCTAGCAGGATCACAACTGCCTCGTACGGCCGGAGGGTCCATTGAGCACCCGAAAATCTTGCCTGAGCTGAGCTCGCAGACTCATAACTATCCAGTAATACCTCCTTGACCTTATCTATCTTTTGTACTGCAGCATTCCACGACAGATCGTGGTCTGTCCAGTTCGCCAGCACCAAAGCCTTGGAGGTGTCGTACGCCCGAGTGTAGGCGTAGACCTCTTGGCTATCGCGGTCGACAAGCTCATAGTTTCCGTAGACGAAGATATCAAGGTACTTCTTTCGGAGCTTCAAGACCGAGTTCCAGTGGTGGTACAGGGACTGGGGGTCCTTGACTTGGTCCTCTGCGTTTACATGGGTATACTCTGGGTTGACGGACATCCAAGGCTTCACATTTGCTCCAGTGAATCCGCCATTGGGCGCTGCAGACCACTGCACTGGTGTGCGGCCATTGTCGCGAGATTTCTTCTGGTATTCCTGTCGAGCAATCTGTTGTGCCTCGGTATCGAATTTCTTGGTTTCCAGTAGCCTGTAATCTAGTTAGCTTCATCTTAGTGTACGGACCGGATGTATATATTTACCCCTTCCAGTGGTTCAAACAATCGATATCTTTATACTCTTCCATTCCCCACTCTACAGGGACATTGCCCATTCCTATCTCCTGGCCCTGGTAGACGAATGGAGAGCCCGAGTGCAAAGCCAGAACAGTAGCAAGCATCTTCCCGGCTGTCTGTCGGAGAGCCTGAGGTGGGTTGACATAGCGGTCAATTGATCGAGGTTGATCGTGGTTTTCCCAGTACAGAGCGTTCCAGCCGCCGTTGTTGTACATGAAAACCTGCCAGCGCTCAAAGAAATTCTTTAGATCAGTAAGTTTCCAGCTCCCGGGCTTGAACTTGTTGCCCCATGGAGCATGGTCAATATCGACGTGTTCGAAGTTGAAGATCATGTTGATTTCATCTCGGTCGTAGCGCACGGCTTTTAGCACTTCGTTGGTATCCTTAACGAAAGGCATCTCCCCAACGCTGAATGTGTCATACTCTTTAAGGATCTTTCCAATTCCCTGCAGATATTCATGAAGGCGGGGACCATTTGCGTAGTACTTGTCACCCCATTGCCAGACGGCATCCTTATCCTGGTTTGGCGCGTCAGGGAACGCCTGGTCCTTGCTGATAAAGTTGATGACATCCATGCGGAAACCATCAGCTCCTTTATCGAGCCAGAAGCGAACAATATCATGAACTGCCTTTCTTACGTCGGGGTTCTCCCAGTTCAAATCAGGCTGCTCGGTGGCGTATAGGTGTAGATAATATTCTCCTGTCGGCTCATCAAACTCCCAGGCACTCCCTGAGTCAAATTAGCACTCTGAATTTGGAAGGGTCACTGGGAGGAGGTACCTTGAAAATGTGACACCCAGTTGTTCGGGGGCTGTCTATTCCCATTCTCATCAAAACGAGGTGGCCTCCAAACATACCAATCGCGAAACTCGTTATCCTTCGAGCTACGCGATTTCTTGAACCATTCATGCTGGTCACTGGTATGGTTCACTACCAAGTCCATCAGAAGCTTCATGCCCCTGTCGTGACAGCCTTTGATCAACTTCTCGACATCTGCGACCGTACCATATTCGTCTGCGATGCTGTAGTAGTCCGCAATGTCGTAACCCATATCTACCTGGGGTGACTTGTAGGACGGGCAAAGCCAGACAATGTCGATACCGAGGTTGTGAATATAGTCGAGCTTCGAGATGATGCCAGGGATATCGCCGACGCCATCATTGTTTGAGTCCTTGAAGGATGCAGGCCAGATCTGGTAGACGGAGCTTTCCTTCCACCAGGCGCGGTGGATGTCGCTGGGGGGTTTGATGGGCGCCGATAACGAGCCCATTTCGATTCAATGTAGCCTAAATTGTGGCTCAGGTACGGGGATACAGAGTAGGATTGAGTAAGAGTAAGGAAAGGTCGGGCTAGGAGGGAGGGGTAACGTGGGGTTGGCCACAAGAGGGCGGGACATACCCCTCTCCAAGATGCCAGCTGTCGTTGCTTCTCGTTCCATAGTAAGTCGAGTAAGTCGAGAGCCAGTGAGATACGCCATTGAAGACACTGGCCCACAGGCTGCCCGAAAAAAGACCAGAGCACTCTTCGATTTGATGACAAAAGTTCACATTGCCTGGAAGTGCTGATCCTGACGTCATATGTAGAAGGGACCATGAGCAAATTGCAACAGTGGGATAGACAGAAATGCGCAGGTGCCTTAATCACAAGACATAGTGCGGATCCATCTGGTTTTACGCACTTCAGACTGTCTTCGAGGTTGAGTCTGATCAAGTTTCCCGTCAATGGTATGAGCTGCCGGAAACGGAAGGAAGCTTGGGCCATTCCAAATTCGGCAGGCGTGGCATCCCGAGCTTTGTCCAATGATAATCCAGGATCGGCTCTAGAATGCTAAAAATGGAAATTGTGGGTTTATGAGAGTTTGTTCCTGGACGGTGCCTGAGGCTGTTTTCGCTATCGGGGGCTGACTCGGAATGCTTGAAGTACAACGCATTTGGTAGGCGACTATGAGGGTAGTATGGATGGCCCGCACAATTTCATTCAGAGGATAATAACCAATATCCACTCCGCAGAGCCAGGAGATGATAACTCTCCATCTGCGTGAGACAGGCATCTTTCGATCCTCCTCGCATCCATGTTCACGATGACTCGCTTCAAGCTAATCAAGACCGTGGCAGCAGTATTTTGTACCTGCGTGGCCCTTGCGTTTCTTTTCAACAAGCAGGATGGCTACCAGTCGACCAGAAAATTGATACACGCCGGCAGATCTCGCCTGGAGAATGCGATGTTCGAGCGAATAAAAAACGAGACATTAGGGGTACGCTTTGAAAACCGAATATTAAGAACCATATACTGACGTCCTACAGTTTCAGCACATTTATGCAATCGGGCTCAAGGAACGCACTGACAAGCATGACTCGCTCTCCTTGGCCGCCTCTGTCTCGGGGATGAAGGTCGAATGGCTAGAAGGCGTTCGACCGGGCGACGTATCACAAAAAGCTCTTCCACAGGTATGTATTTCCTGATGTTCGCAGAGTTGTATACTGACACAGCTAGGGATTGAACCAACCGGACATCCCCTACACTGTGGTCTTATGTTGGCGCGCGCATATGAACGCACTGCGCAGGTAGGTTCTACTCACTCGTAAAGAGACACAGAAGCATGTTAACGTATTAAAAGTGTGGTAGAAAATGGATATGCGACTGCTCTCATAATGGAGGACGATGCCGATTGGGATGTGTCGATCAGGCCTCAGCTGCGTGAAATCGCCAGAGGGGTCCGCGAGCTTTCCGACACTCATAAAGCACCAAGAAAAGAGCCATACGGCACCAACTGGGATCTTCTTTGGATTGGAGGGTGTGCCGCGCTGCAAGGGAAGAACGAAACGGAACTATATGCGATTCCCGACGATCCCACTACTATCGATGTCGCCCGACGGGGCCCATGGGAGGGGCCGATCGGGCCAACTGACGACTGGAAAAAGCAGCACCCAGAGGTTTCTATCGACTCTACACGGTTTGTCTTTCGGGCAGGTCATGGTTGCTGTTTGTATGGATACGCAGTGACCTACGAAGGAGCACGGAAGATCCTTGCGGCTCTTTCGCTCGAGCGGAGTGCGGAGGTGGACAATTCTCTGGGCGATCTGTGTGGAGGTAAAAACGGTCGACAGCAGATCCGCTGTTTCGGGGTGTACCCCAACGTCATTGGCACTTTCAAGCCGGCTGGGCCGAACTCACGATCGTCAGATATCCAGAACTACACAACGGACGAGTGGCGAGAGGCGGAGTCGTGGAACATGGTGTACAGCACGCGGATGAACCTGCAGCGGCTGCTTGCGGGCGAGGAGACGGTGTATTCGCAGTGGAACACCTCGTTTATTCCATGGTCCAAGGGAGAGGTGAAGCCACGAGAGTTGCAGTATCCGAGGGGGTATCTGGTGGGGTAGCCGGCCACTGGGGGGGTTTCTGCATTCAGTTAGTTTACAGCATATTGCAGCCATAGAATAATCGTATTTGCTTGAATAACCCGGAAGAAACGGTGCAAATACAACCTCCAGATTAATGTAACACACAGCGAATGAACCGGTTCGTGTGGGTCGAGTCCAGGCGAGTCGACCAGGTGGTGCAACAGTGAAGAGCCCGATCCCCCGGAAAGAGCGGCCAGGAACAGCAGCGCCCGTGACTCGGCCAGACTCCGCACAGAACACGAACTTATCCTTCGTCCGCCCAGCCTGTGATGATCGCTCGATCCTCGATTCGGCTCCAGATGTGATATGTCAGCACAGCTGAGGTGACATGAACCAATGCCTGCACTTCGCTTACGGCTGCATTTGGTGCTCATTCGGCGAGCTTGAGCAGCCTGCAGCCTTGTGCTTGCTGGTGGACGGGGCTCCAGTGCTGAGGCTATGTCACTCAAGTCGCTCCATCGGCTGACTGCCCCAGAACCCTTTGTCTCCAGTGTCCGTCCCCCTGTTTCTCTTTAAAATAGCCATGCGCGGCTGCTCTCGGCCTTCAGTCATGCTCACTGCCCTTGACTTGGGCTTTCATTCGATTTTGTCTTCGTTATGATTTATCCACCCCAGAACTCAGACCGCCGCGATGAGGAGACCATTCTCACCACCGAGAAGGATCTCTCGGTATCGTCCATCTCGTCCGTGGACGAGTACGACGCCGGCTTGAAGAAGCCAGTGGAGGATAACGAGGAAGTCCCGTTAAGTCGCAATGCGCGTTTTCTATTATGGACTGTCTTGAATGTTGCCTCAACCGTTGGCATTGTGTGCACCCCCTATTATTCAATATTCCCACAGCTTCTTAGAGCTGATCCCCGCCGAATTAGGTAATTGATCGCTAACTAACTATGGAACCGTCTTTAAGGTATTCACAAATAAATCGATCATGTCCGATGTCTCATTTAGCAACCGTCAAGTTTCCCTCGCTTGTTATCATTTCTTCATCACTGGCGCGACATTATGGATCGCTTCCTTTCGTTTCTTCGGCGCCTTTATCCCCAAGCCCGTCAGTCTCATACAAATGACCCCCATTGCAGCCGCCATGGCTATTCAGGTTGTACTACAAAACCTGTCGCTCGCACACTCCTCGGTTATGTTTCACCAGCTAGCGCGCCTCCTCTTAACACCAGTGGTGGCGCTACTTAATTACGTGCTTTTCCGAGTCAAGATTCCTCGCGCAGCGCTTCTGCCACTGGTTCTGCTGTGCACTGGTGTCGGTATCGTCACATACTATGATTCACTCCCTGCAGCGGAGAATGGAACTACTACAACAGCGCACGGTGTAATTTTTGCGCTGACAGCTGTCTGCGCCAGTTCGATCTACACTGTCTGGATCGGACATTATCATAAACGGTATGAACTGAGCAGCATGCAGTTGCTTCTGAACCAGGCGCCTATCAGCGCGTGCTTGCTTCTGTGCGCTATTCCGTGGGCAGAGGCAGGTCCTGCTGTGTCGTCTGCTCCGACGCCAATGTGGAGCATGGTTTTACTGGTATGATATTCCATTCTGCGGCCTTGAGCATCACTAACTCGTATATAGAGCGGCCTACTCGCCTGCATGGTGAACCTGTCTCAGTTTTACATCGTTGACGCCGCTGGAGCTGTCAGCGGCGCAGTCATTGGCCAGCTCAAAACCTGTATCATTGTAGGACTGGGCTGGGCGTGGAGCAACCACGTCGTCCCGCGCGAGAGCGTGTTGGGTATTATTATGGCATTGGTAGGGATGAGCATGTAAGTTGCCTTTTCCGCAACACGGATGTTCTTACGCAACTAACCTGTTCAAAGGTACATGAACATTGTCCTTAAGAATAGATAGAAATATAAATAGCTTCATGAATCATTTAACCTTTGTTCTGAATCTCGCATTCCCTGGCTCCCAAGCGCTACCCGATATAAAAAACAGTAGAATAAACGCATCAGACAAGACCCAGATCAAGCATCGATTGTACCGAATCCCTGATACTCTGCTCTAGCTCAATATGCCTCCACCGACCCTGTTCGTCCGGTTTTCCCTTGGAAAGGATATCCAGACTAGTATTCTTACTCCAGTCTGTCGGATGCACCCCTTCCGGCAATATCCGCCCAATAAGCCCTTTTGGTACCCGGTCCCTCAGCGTGGGGAAATGCTTTCGGATGATATTCACAACTAGTTGTGGGGTGATTAGTCCGGAGACAAGTAGAATCCGCTGCCCTCCTGCTGCGGGGTTGGTCAGGGCGTCGACAGTGCTTTGTGCGACGTCGCGGACGTCGACCTGTTCTTGTCAGTCACTCTCTTCCAAACCTTACAGGAAGGAGAGGTTATAGAAAGGCATACGAAATGATAAAACGGGAACCGCACATCCTCAACAGTCTCATGCGTGCCATCAATAAAGCTGGCAATCGCAAATCGATTCGTCTGGTTAATCGACTCGGGCCCATCAATTGGGTGAATCATAGGACCGATCGTGATATCTGGGTTAATCACCGCAAGATCAAACGCCGGTTTATTCTGGTCCATGAATTGCCACGCCGCGTGCTCCGCCTGCGTCTTGGAGGCGTTGTATCCCAGCACCGCGTCCTGGCGGTCGATTGCGTGTTTGGCTGTTACAGGGTTCCAGTCTTTCTCGGTGTAGGGGCGGCCCTCGCGGGACATGTCCTCGAACGAATTCAGGACTGAGACGGCGCTGCCGAGGACGACGAAGCGTTTTAGGTCTGTGCCTTGGTGTCGTAGGGCGCTTTGGAGCATTTCTGATGTTCTGTGCCCGTGTTAGTGATTCCATTATACCAATGCTTTTTGTTTTTGTGTGTTGCGGACCCCTTAGTGGCAGGCTCGATCATTTCCTTCTCGATGTCCTGGACGTCGAACTTCAAGGGCGACGCCGTGTGGATGACGAACGTGAAGGGTGTTTTCGCATTTTCGAAGATTTCGTCAAACGGCTGTTGTGAGGTGAAGTCGGAGACTATCGCAAAGTTGACTTTGTCCTTCCATTCCGGATGTGTCTTGAGGATGTCGTCGGCTTTGTCCTGCGACCGTACCGTAGCAGTTACGGCGAACCCACGCTGTCCAAACAGTCAGCCCGCGGAGTTTTACTTATCCACGGGTTTGCTTTATTGAGGGGGTGTACCTCGATCAGTTTTAACAGGATATGTGAGGCAACGAAGCCGTTTGCGCCTGTCAGTAAAACATGCCGGCCTTGGCCTTGGTTGGAGTCGCGGCGGGATGCCATTTTTTATTCTTTATTTTTTTTCCGCCCGAGTTGAACCTTCAAAAAACACCGAAAGCCCGAAACTTACGATCAGACAGCAGTTTTGCTTTATATATGATCATGGGTATGCGTTTACGTATGAGTTATACTCCAACATGAGGTCATGACTTGCAGTGCCCAATCAGCGCGGGATAGCGTGCAGCGACGTGGCTCAGGTAATAAAGTATTCCCCACACTTGTTAAACCCATGGTCTGGACAGTCAACAAACTTCAAGAAGTAGGAAATGAAAACAAGCGGAGGTATGTGTTGATGTTGCTACTTAATGCTCAATACCGACGGAACCCGGACAAACCATGTAAGAAAATATGCTGTCACGAAGCTTGTACGGTGTACAGTGAAGGGTGGACAGGCACCCACGATGAAATGATTTGCATCCCCATTTCTCCCCCACAGTGGTCACACCAGAACTAAAATGCCTAAATTAAGCAAGGAATCTGGGCCAACTCAGGGCCAAGACTGGGGGTCACAGCCACCAATTTCTTGGAATGGGCCCTGATGATGCGCCAATGTGGGCAGTGTGAGCTCTGAGCTCTGGTTCGGAGGGTCCTTTACGCAAAGCTCCTCTTGGTAAAAGCCACAATGTTATCTAATTATTCATAATTTAATGAAAACCTATTCACACGCATTACCTTAGCCCTATCTATGCATATTCACCAAACAGGGCTGTAGATTCAACATTCCTTCACTAGCAATACACTCAAAGTATGATAGTAAATAGAGTCAACGCATTCCCCTCTTCCTCCCGTCGATCAAAAATGACTGTCAATTCTCTGCCTGTCGCCACAAACAAACACCATGGCTTTCATCATGTCCAGGGTAATGAACGCTGTGACGGCAGCCATCACCATTCTCCTCCTGGTACAGGTACTAAGACTGCTGCAACTACCAACCCTATTTCCCACCTTGGGGTTTCCATCGATGAGCGCGTGGTCATCCAAGTTCGTCTCCGCGAAAGACTGGTCTCGCTTCGCCTATGTCCAATATGCCACAGACGAGGTTTATCTGTGCAACTCCGTCCTGATATTCGAGGCTCTCCATCGACTGGGAGCTAGGCCAGACCGAGTTTTGATATACCCGAGCAGTTTTTCAATTGAGGAGGACGATTCTTCATTTGAGGGCCATCTGCTCCGTAAAGCACGCGATGAGTATAATGTGAAGCTGGTGTCCATCGACAACGAAGATAACGGTATGCCCATCCACCCACGCCCTTGAGTCTTCGAATTGCAGGTAAATGCCTAACTAATTATGGGACTAGTCGTCTGGAAAAAGAAGTACCCGAAGCTTCTCGCGTTTAATCAGACCGAGTATGACCGCGTGTTGGTCCTAGACTCGGATTCCACTGTCCTCCAGGTAAGACCGCCAACCTAAAAATTTGGAGCCGGCTTTTAACCGTGCACTTAGTCCATGGACGATTTATTCCTGGGCCCATCCACCCCAGTCGCCATGCCCAGGGCGTACTGGCTTCACCCCGATAATACCGCGCTTACACCTCTACTGCTACTTGCCGAACCATCCAACGAGTTTGATCGCATTACGAAAGCAGTCACCAAAGCAGACCATGACGAGTACGATATTAACATCATGGAGGAGCTATATGGAAACCGTTCTCTTGCTCTCCCTCACCGAAAATTCGCACTATTAAGCAGCGAGTTCCGGTCTGTGGCCCACGATGCCTACTTCGGCGGCCAGAGCGAAGAATGGGATCCAGAGAACGCCATACATGAAGCACAATTGGTCCATTTCGCGGACTGGCCCGCCCCAAAGGTATTTTCCTACTAATAAGCTAGGTGATTACGAAACTAGCTAATCCTCAAACTAGCCATGGGACAGAGCTGAAGATGATACGCTTGATGAATATCAACCGCCTTGCGACAGTAACCTAGAAACCGGCGACGAGCGTGATTGCCGAGCACGCGACATCTGGCTATGGCTGTATAACGATTTTACTAACCGGCGAAGGGTGCATATCTCTGAATTTCTACAATATTCGGGATCTGGGCTGACTGAATCACTAGGACATCTGTGGCTTGAGGACCATTTCAGTCCCTAAGGTGGGATCTTCATAAAAAACATTATTTTTCCAGGGCGGACGGACGGCGTGTATACTAATGGTAAAGTACTTGTTTGGCAATGCATAAATTGTGTTTATTAGGTATATTTCTTGGTTCTGACCATGGACGTATTGTTTTAAGTAATATGTTTCATCAAACCATAAGAAATGCTAGACCGCTAGACCAAAAATTGTAAGCATGGGTGGTGGCTAACCAGCTATCATCAACAAACCATCAAAACCCTCACCATGTCTGGGACGCGCAGGTCCAGTTTTTCACAGGCCTTCAAGAACGTTTATCTGGTCGTCCGCGATGATTTTTCTAAAGGGTAATTAGTGTGTAAGGACAATTTTGAGGTTCTAGGCCAGGTACCTACACATGCCTTAGGTGTCTCCGTAAAACATCATTCGACGGAGTGCATTCTGGTATGGGGCAGGGCAAACCATCCCTCTAGATCGTTTTTGGTCTTTGCCAGTTATCTCATTGGCTCTTTTCTGTACTTCTTTCTGCTCAGCTTGTGATACCGCTTGGATGATCAGCAATGGATATGAGAGTGTCGAATTGCTTTTTGCTTGCAGTACTCTGGGTGATTGGGCCACACCGTGTTGGAGATGCCCTTTCCCGGCGATATGTTATACCAGGATAAGATGCGCTAATAGGAAGTGGAGTTAAATTATCATGGATTAGCGGTAAGCAGGTGGAGACGGGGAGAAATGACTGGGAAAAAAGAGCAATTGGGCTGTGCTTTTCTTTGCTGCCTGGAGAGAGAGGATCAACTGTCAGCAGTGCCGTGCCACCAATCGGTCCCACGGAGTATATTTGGCAGGATGAAGTGTGAAGAAACTTGACATTGAGCTTGTGCAGACCTTTCGCAATAATGGTTAGATCGTTGCCGCTGCTTTCCATGCTACCAGCCGAGCTGCGCTAGAGCTATTAGTGGTCCATAAGCCGACGGAATTAAGGATGCCTGGCTTCCAGGAGTCAAAATCTCGGCTGCCGATGGAACAAACTTCGCTTTGTGAAGCTGGATGCCAGCGCCAATTGTACCCGGTAAAACTGCCAGGTTAACGGCACAGTCCCTGGATGATGCCATTGCAAATACGAACCCAAACCATCGTCCATTGGCTGCATGACCTCAGATTGTTAAGGTTTAGCTCCATGCAACAATGAACGCCCACTCGGAGCTTTGGGAATGGCGTCCGGAACGCAGTCAGCCATCATGGAGTCAGCTTCAGCCTTCACACGAGTTTCCCATTTCTTGCCGCTCGCCTGTCCTCCTCGTGCCTCATCTCATCTCCTCTCTTTCTGTCGCTTGAGAGATGGAGTAGCGCTCGCATCTTTTGCGATACGTGGGTTCAATTGTTGATACCTATTCGCGGCACACCATGAATAAAGGACTCCAAACCCGTTCGCGGGGCTTTTTTAAGCAGAAGCCTATTCTGCGACTGGTGGTCGCGCTTGTCGCACTCTTTTCCTTAATACATTTGTTCTCTAAATACCGTGTGTTGGTCTATTCTGAACCCTTCTGGACAGCAACTAACAATTCCCTAAGCCCATGCCACTCTACTTGATAACACACCTCGAGCAACAGTCGGCAAGGTGATGATGGTCTACGGCAACAACTCCGTTTACGAACGCGCAATTGAGACACACAAGGAACATTGCAACCGACTTGGCTATCCTCTCTTTATACTGCGGAGAGAGGTCCTCGATGGTGTCTGGAACAAATTGGCCTATCTTATTTCCCTTATAGTGCAGGAATTAGAGAAACCCGAGGACGAGCGATTGGAGTGGCTATAGTAAGTTGGTCCGCAGAGAGGATCGTGAGATACACCTGACTAACGATCGGATGCGAGTAGCTGGATTGACAGTGATACGATCCTTATGAATCCCAATATGAGACTGGAAACCTTTCTCCCTCCGCCTCATCTCACCAACGTACACATCGTGCTATCCAGGGACTGGAACGGAATGAATGCCGGGGTCTTTCCGATCCGCGTCGACCCCTGGTCTATTGAACTGCTATCTGCAGCCATCGGCTACCCTTACACAAACCCCGAGGAAACCCTCACCTGGGCGGAGCAAACTGCCATGGTGAAACTTTTAGCCGAACACGATTACTTTGCTCAATCCGCCGTGTATGTGCCTTTGCGGTGGTTCAACGCATACATGCGCTCTCCGGATGGGGAGTCTCTGAATACAGACTCTCGCGCAGATCTTCAAGTTCACCCGGGGGATCTTCTTGTCCACTTCCCTGGTACTCCGCGCGAAGACTTTAACGATACTCTGAGTCCGTATTTGGCTATTGCTGAGCAGCACCGAAGCGAATGGGAGCTTCCCCTGGAGAAAACGGGGTACGCTGAAGAAACGGCCAGGTTCTGGAAGAAGTACGGCATTGAGAATGGTTTTGAATTGCCGGACGTGCAACATGTCCAGGAAATTTCGAATGCTGGCCAGGTCTAACGTAATGACTATTTTACATATGATAAACGAGCGGGTGTTATGATGTACTTATAGTTATAAAATAGAGATTAATAAGAGTATGACTATACAAGGAACGTCGGTGGCGCAACTGATCGACACATATATGCACTGGGGCATATAATCGCGTGAGATACTCTCGCTCATTGAACAGGCTCGGGGTCACTCGGGGTCACACCAGCACTGACTTCCTTTGAAGAAATTCAATGCCAAAACTCCTTGTGCTGCATTCGCCCCATCAAGATCATCAACCATGCGTCTCCTTCCCTTCCTCGGGGCTATATGGCCAGTTTTTGGCACTATTCCTCCAAAACTAACTCATAGAGGTACGTTCATCTCATGACTCTCGGCCAAACGAGCCCACTAAAATCGGCAATAGGAATCTCTCCCTCACTCCTAGCCGACCTCACCCTTCTCTCCCAGTACTCTGCCGCCGCAAGCTGCAGGGAGAACTTCAACTCCTCAGCTGCCGGGTCTCCTGTGTACTGCGCCGCCGAATACTGTCCACTCATTGAAGCTGCCAATACAGAGATTCTCTACGCATTCTCGGGGTATTCTTCCTCACCATCAGGCATCGGCATGGCAAACGCTAATATCTCAACTCATGATTAGCATTCTCCCCGGCGACACAACAGGCTATATAGCCGCCGATAACACAAACTCACTCCTCGTCGTCTCCTTCCGCGACACCATGTCCGATGCAAATCGCCACACTGATCTCGAATTCGGGCAACTAGACATATCCTCTACATGTCCAGGATGCCGCGCACATAGGGGGTTCTGGCTTGCAACTGCGTCTGTAAATAGGTCATTGAGAAGATTAATATGGCTCGCGAGACTTAGGCACCCTGGGTACAGACTCGCCGTGACGGGACATAGTCTAGGTGGAGCTATTGCAACGATTTATGCCGTTCTTTTGAGGGGGGAACGGATTGGCGTCGATTTGGTTCGGTTACTTCCAACTCCTGGTGCTATTTGGGTAAACTGAGTTGGGCTGACTGTCCGGCTACTGTAGTATACATTCGGCGCGCCCTCGGTTGGGAACTACGCGCTCGCCAATTTCACCACGGGGGGAGAACAGGACCGAGGGACGAACTACCGCGTGACGCATCTAGATGATGAAATCCCAAAGGTTCTATATCGTGCTTCGAGGGAGCCGGTTCTCGGCTTGTTTATGCCGGAGTATAGCCAGTTGGCACCGGAGTACTGGATTACGTCTGCCAACGGAGTGGCTGTTACAGTGGAAGTTGTGCAGGTTATTGATGGTGTGAATAGTGAGGAGGGAAACTTGGGCGTAGGATGAGGGAATTTGAAGGATCATTCGTGGTATTTGGGGAGTACAAACGTTTGTTGACTGTTATCTGCTGTCTTATCTGAGACTATGAGGGGCTAATGCGGGGTTGCGACTATAAGATAAACTGCCGTTGATCAATCTGGCCTTCGTAGAACTTCCAAGAAGCATCTTACTTACCACAAGTCCCAGTTCCAAAATGGCAGATATTCCACACATCTCAAGCTGGATCAACGGCCAATACTCACCCCCAACCCCAACCACCATCCCAGTCCTCAACCCAGCAACCGAATCCCCCCTCGCAACCATCAATGCAACAGACACCGAAACAGCCAATGCCATCATCACATCCTCCTGGACCAACTTCCACTCAGGAATCTGGTCCCAGAAAGACCCAAGCGACAGATTCACCATCCTATCCAAAGCCGCCTCCCTCCTCCGCGCCAGCCTCCATGAATTCATCCCCCTCGAAACCGCCCAAACAGGCCGGCCCATCCGCGAGATGCGCACCCAACTCTCCCGCATCCCCGAATGGCTCGACTACTTCGCCTCTCTTGCACGCGTCCACGAAGGCCGCGTAACACCATTCAAGGGCGCCGTTACAAACACCCTCACCCGCGTCCCGCTCGGCGTCGTCGTCCTCATAACACCATACAACCACCCCCTCCTCATCGCGATGAAGAAAATCGCCGCCGCCCTCGCAGCGGGAAACACAGTCATCGTGAAACCGTCCGAACTCGCGCCCCTCTCTGTCCTGAAACTCGGCCCGTTATTCAAAGAGGCGGGACTCCCAGATGGCACATTGCAGATTGTATCCGGGTATGGCGCGGAAACGGGCAAATACCTCTGCGAGAGCCCGCGGATCTCGAAGATTGATTTGACTGGCGGGATAGGAACATATAGGGCTATTGCGCCTATTGCAGCGGTGAACATGGTCCCTGTTACTGCAGAGCTGGGTGGGAAAGCACCCGTGTGTCTGTTTCCCAGTGTGGACGTCGGGGTCGCGGTGAAGGCTGCGCTGTTTGCGGGATTCATAGCCAGCGGGCAGACTTGTGTAACTGGGAGCCGATTGCTGGTTCATACGGATATTTACGAGCCGTTTAAAGAATTACTGGAGAGGAGAGTGAAAGCATTAAGGGTCGGCGATCCGACAGACGAAAAGACGCAGATTGGATCCGTCATCTCTGCTATTGCGGTTGAACGCTGCGCGGCGTTCGTCTCAAGGGCTACAGCGGAGGGAGGCAAGGTTCTCTGCGGTGGGAGCACTACGACGATAAACTCCGAAGGAAAGGGGTTCTTTTTCGAACCTACAATAATTGAAACGCACGCCAGCTCCGATCTAGCAAGGAATGAAGTCTTCGGCCCTGTCCTCGCACTAATAGAATGCAAGTCCGAGGACGAGATTATCCGGGTTGCAAACGGTACATCATACGCGCTGGGTGCGTCTATATGGACGAACGACTTCACGCAGGCGCATCGGGTTGCCGATAAAATTGAGGCCGGCATTGTCTGGATCAATGGGCATCATTTGAATGACCCGTCGTCGCCCTGGGGAGGGTTTAAGGAGAGTGGTCTTGGGAAAGAGAATGGGGTTGAGGCTTATGAGGCTTATACGAAGGTGAAGAGCACAGTGATGAATTATGGGGTTGCGCCGGTTTGGTTTGATGACGAGGTTGAGAACGCGAGGTACGGTTGATAGGTTCTTGTAAGGTTATTGGCGCTCTCGTAATTAGGAATGCTCCTGTTTACCTTATTCTGATGGCGAACTTGACGGGAGTTCTATTAGTTAGGGTACACATTGTGGCTACGGTCCGGTGGAGAAAACAGCCTGTTATGGTAACTCTTCCCACCGGAGCGATACTAAGTTTAAGGCAATAACCTCCACCGGCCCAGGAACATGAGACAAGAATATAAGAGGAGGATCTACCCTAGAATTATCATTAACATTATTAAATCAAAGTCTCTATTCTCGCACTCAATATACCAACTACTTTACCCTCTATCACACCCAAATCAGCCCAACACCAACCACCACAATGGCGCCCAACACCATCAAAGTAACCCTCACCCAACTCTCCAAAATGATCGACCACTCCCTCCTCCACCCAACAATGACAGACGCCGTCATTCTCAACGGCCTCAAAATCGCCCGCGACAACAACGTCGCCACAGCCTGCGTAAAGCCATACCTAATCCCACTCGCCAAGAAGGAACTCGCCGGCTCAACCGTCAAGGTCTGCCCCGTCATCGGCTTCCCACACGGCAACAGCACAACCGAGATCAAAGTCCTTGAAGCCACCGATGCCGCGAAGGCCGGAGGCGCTGAGATTGATATGGTTGTTAATGTTGGCAAGGTCCTTGGTGGGGACTGGGAATATGTCACAAGGGAGATTCGTTTGATTAATGAAGCGGTCGTTGACAACGGCGCTATACTGAAGGTGATCTTTGAGAACGACTATCTCCAGTCTGCGCATATTGCGCGCCTATGTGAAATATGTACTGAGATTGGTGTCGCATTTGTTAAGACGTCGACAGGGTACGGGTTTGTCAAGCAGGCTGATGGGTCGTACAACTACAAGGGTGCGACAGTGCGAGATCTGAAGCTGATGCGAGAGAAATCTGGAGAGAAAGTCCAGATTAAGGCCGCTGGGGGTGTACGGACTCTGGATGACTTGCTGCATGTGATGAGCTTGGGTGTGACGCGCATTGGGGCCACGGCTACCATTGCGATTCTGGAGGATGCTAAGAGTCGTGGGATTGGTGAAGAGCCTGTTGAGGTTGAGTTTAAGCCGATGAAGGAGGAAGGTGAAAGTGGTGGTTATTAGAAAACTCTTTCCCGATATGAGAATGTTTTATCTGGTTGTTTCTTCCAAATATATGAATCTAAGATCTGTTTTTAGAAGTATTTATGGCCCATAGACGGGATTGGAGGCAGCTTTTCGATGAAAGAACCTTCCCCAATAGGGTATTTCTTCTACCGTACAAATTTAAGGCAAATATATCACCGTCCATTGTCACTCCATCGGTCTAGCGCTATCTAGACCCCAAATCCATGCCTGGTCAAGAACCGAAAAGTCATTTGTAGCTGGCCAGAGTGAAGAGCTCATAGGTGACCCTTCTCGCAACTCGGAGGGCTGAGTTAGGATAGCTTGATTCGCAACTCGTCAGATATCTGGGCCATGAACAGCAGTAAGTGTAAAAAATACCTTGGTCAAAGTCATAAATGGCCTGTGATAATGCTGGGTCCTCCCCGTATTGAAGGGGCAGGTCACTGGTAAAATTGGTATTGCCCAAGGTTTCATTCACTGGTAGGGCTGAAGAATGTTCAGAGCCGAGCTGTATATTCGACTGCTGAGGTGCACTGGCTAATGCAAGGGTTTGTGGGTTATAAGTATTCATTGACTGGTATGTCGCTGTGTTGTCACCTGTACTTAGATTTGGTGTCTCCGGCGGCTTTCCCACGTCTAATATAGCGGATAGCTCTTTGTCCATAACGTGCTTGGTCAGTCGCTGGAGAATCTCAAGGCTTTGCGCAGCCACAGGGTAACGTTCTTTTAGTCTTGATTGTATATTAATGAGCCGATGCATGCCACTCTTGGCCAATTGGGATTCCTGGCTTAGGGGCTCAAGACTGCACAGGATCCCTAGGGTTATCCCAGCGGTGAATGTATGTATACCAACAAAAGCGCCTGCGTAAGTGACTGAAATAAGTTCGGTTATGGGCATCAAAGCAATTTCTGATGTGTTCAGGGCTGCTTCTCGGCATGCCTGTAAAGACAAGCGAAAGGGATCAGGTTGTGACTGATTGGCCGAAGAATGTCCAGTATAGGGGCTGGTGTCTTTGCCGCTGGCTTTATCCACCAGCTTGTACGAAAGTAGTGGCCGATGAAAAAGAATCCTAGCATTTTCATATGCAAGTTTGAGAGCTAGAGCTTGTAGTTGAAGGATGTGGTTTTCAAAACGAGGGCCTTTTGCGCCAATATCCTGGTCCAGCTCCTCTAATGAGGAATAACTAGGTTCAATTGGCATTCCATTTGATATCTGCAGCTCTGGTGGAACTTGAGCTCGCCACGTTTGTAACTTTGCGTCCAAGTCGGCCACCTTTTGCACAAGGTGGTGTAGGCCCGTAGTTGAATTGGTTGAGTTCGAAGGGTCAGTGGAGTCCGCACCAATGCGATATAGCTCAGCAAGGGCTGATTTGATCAGGATGGACAATTTTGACATCAGGTATTTATAAGTAAGGAGCGTGGTCTTGGTCTGAGGCGATTGATCGAACGGCCCGGGAGATGGCGCAGCTTGCGATCTCGCAGATGGGTCCAACAATTCCACGTCACAATCGGCATCTTTAATGCTGTGAGGATACCCACATGACATCGAACAGAAAGTTTCAATCTCATATATAGCCCACCAGCAACGTTTTCTCGTTTCGTTCTGGTTGCGCCATTTGATTATTTGAGACGAGTCTGTTTCCAACATTGGCAATTTCCGGTGTAGATTTAGGGCTTGGGCAATGCGTAGGCCACAGCCGCAAACAGGCCATGCAAGAGCAGGGGATCCATGGTATAAATAGTATGTTCCCAACAAAATGCAAGTTTGGACGGCCTCTAGCGAACCACAGGATAGGATGTCAAGGAGCTTGGCCCTGATAGCGGTAAAAATACGTTCGCTGAGCCTCGCTACGTCAATATCATGAGTAGCCAGCAGACGCACTCGATAATTTCCGGCGTATTGTAGGCCGATAGCAATAACCATCAGAAACACACTTACAAAATCTATGTCCTCATGGCTTGGAGCTGGTTGGCTACCACTAGCAGCGTATAAATCCTGCCACCGTTTCCTGAACTCGTCCTGGTGGAATATGAGGATGAACCAATGGGCTCTATCAAAGTACGTGTCCACCAGTAAAGAAGCAGCCTCGTACTTGGGAAGCAATGACTTTAGTTCGGAAAGAGCAGCTCTGGACGATCGATTTAAGGACCGTCTAGTCTGTGGAGTCACATTGAATCCTGCGCCTCTCGTCGGAGATCTTTCTCGTGAGGCGTTAATGTTACTCTCCTGTTGTCGTCCACCCGGTATTGCATCTGTTACTGAGGTTTTGGGAGTAGCTGCGTTGTGAAACTCGAAAGCCTCTAAGGATATTAGCAAATTGTTCAACGAGGGTGCTCATTTTACTTACCCCATCAACCAGAGACATGGTCGAGCTTGATTTCCACGTACCACCCTCAACATTCGAAACAACATTCCCAGGTCTATTCTCACTGGGCTGGCTCTGCTCTGGTGGTGAACTGGTAGGCTTGGGTTCAGCCACGCGAACCTTCTTAGAAGATCGTCGGGGTGAGTCTATCTGCGGACGGTAAGGCCTCCAGTCCCCAGATCCAGACGGCAAACACTCCACCCCCGTTCTAGAGCATGGTACGCATGGACGTTGTGTGTCGCACTGGATTTCTTCAGTTGAGTTGAACACCACTCGTGGACGATTGTATGTAGACGGCGTACCTTGAGTTTCTGCCGGCGACAGCGCTGGCACGCCCTTGTCACTTTCCTGCGAGGATAATTGTAGTCCCTTGTCGCTCTACTCTCCATTTCCGAACCATTGCTGGACTGTGATTCTTTATGGTGGAAACGATGGAGTTGGGGATCCCGCCCACTTTGAGCAAGAATGACGTCACGTGATGGGTTTTCACGTGGTTTTGTACAAGTTGTGGCAGACAATTATTCTGAAATCAGTACCATTACGTCGCGAGGGTTGATCTAGATCCATATTCCGGATTATCTCTGGTATTACTCTGATAAAGACGGATATTCTATCGGTTTGATGTTGAGCTGCATCGGTCTTCTCAGTGAAAACAAGCTGGTATGAAGTGTAAAGATATCTAGCTTGGTTATGTACATTGACCACACTGGTATCCCTACCTAGCTTTTATCTCAATTGCAACATCTACAATTATTTATAATCAAGAATCTAAAGGAAAATCGGACGTTAAATATCACCGCTACCTCCAACAAGCCCTCGCCGGTATGGGATTTGCATTGGGAAGGGGGGGTCCGGTTCTATTGCGCAGATCATTAATATTTGTGCGGATACTACTGTTGGAGACGGCAGTTCTTTCTGGTTTTACGGTGTCATTTGGACTGCCACAGTGGTGAATGGTTCTTCCTCTGGAGACGCGGAGTCAAGCTGTAGCAACAGCTCGAAGAACGACCTCAGGATGGAACAGCTTGATAAGCTTAGAGTTTCTCTTCTAATATCGAATTATTTCCCGTAACTCGTGGCACAGCCGCGGAGTTTGTCTTGGTCCTTCGCAGAACGCTTCTATTTTTTCTTTCTTTCTTTAAAGTCCGTAGTGCAGAAGTTGACTTGTGTTGGAATATCTGTCGAGACCTAAATTATACCAAAGTCTGGTTCAAAAGCTTTAGCATTCGTATCACGAAGGTAGATATCTCCATTGGCTAGCCTTTTGCTTCGGAGGAATTAGCTGGTTGGCATTCAGATAAAAGCTTCCAAGAATAGTGCAAAGCAGGGTCATGCTTAATAGTAGAGAGCCCAGTCCCACGCTGCTTGATCACGGTGTACGATCACTCCCTTCTGTGGAGATCAATGGCTTCGCCACTCTCTCCAGGGGTTGAATCTTTCCAGGCTTGACGGTGGTTCCTCTTGCACGGCTTTCAAGACTCAGACCTTCTCTGGCTACCGGCGGGGACAGACCATGTATCAGGATCCCTAGCTGCACAGCTCCAATCACTGCCTCTAGTCTTATGCTCTGGGCCTAGTAGTCGTTCAAGACCCATGCGGGGATATGATGAATGAAAGGAGGGTTGGTGATCGTCGCCGAGTCGGCGTCATGAGGTTGTGAAGTGGGCAGTCTGCAAACGTAATGGCAACAATCACCATCTGGGCTCTAGGACCAGGGTGTTTCGCCAATGGTGTTCATTCCCGGTACCAAGTCAATCGAAACTGGGTTCTGTTGCCGATCGTGTTAGCAGAGCTCAACCGCGAGTTACTTGCTCTTTGACAAGATGGGACCAGGGGCCAAACCAAGCGTGTCCGAGTCTTTGCATCGATCCTTGGCATGCTGCAAATCTTCTTTGTTGAGATGAATCTTGATCTGCTTCAGGAAACGCCCTGTGGAGCTGAAACAATAACTTTGGGTGGTACAGCAGGGCTCCCATTATGTGCTCTTTCAACAGCTCTGGGATTGACTGCAGGGATGTTCCATTCACCCTGGAGCAGGTGTTGGAGAATGGAGAGAAACAGATCGTCCTTAAGAGTCTTTTAATTCACTATCATTATAATGGTAAATACCGCAGGGTTGGTGATTGGCCGCTACAGGCCTTTCCCCTCAGTGAAGAACAAAGCTTGATGCTTCATGCGCTTGATTCACTCTAGAGTCTTGGAAGCTTCACGCTTCACCCCAGAGCTTTCACTTGCTTGAGTTTTTTTTTTTCTCTCTCGACGCCTTCTCGCTGTTGTTGTCTATAAAGATGGCCCCGTCTCTGTCTTGTCTTTCTCCCCAACACATCATTCTCTCTCATCCCTCTTTACTCCTCAACCTCATCCACCATCTCACTCACATATTGGAATCATTCCAATATATCGAAACACCCCCACAATGAAGGCCTACGCACTTCTCATCCTCCTCGTGTCTCTGGCCGTGGCCGAGATTACCGGGGCCCCCTCTTCCAACGATCCTGGTGATGTTGGAAACACTGCCGGTATGTTCAACCCACCTTCTTCCTTCCGATATATCCAAGACTAACAGATCCTGCTCCTCTTAGAGTCCCATTCTGAACTTGTCAAGCGTACTGGCAACGGTCAGCTCTGCGCTAACCAGGGAGACTGTGACAAAGGCTACTTTTGTCTCATGTTCTCGTGCATCGTTGACGACCCTGCACTCTTCCCTGATGTCCTATGTCGTTCCAACTACCACTGCCGTGACAAAGGTCCCGACTATGTCTGCTTAAACGGCCTATGTGCACCTCCTAAACCTGGTCCTGTTGATGAGCCATCATGCAACTTCGACAGTGACTGCGATGGCAACGCTAAATGTGAAGGACACCTCTGCATCAATCACGACCTTACTATGGAGGCTCCAGATATCAGTGACCCAGCCTGCAAGAGCGACTCTGACTGTGATGGAGGTCGATGCCTGAACGGGATATGCCTGGCACCCTCCCGCACCAAGCTGCGGTTCGCTCGTCGCTCTCCTCAACTGATCTGCCACAATGACCAGGAGTGTACTGGCATCAACGGTGCTCCGGGGTACTGTAACAATGGAATTTGCGTGGCTGACCCTCCCCGCAAGCTTACTCGTTCTCCTCAGCTGATCTGCCACAATGATCGAGAATGCACCGGCATTAACGGTGCCCCCGGGTACTGTAACAATGGAATTTGCGTGGCTGACCCTCCCCGCAAGCTTACTCGTTCTCCTCA